TTTAAGCATCCTTAAACTACTGCTAAACAAGACGGCGCGTGAACACAACATGCAAGTGAACACATGCATGTTTGCCCTGTGCTGACTGAATAAGAAATGTGATGAAAAGAAATCTCACAAAAACAATAAAACATTTGGTATAAGTAAGAAAATGTTGGGTAACTCTGTCTAAGGTGTTTGTAGTCAATGCTAGAACTGAAGTCTGACTCAGACTTGAAGTTACATTTCTGAACATCCACTCTAAAACACTGACTTGTTGTATTTTCCTCTGTAGATACAATATTTTTTAGAAGTTTTACAATCAATCTTAACCCTGTTCTTACTCAGCTCAATAGCCTTACAACAATTATGCAATTTCTTTGGAAAATAAAGCACTTCTCCCCCATCTGTGACTGCTCTGATTGTGAGGAGAAGATGACTTTGGGTTTGGAGAGGATTACGGTGGTCTGTCTGGAGCAATCCCATTGACACCTGGCTCAAACTATCCCCAGCTCATTCCTGAATGAAAGCCTTTCTCTCTTCCATGTGACACTAAGCGTCTCAGGTCACTGAAGTCCAGGAAGCACATTACTTTTACTTAAAAATCTATAAATTGTGAAAATGAATGCCCTTGTGTTTATTTGTGCTTCTCTTCGCTCTCCAGCCCTGAGGCCTCATTCTGCTTGCCAGCTGTTAACCTATTAGCACCCCACAGAAACCTGAACAGAGCTGCCATGGGTCTTCTGTTTGTTTGACTTTGTCAGTCTGAATTGAGACATGCAGACTCAGGGCGGGAGGTGAAAATGGGCATTGACTCACTTTGAAGGGTGCACTTGTTAAATCTCTGGCCATCTTGGAAGATGTTTAGACTGGGATGGAGATCCAAACTCTCGACTCTGGTCGGGACCATTATCTTGCGGGTGAGATCTGTACTGCTGAAGATGCCTGAAACCGAGCTTTGCATTCTTTCTGGACCTCAGTGCTGACTTGCAAATTCATTTAATGGGAATAAGCTTGGATAAACATGGAAAAGGGCAGAAGCACTCAAGCTTTAAGGACACTGAAATGTGCAGGAACACAAAAACTCCTCATACTGGTTTCACAGAGAGTGTGTTAAACACCACTGGTCATTTTGTAAGCCAGCAACATTGTGTGATAGTACTTTGTTGTCATTTAGGTAATGAGCTCACCGCAGATAACTTTTCTCCAGTTGTGGTTGAAGATAACCAAAATTTTAAAGTTACTGTCATAGTTTTTGGGATACAAGGCTTGAATAACAAAAGATTACTAAAACAACAAATAAGACAAATTGGCTGTGATTACACCAACTGGTTTGGTGATTCCTGTTTGAAACCTTGAATGTGGCAGTTTAGCCACAGTGACACTGTTTCTTAGAAGCAGGATAGGAAGTGGAACTCAGTGGAGAATGTGGTGGAGAGATCTACACTGAGGAAGGTGGAGACTATTCCAAAGAACATGGATCGCCCACTTCGCAACGCCTTGATGGACCAAAGGGCCAATGGTGGTGGACGGCTCCTCTCTCTTCGCTGCAGAAAGATTCAGAAGATCTTTTGCACCAACAGCCATTAGTCTTTATAACTCTTGTGTAAATAGTAGATAACTGTTAGAGACATATTTTGTGAGACAACAGACAATTGAATTTCCCTTCGGAGATTAATAAAGTTATTCTTATTCTTTGAGGGCAGCAAGGGGTTTGCTAGGACTAAGCTTTTCAGTTTTAACAGGTTAAAAGTCTGTGCCTTACTTTTACAGCTAATTCGAGATCATTTACAGGTTAATGAGCTAGGCTTACAATTTAGATGTCAACCAAAGCAACCAAAGCAAACTTGGAAATATGTACATGGTTATTTAAATCTGGCAGAATTTCCCTCCATGAAAAATGTGTGCAAAGTTCTTTGAGGACAATTTGGCAAATTCAAATAACTGCACAGCAAACACATGTCCATAACGTCCATGAGAAATTATCCAAAAGGCACCAGTGTCTAAAGAGCAGACCTGCTCACCAATCTGACAGACTGGTTTAACACATTCTGTCATCATGGCACTGCATTACTGAACTCGGTTTTTGCAACCTTTATGTTGATACATGCTAAGATTTAAACTCATTTTGTTGTCTACTGTTTTTTCCTGCTAATTTGTTGCTTTAATTTTATGAATAAAAAAAATCAATCAAGCATCAAGTGTTGCAACATTATTGAAGTAATTGAAATCCTGAGGAGCACTTCAGTGTGTAAACCAGGATGTTTCAGCTAACTTGAAAGTTTTATGCGAGTCCATCCTGCTGATTTTTCAATTGCTTTTGAGCAGTTTTGAATCTGGGTGCAGGCAGAAATCTGAGGCCGGTCTTTAATCCCACTCATAAAATCTTTTTTTGTCTGCATGGCTGGACACCAAGAGGGTTGAGTGATGAAATATTTTTCCGCAATTTTGGTCAACTGACCCTAAGAATTTTAAAGGTTGCTAGTAAACGATGTGTTTCAGTGTCGAGTGGCTGAGTTGTCTTGAACTGCTCCACTCCTATCTTCGATTTTCCATCATAATAAATGTCACACGCAGCTGAGTCTTTGTCATCGGGGCCAAATAGTGTTCCAGGCAGCTGCAAGTGTACGGTTTGGAGCCCCACACAGGAGGAATCTGTCTTGTAAACTGATATGGCTGCCCAGCCATGACCTCAGCCTGAAAGCATGAATGCTCAGCTTGATCTGTGGGTTTAAAAGCCCAGCTTTGCAGGATAACTGAGACTAATTATTATGTGTCTCAGAGGAAAACAACAGAAGGCTCAGAGATGGATGGATGAAAGGAGTGTCAAAGCAGCCTGCATGTCTTTTTCTCTGAAAGGTGAAAGATTCACAGCTTGGATTCTCAGTGATTTGTGAATGATTTTGCATTACATAACTGAGCCATCAAAGCATGGTTTGGCTTTCTCTCTGCCTGAAAGAAAGACTGAATAACTTCTCATATTTCGCTGTTTGAACTCTGTGCATGAACTACAATAAACTCAAACTCCCAAGATGCCAAATAATATTTTCCCCCTTTCAGCAGCAGATGATTTCTGGTCTCATCTTTTAACAGCAACAGATGTAGACAGGCGGTTCTCCAGCAGGCCATCAGGAGTGACAGCCTTATGATCCTGGTGATGTACACACTGGCTCACGTCATGCAGATGGCAGGTGGTCTTTTCCAGGAAAGCTCTCCTGGCGTCCCTCTGGGGTTAGGAGTGGGGATAAGGGGGCACTGGTTCCCCTGAGGTTTCAGCTGTGAAAGGGTTAAATTGATAAGAGCTCACACTCTGCTCCGTCCATTAGCTTTAAATACTGCAGGACTGATGTTGATGTAATTGGAGTTGAGAAGAGTGTGATCATCTGCAACGTCTTGAGTATTAAAGGTATGATGCCTACCATTGTTGTTTTATTCGATTAAAGGATTTTATTTTTTTTTTTTAAGTGGGGTTGTATGAGGTACTTGTCAATAGTAAATGTATTAGTGACAATGATCCCTTTTGTTGGGAGGCAAGTGGAGGACTTAGACAGATGCTTGGCTAAAGCAAGGCAAGGCTAATTTTAAAATTCATGACAGCCTGATTCTTAAGTTTCTTTTCCATGAAAGACCGTTTGATGCATATCAAAAGTAGGGGGACAGGCTTCTTCAGTTTCCTGGTCCTGGTAAAATGACTCTGCTTACTGGGAAAATAACGATTATGACCATCATTTCTGTTACACAGAACGCCAACACTCTTCCCACAACAAAAATAAAGGGGTGTTCGCTGTGACTTTTGATAAGTTGACTGAAATTCATATTGATGCTTTTTATGATCTATGACAACAAGATTGGTAATTTTGATGTAGTGATCTGCTCTTAAAAAAACACTTCTCTTCAAAAGCAGAGAAGTTTTTAGCCTGCTTGAATCAGTCCTGATTAATTCATAACTACATCAAATGTTCACAAGAGCTGGCTTGATCTTGTTAATTGGTGCTATATAAATAAAGATTGATTGATTGATCAATTTTAGCATTGCAGAGGTCGGCATGTTTCTGCTATATCACAGAACAGACACACAGGTAATATACCTGTTTTTGTATTTAGTGAGTTCTTGAAGTGAAATGTCTGGAGGACACAAAGAGTTGTATTAGTATAGTACCATTGATAGAAATGTGTGTCACTACAGTGGATTGAATCTTCCAGCTGACAATGAAAGGTCTGCCTGTATTTCAGCAGTGGGAGTGCTGTTAACTTGTTTACCCCCCCAACCTTTAATCGGGCAACTACAGAAAGGCAAAAAATATGAGGCAGATACAGCAGGGATGATATGCACCCCGCACTCCAGGGACTGAGATGCAAGAAGTACATCCAGACATGGACTATGATCTTTCACTTTATACTGATGCTAAAAACTAGTGCAGCGATTACCCTGTGGTTGCTTGTTTTGGAATCCTATCATAGCAAACTGAGTTTTTGTTGAGTTCATTGATTCATTCACCAGGGGAATTAGGGTCAAGCCCAGAAACAATGAGGCCTCTATAGTTTACATCTCCATTTGTTTTGTTCTGTTTCAGTTTGTTATAACAAAATAAATTCCTAAAGTGTTAACCGACTTAACAGAATTAACACACTTCGTTTTGGTTCATGACAAAGGACAAAGTTTAGTCATGATTTGGAGTGAGAGTGGGATGAAGACTGCTGATCAAAGGTCAGGTCCTGATCTAAAAAAAAAAAAAAAAAAAAAGTGGGCAGTTAAAGCTCTATATATTCAGTATGACCTATTGGTATATCTAAAGTTTGAGGTGTTTTTTAAAAACATGTTCAGGAAGGTGAGCACAAGATTTAGCGTTGAAAAAAAAGCAGTCAGTAATAAGATTTGCAACCTGAATAACAAAAATAAAATAATCAAAATCTAGATTCTTTCCAGCATTAAATGCACAAAAGTGCTTAAAAGTAAATTTAAAAAAAAAAAAAAAAACCCTGAAGCACACTTTCTAAAATAAAGCCTTAGAGATATCAAATTATTTTGCAAGAATTTTATTAACACATCACTTGTTCTCACAGCAACATAATCTTTAGGAAAATGGTCAATAAGTCTGGTTAGTACTTCAGTACTGGTGCAGAATTGAGACCAAGACAAAGAATAAAAATGGTCAAATGGTATTTTTCCCCCACAAATTTTCCTAAATATGCAAAAATTCAGTCTAAAGAAACCATTTCAGTCAGCACAAGGACATCTGAAGCTCAGACGCAAGCAACTTCAAAAGGAGGTCTTAGAGCAGCCTCTAGTGGCGGATTCAAAGAGGACAAGGGAGAAAACATCTGGTCTGAACCATTTAATACACATTTTAAAAAAAAGACATTTAAGAATGTAAGATCATTTAAAAGAATTGCTGTACATTTTACACAGTCACTGCCATACACACATTAAGAGAATATGCAAGAGAAATCAGGGCCACGTTATCCAATGACCCCCCAGCATTACTGACTATTTAAAAGTATGCCACAAGTTTTAAAATGGCGTACACTTGAGCAACCGCACTACACTATAGAGACTTGCAGGCTCAAAAAGATAAGGGCAAACGTCAGTGGTAGTATGTCAAGGATTAAAGAAATGTGTTCAACGAAACACGTCAAGATGGCCAAGGTAGTGCATTAATTGACAGTTAACGCTATTGCATTCTTAAAAGATTGTAGTTGGCAAAGTTGTGTGTAAGACAAGGTGGCAAATTAGGCGACATGGTTTGATGTCACCAAAAGAGAAAGCCAAATTTTAAAGCCAACCAGCTTTGGTGGGGAAAAATTAAAACTTGTGGCATGCTTTCCAAAATAGTCAGTAAAAGAAAAACGGTTTTTCAAAACATGCAAACCACTGATTGTTCTTCAGATCCCTCAGTCATGTTTAAAAGTTTTAAGTTAACTATATAAATCAGCACATGGTGCTTAAAACAGTCTTCTCACTGGGTGAGTTGCTTTGCAAGATCCTTGACCAGTGAAGACTTGAGCTGAGGGATTGCTGCAATTCGCATCTGCTTGGAGGTCGAGTACTTTCCTTTAATAGCCTGCAGACAAAGAATGAATGTTAGCTAAAGTGTATCAAAATTCAGCCAATGGCATTCACTACAATCATACGTCATACATACCACGTGTTTGGTCAGCCCGTCATTCACTTTCACAACATTCTTTGCGATGTGCGACATTACAGGAATCAAACTCTCTGCTGTGTAGTCCATGTAGTGCTGCAGTGTCACGTCCTGAAGAAACAAACCAGAAAAATGTTTGCTTTTTACACTATTAAAAAAATAGAGATGCTGTCATGTCAGTGCTAACCGATTTTGATGCAAATGTTAAAATCATTTAAAAAAAAAAGAAAAAAAAAAAAAAAAAAAGTGCATATTAACAGTAGAATCTGTAATCAAGACGCAAAATTGTGAACAGCGCTGCTGCACACTTAAGTCTCAAAAAAAGGTCCTAAACTCTTTCAATGTGTTTACCATTTTTGCAAAGGAGGGAAAATTGCAGATATTTCACAGAAATATAATACATGTTAAGAGTGTACTTCAAACAGGATGGTGGGTCCAGTAACCATTATCCAAACTCACCCATTCACCAGCATCCAAGATCTTAAGAGTCAGAGCCAAAGCAGCACTTGCCACCATGGATGGTGGGAAGTGAACCATTTCATAGTCCACCATGGTGAGCTCTAGGAGGTATTTTGCCAGGGTGTGTTGCTCAGCAGTTACCTGAAATGAGTCATGCACAGAAAAGATTAACAAATGATAATTCAGTGAACAAAGCAATCACCAAATCAAATCCTGATATTAACCTCGTAAATCTTTGAAGCTCTTCTGAGGAACTGCAGGGGGAGTGGGCGGCCCAGTTTGAATTTAAGAACCCGGAGGATTGTCATCTCCATGTCTCTGATCTGGGCGGTGGTGTAGGCACGGTCCGTCACATAGGCAAAGTCTGAGATCTCCGGGGGATACATCTCCTCGTATTTGGAAGCAAGGAACATGGCGGTCACACCAACCAGCTGAAGCTGCTTCTTGGGGACTGGGTGCTCCTGTTGAAGGTGAAATCACATAGAGATCAGGAATTTTATACAGATAATAACCCCTACTCATTGATTTGTGAAAGACACTTACCTGAAGAAAGCGGTCAATGATTCCTACAGTCATGTACATCGTCTCCTGCAGCAGACGGAACTTTAGGTTTACTTGCACCAACCAGTCAATGAGAATGGCACGCATGTTTCCAGTCACCTCCTGACCTTGCAGGTAAGAGGCTCTGACATCTTGTTCCACCTGAGAAGAAACAAACCTTTATTAATCCTAAAAGGAGGCCAGAAAGACAACAGGGCGGTTATCTCTTAACTGATAATACTTTACCTCAAGCTGCCTCAGGTACTTATAGATGTCCTTAACATATTCACTGCAAAGCATGGTGTTGTTATAGTCATCTGCATCCACATCCCTGACAGCTGTGTTGAGAATGACGTCTGAAAAAGCTTGACAGAGGTCTGCAGGCTCACAGCCTGAGGTTTCCATTGGAGTGGGGGATGATGGCTCAGGCTGTAGGATCAAAATCCAAACAGAAGAAGATCATGCAAACTGAAGCACCACACCCAACCAGCCGAGTAGCTGCTGTTTGTACCTTAAAAGCCAAACAGCTTACCTGCACCTCAGGCTCAGCGGGAACAACATTTTTGGGTTTTGGTGCTTCGACAACTGCTTTTTCAGCTTTGATGGGGGCTTTGGTCTTTGTAGCCTTTGCAGTAACAGCCTGAAAATGGAAAGGGGAAAATTAGTGGAATCAAACAGCAAAACTTCTAACATTATAGTTTGGGGCCATCTTGAGAACAAGTGTGGAGATTTTCAATTTCACTTTCAAATCAATATATCTGCAGATATTTCCTCACCTAGTATCAAAATAGTGTTTAAAAGTAATCTCAACAGTGGGCTATTCGGCTGCTCTTATTCTAGTGCTCTCTGGCTTCTCCATGATACAGACAGTTTATCAAATTGAATAAACACCTTCAAGTTAAATGCAACAGCAAGCAAAGAGTTTTTACACGGTACAAGTTTTGTCTTTCATGAGTACTTTCTTGCTTTGAGTAATTTAAGATGCTCTAGGCTTTTTGCATGTGCATACTTTCAACCAAAAACCATTGAGACGCCTTGTGAAAATGAGCCTGCAAATTATTGATGGAATTTTAAGTGGAGTCGAGAGTTTGATTTATAGCAAAGCACACTGATTCTGACATATGAGGCGCAATTGAAATCAAACTATATTTGTATTACAATCTCACCTTTTTCAGCGGTTCTTTGTTGGCAGCAATGTTTCCTATTTCGCCCAGTGCGGCTCGAGGCTTCAGTCCAGGCCCGGTTACCGAGCAGCCCTTTCCACCAAGATCAGACCTGGTAGAGGCCAAACGGTTCTGTAGGAGGGGAATAGAGTATAAATAAGAGTATTATTTTAAATGCATATCTGGTTAAACAAAAATACAATGTCGAGTCTAAATCCAATTCCTTCTAGGAGGGGCTGCACGAGAGGAGTCCTCATATCTGCGCACGAGGACATTTCACAATTCACATTTAAATAAATACGTTCAAAAGACGAATTTATTCTAAAAGTATATTCAGTGTGAAGTAGATGAAAGACAAATAAGAAGTATGAAATCACTTACCCTAGTCACTCGATAAGCCATTTCGATGTGAGCGTTGCTTCAACAAAAAGACAGAGAATCGTAATGGGGGAAGATGCGGATCAGTTTTTAGCTTGTACGCCTTGGTTTAAATCCTCGCACGCTTCACGTTGATTCGCTGCAACAGGGATATCCTGAGCATCTGATTGGCTGAGCGCATCTGTTTCAAATGCATTCCCAGGACAACCATTGGTCACGTGGTTTAGATTTTCGTTCACTTCCTTTTCCTGTTACTTCTGGATTTTCATTCTTCATCCGTCCAAAAAAGTTTCACTACAAAAGGTTATATTCAAAAATGTAAATTTATCAGCTAAACGAAACACATAAGTGACGGACATGTTTAAGAATATATAGGTGATATGTTATAAAAGCCACGAGATTGTGTTAAAAAAAAAAAAACTTTTTACTGTACAGATTCAGAGATGAAAATAAAACACTTTTATTGATAGATCGAAGTCGTAGTATATATTTCAATGAAACAGCGATGCAACAGTGTTGATATAGATCATATATGCAACATTAACCATACCAGTAAGTAAAGATATAGCCTTCAAAGGATAATATTCAAGTAAAACGTTGGCCTTGAAACATTGAAGCTCGTGTAATTTAATTTATTTATTTGACCAGGAATGTCCCATTGAGATTAAACCCTATTTTTAAGGGGAATCCTGGCCAAGAGGCAGCAACAAGTTACAAATCAACTATGACATAAAAATTAGATAAAACAGTTACAGGTTAGAAATACTACTACTTCTACTACTACTACTACTACTACTACTACTAATAATAATAATAATAATAATAACAATAACAATAATAATAAACTTTACTTATATAGCACCTTCCAAGAGCTGTTGTCAAAAAGTGCGTCACAGTCATTACTTAAAAAGTATACAAAGACATGACATAAACATAAACAAATAGTATACTAGCAGCCAAGTCCTGGTCATACAAAGGCAAGTAGATTATTGGCTGGGCCATCTTGTTGTGGGAAGGAACATCAAGTGATTCACGCAATAGGATGGCCCAGCCAGGCTAGATTATTGGGTCTCCAACTGCTTTATGAAAGTATCCACAGGGTCCAAAGTTCTCAGCTCAAGAGGGAAACAGTTTCAGAGCAAACAACTCCAACGCACAGTCTTTCGCACAGTTTTCCAGCAATAAAGAATCTCTTAAAAGAAGATCACTTTTGGATTTATGATTACTAATTAAAGAGATAAAGTTTTAAGCATCGTTAGAAAACAAATTTAGATATGCCCATAAATGTAAAACTCAAGTTTTGGATAATATTCAATGAGTTTCTGTCTTACATCAAATCAAATCAAATTTTATTTATATAGCGCCAGTTCAGTCTTCATCCCAAGATGCTTTCCAAAGAAAAAGAGTCTAGACCACGCTTATTGTTTGATGAATTATCAAGACCCAATCTAAGATGGGACAGATTTGGCAGATCTCATCTAACATGAGTAACAGTGGCAAGGAAAAACTTCCTTTTAACAGGCAGAAACCTTGGGTATGACCAGACTCATGCTAGACAGCCACCAGGCAGCTGCTGGGTTGGGGAGGAATACAGAGAGATAGGGGGAGAGAGAGAGAGAGGTGAGTAGGAGAGAGGGCAGGGGGAGAGAAAGAGAACAAGATAGAGGAAAGGAGACAGAGAATAGGTAAGGGGGAGAGAGGGAGAGGAGAGAGAACGAGGGTGAGAGAAAGAGACAGGGGACAGCAGCAACATTAAAACAACAGCAACAACAGCTCATCCAATGATGAAACAAAATGAATTCAGTTTACAAGATTAGGATATAAGTAATTATGGACTATGTTAAATTACTTTAATGTGAATACAGTCAGAAGGCCTAATAGTAGTTAACTCTAGCTTTATGTTATAAATGTCGGTGAGGCTGATGTTCATGTCTGCAGCAACAGTCCAGAGGAACCCAAGAGAAGAAGGAGCTCAGGGCCTGCGGCGGACAATCATAAACAATGCAACTGGAGTCAAGCAGGTCTGCAGCAGCCAACCGTCTGTAGCATCAGTCCAGAGAAACCTAGGAGACTGGGGGGCTCAGAGACATACAGAAAGATCTGGTTAGCAATTAGATGGAAGAAAATGACTTCAATGTACAGGATAATGAAATAACTAATTATGGACTATGTTAAATTAAATCAAGGTGATTAAAGTTGGCAGGTCCAGTGGCAGTTTACTCTAGTTTTATTTAATGGATGTCAGTTAGGCTGACGTACATGTCTGCAGCAACAGTCCAGAGGAGCCTAAGAGATGGAGGAGCTTATATAAAGGATTCAGAGCCTCTGAAGTCTCTTGATGTGAAATTTTCACTATGTGCACATTAGAAAATACATAAAAAGTTTAGTAATAATCATTGACAATTGCTGTACGATTACTCAGCTGGGACAAGTTAAATATCTTGATATTGTCTTGTTGTCATAAGACCTGCCACAACAGAACTATAGTGTGCATACAAGTTTTGATCTTTTGGTAAAAAGTCAATAATCATGTGTGCAATACCATGCGAGCAGATTTACTTTTTGGACACCAAAATATGTTCAATAGAATCATTTTATGCTCACAGGATATGAACTTGTGAACAAAAGATGCCACCTTTTTCCTACACGGGGATAATTTGTGTGTACAAGATAACTTTTTAAAATTGAATAATTATAATGATCAAACAATAGTTGACTTGTTCCCACAGGACAAAGAAGTGTTAGCACAATTTAAGTTTGCCTATCTTGTGCGCACAATATGATAAATTGTAATTTTGGGGGATTACAGGTACTCTGCATAAAGGCCAAGTTATAAAGGAAGCATTTAATGATAATAATAACTTCATTTTTATAGCACTTTAAAAAACAGAGGTTTACAAAGTGCTTTGACAAACTGTCGTAAAGCGTCAGCATATGAAAATAAAAACAAATAAAAAACAAAAGCTCAGTTACAAACAAGGCATCCGAATTAAAGGCCAATTTCATTTATCATAAGAAACCCAGACAATACAAGAACCCTACAACGTAAAATGAGACCATGAGGACCAAAATAAAAACATAAAATAGGTAAGAAGAAGAAATGTTGAAAGCAGGAAAGAGGATATTAAATATAAAATGATGATATTCATAATAGTAATAAAATCATAATTAAATAATAATGATGGTAATGATAAAATGGAATAACATAAATGAGCAGGAAAAAATAAAATAAAATCAATAAAAGGCCTAAAAGGTTAAATAAGAAAAGATTATAAGTAAAACAAAGGCTAAAAGGACAATAAGTCTAAATAGGATAGAGATAAAAGAGATAAAAGAGAAAAGAAAAAATAGAGCGTATCTTATCTCATTATCAATTTTTGTTTTAATAATTTTTCTTATTGTCTTGCTGCCTTAGATATACACGTCTCCTTTTAACATTGGTCGACTTTAAGATGTCAGTGCACAACTGTTTACGATGATTGTCGATCAATTAAGAGGGAGGAAAGTACCACAGCGTCAAAGTTATGTCCTGTTTACTCGGTGGAAGAAGTAGGTGTAATGTCCTTTAATAGTCTGAAATCTTTCGTGGCTGTACTCCAACACACATGCCTTCCAATCACAGGGTCACAATTTCCGTGACGTCCGCCGGAAAGGGAGAGCACGTAAACGCACCACGTAAAGCAAAACAGATGCCACCACAAATCAGCGACAGAGGACGTCAGCGAAACTGGCCGATCGGAGCCCGTCTGCCTGAGAAGATAGACGAGAAAGGCACAAACAACAAGGACGTACCGAGACGGGACTAGTTAATAACCTCCACAGTTAAAGAAGCGGTTCTTCAATCCAGAGGGTTAACGGGAATTTTACTTTTTTTTCCAGAATTAAGAGGTAAGTTCAACAAATCTAATGTAACCAAAACGAGCTAGTCTAAGTGACTGGGAAGTTTCTGAACTAAACCCTACATCAAAAATAGAATTGATCTGAATTTGACAGTTTACCTTGTAATAGTTGATATTGAATTTGTGTGCAGATCGAGAGAAATTAGAAAGGTTAGTTATTTTTTTTAACACGTGTCGGTGAAAACTTTAAATCTCCATGGCTAGGTTGCTGTAAACTGAGCACAACTTTCACTCTTAAAGTTGTAAAATTTATGTTTCCCGATTGATAAAAAGCTATCTGTATGTGTTTTCTCTTTAAAACGTCCAATAGGTTTACAAATTGATTAAAAATCGACATACATCTTCTCAATCTTTAATCTGCTAGCACTGAGAGCATCTGAGGACTTGCTGAAGTTAAAATCTTGCTGGCATTTTAAGGCTTTACTTACATATCATTCGCCAAACAGCATATATTTCACTAACATCTTTTACATGGTAACATTGAACATTAAACTGTCTCATATTATGTCTTTTGGTCGTAGTTTGTCACAGCAGCCCACAAAACAAAGAACAAACAAAGCGAGTGCAACAACATGCTAAGATTAGCAGTTAGCATGCTAACATTAGCGAGATCACGAGAACCTGCTCACACGGCAATTGTGGTTAAATTTCACGAACAATCGAGCCTTAAGACTTAAACGTGTAACTCTGAGTATTCCTTTATGATTCTTGTTCGTGTTTAAACACGTCTTGGTTGAGATTATATCAGTGTTTCGTGTCCGTGTAACTTGGTTGCCGTTAGCTCGCTAGCATGACTCAGTGGATTTGTGGAAGTGACACCACCGTGGCCCAGTGTTTGTCAAGAGGATAACAGCCCATTTCAATCATCTCTTATCTTAAATTCCTTCAATTTGGCACACAGACTGGGACTTTGCTCCTCTTTCTGACACTGTTCAGGTTTTAATCCACAAATTATAGTGTATTTCAAGTTGCACGACATCAACAATAAAGTGAGTGGTTCTGGCTTTTGTCTGCGTGGAAGAAAATCACGACTTTTAATAATAAAATAAAGGTGTTGTGCTCAACTTTAAATGCCAGGATATACAGCAACCAGCCAGATCATAATGGACACTTAGATGCAGTCCAGTTCAACAGTTTCTACCTTAAGGAAGCTCTAATATTTTAGGTTTTGTTGACATGATTACATGGATGATTATTATATCCCACATCTATTTTTGAAGATGTAGTGGGTGGTGTTTTACAGGAGTGAGTGATACTAAAAAGTGATCCTTATGTATGTCCACCTGAAACAAGAGTGAAGCAAAACATTAGGTACACGTTTCTATGTGATGCACTTCCAACATCTGCTCCAGTTTAAACAAGCGTTTATAGATAAAATATCACCTGTCTGACCATATAAATAAACACAGAAGATGTAAAAGCTTCATGAAAGTAGATGTTATGGAAGAGCCATAGTATTTGTTACATTAGGCTGCCTAGGTCAACCTAATGCCATGACAGGTGAGTGTATTTTCTGGCTGATCAAACACTTATTTCCCTCTTTTTGTTCAAACTCTGATAGCATCTTTGATTGGACATCCTACTTTGACAGGGATACAACTCCTAGCATGACACCGGCTCTGTGTACAGGACTCTAGAGGTTATCTATAAATAGAAGTGATCACAGTGTTACTGTATTGAGGTAACTCGTGAATGTGTATGTGTGTGTGCGCTCCTTAGGGATCACAGTGTCACATTGCACTCCTGTGACAGGAAAGCCACCATACACAGGTCCATGTGAGCTTGGAGCACTGCAGTCTGCAGGCGCACACACGTGAAGGTAGCAAGATGCTGATATCTGGTATATTGATTTGAAGAGGTGGAAGCTTGGGAGGCAATTCACCAGAAGCTGAGTCTGATGATGCGAATGATTTCCTTTTTTGGTTGTTTTAGGCAGTTGTTTTTAAAAGACTGAGATAAGAACATGTCTTTTATCAAAATCGTTGTTGAAATACAAATTTAACATTATGCTGTAGTAGACATACATGTTCTCCTATAGGCCTAGGGTCAAGTCAGATTTCAGCTCCTGTGTTGACTCTATGCCTTAGTATAAGCCAAAGGTCCTATAGCCATTCACTCAAGCAGAAGTCCATGTATGTAGACTGAAGTGCACCTCCCCTAAAATATAACTGCACCCTGAAATAATGTAAAATTATTATGGTGTGGTCAACTGCTGCTAAACATTCATCAGCAAGCTCAGGTTCAGTCAACATGGTTTTCTATTCACAATGACTTGGAGGAACATCATACAAACTATCATTGGTATCACTTTCCCATTTTAACCCTTTGTTTACTGTACCCACACCACACTTATAACTTTGCCCTTTGTCCTTTTGTTTGTGTGTCCAGGTCAGCTTAGCAGGCGGTAGGCATCGCTATGGCCCAGGAGACCAATCAAAGCCCAGTTCCTATGCTCTGTCCAACTGGCTGTGGTTTCTATGGCAACCCTAGGACTAATGGCATGTGCTCTGTGTGCCACAAGGAGCACCTGTCAAGACAGAACAATGGAGGAGTCAGCACTTTGAGTCCTGTGGGTAAGTCCTGCTGGGTCTGTCTCGGTGTGCTTTTCTTTTTGTTTCCATGCGAACATTGAACAAAACTCTGGGCCTTTGTGTCTGACTGTACCATGTGGTACTATGTTCTTCTTCAGGCAGCAGCAGCGGATCCACAGCTGAAGCATCTGCAATCCAGAGGTTAGAGGCTACTCTGAATAACGCAGCAGCTGCTGCAGTTGCTGCTGCAGAGGTGGCAGCTGAGGCCGCCGCGTCAGCTGAGGCTGCAGCCGCTGAAGCTCTCAGGTGAGGAGAGGGTTAATCATTCTGCCTCATTACAAACCTTCTCAGGGTTTAGAAGCAGAGAATTCAGCATATTACTTAAAATCATTCAATCTGAAAAGATATATCTCTAGCAGCATCTCTTGTAGTAGTTTCTCCTCATCAGATGAAGGCAGTGGGTTATCTGTACCATATCCAAATAACTCTCTTGCAGTGTTCAGCCTTTTAAACACCTTTTTTTTTACCCTTCACAGTGGGGTTTCAACAGCCATTTCTGTAACACAACAAATGACTGAGATGAGTCTGTCCTGTGAGGAGAAAGGGGCATCGGGAAGCAAAGTAGAGCTCCCAGAGCCAGGTAGGTGCCTAATGTAGACGTCTCTACGTATCGGAGGATATTCACTGTGTAGATGGTTCTCACAACTGTGAGAACTAACTGAGGCGAACAGTGTAACATTCAACCTGGTTTCACTGCTGGTCACATTAGTGACAGAAGGGCAGTATAATTTCAGTCAGTCGGATAAATAATGTTCACACAGAGAGAGGGGGAAAATGAAGAGTTGGTCACTGCTTAATGCTTTATTGTGTTCAAGTTTCAGGAGTAAAAACACTCATGGTGATGTAAAATGAAGATTGTGACCAGTGTTTTCGCTGACGCCGACAAAAATATTTTAGAGACAAAAATTTCGTCAACACCCCTTTTTTTTCCACGATGAAGACGTGACGTTGACGAGCTAACCACCAGTCTTAGATGACTAAAATGTGACGAGACAAATGTGTGGTTACCTTGAGATGAGACGAGACTAGACGAAAACTTGGACGACGAACAGAGTTGCAAAATTATGAGCATTTCGTCAGTCAAACGCTTAACATATAGGAGCAGCTTCAGTCCGCTCTGACAGCTGTCATCAGCCCGCTGTGCTCCTCCAACACACAGACACCAGTGTTGTCCTCACTGACAATGACGCAGATGAATTATTTTCGTCAACGTCAACGAAAACAACACTGATTGTGACTCAACTGGTTTTGAGTCCCCAGGAACTAGGGCTCTTTCTTGGTACCAGAGTCTAAACTTAGTTTTGGGGTAGACAGTTTACCTCTTGAAAGCCCCTGCCCAGAGGGGTCATATTTTTTCATGGCCCAGACTTTAAGAGGCAGACCCTGATGATCTATTTTACATAGAAAAAATAACATGTTTAGTATACATGTAAACTTGCCCCCCTCCCCTGATAGGGATGCAGACAAAATGGGCCAAAGGAACCATTTAGTTCCCGAAAGAGAAGTCCCTGGAACTAAAAGTCGTTATGGTTCTATTGGTTGAAAAGCACCTGTATTACACCGTCTTGCTTAATGTAGCCTCTTCACACACTACAACTCCACAACAGCGCTAAAACAAAGTCCTGCCATCACTATGCTTAGTACATCTTACCCGAAGCAGTGTAATATTGGTGTCCCAGTGTGTGATTTCACATTGCATTACGGCATTGCAGAAGCAAGGTCATAGCCAGGAGTGCCACATACACACACTCAGACATGCACACCCACACAGTGCTGCTCCACCCTGCCAGCTACAATGCTGCTATCTTCCCCTCATTTTACCTTTACGATGACCTCAGAGGGCTTACTAGAGGTAGCAGATATTGCCTCACCATTGAGGCCCTGCCAACAAGAAGTTAAAGAAGCACAAGTACCCTGCTTTAAAATGGCAGAACATGAAAGTCAATCACTAAGTATGGGATTTCTTCCTGATATTGATCTTTAACAGTAGTAGGGTGATTCCTCTCCTCAGTGAGCAGGGTAGTTTCATGGCGTGTATGATCCATCATACACTTCTACTCTGCTAATTTTAGGACTTTGCATAAAAGCGTGCGCAGCAGTCGAAATCTTTTGTTTTCAAGCACATTGAGTCATTTTTCCTGTGTGTCTCCAGTGTTAAATCAGCCCACATCCTCAGCCTCCCATCCCTCCACTGCTGGCAGTGAGGATCCCAAAGCCCCAGAGCCTCCCAAACCCAAGAAGAACCGCTGCTTTATGTGCCGTAAAAAGGTTGGCCTTACAGGTAAGCCATGACACACTTAGCTGAAGCACTATCATTAGGAAATGTCACAGACAGCCACAGGCTTGTTCTCGTTCTCCTGAGTTTATACCAAGCTCAAAATAGAAACACTGGATTAATTCAGCGTTGATTGTCTCTAACTATTTATCAGCTGGTGTGTTGTTAGGTGTCTAAACTCCTTGAACCAGTTTCTGTGTCTGGAAGATTAGATTACCCTGGGTAGCTGCCATAGAGCTGGCTGAGAATACAATACAGTTAGGTCAAACTGAAGTCATGGCAAGCTTTGCTGTTCTTTTCATATCTCCACAAAGTCCATCAAAGCCTATTGTATTTCTAAAAAACAATTGAAATCATAGAAACTGTACAGTGAGTAACATTTGTAGACTGGAATAAAATTTCAACAAGGCTTTACAGAGAAACAATGAGCTGAAACATCACTGCTGCTTTGAGTTTTTTATTATTTTCTTTTTCTATTTCATTTTATGACCTCTTGCTTTGACAAGTATTGCAAACTTTAGTCATAATGAATATTTCCAAATTGTAAAAACTGAAATAAACCAGGAATAAAATACCTAAGATTTGAAAATGAAAGTTTAAATGTGATAACAGTTTGCAGTGTTTCAAAATGGGTTTGGCAGATATACCGTGCAGAACCTGCCAAAAGAATCATCTGCATCCGTCACACTGTTTTTCAGCACAGTCCTTTAAATGTTATTAATGGCTGTTTTGCGGTTGTGAGGACCTGTCATTAATCTAACTTTGTCCCCCCGCTGTGGTATTTCAGGTTTTGACTGCCGCTGTGGGAACCTGTTCTGCGGGATCCATCGTTATTCTGATAAACACAACTGTCCGTACGACTACAAAGCTGAAGCTGCCGACAAAATCCGCAAAGAGAACCCCGTGGTCGTTGCTGATAAGATCCAGAGAATATGAAGAGGACTCTCAGTTTGACTTTAAACACTGGGAGGAATCGACTTTACAAAATGGATTTGAGCCCAATCTTCTTCCTAAAGGATCTTTTCTTGTTTCCCTTTTGATCATTTCAGGACTATTTCTCCCAGTGCATGAGAGTTCAGTTCCCTCTTTTCAGCTTTTATTCTTGTTTGCGTGCGAGTTGAAAACTTTTGAAAGTGGTATTAAACAAATAAAAATGTGTATGTAAGGATTGAAGAAGTGACTGAGGGAGATTTCAGAGGAAAATATGGTCCTTTAAGATAAAATGCTGTTCGGGTCTATTTTGTGATCCTCCTGGGGTGTCTTGAACTCTGCCTGGAAGGAGCTCGGACATTTGGGCCTGATCGGACTCTTTGACTGTTACTGCTGTTGGCTGATTGTGCCGTGTCAGCCGTGCTTGCTCTCTGCTGGCTTGAGTAGCAAAAATGTACTTTTTGTCCTTATTCCTTTTGTGGCCGCAGTCTAACCCTCCGTACTTGTCAGACTTTACGTCCTGGTAAGTTTTTATCAACCTGAAAAGCTTCTCTGTGCCGCTGGGATCTCATTCACGCTGGTTTCCCTATTCAGACAAAAGACTTTGAAGAAAAGACTTTGTTTGTTGCTGGCTCTTTTCTTGCTGGCTCATGTTCTTTCCCCTCCTGCTGTGTGTGTGTTTGTGTGTTAGTGTGTGAATGTGACACCAGAACCACAACCCAGTTTCACCGTCTTCTTGTTTCACCCTTCTGTTGATCCTGGGCTAAATGCTGTGACTCGCTTTGTGCCCTGGATCTGGACTGCAGGCACATGAACTTCCTGCTTTCGTCGGTCTTTAAACCCATCCACTGAAATCACATGACGGTGCACGTCACCTGACCTTTTTTCATTTAATATTCGTTTCCTGTCGTTGTTTTCCAGAGAAGAGCGAGTATGCTGTGTTGTTGTATGACAAGTAGCCTAAACTTGTATTAATTTTTGCCTTTTTGGAAGGGTTTAGATCCACTAATATTTTCATCTTTTACTTCACTGTTGAATGTTTTCCTACATTTTTTTTTAATGTGAGCTGACAAATTTCCGTTGGGAGTGTTGGACTGTTTCATAAACCACAAGTGTGTGTGCGTGTATGTGTGTGTGTATGACATACTGTATGAGGCTAAATGGTCGTGTTGCCGCTGTGACTTAGTGAGGCATGTGGTCCTAGTTATTAATTTTCAGTATGGCTGCTTAATCAGTTTGTTTTGTTTTTTACTCTTTAGTTATGCAAGTTTGTACAAACATCTTTATTTATATACTGCAGTGCGCATAATCCTTCAATAAAAGAGAAATAATTGTGTGATGTAAATAAATTATGTTCACAAATATATAACATCAGTTATTTTTGGTCTCTCATTTTAGTACATTGACTCTGTTAGTGTCAACTGAATATAATCAACTTATTGCTGTTGTTCTTTTACACTGAGGTTTGACCAAGCCAATTCTGTGGCCTTAGTTTCACAAACATCATTTCGCTTTTCCATTTGTGCAAAAACACGAGTTTTCCCAGAATAGGCTCAGATGTTCAGTGAAACATCCCGTGGACATTTCCAGGCTGCTGTCTGTCAGTTTATCTGCCACCGCTCTGTGCCTCCATGTGACTCATGTCTCTGCAGGGGGAAACTCGATCTGCTGCAGCAAGTGTGGCCTCAGGTCACGTTCTGACACCCGCTGCCCTGCCTCGCTGTGAGAACTGTGTTTTCATACACACACGTGCAGAGGGTACTCATCCACTGACACAAGCATCACATGGTGTCATTAACACTCTTTCCTTCATCTCTGAGGATGAGTGGAAATACATATATCTTCTATACAGTGTATGACTGTAAATGTGCTGTTAGAATCAATGACTCTCAAAAAGTGCCGCACTCTACCAGAAAACATGCTTGTAGTTTTGTGTTGAGTTCACTTCACATACAAGCTGTCTTTGTTCAAACAGAAGGGGTGTTGTGTTCTTGTTTGGACTTTAGAGACCTGTTTCAGAGCTGACCTGTTGAAAACCTGCTCTATGTTCCTCCTTCATACCCATGTATTCTGTTAATGTGAGTATAGTTAGACCTCAGAAGCAAATACAAGTAAAACTGGCAGCACTTTCTATTACAGGCATATGTTTTAGACCTGGTTAATTATATTCTACCTTTACATCCGAACCATGTAAAGGTCAAAACAGTTTCCTGAAGCTGTCACAATTGGTACTTTCCAAAAAATGTTGCTAAGAAATTAAGGTTTGAGAATGAGCATAGAATATGGCGTTGTGTCAAGAACATTCATTTTATTCATGAAAAACCATTATAAAGCAAATATATCGTCTTAAAGATATATCTGATAACTTGTCATCATTCTCTTCTACTGTCACAGCAAAGTATCCTTCTGTGGGTGTGTTTTATTGAAAAGCCACTAGGAGGCACACAAGACCCATGCTTCCCCTCCAAGCATGTACCTGTTGGAGAGAAGCTTCATATTTCATTGTGAAGTTTGTGCAAAATGAAGAGGACGAGTGTGAAAGTCAGTGTCCTGGCCCTGCCAAACATAATTTATAAACGTGCAATGACAGTGAGAGTAGACTGAAGTTACAGTATTAAATGGAATATAAAATTTTAAAAGCAAATCAAACATTTATTCTCACTTGAAGCCTAATCTAATTTTCAGTTCTCTTGTGACAGATCAGCTGTAACACATCATTTACTTGTCCTGATCTAATAACTTTTAACTGCTCATGCAACTTTTATCATGATAGTGCATGATATATTGAATCAGAATGGTGTATTAAAATAGGCAAATATTTGGAACTTATTGCGAAGCCTACAAATGTGTCCAAATAAAAAACAAAAACAAATAAGATTGTTCGCCTTTACTCCCCAAGCTGCTGAAAGGAACATAATTTTTACAATTCACATGTAAAATGTGCTTTGCGTCCCTTGCCCCCCCAAAAAGTATCAAACTTTATACTTTATTATAATATATTTTATTATCCTTTAATACGCTATACTACTGTTGTGAAATGGTATGATGTTTAGTTGGATGATTTTTAGGTTTTCCTTTTTTGTGGATCTTTCTGTTTTCCCAAAATGTTTCTGCATTATAATTCTTATCATTTTTGTTTTTTTAAGCTTTTTTAAAAATGCTTTTGCAGTTCTCTGAACAGTTAGGTATCCGATGTGATCCTTTTATATCTAGTATAATATTTTTGGCACTCAGTGAGTTGTGCCTTGGAGTCATAAAATGTTTGTGCAGTGACCCTCAGGGCCACCGTAGCTGTTTGACCAAATGAAGGATAGAAAATGGTCCATAAAGGAAAAGTGTGGAGTCAGCATCATTAGCACAACCACACACAATCATGAAGTAAGATGGTGAGTCATTTCAAAAAGGGAATTTGTACAGATTGCTATATAATGTATGATTTAAATGTCTGTATTCAGCACCTGTGATATCTATACAGCTATAGCACATTTCATTTCACCCACAGTTTACATTGTTTGCGCTGTCGGGTTGCTTGTGATGTGACTACATGTGAACTAAATCAAAATTATAATCAAAGAATTCTGATACCAATAGTTTGATCAGGCTGTCATTCAAGCTTTCCGTGCATTTGGACCACCTATGTGTTAAGCAGGATCGCACTACATATGTCACCTTAAGTGCACTCACTTTAACATCAGCACAAGTCTTAAAAGGTGTGATCATCATCTCACCTGTGGGAACTGATGACCGTGTAATGGAATCGTTTTGGCCGTGGAAAACGAGCTCTACTCTATTATTTAATGAGGCTATGAGGTGTTTCTCTTTACAGTTTGCAGCTCTGCACACAAAGGTAGCTGCTGTCAGGCTCTGCTGCCAGCTGGCTGACTTCACTTCAGCCGTAATTTTATTGACAGATCCAAACAAACTTTACTTCAACTTCAAGGTCAACTAAGGGTATTTACTGTATGCCTAATGAGTCGCAGAGAAACCTAAACCTTCATTAAATCTTTAGGGCGTCTGGTCTACCACAGTAAAGGGGTTTCAAATTGCAAGAGGAGTGAGAGTGTCTTTAAGCACAGCACTTGAGATGATAGAGACATTATGGCCATTGTAGAAAATAAAGCAGGACCCAGTGTCAAACCTGTCTGACAAAGAAGAGCTTCTCTTAACGCTGTTTCATTTACCAAGGACCAATATGAAGCATTAGTGAGACTAATATCTGCACCATTATTTGGTAATTCTGACATTAAAATACCAGACAAAGAATAAAAGAGCCTCTCTGCTCAATAAACCGAGGGAGATCACCATCAAACTTATCCAAGAGCACCTGAATAGAGCAGGTCACATGCAACAGTCGTCATAGTGACGGCAGCATCAGATACCTGAGTTGGGTGCTGGCAGGGAGCCTAGGCAGAGGACAGCCAACCTTTTTTGGGGGTTGACCTAGGCGAACGTTGCAGAGGACACACGGGACGGACGCTGTTATAATTTTCCAAGATGCCGAGGAAAATTGATCAATCTACTTTGGATGAAGGTAGGACTGAAAGTTTTATCTATTTCTGAAATGTTGATGATGTAAAATACTTTAATTGTAAGAGGAACTAAATGCACTAATCAGTTTTGAGGAGGGAACGTTCTCCTGAATGAAACAACCTAGCACCATTTTTTTGTTTTTTTCTTTTGTTTTGTAAATGTCCTTAAACAGCATTAACTCACATTATCATTAAAAGTCCTACTTTATGCAACATTATTTAGGTGACCTACAAAGTTGAAAACTTGAGTCACTTGCTTTGGCCCCTTTCCAACCACAAAACATGGCATCCTTGTAACCGAAGCTGTTATCACTGACTCTGCTTTTGTTTCCACTGGATTCTACCTGACATTCAAGCTCAGGAGTTGGTGCTAAATTTCAGTTTTTATTAAGAGATTATTAGTATCATCCAGGTAAGCCTATATTTATGTTCATCTTAGCAATCAGCTTTATAAGTTTATAAAGGTTTTATTTTCATCTCTATCTTTTGCTTGTTTTTTCCTTTAAAGCTTGTATCTGGCCAAAAAGTTATAAAGCAGTATGAAAAGTATAAAGTAAAATAAAAAGTTGACCTAAGTTTATTACCTTAAGTACACAAGATTATGATTTGTGGGAACAAGAAAAATAGTTTTTGCACAAGATAACTACAGTATATTAGGTGCACAAGAAAGCCTAATTATCTTGTTGGGACGTGTATAATGATCTTGTTGTGACTTGTGTGCATTGTGTTATGTGCTAGAGATTTTTTTCCCCTCTGTATATGTTTGTGGACATAATATTCATAAAAATAAAAAAATAAAAACTTTTTTGGACTTCAGGGACTTTAAAATGTTAGAATATCTTATAAATTTTTAATATAAAGAACTGGATGATCGTTTAAAATGTACAGAATTTTAGAAAAGGAAAGCACTTTCTATGAAAAACAAAGATAAAACAGGCTAATATCTGACAGTCAAAGACTTTAATCATTTCCTTCCTACATGTAATATCAATTTTCCCACTTTTGTAAAAATGACCTTATCGTATTCATACTAATCTGTAAGCTAGTGCTGCTGGTGCTGTTAGCTAAATGCTAACATTAGGCTAACGATGGAAATGCTTACTCGCTGAAAGTCAAAGCAAGCTTTAGTTGTATTTTCCGAGGCATCAAAATCTGAGGCATTTTCCGAGGCATCAAATAATGACAACATCTGAATGATAAAGTCGTTATTTTCATGTTTCCAAACTCACTGGAGCTTGTTAGCATGCTAGCTTTACCCTTTAGCACCAAATATAAAATGCACAATTCGCTAAACAGGACTAAATGGGTTAATGGGCCTGTGAGGAGTGAAATTGTTGACTTAATAACTGTTCTAAAAAACTTGATATGAATTATAGAACATTTCAGTAAGTTTTATTATATTGTATAACTCTTTGGTGTGCACTTAAATACAACATTCATGCTAACTTACAGACTAATCTTGGCTAACAGTTTGATAGAGGGGTTAATTAGGACAGACGACAGTCAGTATTTGAAGTAATGTGATCTGTGGCTGTGTAGTTTAATGTGTGTTTGTTTCCTCAGTGGGGATAGAGGTGGACGGGGATTTGAGTGACAGTGACGGTAAGTAGAGAAACATAGCTGAGAATCTGATCTAGGACTCAAGATTGAAAATGTGATTTGTATTGTGTATCTAATCTGGTTTTACTGTAGATGGTGGTGCGCAGAAGAGACCAAACAGAAGGCAGGCAGGTGGCAGAGGAGCAGCAAGAGGAAGAGGCCGGGGTAAAAAGCCAGCCAGCGAGGATGAAGATGAGGATGAAGAGGATGAAGATGATGCTCCCAGAAGACGGCGGGGTGCAAACAATAAAAAGCCCACAAAGAAACGTGGCGGGGGTGATGATGAGGATGAGAGTGAGGATGATGCGCCCAAGAGGAAGCGAGGAGGGGCAGCCAATAAGAAGAGAGGAGGAAAAGCTCAGGATAGTGATGACGAGGACAGTGGGAATGAAAAGGGAAAAAAAGGGAGGAAAGGTGGAGGAAAGAAGGGAGGGAAGGAGGAGGAGGACAGTAAGGGTAAAAAGGGGGATGCCAAAGGAAAGGACAAGGGGAAAGACAAAGACGATGACAAAGACAAGGATAAGAAGAAGAAGAAGAAGAAGGGTGACAGGTAGGCCAAAGACAGAAGCACCAATCAAACCTAGTGACTAAACATACATTTAGTACAGGTAACTCTCTGGAGAACATGACAAACATGAGCAAAATTCATCCAGATTGACTCACTAGTTTTCAATCAACGTTTGAGTCTTCCTCATGAATTTCATTTAATGCAACAATTAAAAAAGTTGACAATCTGACCATTAATAAAGCTAAATATTCCCATTTTTCATGCTGTACCTTTATGAACTCCCATTAAAGGGATATTCTGGCGTATAATTAATTTAGGGTCAAACAAACCGTAACACCGAGTCAGATTAAGTTAGGTGCTGTTCTGAGCATTATTTGTGGCTATAGAGTGGTGTTTTGGTTGAGATTTGTGTATGGCTCCTCAGACCGCTGTGTATTTATATCCTGCGGTCATTACAAAAGTTGTCATAACTAGAGAAGCAAGCGGTCAGTGACATTCATCTCTCGAGGGGGTGTCTAACTCTGTGTTACGGTGTGTTTGACCTTAAATTAATTTTACACTGGAATGTCCCTTTAAAGCTTTATTGTGCTCAAGCAAAGTTATCCATGCTACAGTGCGTCAGGGTCAGTGTATAGTGATACTGTATGTCAACCAGAATCTTGAGAGGGTGAGTAGGACCAAGTCACCCTGTAGTGATTAGAAACTTACAGATACACTCATCAGCTCGCTGCTGTGGCCTAAATTCAAAACAAGGTCAGATATGTACATCCATAATCTTCCATGTTACCTGAGACACTACACTGTTAATGGAAACTCAAGTTTTTGCCAAAGTGTCAGTAGGAAGAGACAAATGTTGTCCCTGGCATCTGGGTGATTAAATAGGCTGGTTTGATGGTCCAAATTTAGATCTGCGTTTTATTAGTGAGCATGTAAATTGGCTTGTACATGCTCTGTTGTGTTTTTGCTGTTTAATTTGAACAAGTTCTGGTCAGAAGCAGTTCAAAAAACACATTTTCAGTTGATTTTACTTCTCTTTGCTCTGAATGATCTTGCAGCCCACATGCTTTGTTTTGTAATCTACTTCCTCAGCACCTCTCTGCCCTGTGGGTTGATATTCATGATGGAGTCCATCTCTTTCAGGAGATATCCATTATTTGATCTCTGTCCTCATTTTCCTCTCCTCCCTCAGTTCCTCTGATTCAAACTCGAACTCTGATGAGGAGGAGGAGTCCATGTCAGAGGGAGAGATGGCTCAGCTGATGGAGGAGGTGGAGGAGAAGAAGAAACTGATCGCCATCATCAGGAACAAACCGTGGAGGATGAAGAGGAGGCTCGTCCTCTTAAGGTAACCTCTGAAACCTTTTCCGGTTTCTGCTCTAAGATAATAATTCTTCACCTCAACCAAGAATCAGAGAGCCTTTCCAAACTTTGAGAAATCACATGCAATTATTACACATTTTCGGTCAGTGTGTTGAATATTTTTGGCCTTTTATCTTCTTTACTAAAGGGGAAATATTTGCATCATGGAAAACTAGATCAACATAAGTTTTTTAGGAAGTTGATAATTTGAGAAAGAGGAATATGGTAAATGCTGATCCATCTGCTAATTTGGGGTTGACTTTTTGGCCTTTTATTTTGAGCTGTGATTGTGAAACTTGCACGTGCAGGTGTTAAATTTTTGGAATTGTGACCATCCCAAGTTTTAAAATGTAACACAGAGCAAAGACCTGATTTCATTTCTTTTTTTTTTTCATCAAGTAATAAACAAAACACAAACTTACCTGTCTGACATGTAGATTTTTTGTTGTTGTTCCACAGAGAGGCTCAGCAGTTTGTGGATAAATTTGAAGGAGCTTTGGGCAAAGGAAAAGGCAGAAAGTGGTATGCCTACAAAGTCATGATGACAAAGGTAGAGCCCAAAGTAAAAATTTTCCTCCCTCTTCGTATTTGCATGTGGAATTTCTTCTTACAATCTTTTTTTAAACCCCAGAAATGGATCAAGTTCCAGAGGGACTTTGAGAACTTCAGAACAGCCTGTATCCCTTGGGAGAGGAAGATCAAAGAGGTGGAGAGTAAGTTTGGTGTGAAGCACAGCTGAACAGCTCCTCTCAGTGGACAGATGCTGGAAGGTGTTCTTAAACCTTCTTAAATGCCCTCAGGTCACTTTGGATCATCTGTGGCGTCATACTTCATCTTCCTACGCTGGATGTACGGCATGAACCTGGTCCTGTTCGGTTTCACTTTTGGACTGGTGGTGATACCTGAGGTGAAATGCTTCAGTTGTACACACATCCAACATTAAAAACAATTAAACGAGGCATTAGGTACTGTATTTGTATATTTCACTTGAATCATTTCAAGAATGGCAGTCAAATGATAAATAAGTCAATATCAGTTTTGTTCATACTCATTTTTATAAACTTCACCAGGTTCTGATGGGCCTGCCATATGGATCTATTCCCAGGAAGACTGTACCCAGACCGGAGCAGCCCACCGCCCAGGACTACTCTGTGCTCATGGACTTCAATGTAAGTCTAATAAATGTGTACCCTTATCAGATCTAATTGAATATACTCCTATTTTAGTGCCCAAGTTATTTCCAAGAACAATCATAACCAAGCTAAGACACACACAAGGCACTGATCTAGGAATATTGTATGTGACACAGACAAATACAATGATTACCTTGAATAAAAAATAAGAAAAATAAAAATGTTTGAAAAAATATTATATAAAATATTATACAGTGGACAACAGATAAGAACACAACAGCAAAAAAATTTCAAAAATCTGGAGGCAGAGTACAGTTAATCTTCGTGTTTAGGGTGCAGCAGATTTTGGACATACAGTGTCTGATAAGCAGTAAGACAGATGTTGACTGTGTGCATCTGTGTGAGTTTCAAACTGGCTGAAAGCCAAAGATAAATAATTGATCAGGCTGCAGAAAGTTAGCCTCCCTATGCAGACATGTTGCTGTGTTTCCTGTGCTGCTGTAAATGAACCTGTGTAGCAGATGCTTACATTTATCCGAGCCAACAAAAAAATGCAGGAAACTGATGAAACATTTTTTAATTCATATGAGATCATTAAAAAGTAAATACCTTTGTGTTTTGTCATGATAATGGATGAAATATGCAGTTGTAAGTAACTGAGAACTCCAATTCTTTTAGAAGTCATGACTCTCCCCTCCTCTCTTTCATTATCATGACCTCCCACTTTGGGAACCACTGGGCTAGTACAAATAGTGCAAAAATGAAAGGAGGGCAGTCTAGATAGCTTATGAAATTACACAGTCATGACTGATAGACATGTGTAGGAATGTGATCCAGTTTAAGCATCAAACCTTACAGATCATACAAGATTAACAGGATTACATCTAAACAACTGATTTGGGAATGGTTAGCAGACTTTTGAAGTTTATCATTTCACTTTGTCCAAGATTTCTAACAAACATCACATTTGGCATCATACAGGAAACATTAATATTTTCATATTTTCATCAAAATCAAATTACACAAAATATGTTTTCACTGTAAATACTTTTAAAACTGTCAACTTCAACAGTCAGAAGGCTGAAATTAGTTCTTAACAATGCAACTCGTTTTTTTTTTTGTATCAAGTCAAACCAAACTGTAATTGCTTCATGTAACAAAATCCTCATGTTTTGCTTAGAAAAAAATAGAAAATAATGACTTCACTCCTTTTCCCCCCAGGGATATTGCAAATATTCAGTCCTGTTCTATGGATATTACAACGACCAGAGGACCATCGGCCTTCTGAAGTTCAGGCTACCTCTGTCCTACCTCATGGTCGGGATCGGCACCTTTGGCTACAGTCTGATGGTTGTCATTCGCACGTGAGTCTGCAGCAGGTTCCCTTTGTGATGGTCGTTTTTTTGTCAGTTTACAGTTTTCTGAAAGTTCTCCCAGTATCTTTGTAATTCAAGCCTTAGAAAACTCATTTTGAGGGAAATCCTGATCCATTTGATTCAGTTTAAACAAATGACTAGTCATGGAACTTGAAGAGGTTTAGATATAACAGCATGTCATTATGTGAAATATCTTGTCATCTATACCAAACAATGAAATCGATTTGAACCATCTCTGGCTGTTGTGTTCACCTCTACTCTAATTTTCCAGAATGGCAAAAAATGCTGATGTGGGTGGTGGAGACGGGGAGGAGGGAGAATTCACATTTGCCTGGAAGATGTTCACCAGCTGGGATTACCTCATAGGAAACGCAGAGACCGCTGACAACAAATACGCCTCCATCACCACCAGCTTTAAGGTAACCATGGTGACCATTTTAATCTGTAAATGTTAGGGCAGAGGACGACCTCCACTAACTCTAAATCCTTCATGTTCCTATTTTGACAAGAACAGGAGTCCATCGTGGATGAGCAGGAGAACCAGAAGGATGAGAACATCCACCTGAGGAGGTTCCTCAGAGTCCTGGCTAACTTCCTCATCACCTGCAGCCTCGGTGGAAGTGGATACCTCATCTACTTTGTGGTGAAGAGATCCCAGGAGTTTGCCACCAGGGATGACCTCAGCTGGTATGAGAAGAATGAGGTAATGATGGTCAAATGTTTGAGAGTAAATTACTACAATTGATCCCCCTGTGGCTTCTGCTCTCATTGCTGGAGTTTTTGTAACAGGCCAGTTCATTGTCAACAGTAACACAATAAGAAAAAGATTTATTTTCTCTTAAATCATGGGGATTACAGATCCTCGTTGTGTCTTCAAAAGGAACATGAGTTATGTCATTTTCATGACAGCTGGAGATCATCATGTCTCTTCTGGGTCTGGTGTGTCCCCCTCTGTTTGAGACCATTGCTGAGCTGGAGGACTATCACCCTCGAATTGCCCTGAAGTGGCAGCTCGGACGCATTTTCGCCCTCTTTCTTGGAAACCTCTACACCTTTCTGTTTGCCCTGTTTGATGAGGTTAACACAAAGGTACGGCGGTTTGACCGTTTTAAGACTTTTCAAAATTGTGGTTGAAGGTAATCGACTGAAAACCTTTTGGTGTTGATGTTTTGGATTGTAATGAACATTTTGGTTTACACTTTATTATGAGATTTTTTATTATGTAACTGATGTCTTCTTTTTTTTTTTTTTGGTACCTCTTAGCTACTTGAAGAAGAAGGCATCAAGAACGCCTCCATCTGGGCCTTGAAGGAGTATTACGCCAACTACTCAATGATGATGAATGACTCAGAAGCAACTCCGCCCCCCATGGACCCCTCTGATGTAATCAGAGGACCCTGCTGGGAGACCGCTGTTGGCATAGTAATAACCCTGAAACTTGATCCATGGTTTAATTAGACATCAAACATAATCTCTGAATGATTAACATCACAAAATTTCCCTGCTGATGTGTGTCACATTTGATACTCATTACACTTTTTATGATTTAATTATTAGTTTAATTCAACAAAAATTATTCAATACACCTATTTATTATGATTTTGTTTCTGCCTTTTTCTATTTTTGTATTTCTTCACAGTTGAAAGCACATTTGATCTTAAAATGAACAAAATTAGTTTGGAAAGCAACATGAACAAAGCTGTAATAAAAATGTTCTTTTCAGCTTTACTTTAACCAATTCTTTTAAAGACTTCTGCTTTTCTTTGAAATGTTATGGCTGATTTAGAATAACAAAGCTTAAGAATGTATTATTTTCTAAAAATGTCTGCATGTGTTTCGTTCCAGGAGTTTGTAAAGCTTACAGTGTCAGACATCCAGGTGACCTACCTGACCATCCTGATCGGAGACTTCGCCCGAGCCGTTATTGTTCGCTTCCTCAACTACTGCTGGTGCTGGGACCTGGAGGCGGGATTTGTGAGTCCACCCAAAGCACCACAGGACTCAGTCTTAATTTAAATAACTTCTTAATAATAATAATAATTCATTTTATTTGTACAGCGCTTTTAAAAACACTCAAAGACGCTTTACATAGAACGTAAAACCCAAGATAATAAAACAGAGACATGAAAACAGTAAAATAAAACAGTTACATATTAAAAGCAATTTTAAATAAGTGAGTTTTTAAAAGGGATTTGAAGGTAGTGGGGTCAGGGCAGTGTCTGATGGGCATGGTTGCAAAAAAGTTAGTAGCCTAGAACAGCTCCACTTGTTCATCTGCATTGTGAGACAAATTAAACCCTTTACAGCAGACTTTTTGACTTGTAGAAGTAAAGGCGCAGTTTTTACTCTTACATTAGAAACGACTCGAATCTTTTGGCTGATGGCAAATCCAATTAAATGTCAAATGGCGTGTATTTGCTGCACCCTGTATAGATTTTACAGTCTCCCTTCTCTTTAAAGTCTCCACGAGAGCAGCTGGTACTCTGTTCTTTGTTTTGCTCTGGGGTGTAAAAGGACTTATACCCAGAAGAATAACTCAAGACAGGGTTTCCATAAAATTTGATTATCTTACAGATGTTCACGTCATCCCTTAGGTTCTGAATCCGACATATGTAACTGCACACAATCACTAAGTCAAAAAGCTATTGTTAAAAGAGCGTTAACAGATTAAATCCTTTGTTTTTACTAGTTATAAAGACAACTGAAGGCATTCCTGTCAGCTTCTGGTGTGCTTTGTGTTTATGGCTTATAACTGCAAGTTACTGACTGCAAGTTATCCTTTCTGTTTGCACTTTCAGCCGTCATATGGAGAGTTTGACATCAGCGGTAATGTGCTGGGTTTGGTCTTCAATCAAGGGATGATCTGGTACAAACTTTACTTTTGTCCTTGCATACTCCACTTGTGTGCAGGTGCTTGCTCTTTAAGTGTGTGTGTTTATTAGCATGGGTTTGTATTTCTGCATGTCTCCATAGTCACTGAGGGCATATGTAGTATCAATATCATTGATACCAGGAGTGTCAAGGTTCAAGTTGCAAAGGAGCCTCTGTCTGTGCATTATCAACCACAGAGAAACCCTAACCCTCAATTACATAATTAATATCTACCAAAATCAATGGTATTCACATATGGTATCCATTTTGAGCATCATTACGCCTCACATCTGAAACCTTACTTATAAAATCAGCATTAGACTCTTGTTCTGTATATGTCTTTCTCTTTCTCCTCTATTTTTGGGGGGTTTATTTGGTTGGTTTGGCTCATAACTTGGTTGATATTTGGGCACTGTCCATCCAAGTTTTGTTGAAATTTCAGTAGGATTTGCAGCATTTCAAGAGGGTTTTTTAAGATATATAAAACACTTTGTTGTATCTCATGTGTCTTCATACTCTGGTGTGTTTCAGGATGGGCGCATTCTTCGCTCCCGGGCTGGTCGGCATCAATGTTCTCCGCCTCCTCAGCTCCATGTACTATCAGTGCTGGGCTGTGATGGCCACCAACGTCCCCCATGAGAGAGTCTTCAAGGCTTCCAAGTCCAACAACTTCTACATGGGCCTGCTGCTCCTCATCCTCTTCCTCAGTCTGCTTCCTGTTGTCTACACCATCATGACGCTGCCGCCTTCATTCGACTGCGGGCCCTTCAGGTAACACTCAGATATTTACCATATGAAGCCACACACACACACACATACTGACTGTGCTGATATTTGCAGTGGGAAGACAAAGATGTTTGACGTGATCATGGAGACGATAGATCTGGACCTGCCCGCCTTCATGGGGACTCTGTTCAGCTACGCAGCCAACCCTGGTCTCATCATACCGGCTGTGCTGCTCATGGTGTGAGTGAGGAAGAGACACATGTGCATATAAACACACGGCCATACCATGTTTACTGGTGGAATAAATACTCACATGATCAAATCCCTGGATACAGACACACAACCACTCACAGAGATCTAAGTGAAAACATCCACCTGCTGGAGCTGACACTGTGGTGTCACAACACTGAGCGTTTTGTCTTACAGCCAGCGGAAAACTTGTTCTCTCTTTTCAGACTGGCCATCTACTATCTGAACTCGGTGTCTGAGGCCTACCAGAACTCCAACATGGAGCTGAAGAAGAAGATGCAGATGGTAAGATGAAAGAGGAGCTAAAGATAGTGTTGAAAGGTAGACTCAAGCAAAGCTAGTTTTACTCTTCTCATGGCATTTATTGTCACTTAGAGAGACTTGAGTCAGATTTGCTCCTCAGTGACTTGACACTTGACTTGGATTTGCAAAAAGTGACTGTTGATCAAAATTAAAGTCATGATTTGTGGGATTAGAGCCGTGGTGATTTTGAAAATAAATGTGTAAATTGTAATTTTAAGAAAAGAGTCATAGATTTGTTGGATTAAAGCCCTGGATTTATCGGAATTAAGGGTAAATCCAGAATCGAGGTAAAACGTCATTTTATTAGAAGATAGTCATGATATCAGAATAATCTCCTCTAGATTCACGGATTAAAGCTGTGAATTAAAATAAAGTCATGAGTTTATGAGATAAAAGACTGGGAATAAACTTGTACATTTATAAGAATGCTCATTTCAAAAAAGCTTTTTATGAGAGTAAAGCAGTAAATTTACAAAAAATGACATTATCTTATAGGAATTAAGTCTTATTTTTTTGAGAACACTGTTGTAATCACAGGATATGGTCAATCTACAGTATGTTCAGGCTCAAATAACTTAAAGGAGGATGTCAGAAAAGCAGTCAGCCGTCTGTATTAAATGAGAAATCCTGATCGGCTCATGAGGTCGAACTCCACAGCTGGAGGACAGACAGTTGATGTAAAGCTGTCTGCTCAAAACAGACTCACTTTCTTCCACTGTTGATTCAGATTCAAGATACTTTCAGCAGGGTAGTGCTGATGTGCTAAAAGATGAATTTTTTTTAATGAAACGTGTCTCAGTTAACTTCCTCAAAAGATAATCCAAAGTGCTCATTTTAGTTCAGGCGACTAAGCACTGGTTCTCTCCCTCCAAACAAAATATCAGCCAGCTAAAGCCTAAAAACATGACTTATTTTTAATAAATCTACAGCTTTAACTTCCTAATTCCTTCTTTCTTAATAACTGGAATTATTTTCCATCATCTCTGTGTCTCCCTCTGTGCCTGTCTCTCCAGGCACGAGATGAAGAGAAAAACCGCAGGAACAACACAGACAGCACCAATCAGGTCATGAAAGACCTGGAGGACCTGCTGCCGAATCGATCCCTTGCACCTCCTGCTCCACCTGAGCCTGGTCAGTGACCTCGCAGATATATGAAACAGAGAAATATTGCTCATCAAGTATGAGTTAGACACTAAAAACTATGATGCATCCCTTAAGTTTATACCCTCAGGTCTGTGACTCGATCTCTCTCCAAACAGAAAAGAAACCAGAGCCAGAGGCAAAGCCAACAAAGACCAAACCTGGAGCAGCAGGTAAAGGTGTAAACCTGCAGAAGGACGTTGCTCTGGCGACACCGAACCCCAATGCTCGAGGACCAGTGAGGCAGCCCCCCGGCCCAAGAGGACCTGGCCCTGGTCCTGGCCCAGGACAAGGCCGGGGCCGAGGCAGAGGGCCTCCTCCAAGATAACAGAGTGAGAAATCTCTTTGTGTTTCACAGCTGGAGATGTAGACAGAAACAGTCTCAGTGTGTTGACGGTGACTGTCTGTGAATACTGTCTGTGTATTCACTTACTGACATCAACAATCACTCAGAGTTGAAAGGTGCTTCTTGGAAATCAGAGATGTATCAGGTGCAGTAAAAACTTCAATTTTGTCTTGAGTTGTTCTTAAATACAGAAACAAGACCGCAACAAAAAACATATGTGTTTATTTCCTCTTACTCCTACAAGACTCTGTCATATCTGTATGATTATGCATTTGCAATAAAGTTTTAAATCTTTCATAACTCATTGTAGCGGTTTAGTTTTTCATTGTTCTTTTGACCAACAACTCTTGGAGGTCATGCTACAAATTTTTAGTTAACCTTTGATGAAGAATGAGTGATCTGCAACACAACAAACAGATAGTGTACCCTTCTACTACTGAGCCAAGACATTGTAGTTTTTGAAATATATATGGTTTTGGGTTGTCTCTCAGAAATATTGAGGTCTTCTGTGAGACCAAGTGATTGTCTGGATGGCGGCATGTTCCTCTGTTACTTGTAGATAATGTTCCACATTAACAGAGCCTCACCTGGGGTGTAAACTACCCATGCCAAGGATAGATGTGTAATCCCTCAGCTGGGTGGTCCCCCCCCTGTTCGGAGCAGAGGACGTAGTGTCCATGATTTCCAAAAGAATGTCAGATTTTGATTTGTCAGACCACAGGACAGTTTTCCACTCACTCTGAGAGGTCACTTGAGTTTGGATCATGTTTCTCTATAGTTTCTTCTTTGTGTTGTTTAGTTTCAGCCTGTGTTTGTGAATGCAGCAACAAACTGTGTTCACAGACAATGCTTTTTAAAAGCAATTTTTAGTCCATGCAGCGACTTCCACTACAGAGTCTGGTCTGGTTTTAATGGAGAACTGCTTGAGGGCCTAACAACCATGATAACGTTTCTTCAGGTTCTCTGAAATTTAAACTTAATCATTCACTGTAGATAATGAAATCCTCCAATTCTTCCATTTTTTGCTCAGGTACCTTGAATTGCTGAACTATTTTCTCACCCAGTATCTCACAGAGTGGGAACTTCTGTGAGACTTAGCTCCTTATTTGCACTTTTTATTTTAGTCATGTTACTTACCTGTTTCTTGTTTACCTTATTAGTTGGGAGATGTTCCACCAGGAGGTTTTAATGGCATAACACAACATTTTTAAAAGACATTTCTGGCACCAAATTTAAAATAAGCATTTATTTTTCCTAAAACAACAACATATTCATTTTAAATTTTTTGATATGGTGTCTTTGCAGTATATGGTTAAATATATCATTCTATGCAGGCTCAGAGATTTGGGTTGCAGTAACTCGATTAAAACCCCATCAGTGAGGGACAAACTTGGATGTTTTAGGGTAAAAAGAAAAGAGGTAAAAGAATAAGTCAAAAGTAGTAGGAAGCTTCTTGCCTAAATCAGGGATGGGCTCTGACTTCCCCCAGGTTCCCCCCACAGCAGAATGAGCTCAACAGAAAATGCTGAACATCAGGTTCAGTCTTATCATTATGTTAATAGTGGTACCTTTAAAAAACGAGTCTCTGTCTGCCCTCGTTCCCTGCATGTCTGTGTGAAAGACCCAGTGTTTGAAAGCACTTACACAACAGAGAGTCACCCAACCTGTCAGAAGAGCACAAACCTCTGACTGTCACCATGCAGGAATGTCGTCTTAGCAGAGGTTGGCAGCTGATTGGCTGATCCGCTTCAGGTGTAAGTAGCCCTGCCTGAAAATCACCTGCACAGAGCTGGGTGGAGACACAGCAGGGTAAGTTAAATACTGACTCCTCAGATCTCCAGGCTTGGGCGTGACGACCATCTGCAGGAGCACAGGTGAGCTTTTAGTCAATGTTTGGAATACAGGAGGAAAAAACAACGACATCATGTTTAACTCCTGTTTTCTTTTATTCATCTGCAGAGATACAGTTTGTTTCAGGTGTAGACTTCACAGCCAGTTACCATGTCCTTCTTAAAAAGATTTTTTAAAGATGCCATCCATGACCGAGACATTGATGAAGACACAGTCAAGGTGAGTTTGAGATATCCAATTATACATCAATTGTTTCATTATACTTCCACTTAAAGCCTCTGTGTAATTTAAGGGTTAAAATGAATGTTTTTTGTAAATGAAGTCTGGAGTTTCAGGACCTGGGGGTGTGGCTGACAGGCTCATTTGTTTTGATCTGAGATGCTCGAGCTCTTCTGTGACAGCTTGTGGTTCTACGTGCCATAAATCATTGCTTTAGATTTTACCATAATCGTGCAAATAATGACACAACTGTATTTTTTAGTGTCACCACATGACTACACTGACTCACTGAATAGGGATGTTAAAGGAATCAGGGATTTTGGAATGGATTTGCTGCTGAAAGCTGATCGTTTACTGATTGCTTGTGATTTATTATAATACTGTCTTTTGGTTGTTTTGGTCTGAAACCTTTTAAGCTGCTGTCTTGGCCAGAGATTTTGTATCTCAGTGGAATTATAATAAAAGGAACAGATGTCAAACGGCAGTGCTTACCTTGACTCCTTACTTAGAAACCTTGGTGTTATTTCAGACTTTGTTGCCCAATCTCCCACTTACCATCTCCTTTTTTACTTTTTAGATCTTACTGCTGTTTACTTTGTAGTTTCTCCATCTTACATTTGGTATAGTCTTATTTTTCCTTAGAGTTGAATATCATCACGTTTTTGTGCTGGTATTGGCAACAATTTGTTAGTTTGCATGTAAATGGGCAGCACAAGCCTGTTTTCAGAAGCTTGTAAAGTTTAATACTGCCAACACTTTCATGAAGATGTTTTTCTTCTGCTTTACTGAATCTACTTTGTCCTTGCTCTCTTGGGTCACTCAGCATAAGACTCGGCGTAAATCACTTTTGGTTTGTGCAGATATTTGTTAATCTTGTAGCTGCTGGTCTTGTTTGCTTTTGTATACCCTGAAAAGGCATCAACATAAATTTCAGTCTATTTCAGAAATGTCAAAAGACTCCTTTCTGATGTACTTTCTGTATGAATAGCTCTAAATAAATAGACTCTTACGGCTGTTAATCTTAGTTTATAAAATGTCCAGTAGGTAAATAACCTCTTAAAAAGGCTCTTTGATATTTGGAGGCTAAGGGCGCTGGGCAATGTGTTTCAGGAAGATGAAGAGAATTTGGATTTCCTATGACTGTCTTAAAACTCAGGGTTTAAAACAATGAATACCTGTTTATTTGCAGCAACTCGCAGGAAAAAAAGCGCTAAACATCTGTATTTCTTGCTGTTTTTCCAGGTGAAAGGTAAGAAGAAACCAAAGTATTATGGAACAATCTCAGAGTATCCAAACTTCAGTGCCAGCTCTGACGCTTCTGTCCTCCAGAACGCTATTGAACATGATGGTGAGTGGTTTAATGTTAATTCATTTTAACAATCAGGTGACTTACTCCTCTGTGAATGTCATTAAAGTCATGCTGAACAGGAAGAAAGTCAGCTCTCCTGAGCTTTTTTTTAACGGTTAAAAGTTTCGGCCCATGTCTGGCAGAAAACCTCTGTTCTGAAAAAGTCTCAAGGTGTGATGCTTTAAAATAAAAAGTGAGTAAGTCAAATTTGTGCCTGACAGATGTGGATGAGGAGGTGATCCTTTCAATGCTGTTAAAGAGGAACAATGAGCAGAGACAGAAGATCAAAGTGGTTTATGAAGCTTCAACTGGGGAGGTGAGTGAGTCCCTGCAGGTAAAAACAAACACCAGTTCGTCAATGGAAAATCACTGAAAACCTCCTCCTGACTCTACTTTGTGAAGTGTGTTATGAATTTGTACGAATCTAAAACACTAATGTGACCATAACAAGTCACTAAAAATCTTTCTTATTGTATTAGCTTTTGACCTGGTGTTTGAGCTGTTTTTTTCTATTAAAAATTAGTATTACATAACATTTAAAAGACTGTCAGAAACATTACAGGGATTGTCCTGCTTAAATCCTTGCTTGGTCTTGAAAGACCAGTTTTACTGTGGCCAGTCAGCAAATTTCACAAAGCTACAGATGGGATTTTCTCTTCGCTAAGTCAGTTTGCTGATTTCATGACTTTCCTCTTTGGTCAAGTTTATTATTTTGCCTCTAAAAACAATGCCTGCAGTCTTTTTCCATCTCTAAGACGAACTTTTTGAGGCAAATGACACACAAAAACCTTTTAAAATGCAGCAAAATCTGGTATGAAAGTTTGCCTAAAAGTCTTCACATGGCTTATTCAAAAAAGTTACATAGACTTGCTTGAAAGAAGAATAAGACATAACCATTAAATACACTGGTCAGTTATAAATTTTCAAAGTGAAATTCATTTTTTTTTCACCGAGTTTGCCATGCAACTGGCACACAGATCAGTAATATGCACAAATGCATGAAAAGGATTCTGAGGATCTGCTGCATGCCCTGAAGGAGATGACAGAGTTACTCTTGTTTTAAGTTAATGAACATAATTAATTAAGTCCAAATGTCTGTGTGTTTTCTCCTTGTGCCTCCCTCAGCGGCTGGATGAGGCTCTGAAGTCGGTTCTACGGTCAGATTTGGAGGACGCCATTTTGGCTCTGCTCATGACACCTGCTGAATTTGATGCCTACGAGCTTAGGCAGGCCACAAAGGTAAATATCAGCCCTTTGTGCACCAAATATAAGCAGCAATAATGTTGAAAGAATCACTCCCCATGTGACTCTTTTGTTCAGATTTGAACCTATAGAGTCTTTAAAATCAGAAAGAGTGAGTAAACACAAGTGACAAAGCAGCACACTCAAGCCCATGACATGTTTAGGAGAATACATTTTGAGCTAGTTGTGTGCTGATCTTTAACTCTTGTACCTTTTATACAATCTGCACTTTTTTCTTGAGTTTTGTCTGGAATTGAAACTTTGAAATGTTTATATGTAGAGATTGATTTTGTGATTTATTGCAGTTAGTTAAATGACACATAAGTACCTTTTTTACTTATTCAAACTGCTTTAAATCATCAGGGTCTTGTCTTTTCATTCAAGTCCGAAGATCTTACCAGGAATCTTGTGCTTGGGAAACTACTTTTGTTTTAGATTTAAAGTAAAAGGTGTTGTGTGTAAATTGATTTGTGGATAAAGATAAATACATGAAAGAAAACCACAAACTAAAGAGTCCAACTTCATGAACTTTAAAAATACTGTCTGTTAACTCCATTAAACTTTCTTCTAACAGGGTTGGGGCACAGATGAAGATGTGCTCACTGAGATTCTGGCAACAAGGACAAATGAAGAAATCGTGGAGATCAAGAGGGTCTACAAAGAAGGTTTGGACTGTTTTCGTATGTGAACTTGTTGATGCGCTTTGTGAGCTCTGAGGTCCTCAAAGTTTCTTCATGAAACATCTTCAGTCCTAACCTACTAGTTTAAATGCACAAAGCAGTAATACAAGGCTGAATTCCTAGACAATGCAGCACTGTAATGAGCATGGTGACCCTTTAAATAACAGCTTCCAGTGGACATACTTGCCTCAGTTTTGTTACAGTTATGTCTGTCATGCTGCAAAGTCTGTTTGTGCAATAATGTTTTTTGTCCCTCAGTGTACGAGAGAGATCTGGAGGAGCTCATTAAAGATGAGACCAGAGATGACTTCACTACAGCACTGCTGGAGATGCTGAAGGCTCACAAAGATGAGACCGATGAGGTTGACATGAGTCTGGCCCAAAAGGATATGGAGGTAAAATTAGAGAAAAACATTTGTGATTTCAGGGCAGTTGGAAAGTAACGACACATTTCTTATCCAGGTCACAGAAGAAGAGTCCTGTTGTGCTGTACTTGTGTTTGCATATTTGTATCTTTGCATATACTTTGAATGTAATGGGTCCACACAGGCAGAGAAAAATGTGGCTTTAAATCTGAACACGCCTTGACAGAGCTGATCACTGATGTGTCATTGTCATTTTCTACTCATGTTTACATCACAAACTTCAGGAATTGTTGTGTTCTTCTTTTGTTCCTGCAGACTCTGTTCGAGGCAGCTGAGCATCCTGAAGGAATCAATGTTACTGCCTTCATCAATATCCTGACTCACAGGAATCCAAAGCAGCTCTCCAAGAGTGAGTGTCTGAAATGTCTGAGTCTTTTCAGCTGTTAGGTTGAAGTCATCTGAGACTCAAAAACCAACACCTAGACAAACAGGTGGAACTACACCTGCAGGTAACAGGGGATACACACCCAGGAGTTCAGTAACAATACAAAACAGTGTTCATCACCCATGACATCCATGGTTTGGCCTGATGTCATGTGTTGTAACTTCAACATACTTGGCAACAAGTACCAAAGTTTTGCTCCAATAATGGAGAAGACTGTCATAATGATGTCATGTACACTGTAACGCAATAGTTGCCAAATTTGATTCATTTATCCCAAAGTGAGGGAAGTTTAAGTGTTAACAGCGACAAAGGATCCTCAAAGCAGACAAATGAGTATCAGGCAAATACCAAGTGCATTTTTTAAGATGACGTTACATACAGTGATAAGATGTAATGAGAAGAAGTGAGATTAGAGGAACTTTATTTATCCCTGAGGGGAAACTGGATAGTTTACTTCTTAAAAGTATCAATCCTGCATTTACCGTTAGTTTTCAAACTACACACTCTTGAAAACGTTGGGTTAAAAACAACCCAATTTGGGTAGTTTCCCAACCCTGCGCTGGTTAAATATTGGACAGAACACATGCTGGGTTAATTTTACCCAACTAATTGGATTGGTTCACTTAACCCAAGAATTGGGTTGTTCATATAACCCAACGAAGGGTTCACAGTAACATCTCTGCTGGGTTCTTTAAACCCAGCAAGTTGGGTTGTTAATATTTAATAAAATATTTAATTACATTAATGCATCAGGTTTCATTTAGCGCTTTATCAGAGACCCTCAAAGCGCTTTACATTGGATACATCATTCATTCGCTCACATCAGCTAATATGAAAGCTTGCTACGTTTGAGGCAATGTACCTTATGCTACTAACATTAGCTAATCATTAGCTTGCTCACCTACCAATCGATTCCTGAAGGCAGAAGCTGGTTCACAACAGTGCTTCACAAACTTACATCTTAACAACAAAATGAGGGTCTATATAATAATATCAAGTAATCTACATGGTAAAGCAATAGTGGGAATGTAGCAAACCTTGCTTTGTACGTCTCCTCGCATCGGCAGTTGCGGCATCAATCTGGTGAGTGGGTGGTGCTTGGTTTCAAATGCCCGAACGTCTACCCAATGTGTTGGGTAGTCCACAATAAACCAACAAAACTGTATAGAAATTATCAAACCAACAGCTAATAACTCTGTTCCCGACATAAATAACCTTGTGAATTGGATACTCAGAATACCAAACTCCATGAAAATAACCCAAATAAATTAACCAACAGGCTCAACCTAGTGGTTGAGTTAAAAAACCAACCCAGCATTTTTTTGTGTGCAGACTGTTTTTCTTCAACTGCTTGACAGTTTGAGCTTTGAGAAATGAATGCTGTCCTCTGCTATACGCTTTCAAAAACTGTTCACCTTGTAATACCTGATGTTTTGTGTTTACCTGCTGTAGCGTTCCAGCTGTATGCGTTGAACAGTGACATGTCGTTACCCAAAGCCCTGGACTTAGAGTTGAGGGGTGACATTGAAGATTGTCTCCTTGACATCGGTAAGGATGATTCAGATGCCCTCCTGCTGATAAACGAGGACTGCATAATATTAAAAATGTTTTGCACCATTGGAAGTTTTTCAAATATTTATTACTTGCTGGTTTGAAAGGGTTGTCTTTGTAGCAGAAAAATGTTAATGCCATGTGTCTTGGTGCACAAAACAGCCTTTTATCAACAATTTGTCGTGAAGTTAAACAGCAGTGGTTTGTTTGTTGATGTTGCCAGGCTACACCCATAGAGTCTTGATTAAGCCCATTTAACTTTTTCATAATCATAACCATCATTATTTAACCGTAACTTTTCATTGATGCACACATGAAACTCTTTATTCATCTTTGCTTCATATACAACCTTCCAAGCTTAGCTGCAGATGACGAAAACCGCATTGAAGAGGATCTTATAGGCAACTTCACATGTTTCAGTGCCTATGACTCGGATTTATTTTATGTTCCTTGGAACCAGAGATCCAGAGAGTGAGGCCAAAGCTGCAGCTGTTTGCATGTAATGATTCTTGGTGCGAAGACACTGTTGATACAGCACTGTGAGCAGGAAGGATCAGGCAGACTGATGTACTTATTGCTTCAGTTAACTACATTTATCATCAACACTGACTTAAAATCCTCCTAAAACTTGATGACTATCTTAGACTACGGCTTTGACCTCTTGAATGGGGAAGATGTTTACAAGATCCCTGCTTGTGAGGTTCTTTCACAGCCAGTTACGGGAGAATTTAGACTTGAAAGGCTTTGTCCTATAAATGATTGATTATTCAGGTCCATAAATCTGAAGTTTTTCCTGAGGTTGGAAAAGGAATAATAGGAATGAAAGGATTCATGTTCAGCAGAGCAAGCGTATGCTCAGCATTTTTTTACGTAAGCTTGTCACCCAGACTTAAGATCACTGTGACTCTGGATTAGCACATAGGTCAGGCAGTCAGTGGTGGAGCACGGAGTACATCTATTTTCCAATAGGGGCTCGTATAGACTCAGTGAACTCATCACACAACACCGTATAAATAAACTGCTTTGTACTGTAAAGTCTCAGTCCTGCAACATGTGGTATCCAGACAGAAAATGCTGGAAGGAGGTGAAATAATACAGGGAGTGCAGATTCAGCAAAGCTTAAAGAACAGACATAATGTTAGACAGATGATCATATCTGCAGATTCTGGTCTTCAAAGAGCACAATTGTGTGTTGGAGTATATTTCCAAATCTCACTAACATGCTATTTTTCCATTCTCATTGGTTAATAAAGATCATGCAACTGTTTTCTTTGTGCACCACCTTCCACAACCAGTTCATTCAGAAAAAGGCTTTAGCATAACTGATCTGCAAGGTGTTGTAGGTACAGTTGGTAGCATTTCATCGTCAAGCAAAATTACAAAACATAATGTGATTGAATAAAACAATATCTTATTTGTTTACTTAAACTAATTAAATTGTTAAACTGGTAGTAATGTCAGGCCTGCTTTTATGTGATTATAATCAGAGCTGTTGCTTTTGTGTCTCAGTGAAAATTGCCTGGAACAAACCAGCTTTCTTTGCTGAGAAGCTTCATAAGGCCATGGAGGTGTGTATAAAAACCCAATCTCACTATCTAAATAAAAGATTGCTTGTGTGTGCTTGCAGGTGTGTGTGTGTGAGTATGAGTGTGACTGTTGGAGCTATTTTCTTATTTGTATATGTTGTCATTGGGGGGCACTGTGGACAGCTTCAGAGAGCATGAAGCTGTCTGACCAAACCTGACCAAACAAAGGTGTGTCCACAGTGGCATTACACATTTACATTAGGTATGTGTGCATCACCAGTCAAATGGTGTTTCTAAGCTGAAGTACAGTCACCTGCCACCAGGATTGCTGCCATAATACTTTAATCTCTACTACCTGGATATAAACAAGAACAGATGGCAGAAGGTATCTTATTTTGTGGCACGGTTTATCAGAATTTTAACCCAGAAAATTAAGATGAAGTCATATCACTGTAGCCTGTGTCTGAATAAATTGCCAAATAACCACTCAACCAATCAATGAAAAGCTAGACCTGAAAGCAGGCCTTTAGTCTGAGTTCTTCCTCTTGATAATCTGAAGACCCTTTACTGAACACTCAAAGGTGTGTACTGAATCGGCCCGCTCTGCTCTGTTTTCTCAGGGTCATGGTACATGTGAGCAGACTCTAATCCGGGTGCTGGCGAGCCGCTCTGAGGTGGACCTGAAGAAGATTGTGGAGGAGTACAGGGCCATGTATGGAGTCTGCCTTCAGGACTCTATAGTGGTAAAGTGACATAACTATTAAGTATTCAAACATTTCCCGAATGGTTGCCATTGTCTTTTGCTTGTGTTTATCTAATGATGTATCACAGTACTAACACTGATTATTTCCTTGTCTCTGTTCCACAGAATGACACTGAGGGACATTATCGGTCCGTTCTGCTGGGTCTATGTGGACCTTTCTGAAGTTGTGGTGCAACTACTTACTAAGGATCAAGACTTCCTCACCAAAGGACACTAAAGTCTCACCTCACACACAATTGTTTCATTAATATGATTTAGATTACTTAAGGAGCTTACCAGTTTTGTGACGACAATCCTCATTCTGTTGGGCTCCATGTTTTGAGGGGCTAAGAGTGTGGATCTGATTCTGTCTTACTTGGTTTATTATCATCCTTATGTCAATTATTAGGTACATCAGAGAACACTGATGGGATTGGGAATTGAAACCCCTTCTGTGAGACCATGATAGAAATAGAATGTAATCTTGGATGCTCTGTGTCTGCTTCTAGAAAATGTCAAAGCCTCAATAGAGCTGTGGTTATTAAAACACTAAGACAGATGAATTGGTCCTATTTGTTGTTCAACATGACTTTGATAACCAAAAGGATTATGGAGTTTGAAGACAAGTAAAAGTTTGATTTTACTCTGTATATTGACTTGATTTTGTTTAATAAGGTCAACTACAAAAAAGTCTTCAGGCTACTTTTAATACACTGACCCCATAAAGCTTTGGTTCACTATCAATGTATTTAAATCTCTTGTTAGAAACCCTCTGTTTTTGCTGAATTTAGCGCCCCCTATGGGCAAAGCAGTCTTTGCTTATTCTTTTCTCTATAAGCTGAAGCAAAGACATGAGACAAAATGCCCCACCCTGCCAACTTTTAAAAGTCAAATGCATCATTTCTTGTGAATACTGTAAGGGAAGCTGTAAAATAGGACTGTTTCCTCACCTACCCCCTCCCACCAGTCTCAGATGTTAAAAATTCTATCTAAAAACCAACATCTTGTCACTTGTGATCAGAGCTGCCAAGTGTCATGCTTTGAGTGACAGTCACGCAATTTGACCCATTCTCATACCACACGCCACACTTGATATTTCTCAAGCCTATAATTCCCCATTCAATATATGTATTTATTTTTTTCATGATCATAAACTTGGCTTGCCGTAGTTCAAGTAACTCTGATTGACTGACCGAGACAACCAATCCCAGACCAATCCATCAGTCCTTTGTGCCTAAATCTAACCAACCACGGAAGGCACCAACCAATATAAACAAATCAGAAACAACGTAAGGCAGGTCTTGGCGTCTCAAACTATCTTTCACACACAACAGCGCAGACATTTAAAACCAACTTTCTAATTTCTGGTTAATTAAGACTAGTGCAGGGAGAGCAGCTAGCATGGAGGTGAGGACATCAATCTTTCCCCACCGCCGAACACATCATAATGTTAAAGTATCACTCTTGTCATTTTCTAAAACTCAGCAGCCCTGTTATTTACTTTTGGATATCATGAAAAGGCATCAAGAATTTCAGTCTATTTCAGAAACCTAAAAAAATCTTTATAGGAGCTTTAAAATGGTCCCAGTATTGTTAGTTTGGTTATAATCATAGATACAAACAATGTTAAAGGTCTAAATGACACAAAACACATGTTTTATATTACGGTATGATTTGTCAAAATTTAACTTTAAGCGATATGATTTTTCTAAATAAATCAAGTAATTGAGTAAGTATTAATAAAATGTCGTAAAACCTCCACTTGTCCCTGTTGCCTAAATCCAGTGTTTGTTACTCGAAGGAAAAGCTGCGCATGATGGCGCATTTTAATCTTTTTTTTAATGGCGCTCTTACAAAGAATCAGAAGTGAACCCAGGCCAAAATGGCGGCGGTATAGATTAATCCTCTTTGTATGATTTGTAACACAAATGTGTTGAACAATATTTACGAATTTGAAATCTCAAACATTTTTTTCATGATTGGACGCAACTCACAAACCACAAATATCCTGTTTTTAGCGCAGCAGCGCAGGAGTGACGCTCGCGAACACACGTATGTTACGTGGACTGTTTACCGTGTCCGGAAGTGCCGTGGCTTTTTGGCCAGACTGGATGTTTTATCCTTAAAGTACGCCTTACTGTTGCGTTTTCATTCAGATTTACCTGGAGTTCTCTAATTGTTTACTCTTCTAGGACTTCATATGTTTGTCCGGCGGAAACCGAAGACTGAAAGTGTGCCGTAGTTTAAAACTCGAGCTTAGATCGAGTTTAGCCGGCATGGCAGATGGTTAGCTAGCACAGCTGATTGTCTGCCTTTAGCCTCTTTACAGTTCAGTCAATAGATGATCAAAGTTTGATTCAAAGACTTAGTTACAAACTTAATCACATCCGTAAACCGGTGACGGTTCCCTCTGATCGTTCAGGTAGCAGACATGTGTTTGGTTTTGTGGACGTAAATCTCTTGATCAGACTTGGGTCGAGTTGGACTTGTTGAAGATGGAAGATAAATACAGCAGTAATGTCCTGTCAGGAGGAAAACTGGGCATGGTGGAAGTGCCCAACTCAAGGTATGAGACTGTATTTTCATGTCTGTCCAGTCAAATCACTGCAGCAGTTCATAAACCCAGATATCTGTGTCCTAAATGCGATTTCAGATTATGCCACATGTTTATGTTGTCATGATTAGTGTCTTCGATTTACAGTACGCATCCAAAATATAGATGCACTAAATATATGTATTCGTTAGAGATATTTTCTCCTATAGGTAAGGTTAGGTAGACTTTATTGATCCCGCATCATACAGACAACAAACAACATGGAGACATCAGAAAAAAGAAACATAGAGTCAACATCAGATACACAACAAACACAGTAAAGGCCAGTGAAACATGATTTAAAAGTGGGACAATAAACGATAAGGACATGATTAAAGACAACAAAAGCCTGATAAAAATGAATAAATACTAAAATAAATACCTCTACAGACTATGCAGCAGTGCCAATTCAGACCCGAGCATACACTGTTAAAAAATCTCACTGCTGCTGGAACTAAAGTGGAGCACCGAGGCATCACAAGTTGCTCATTAAAAGAGCTTTCAAGACCTTTGAAGACATAGAACAATGGATGATCTTTGTAGCCCAGGATTAATTTTAATTTAGACCTGGTCCTCCTCTCAACAATGGCCTCAAGAGGCTCTGGGACTAAGCCAATAACTGATCCGGCCCTCTTGATCATCTTGTTGATCCTATTTTTGTCGTCAGATGATATGCTGCCCCCCCCTCAGCAAAGTACAGCATTACAAAGGACACTAGCCAGAATACTTTGGTAAAAGACATCCAGAAGCCTAGTGCTGACACTGACAGATCTTAACTTTCTGAGAAAGAAGAGTCTAGACTGAGTCTTCTTGAATGGGGCCTGGGTATTTTATTTATTGTCCAAATGGACACCAAGTTATTTACAGGACTCACCAATTTCAATCTGCTTGCCTTTTATCAACAGGGGTAGGACCTACTCTTTTTTTCTGTCTAAAGTCAGTAATTAGCTCTTTCATTTTTTTCCTACATTAAGCTTCAGAAAGTTTGAGTCACACCAGTTTACAAATGAGTGGACCTCTCTACTGTAGGCCAGGTCACTGCCGTTGTTGAGCAGGCCCTATCTGAGTCTTTGTGTTATTACTGAATGACTTTCTATGTTGGAGATATGTATCATATCCAATGCTTAAGTTTGGGCTTTGTGATTGAAGACATCGTGAAAAGGCTTTAATATGAATATTGTATGAAATATTTGTCTTTTTTTGTCTCTTCAGGTTAACAAGATATATAGTTTTACTGGTCATCACAAAGATCCTGAAGGCTCTTGGGATCTTTGAATCTTATGATATCCTCAAAGTTGTTCACATTGTGCAGTTTATCTTCATACTAAAACTAGGGTGAGTATTTGTACTTTCTCCAGTTTCATTTGGATTATTTATTTTGCCTTGATTTTGGCGTTATGCATGATTGATTTTGCTGTATCTCTGATGTTGCTGATAAAGAAAACATGCTTACAATGATCCTCTCCTTTTCTCAGGAGTGCTGTTATTTTGCTTTTCTTTCAAAAGCCCTTCTCTTCAGGAAAAGCCATCTCAAAAAGACAGGTTTGTTGGAGTGCTTCCTCTTAAAACTGGGTGGGTTTGCTTTCACATTTTCTTTCAGTAGTGTATTTCTTCTTTCGGCCTAAAAGTCTTGAGTGTTGAATATTTTACCGACATCAGACTGCTGCTGTGTTGTCAGAAGAAATGTAAAAGTTAAGCTTTATAGCAGTCTGTGATATTAAAATATTGCACCTCTGTCCTCTGTAAAGCCTCAGTGTTAACTTGATATGAATTGAATTTGTGTTTCTGTTTTCTTTGCAGTGGATAAAGATACTTAAACATGCTGTGTTCAGCTGTATTATCTCCCTCCTGGGCTTCTTTGGCCTGACTCTCTGTGGCCCTCTGAGGTAAAATGTCACCTTAAATGTATTTTCGACTCTTTGTACTGCTGTGTGTTTTTCTGCTGTCCCAAATAAATGTTCCTCATATTGCATCATGCAGACTGTTGTGTCGGGTGATCTAAGTCTAGCTTGTGTCTTTCACAGGACGCTGTTACTTTTTGAGCACAGTGACGTGGTGGTCATTGCTCTCCTTGGTGTTCTGTTCACCAGCTCAGGTGGAGGACCATCTAAGGTAGGCGGCCACACAATTTCCGTTCAGTAAATTTCAATTTAGGAGCTTTGTCTTGTTCATGTATCCTTTCAGTACCACAGAGGTTGTCCTCTACTTACTGACGTAGATCTTGCTGAATACCTAACTTGTTCCAAAGCAGGTTCTGTTCAGTTTGAGAGATCAGTTTGTAGAAAACTGAACCAGTTTGCTCGATCATTGAACTCTTTGAGCTCTGTTTTTGATCAAACTTCAAGCTCCTGAGAGGAACTTTCTGTCTGTGTTGACTTTGGCGCCCCCTGTGGACAAAGCGATAACCCTTACGTTGTTCTCAATTTTTTCTCATCCTTTTGAAAGGGGTGTCAATTGATGCAAAAATAATGTTTTACTGTGAGATTGTTCATTTACCTCAAGTGTTTGCTGTGTAGAAAGTAGTAGTTTTTTCATCATACCTTCCCCCTCACAGGCATTAAAAATAATCTTATCTGCTTTAAATACATCATAGAGAAGAATCACTGTTCATTTCAATCTGTTTGAGACTGATCTAAAACTCCTCAGAGGAGGAGTAAAATGAAAAATTATTATGTTGATGGTGGAGCAACTTAGCAAGAGAAAGGCAAAGACTCTCAAACATTTATATCTAAACTTTCAAAGGGTCAAGCTCACATGTTTCTCCTCTGCTGTGTTTTGTGCCTGACAATAATTAAGACTGCTCGTTTTTAAATGACTGTTTTTAACTTTCCCTGCTGTTTAAAATGACTGTGCCACAGTGGCTGAAGTGTTTAGCGTTTCTGTTTGTTTGTGTTACTTGAAACAGACCAGAGGAGCTGCATTATTCATCATCGCTGTCATCTGCCTTCTCCTCTTTGACAACGATGATCTCATGGCGAAGATGGCAGAGCACCGTATCCTTTCTCGCTGACAAGAGCATCAGTTACAGCTTGTTTTATCCTTGTTTTTGTTTTGTTTTACTGTTATATCCCTGTGCTTGCTTTGTGTCCGCCTTGACTCTTCCTCTAACCAGCCGAGGGACACCACGACAGCGCGCTCACCCACTTCCTCTACACTGCCATCGCATTTTTAGGAGTTGCAGATCACAAAGTAAGCAAAGCCCACTCAGTAAATGTGATGTTTAGAGTTTCTTCCAGAAGCACAGCTAAATACCGGTTCTGCTTTCTTAATGAATTCCCTTCTGTTAGGGTGGCGTTGTGCTGCTGGTGGTCTCCCTGTGCCTGAAGGTCGGCTTCCACACGGTGTCCAGGAAACTGTCAGTGGAAATTGGTGGTGCGAAACGCCTCAATGCCTTAGACAACCTGGTGTCCGCTGTGGTGCTGCTGCCCTGGGTCATAGTGCTCTCAGCGACCACAGAGGTAAGTGCAGAATGAAACACCCTCATGTTCATGTCAAGGTTGTCTGTTGTCTCACATAATATGTCTCTAAAAGTTATCTACTACTTTAAGCGCTTTGGAGAAGTTAAATAACCGAGGGAAAGTTCTTGTATTTCAGAAGATACGTCTGTCTCAGCTCTGCGTTCTCTTCAGTGTCCATATCTTTCTGTGCTTGTGTAAAAGTTCTCTCTTTTCTGATAAATGACTGTAGAAGAATTAGTCTAGATTTGTTTTTGACTGCTTGTTTTTTTCTTCCTCTCCTCCAGAGTAAAGTAGAATCCTGGTCATCACTCATCCTTCCATTCGGGATGATCATTTTCTCTGTGATGATCCTGGAGTTTTACGTCGAGGCCATCTGCAATGCAAAGATGGAGACACCGAGGTGCGCCCGCTACGGTGCCATTGCTCTCATCCTCAGCAGTTTGCTGCTGGCGAACTTCTGGACTCACCCGCTGACTGATCAGCTGCGCTCCATGAGCAAACCTCTACAACAGGACAGCACTGAGCATGTGCTGTCTGGGGGAGTGATCGTCAGCGCCATCTTCTTCATCATGTGTGAGTTACAGATAAGAACATCTTCAAATTCGGCTCAAACTTTCACCCAGACTTCAGGATCTGTATTCGACTGATTTCTCTTTCTCCCTGCAGCATCCAGCATCCTCTCCTCCCCGTCAAGAAGAGGTCAGAAGGGAACCTTGGTGGGTTACTCACCTGAAGGAACACCTCTTTATAACTTCATGGGTGACGCTCTGCAGCACACGTCCCAGTCCCTCCCTCGGTTCATCAAAGATTCTCTGAAACAGATCCTGGAGGAATACGACTCCAGGCAGATCTTCTACTTCCTGTGTCTTAACCTGGTATGTACAGCTGTAAAGGGGAAAACATGCATAGCTGTCTCTTTAAGGTGAATGTTATTGGGAGTACAGGAAATTGAAGTTTATGAGACAAAGAGACATCAGTCACACCAGCTACAAGACTGGATATGTTCTTTGATTGTTTTTCCTTGGACATTAGGGGTTTAGTGAAGCAGAATGTAACTGACATAATATATAGATAAAAGATATATTTGATCATGTAAACAGAGAAACCTGGTTATTCATATTCCTGTATACATGTTCAACACAGGTATCCTGGTTTCTGATCAAATTTTCGCAGACGCCTTTGTGTTTTTAAATACTTACTTAAATATACTGCATTGATTTAATAAAGTTCTTCTTCTTCTTTAACCATCTGTGGTGTATTGCAGGCTCAGCACCTGGCTTTAAAAATAGCATAATATACAGTTAAAGATTGGAAGCTTCACTCCTTCTTCCACACACACACACATGCTGAGCAGCAGGGTGGTTCAGGCGATCACAGACTGAGTTGCTGTGAGATAAAAAGTTTTGATGTGTCTGCCTACATGTGAAACCTGATTTTCCTGATGTTGGAGTCGTGCAGTTTCTCTTTGCATTGATATGACTGCAGAGAAAACTGGAGCCTCTGATTACAGAGAGGAAACAGACAAAACGATTGAGTCGTTAAAGACAGATCCATGTTATCTCTCGTGACTTCACTGCATTAACAAACTCTCATTAGTGTGGGTTTGTCTCCTCTCGTATTTTACCTGCAGCATGTTGAGGCATTGATCATGTATTGGACTACTGTACATCAGAGTGTGCACTGATGAAGCTTCTTTCAGCCTACAGATCACAAAGTTCATGCAGAGAGACTTAGTAAACAGAGATCAGTGTTGTATCTGCTCGTCTCCTCACATTAAACTTCTAAAACGTACTAAGTGCAGCTGTTACTCCATGTCTTTCCTCCTCAGCTCGAGATCTTCTCATACATGTAATGCAGTCTTTCTCATTCAATAAACACAAACATCAGACTGATCATATAGAGTATTAAAAAAATAAGCATCCTGCCTCTACCTGGCCTGGCTTATTCATCTTCTGTTCTGATAACAAACATTTAACATATTGTGCATCAGCTTGATAACTGAATTGGAATCTAGTTTTGTTTACTGAAAACATGTGAATTTGAGTTTTTGTCCTTGGTCAATCTAATTTCACTTCTTTATCTTCCCCGCTTTAGGCGTTCACATTTGTGGAGTTGTTGTACGGCGTTTGGACCAACAGTCTGGGTCTGATCTCTGATGGTTTCCACATGCTGTTTGACTGTTCAGCGTTAGTCCTCGGCTTGTTCGCTGCCCTCATGACCCGCTGGAAAGCCACCAGGATCTTCTCATACGGGTAGAGTTCATGAAGAACACGTGAAAGGACTTTGGTTTGAGATATAGGAGTAACTATCAACTAAATGATTAAAATGCGTCTCTTATTTATTTTTGCAGCTTCGGTCGAGTTGAAATACTCTCTGGATTCATCAACGGCCTCTTCCTGATGGTCATTGCTTTCTTTGTTTTTGTTGAGTCCGTCACACGCTTGTTGGATCCTCCGAATATAAACACAGACATGCTGACTGTAAGTAAATTATTAGGTGTCAGAGCTAGTGTCTGAACATGATGAACTTTGGATCTTTTACGGGACACCTCAAATTTTTCTGTCTCCTTTTTTTTCTGTCTCCTGCAGCCGGTGTCTGTCGGAGGCTTGCTGGTCAACCTGGTGGGCATCTGTGCGTTCAGTCACGCTCACTCCCATGGCAGTAAAAGCTGCTCGTCACACGACCACGGTCACTCACACCATGGCCACTCCCACAGCGAGCACAGCCACGGAGGTCACGGACACTCCCACGGGGGGCATGGACACAGCAGTCACGGGCACGGTGGACATGGACACTCCCACGGTGGTGGAGGTGGAGGCGGAGGAATGAATGCAAACATGAGAGGTGTGTACTTCAGCTGAAGACGGCTTTTGTCTTTGAAAAGCTTCGCTCAGATGTAACGATCGTGTTTCACCTTCTTCCAGGTGTTTTCCTCCACGTCCTCGCCGACACTCTGGGAAGTGTGGGTGTCATCATCTCCACCATCCTCATCCGTCAGTTCGGCTGGTTGATAGCAGATCCTATCTGCTCGCTCTTTATCGCCACCCTCATTTTTCTCAGTGTCATCCCTCTGCTTAAAGACGCCTGTGAGGTTCTTCTTCTACGAGCTCCGCAAGAAAGCGAGAAGGACCTGAACAGTGCTCTGGAAAAGGTGAGAAAACAAACCTCGCTGCAATAAAGGAGAGTGCATGAGGATTTATTCCTCCAGGTTATTCTGTTACATCAGATAAATGCATGATTTCTAATTATTACTATATTTAAAGGTCGATTTCAATCAAAAAAGATATTTATATCTTCCATTTATTGTCACTTTTGCACTTGACCAAAAACTCAATTTCTTGGTAATCTTGCAGTTTTGTTTGGTGCATAATCAGCTCAGATGTATCAGCTGCTGTAAGCTAAAATCAGGTTTTTTTTGCTGCAAGTTCTTCTTGAAGTTGTTTTTACATAAAGAGATAAACATAAAAACATTACATAAAACATAAGTTGTAAAAATATATATATTTTAAAATCTGTGCACTGAGGTTAATTTGTGTTGTTCTTTCAGATTGAGAAGATTGAGGGGGTTTTGTCGTACAGAGATCCTCACTTCTGGAGACATTCAGCCAACATGATCGCAGGGACCATCCACCTCCAGATCATGTCCGACGTGGTGGAGCAGAGGATCATTCAGCAGGTACAATCAAAAGAAAAGGGATACACATTAAACTGAATTCATCCTCTAGATGTCTGCAGTAAAAATATGAATAATTTCTCTGATTTGTAGGTGACGGCCATTTTGAAAGACGCAGGGGTGAATAATCTGTCGGTGCAGGTGGAGAAGGAGGCGTACTTCCAGCACATGTCTGGACTCAGCACCGGCTTTCATGAAGTTCTGGCGATGACTCAGCAGATGGAGTCCATGAAATACCTGAAAGATGGGACGTGTATCATGTGAAAACCATCTGTGGGACCAAATAAACTCGACTCTCAGTTATTATTATTATGTTCAGTTAAATGTACAGTATTTGTGTGTATGTGGGTCAAATAAATCTGAATATATTGGTTTAATCTTCGTGTCAGCTCTTGTTTGAGGTGTGTGTGCTCTGTTGAATACCTTATTAAAATACACTGAGTGTTTTCACCTGGATAGAGAAAGTTACAGCTTTCAGATGGAAGTAAAACATGAGCAGTTTTTTACTTTTATACTACCACAGGGAGAGAAACACTAAATTCAGTTTTTAAGGAAGGTATTTTCTTCAATCTGACAGCACTGACGACTTTAGCGTGAAGAATTAAATGTTAAAAAGATGTTTTTTTGTTTTTTTTTAACTAAACAGATTTTTAAATTAAATGTTGAAAGGTGGACTTCTCTCAGGTAGTTTGGTTCGTAGTTCATTTTATACCCACAGAACGAATCCAAAATACCATTGACCAGCTTTGAGTCTGAATGGTTTGAGAAATGAAGAGGAAAATTATATTTTTCATTTACTTTATTCTTAAGTCATGGCTTCAGTATCAATATGTAAACAAAAAAATGTCATCAATCATCTTTTCTAGCACTCAGTCTTTATAGCTTTGGCATTGGCCAAATTTGGAAATCCAAGAAATGTTCATGTTTGTGTCACTGTAGGTGCATCTAAACAGATTATTGTGTAAAAGTCCCTTTTTTTCCTTAATAATTCGAAACTTGTAAGTGAATGTGTTTGCCTAAAATATATAGAAGGAACAAAAGAGGATTAGGACCACAAGAAGAGAAAAATAATTACAGGAGGGAGATTTTTTAAATTTCCATTTCAAGATTAAAGTCGAAATTTTTACGTTAAAGTCGAAATTTTAAGAAGTTTAAAATTTCGACTTTATTCATGTCGACTTTATTCTCGAAATTTCGACTTTACTCTTTTTCTAATCTTGAAATTTCAAATTTTATTCTCGAAATTTCAAATTTATTGACATAGTTTTGTTCTTTAATCTCGAAATTTTGACTTTAATCTTCTTCCTGTACCAATTTTTTTCTCTTCATGTGGCCCTAATCCTCTAACGTAAAAAAGCCACTCTTATGTCTACATATATATATACATATATACATATATATACATATATATAAATATATATATGTGTGTATATATATATATATATATATATATATATATATATATATATATATGTAGACCAAGTGGAAAGAGAGCTGGACTAAAATAAAGTTACCTAACCTTGCATTTTTTTTCTCATTGCCTCTTAGCAGTTGCAAAAAAGTGAGTTTCTGTTTTTTGGGTTTCTGAAAATCCACAAAATATTTTTGCGATGGGGTTCTTCTTTTGTAAGGACAAATGAACCCTTATGGATGAAGGCTGCACCCACATCTTTTAAACTGTAGCAGTACTTAACCTCGTGTCCAAACACGATCACTTCTGGCTCTAAAATCAGAAAAAGAGATTAAAAAAAAATAGAGAGTGTCGACCAAATTTCTGAGCTCAGGACTTTAAAACTTTAGAACAAAGAGTGGCATCATTTTGACCGTGTTCACTCTTGATTTACACACAAGCACACACATGGATTAGAAAAGAAATGAGAGATAAAAATCAGTATGAATTAACTTTCTGGATTTATTTGAGCAATGAGCATTAATCTAATGCATATTAAGTGGAAGAAACACACTGTTTCACACACCCTCTGTCGCTACAGTGCAGAGAGAAATGCCGACTATGATACAACTGATATGTGTTGCTCCATGAAAACAGAACTACATGAGGAAGTTTCTTTTTTACCCACATCCTGACATGTTCATGTAGCCATGTAGGAGTCAGGAGTCTGTAGTGTGCAAAAAATACAGGGTTCATGCATCCTACGCGGTTGTTTTTCTTTTCTCTTCTTACTCGATCTCATTGGAGGTTCCCACTGTGGCCTTGATCTCCATTTCTGCAGAGGAATCAGAGAAAACATCCGTTACAATTTCAAATAAACATAAGGTGCGTAGAGAAGAAACCCACCACATTAATCCCGACGTTATACTCTACCCGTAAGTGAAATAATCCACCGTATGAGCTACCAAGGATGATGGGGAGTGAGAGCCTGCAGATCAAAACTGTTATCAAGTGGACCCATCAGAAAGCTGAGCGGTTAGCTCTTACCGTCTCGCTCCTCCCTCCGATCATATTCTCACATCAAAATAGAGAAAACAAGAGCCAGGGCGAGGAGTCTGTTTGGACTAGAACTCACCCCTGCAGAGCTCAGCCGCCCCCTAGTCCCCCACATGCACAAGGAGGAAAGGAAGCTCAAACCAGCTAGGTAAGACTATACATGAATGAAGGCAGCAGAGGGAGGAGAAAGAGAAAAGGTGAGTCGGTTCTAGAATATTAAAAGAAGACAAGGAAGGTGGAGCCAGGGCCTTTTTGAGCTATACGGCTTGACCCTGCTGATCCAGTCTGCACGCCCTGCCTTCCTTTATTCCTCAGAGTGATAAAACAAGTGAGTAGAGTAGATGCTAGAAAGGTGATAGAGAAGACAGAGGTAGTTTCATGTGTTTCTTATTCAGCAGAGGAAACATCTGGAGGAGATTGTTCACCTGTGCAAGGTCCACTTTCTAAGACAATGTCATCGATGGCGATGTCACTCCTCACTGAAGAACCTCTGATGGCTTCAAACACGATCTGTAACAGCGACATGAAAATGAAGGTACAGCACAGGTGCGTTCGAGTTTATTTCAAGTCTCAAAAGTGCGACACAGAAAAACAACCTCTAAGACTAATCTGTTAATATGGACTGTTAATGCTGCTGCAATAGAGCGGAAGAAAACTCTCATCTCTAAAACCTAGACAAGTTCATTTCTGACTCTCAACATTTATTGTAATGTGAAATATATATTCTTTGAACTATTTTAATCTTTTAAAAACAAACACTGTGACACTTCTGAGACTTGAATGATCAAACCATCACGGCGACTACTCTCGTTGCTCTCTCACCTGATGCTGGCTGTCGCTCTGGTACTCCACAGTCGCTCTCAGCCAGGCCATACTCTGCTCGCCCGTCCGCTGCCACAGCAACGCTACCTCTCCGTCCTTGCTGAGGAGAATGTTGAGCTGTCCCGTTCCAGAGCCGTACATTTGGTAGAAGAAGCGCAGACACTGAGGCCCCCTTGAACCCCTCAGGATGGAGGACAGGAGCTGGACTCTCTGACCGTGCAGCAAGGGTGATGCCTCCATGTGTAGGTAGTATCCTATGTGCATTTATATAATAATTCGGTAACACTTTACTTGACGCCTATCTCTATAACGCATTATAAATATATGTATTATGCGTAATAATCACGTTGTAGCACTGTATAACTATAGTTATAAACACTCATAAATGATCATAATGCTTTATAGCAACAATCATAACACATTATAAAGCATTTGATCATGACTTACAAGGTTAGGTATTTTAATGTGTTATAACTGTTAATAACTCACTGACAATAGATAATGCATTATACATATATTTATTATGTGTTATAATTTGCTTATAAACTTGTATAACTATCGTTATAAACACTAATAATACCTGACCTTGTAAGTCATGATCAAATGCTTTATAATGTGTTATGATTATTGCTATAAAGCATTATGATCATTTATGAGTGTTTATTACTATAGTTATACAGTGCTAAAATGTGATTATAACACATTATACATATATTTATAATGTGTTATAGAGATGGGCGTTAAATACAGTGTTACCGTAAATTCCGTTTCTGACATGATAAGGAGATCTGAAGCAGATTTCTCACCCAGTCCTGTGGTGTGGTCTCCTCTGGGCCCGGTGTACGAGGTTGGGGTGGGTCCTCTCCTCAATTCCCAGTCCGCATCGTCGTTCTTTTTGTCCTGGGTGTAACCGCAAAGACCTTTTTCAAAGTCACAGTGACCTGGTAGAGGTGATGATAACATACCTGCAGCAGAACAAAGAAGGGATCTGTGTGTGTAAGTTGGTCTAGCTGTGCAAAGACAAACTAAGGCCTGGTCTAAAGTCATCCATGCAGTTTCTTCTGTTATTTGAAGGGTGTATAAGTAAGAAAGTGTACAGAAATGTGCATCACCCCTTCTAAATGAATAAGGGTAACACTATACAATAAGCTACACAAAATTACAGTAGTTAATGAGGAACTCATGAATAGTTACTGAGGAACTGAGGTACACAAACTTAGAGTATAGTTACTGAGGGACTAAGGTACACAAAATTAGAGTAGTTACTGAGGAACTAATAATTAACTAACAACTAGTTAATCGTCCATTCTTCAGGAACTCCTGACCAAATTTCAGAGGAGTAGTTACTGAGGAACTAATAATTAACTAACAGCTAGTTAATGTTTAGCTCTTCAGGAACTCCTGACCAAATTTCAGTTTTGGTCAGTTGCTGAGGAACTAATTAGGAACTCATTAGGATATGCCAGTTTGTCCAAGACAGTACACATGGCCATGATGAAGTAATGATTCAGTACTCATAAACTAGTCCTAATGATGTCTTACTTTACTTTAAGGTACACAAAAAAGGTAGGTAATGGTTAAGCAATAGTTAGTTCCTCAGTGACTTATGGGTTCCTCATTAGTTTCATTTTATTTTCCTCATTTGCTCCTCAGTAGCTTACTTCTCTAATTTTGTGTGCCTTAGTTATCTGAATAAGAGGTGTTTCATTCGATTCATTTGTACCTGCAGTTAGCTCACAGTCCCCAAGGCTAACACTGATGTCATCCAAAGCTACAGAGCCGCAGTCCCAGAAGCTCCTGCAGGTGCTGACGAAGACCACCTGAACAGAAAGAGACAGAGAGATAGAGAGAGAGAGAGAGAGAGAGAGAGAGAGAGCTTTTTACTGTCAGCAAACATCCTGGAGGAAATCTTACAGTCTTTCAGCGATTAATCGTCAACAGATCCGCTTGGATAGAACCAGAAACACCAACTTTTTGATGTGGCTATTCTTCACTTTTCTGCTCTGTTGTTAGTGTGTCACTCTCAAGGAAATAGTCAGTGAAATGCAGTGTGTTTGTAAGTGGATCAGTGTGTAAACTGAGGAACAAAAGGACAGAGTAAAGGATGCCTCAGAGCATTGTTTAAACTCAGAACACATCATATCATCTGCTTCTTAGTAGTTTTTAAATCAGTTTAGCATGTTTGTCTCTATTTCTGACCTGCTCTTTTCCTCATTTTCTGCCAAATCTTCTCTTTGAGTCTTTTTGTGTGTTTCAGTAATACTTCCTTTTCTTTTGTGGTAGTGAAATTTCCTCCACAGACTCAGACACAAATCTCTCACTTCAAAGTTGACTTTTTATGAGCTCTCAAGTTTTATCTTTACGTGAAAATGAGCGTGCATAAATTTTCCTGTGCGATAAATGCTAGCATTCATACCTGATATAAGTTAGCATGTTAAAACTGCAATTTAGAGCTTATTGCTGTAGCCAATAACAGCAGATTGTGAGGGCCACTGAATTGAGTTGTACGTTTAATCAGAATCAGAATCAGAAATACTTCAATAATGCCCAGGGGGGAAATTGCGGTAACCCTTTCTTTTACGGTACACTTTTTTCTGTGCAGCTCCATTTTCAAAAGTTATTTGGAGTTCTTATTTTCTATGATTGACACTTGATACAGCCTATGGGCGTGCGAAGATTGCGTAGTGATACGGTGTTTGAGCCGAGCATTATCACAGCGACTCACCCGCCAAATGCGTACAATGCTACTGCGCAAGAGGTGGTTCCAGGAAGCGGAGAAAATCCTGGAAATACCAGAGCAATTCGGCTTCAAATTTGTTTGATGATGGAAGGTTACCTACCTGGTAGCTAGACAGTATTGACTTAGTAGTTATCATGTAATTACCAGATAATTTCATGTTGTCACTAGGTAATTACCTGTTAATTACCTGGTAATAAGTGTACCGTAAAAGAAAGGGTTACTGAAATTGCTTTTTGTTACAGTAACTCCAGTGTAAATAAAGTAGAAAGACGAGATAAATAATAGATCAAATAAGTTGAAATAAAGAGATAATATACAAGTGCGTACACTATATGCAATGCCAAATAGTAAAACATAGTTAAAATAGTATACCACAAAATAGTAAATAGTAAAATAGTATGCATAAATACAACACAGAATATTAAAATAGTATGCATCAAGTAAAATAGTATGCATAGTATAATCACAGTATTTAAATAAGTGAATGTCAATAGCAGATTGATACCATGCTAAAGCACATTATTCTGTGATCAACAAACTTTTTCCTAAGTTTGTTTGTCACCACTGAGATCCTCTCTTTGCATCAGCTCTAGATCTTTGGATTTCTCTATTTTTATTCTGACTGATGTAATATTTCCATTTCCTCCCTGCTGACCTTGGAAGGCTGCAACGTTTGGAAAGTGACATCTGCCCCGATCCAGATTCCTCTGGATTTCTCCCCTTGAGTCCAGATCTTCTCCTGGCTGCTGCTCTTCTGCTGCGGCTGCAGATAAACACCAAGAGCCCGGTCCGTCTGGTTGAAACCTGCCGTTGCCACAGTTATTCCTGCTTGGTGAGTCAGCACAATTAATCACAGCAGAGGATTCACACACATGCACACACAGAGTCACATACAGAACAACCGCGTATCTAAAGAGATATTTGGTGCCACTCACCCCTCAGAGAGAAGAAAAATCTCAGACAGAACTTCATGTTTCCAGGGAGAGTTGGACCGACCAGGCGGGTAACATACCCAGAGTTTGGATTCAGCTGGGAGTGAACCAACAGGAAAGATCCTGGAAGGAAAAGTTGGACATTATCATCATCATCGTCGCTCAAAGCTTTCTTTTTCCTACCATGAATTTTCACAATTCTTACCCACAACTTGTCTTAGTTGAAACTTTTTGGAAGTTTTTTTTTTTTGAAGTTCAACCACAATCCCGGTAAAAGTTTTACTCCTTTCGCCCCAAAACAGACACACAGCCACAATCAAATCTCTCTTTACCACACTTTTATAGGCTAAAATACCAGCTGTGGTGTTTTAGTGTTTTTAAAAGGCTTCACTCGGCTACCACTGCAGCTGCACTACGCTTTAATACCTGAATACAGACAGGAGTCATCCTCAGGCCCGGCAAACTAACTCAGATGTCTTAAAATGTGAAAAATCAGATATTGCTCGCTGTAACCCACCTGCTCCCGTGGTGTGGTCGCCATTCCTGAATATGTTTGGCTTTACAGACACTCTCCTCCAGGACCCCATCCCCTGATCCTGAGAGTAATGACAGAAACCTGACTCAAAGTCACAGTTGGCGATGGAGGGGTCAAAGGTTGGCTCTGTGGAGAAAATATATGGAATCAGCAAGCGGATCTGGATTAATGATTACTGAAATGGATTAATCAAATTTGAGTATAAGATTTGTCAATAAGAATCGTATGACACATGTTTTGGATATTTATACTCCCGAGCAAACACACTTTTCTAGAAGCTTCTGACTTTCCTTTAGCTGCAAAACTAGGTCAAATTTTCAGTTTGGATCATACAGAGGAAATATCAAAATCCAAAATCCACCCAAAACCCAGAAACCAAAGTTTTCAGCTTCTGTACACTCCTCTAAACCCTGAAGTAACAACATTTAAGGCTTTTAAGGATGCTCATCCAGAAAAAAATAACAATTCAAATATGAAAATGAGCTTGTTGGGACTTAATCTTATGTAACTGTGCTGCTCCTCACCAGAGTCTGTGCTGCAAAACTCTGGAGAAAAGGAAATGTCATCAACTGCAACGCGTCCTCCTCTCGGGCTGTTAAAGGCCACTTCAAAGACCACCTGGAGCGAAAGACAGATGCTCATTAACAAAGCTGCATGCCATCATGTGCATGCAAGATGCACACGCTCACAGAAGCCAAATCTACGTGCAAAGAGCAGAAATTACAGTTTTGACAAGCCACGAGGATGTGACTTTTCAGACATCACAGCCAGCTGAAATCAGAGGAGAGGAAGTGGAAATATTACATCAGTCAGTATGAAAAAAAAACAAATAAATCAAAAGATGTGGAGCTGAGAAAGAGAGGATACTTGAACAGAGGGTGAAGGGGAAAGAGGGAGAAAGAAAACAAGACAATCAATCATGAGGAAAGTTGGAAGAAAGTCTTCCTTGAAAGCGTATTCCAGTTTAACTCTCAAGTCCATCTTTACCAAACAACGTCAGCAAACAACCAAAACATACGCATATAGAAATGATCTTTTAGGACTTTAAAATGCTCCTTAAATAAAGGTCAGACGCTGTTTTCACACTAACCTGCACTGAATATGGTGCCTTCAGGTCCACCTGCACGGGTATCCATTCCCCCAGCGTCCTGCTCCACTCGCTCTGGTTCTCCGGTCCCGCCCTCCACATCTCCTGGTACTGACCCAGTCTGTCTCTGGTGAACACAGAGAACAGGTTTCCTCTCTCCTCGCTCCGCTGGTACTGAAAGCTCAGGCAGCCGTACATCGGCACCATCGTCATGGGAGACATCAGTTTTGCCACCTCTTTAAAGGTCTTTGCGTAGATGGAGTCCACGTACATGAAGTGACCTGAGAGGGTGATTAAATATGAGTCAGGTTTGGTACAACATGTCTTGGCATCTGTATCAGAATCTTGGATGAAGAATCAGAACTTGTGTCTGAATTACAGACAAACTCAGATTTTGGTTGCCTTTGACCAAATATCAAAAGTAAAGCAGCCATCCTCTTACATATTGTTAGTCTAAGTCAGGACATTTGTGTCTCTGTTATGCATTTTCTGCAATATGTGATGCACAGGATGTAATATTGAGATACAATCTCTGCCCCTGATCTGATGTGGAGGAAGTAACAGAGGCATTATTAGACAGTGGCAATGTGTAGTGATGACAGGACTGTGTGTGCGTGTGTATGTGGAGCTCCTGCTGTGTTTCTGCAACACTGTGATGCAATGTGAAATCACACCCTGAGACACTAACAATATGGTGTCATAGGGTTCATTAAACAAGCACAGAGGCATAAAGAGGGCAGAACGTCATTACTGCACTGTTGCAGGAATGCAGGAATGCATGCCCTGCTTTGTTGACTCAACCCTTGTCAACCCTTATGCATACCTTAAAATTTACTTACACTCGTTAGCCTCGTGTATACAAATGGTCCGTCTAATAAAGTGCAATAAAAATGTTATACATTAATATTTTTTCTGTACTTTTAAAGAATCATATCTTGTGAATAACTTCAGACCTATCAATAGATACAAAGTTTATTGTGATTTTTAAAAATTTTTTTGTAGTTTTTTTTGTTTTGTTTTGTTTTTTTCATGAGAACCCCTTATTTTTTTCAATGGAAAACTACAAAATATGCAATATTTCTAAAAATGAGGCGCAAAGTGAAACATTTGTAATAAAGCTAAAACAGCCTTGACCATGTCAATAATTGATAAAAAATATTGATTTTAATGCATGATTATTTTTGACACAATGAGAGTTCTAAGAAAAAACTTACACTTGTTAACCTTGTGTACACAAATAGTCCGTCTAATAAAAGTGCAATGTTATACATTAAAATATACTGTATATTTTTTAATTTTAATGTAAATGGGGGCAGAATGAACACCCTGCAGTCCAAAGTCCCATTATGATCATGTTTATCATGGTCATTGTCAGGTAGATTTACAATACAGCAAGTTATTCTCAGAGCAGTGAGTTCAGTCTGCTCTTTAATAACAGTAAATGGAGACGTACTTTTTGAAAATAGATGTAATTATGACCCTTTTCAAGTGTTTACTCCCCTGAAGAGTAGTGGGGTTAACACTGATTGCTGCAGACAGAAAGTGTAACAGATACCAGTGAGGTAATGCACGGGTAATTGTTGTTTTTCATGGGACTTAATAACAAAAACAATGAAAAAAAAATGTGATTGCTGGCTCCAAATGTTTGGCAAAAACTATGAAATGTGAGATCATTAGTCTCTTGGGTTTTAATACTTGAAGAATATTTCTTCTGAAGCTACAATCACCTGCTCCTTTTTTAAGAGATGAAACACACAGGGCTCTGATTGGTATGAATTCAGTGAAGGTAAAGTCACTCACCTGTCTTATTGTTGTACGTGTGGTCGTTTGGCATGTCATTATGAAGGAGCTGCCCCCCTCCACCTCCCACGAACCAGTTCACATTGGCGTTCCACTGATTACTGTATCCACAGAGGTGAGACTCTTCAAAGTCACAGTCTGGACCCAGAAAAATGAGAAATCAGTGACACAAACAGTCTTCTTTTGAGCTCTTGAGTTAAAAAAGCCTTCATTCTGTTGTAATGTAATCACCCAGATGAGCACAGATGTTCCTTATCTCAAACTTGTTTGTGAGTGAGTATTACTCTTTGTTTTAGAAAGACGTTGGAGTGATGTATGTGTGAAATCACTGACCGAGGCAGTATCCAGGACTGATGTGGATCTCAAAGACGGCCACGCTGCTCCCGGGGCTCCCTCCAGGTTTACCTTCGACCACGACCTAATCAACAACACATGTTCAGTCACACCCTGCAACCTATGATGTGAATCGACACAAGGATGAGCTCATCGAATATGACTTAATGTATGGAGGGTTAGAGAGAGAGCACACATGAAATGCACAGCAATTTAATTTACTCCAAAGCTCTAGTGAGCCGTGAGCTTCATGTTAAATGGCTTAAAGAAGAAGAAATGACACGCAAGAAGACAGAGGAGAAAAACATACTGTAGTTAAAACATGAGGTCAGAGCTCGCACATGTGAGTACAAGCGTGGACTCAATATGATAAAATTGATATATTTTATAAAGTTAGCATGAAGAACTATGGACGAGGCATAATCCTTTGTTTCATGCTTTGGTAAATAAACAGCTTTACCGACATCCTGAAATCTTTTTGTGAGGATGCTGTTCAAAATGTTCCAGTGTATTACCTGGACCCTTCTACTACAGAGCCATGCTCTGATACCTGCAGAAGGTAGTTTGTTAAAAATAAAGGTCTTCCCTGAAAAAAGTCATTGTCTGAATGGCAGCTTTTCTAGTTATCTTCACTGTCTGAAACCACTGTTGGGGGCAGAGTAAATCCGTTCTCATTTTCCGTGTGAAAGTATCTCAGTGACAGATTCATTTGACTGTTAAAGACAGAAGGATCAGATTTTGGGTGAAATAACACTACATATGTTGAGTCAAGTTTATACTCTACATGGTTTCTTCTTTGCATGGTCCAGTTTTCACCTGCATTTGTAAATGCAGCTTTAAATTAAGTTCACAGACAAAATAGTCACACTTCAGAGTCATGTAAGTTTTTAGAGCAGTGCCACCTGAGAGCACTGATAGATGAAATTGGAAATAAAGTCCCCTGTGTATTTGATCCTGTATTGACAAATTTACCTATAATCAACTTCTTATAGTAGTGAGTGAGTGAGTGTGCTTTGTTTTTGTCCTGCACCTGCATGATGTGATGTTAGAACTACACTATTTCCTAAAAAGTATGACCTAACAGACAGAGGCATTTCCTTTTTCTGGTGAATTTGTCAGGAACCATAACTAAAACTACTCCTCTGAAGATTTGACAATTCCTATGAAGCAGTTTCTCACTGACATGTTTCAGCTGTTTTGTCTAGTTTCCACCAACAGATGTGAAAAGAAATGATTTTGTTGCCTGTCTGTAGTTCTCCATGTGCAAGTATGTCCAGTTCTTGCGCTGAGCAAACCACCTCCAGATGATAGTCCCTAATCTGAAACACGGGTTGTCTTCTGACCCTTGAGAAAATGATGTGTTGTTTTAATCTGATTGTTCAGGAAGTAATTACAAACTTCCACCAAATACTTTCCATTAAGTTCTTTTTCATCAATTCAGCACTAAAAGAAATTTGCATATTGTTTATTGTAAAGAGTAACATGAAGGATTATATCACTATCATGTTGTTGAGTGTCTGGAGACAGTAGGAAACTAGTTTGAATCTTTTGGAGGGAAATTGGTTTGAGAAGAAAACAACGATGAGGGCATTTTCTAACGGTCACTCAGTGGTTCAAAATCCAGCTGTCGTCATGCCAGGAGTAAGGGCCTGGAAAAAGGTGGTGTGTTTGTGTTAGGTAAGAGTAAAGGAGCAGAAACATCTATCAGTCTTCTAGTTTAAATCTCTTGACAGAAATAGGTTCCGTTTATGCACCGAGGGGCCCACACATGGTACAGGCTCGACTTTCCATTATGAAGGTCCTGACCTTGTCAGACTCGGCTCTGCCTCTGCATTTAATATAAACATGGGCTGCACTGTTCCCACAGTGTTTAGACAATGTGTGTGTGTGTTTCCACACGCTTCATATTGGCCTCAGTATACGCCTGCATGTGCTGTGTCAACCCATATCTGTCCTCCTTTCAACAACAGCATAAGATATTGTTTTTCCCTCCAACTGTTATGCTAAAAAGTCTGCAGTTTGGTACTTGATGCACACAAAGCTGACTTAAAATCCCTGCAAAAGTTTGTGTGCTGTAGGAATCATTCGGTAAACTTTGGACTACACATTGTCATTTGAAGTTTGTTTCCTTTCCTCCTTTCTCATTATTTCTCAGATTTAAACAAAGATAAGAGGCACTTTGAAGTGTTTTACCCTGTAAGGTTCGGTGTTGTTCTGCAGGTCCATGCTTGAGATGACCCAGCTGTCAGAGGGCTCCTGGCTGCTCCACAGCGGCTTGTCAAAGCTCTTTCCCTCTGTTCGCTGCAGGACCGTCAGGCTCCCCGACCCGCTGATCTGATAGACGAGCCTCAGACAGCTCCACTCTCCCTGCTCCAGAGCCGGGCTCAACAGGATCCCAATGGTCTCTTTCTGTGGACCAGTATCTGCACTCTTTTCATCATCCTGGTCTTCTGGTATGGCAGCATCCACGGCTACAAAACGACCTAAAACAAAAAATAATAAGGAACTTTGAAAGATAAAACATGGTTCACTCTCTGCCAAAGAGAGATTGCAAAGAGATTTTTTTATTCAAGTCTTATAAATGAATTTAGTCTAATAAATCTATTTGATTGCCACTTAAGTTTACTTGAAAGGACATTTTCTGGGTGTTCTACTTTTTTGTCTTTGTGCACACGTAAACATATTATTTGTTTGACTGGACTCCTCTAGTACTTTTGGAGTCATAGAGCTTCTCAAGTGGATACAAATGTTCATTGTGTGTTTGCAGTAATGACCAAAGTGGACCAATACTTGCACATGCAGTGTTATTGTAATCTCCTGTTTTACACTCATGGTGGACAAATAAGCAAATGAACCGTGTAAAGGGTTAAAAAATCTTGGTTAAAAAAATCTTTTAAATTTGACATGACAAGTGACCAGCAGGATGCAGGTCTCAGTGAATTGGTCTAATTGGTTGAACTAATTTCCTAACTGTTTACGCAGAAATTAAGAAAAGTCCAGAACAATAATCAAAATCAAACATGATTGTTTTGACATGGCAAAATCCTGGATTACAGAGTGTGAGGATAATCCATGTTGAGGTGGTTTGCTACCCTTAGCAGAGTTAGCACCACCAGGCTTCAGCCGTCCTTGCAGATTTTTCCGCATGTCCATGCTGGCAGCCAGTTTAGACAGACACAGCCTACAGAGAACTTTATCACCATTTTCTACACCCAAATTCTGACAAACTGCACACTGTGAGTCATCTGTCATCTGTGCTTATTTACATCCATATTGTAGAGCATTATAGTATTATAGCTCTTGGAGCTCTGGCATTTTGGACCTACAATGATAAAAAATATTGATAATTTGTTTAACCTCTGGTAGTTCTGGCTCTAATCATTGAGTTGGCATCCCTAGTGTGTTACCCTCACAGTTACTAAAGTCACCCTTGGCTGAGCCTAACTACTGAACCAGTAGCCAAAAGGATGAAGAAAACAGATGGGACTAGAAAGAATGAAAAAGAAACCTCAAGTTGTAGACTTTGCTGAATGCAATGGCAATAATCACTCAAAAAGACACTATTTCCCTCTGAGAGACCACCCACTACACATGCCATTACATTGTGACTTATATTTCAGATTTTATGGTTAGCATTGATTTCAGTTTGTCCCATAACTAGTTCAACTCTCCTCCCAGCTTTAACTCTGTTTGTAGAGAGGATAGGATCAAGAAAATCCTTGAGTAAATTCAAGTATCTCCCCTGAATCCCAGAAGGGGAACACAAAAGGTTTCTCTTTTGGCTGTAACAATAGAGAGGACAGATGTGAAAGACTGAATACTGTTACTCATGAAACAATTATTTTGGACAAAGCAGCAAAAATTCAGAGGATAAAGTACTATTCATAAGAAATTCAACCCCAGCCACAACAGTAACTCCTCTTCTCTGCTCCGGGGGCTTTTGAGCTCTCCTTCCTGGTCTGTCATTTATTATTTGTCCCGTGGAAAAGTCCTGCTGCCCTGAGGCTCCCTAACATGATAAACACACATGTAACCAAACTGACACACTCACTATAGAAATGAGCTCATTCAACCCTCCAATTGGATAAGTTTTATGTTTTTTATCCAAAAATCTATGATTGTGAGCAAGTTTTTGACTTTGCATTTTCAAGTTTACGCATAATTTATCACAGTCATGGTGCCACTGACACTCTTTTTTTATTCACTCAGCCTCATTCCCTTTTTTGGACTCGACTAAGAGCTTAAAAAGTGCTTCATTTAATTGACATGACCTCACTCCTCCTGCAGCCTCAGCTGTGCTGCAGAGACTGGGGAGGAGAATAAACGAGCAGCAACACCATCACCGCACCAAACCGCACTGACCTTTTCAAACAAGCCGGCGGCAATAGCAACAAGGACGGAACGAAGGAAAGAAAGAGTAACTATGGCATCCCAGAGGAAAGACTGACAGCGAGATGGTCTGCAACAACCCAGCAAATTCCTGACAAGTATGAGCAGAGATTGTGGTGGGAAAAAAAGCAATAAATCTGAGCAGAAGGGTCTTGCTGCCTTGTCCTGCTGGTACTGCAGGACAAGGCTATGCATGGAGAAATCTGCTGCTACACCAATCCAATGCGATGAAGATGAGAGATTTAAACCCTGTCTCTAAAGCACAGCACTCCTGGAAGCTTGCTACATACGTGAACATAAATTACTAAATCTGTTCACCTGACTGTCTGCAGACTTTTCACTGCCGGTCCTCTTGTAAAATTCTGTCGCTCAGCCTTGTTGCATGATGCACTTTGCAGAAACATTCTTATACATCTTGTTGTGACAATAATAAAGCATCAGTAGGAGGAGTATTGAGTACTCCTCTCCCTTTTTAGGCAAGTGCTACCCAGGTCCTCCCCTTAGTCTAATGAAGTTGTGAGACTTTGCCTGATAATCTCCTGCTGTGAGGTGCATGTTTGATGGTCTGACTGTCCTGAAACTAATGAGGAAATGTCAGGAACTCATCTGTGAAGGATTTAAAAGAGGATTAGATTAGGGTCTGAATACACTGCTCAATGGAGCAAAAGCAATCAGTTATCAGTCTAACATCACACCGTCTGAGTCACTGCTCTGGGCTGGTTTAGGTCAGGAAATAGTCTCAGCACCAAATGTCTAATCAAACCAAAAACTGTTTTTTTTTCCATTACTGCTTTTTCACGGTATTCTTATCCCAACTAAGTGAACCAACCCGTATAAAAAACAATCCAACGATGCATCGTATATACTGGTGCAAATTTTCTGGAATTTACCGTACAAATCAGCTAATATTGCGTTAAAAATAATATTGCACGTTTACATATTACCTAAACTGACTGCAGAGTTTAATGGTTGCTGTGGGACACCTGTGGACTATCACCACAGGTAGGGTGGCAGTAGCTCAGGAGATAGAGCGGTCATCTAATAACCCAAAGGTTGGCAGTTCAATTCCCCCCTATCCTGAGTCTGTCCATTGTGTTATTGTGTCCTTGGGCAAGACACTTAACCCACCTTGCTCCCAGTGTGTGTCCTCCACTGGTGTATGATTGTGAGTGTTGTGTGGTGGTGGTCGGAGAAGCCGTAGGCGCAAACTGGCAGCCACGTTTCCGTCAGTCTGCCCCAGGGCAGCTGTGACTATTAAGGTAGTTTACCACCACCAAAGTGTGACTGTGTGTGTGAGTGAATGAATGATGTATCCAATGTAAAGCACATTGAGGGTCTCTGATAAAGCGCTATATGAAATCTAATGCATTATTATTATAATTATTTTACCACAAGAGTTGGCATACAAGTGTAATAATTCCATCACATGAATGAGCACCCTACTTCTTTAACCGGACTACAGCGAGTGAAGGTTCAAAACAATAATAATATTATCATGATAATTTTATTTTATTAGTTATTCCACTCTGATAAGTTCTGTAGACAGAAGATCAGGAATATCGTCCCTTTCCTGAAATGAATTATACACATTTCACATAGTCTGACCAGAGCTGTTGCATCATTCATTATACTGACTCGCCAAATCTAGGTTTCTAGCCAAGTTATTCAGTTCAGGGATGGACTTTTTTTCCCTTTTATCAGTAAAAGGTCAAAGAGCGAGGAGAGTGTTTGGAAATGATAGCGGGACCCCAGCCTCTCTGCATGTTACTGCTAATGTGATGGGATCCTGCTGCTAATGAGACATATGAGACAGAGGTTTCCAGATGTATCCACAGCTAGATCTCAGTGCAGATAAAGCTACTGAGAACATTATTGACATTTTATTATTTCTATAACAGGGAAAATTTTAATTTTATAAAGGTGTTAATATACTTGTTACCTTATGTCACTTTAGATGAATAGAGCCTGACATCATGTATTTAGGGGTGTGTTCAGGCCCCGTCTGTATCAGCTCCAGTACCAACCCCGCATGAATACCTAAATCTGCTATTTCATTCACTCCAGATGTTCACAGATGTTGGAATCAATGCAGACCAGATGGGTGTCTTTACCACTGTGCGTCAATGGTATGGCTAAAACCAGCACCAAAACAACGGCAGCATCAAAGCTGAACATGTTACTTACATTAGCAAAGCCACAATAAAGTCTAAACTGTGTTCAACCTCCAACACTGAAAAAATAAAAGAGTTGAAGACGCTCTGCCAGTACCATCTTTGTGCAGCTCCCAGCTCGTGAAGTCTGCGTCTGACGTGTATCCGCAGGTGTTGGACTCAAAGTTGCAGGAGCCTGGCAACAGTTGGTTTTGTGCTTGGATGGTAGCTTTAAGAGGGAAAAAATAGGAGGCATACAGTAAGAGAGAGAGAGGCAATGGTAAGTATGAATCATTGCAACTGGCATTAACAGAAACATGCCATCATGCACCAGTACTGGCACTGCCGCTCAAATGCACTTACCAGCAAAAGTCAGGAGGTAGAAGAGAAGCATTGCAGCTCTCTGTGGAAGTCAATCAACCCTCAGATGAAATAAGAAAAGAAAGAGAAGATCCTCTGTTTGCATCCACAGTTGGAAAAAGAGAGAAAAAAAAAACTTGTGCCCCAAGTTTGTTCCTGTAGGTTCCCTTTAGTCTGAGCGTCTCCACAGCTCACAGAGCAGCAGCACACTGCAGACTCTCTGTCAGGAGGTGTGTGTCTGGACGGCAGAACAGGGAGGAGGAGGAGAAAAAGAGAGAGAGAAGTCTGAGAAGGAAAGAGGGAGGAGGAGGAGGAGAAAGAAGGTGAGTGATGGCACTGAAAGGAAGAAAAGACGGACGGATGGAGAGAGAAAGAGAGGGAGGAGGGGCTGCTGGTAAGAAAATAAAGTATGAAATGAGAGAAGGGAAGTTGTAAAAGGCATGGGAAAACAGAGAATTACATTAAAGTAAAAAACTACATTAAGTGCATGAAGAAATTATGGAAAATAGAGACTCCTTGCTGTAAACTTCCTCACACTGCAGTACCAACACATGTGCATCACATGTACAGCACTGAATTCAACCATGTCCAACACCTACAATCAAAGCCCTTCATTGTAACAAAGGCCGTCACTCTTTTTATCAGTCACATATGTGTTGCATGTTCTCACTCACTTGTATTTAGCATATTTGATCAACATATTTCGTTTTCCTGCATGTTTTTCTTCGTCTGCCTTTGAAGCCCCATCTGAGAGAGGCATCATGGGGCTTCTCTGTTTAAGGAGAGGCCTAAATACACAGATGATCTAAACTCCAACAAACCTGCGGAGTCAAAACCTCTTGAATCTATCTGCTGTATCTGATGTGGTTTCAGCCTTTGACAGCATGTAGGCAGTCCATATTTTTTAAGCCATAATCCGACATGTGCAGTCAGTAAAAGCCTATAGTTCCTCTCATGCTGTTTCCACTAGTCTCACTTGAATAAAATTGTCCTCTGAGGATGAGTTAGCATGTCTTCCTGTGGAAACCTTTACTTTACCAACAATGCATAAAAAAAAGGTTTCAAAAAATGGAGAGAAATGAATGCAGTATGCAGGATTTTGGACACTTTGCTTTAATTTTATTATTCTGAGCTCTTGCATCCACATTTGCGATCCATCTGTTAGACCTTCTGTCTCTGCCCTCTGTCTTTTTCTCCCTCTCTGCAGTTGTTCATGGTCAGTCCTCGTCTTTTAATAAGGTGCTGAGAGCTCTCAGTGCAGATGTGGGCCTAAATTATCTCCTGATTGTGTCCAGGAAGTCTGAAAGCAGTTGAGTAAACTTTCTCTTCAAGAAACACAGAGGATCGAGTCACCTCAAGAGGAAAAGTGTGCTGTGCAAAAGTCATCGGAAAGCAGAGTGGCAGCAGTCACTTTGGCTTTGATTGAATTTGGAGGTGTCTGCGTTTTCTCAATTCCAGACAAATTCCTATCACTCATCTGGTTTTCTCTTTCGCTCTAAACGAGACCAGGCTTCAATAAACAACTCAAGAGTGCCAGAATCAACACGATCAAGTGTTCACATTTAGATGCAATCCCAGGAGAAATAACACAAGTGCAGTTTGAGTTTAAACAATGTGTTGACATGCTTTATTGGACCATACAACAGACACAGGTAAGTGACATGAGGGACCAGAAGATCTTTTTTTCTTTGAATGCTCAAAAGAAAGTTACAGCAAGATTAAATAGACTAATTGCTTATGTAATTTCTTTGTTATGTGCATTTATGGTACACCAGACTAGAAGGCATGTAAAGAAAGTTAGCAAAGGAACATAACCAAAGATGCAAGAAAACTTTGAAATGAGAAGTTTTGTTTGATTCTAACCAGAAAATCATGTTTTCTTTGTTGCTTTGTATCCACTTTCAATTAAAGAAACACTTACATTTCTTCATTCTACTACAGCTTCTAGATGCACTTTACATTTATATGCACTTCTTTTACAGTAATTTGCTCTGCTTAAACCCAAAATCTGGAACTTCAATAAACCAGACTCCTCTCCAAGTGAGAAGCTGCAGATCTTCTTGTCATTAAACTCTGTTAAAATCAGCCAGTGGAACTGTTCATCAGGCTTAACTACCGTTACATGACCATAATAAACCATTTAATAGTAATGACATCTCTGCCTCGGTATGTGACTCTCTGCCAGAGTACCAAGAAGATTTCGTCCCCTCTGGCCCTCCACCCCTCTCTCTCTCTCCTCTGGGAACATCTCAGACCACCGCCTCAGTCCAAGAAACCCAAACAAGAAGCTTTAAAGGCTGTTTTCATCAATATACTAGAACTGATTTTCCTCAATGTTTTTTTTTTACACTTGAATTTTTCGATTTCAAATTTGCTACTGACATGAGAGGATATGGAAAATCTCTTATTTTAAGAGGACACCTGTGTGAAATACTGTGTTTTTGCACCATCTGCTGGAGCATTTAATAGTTTGTAAAAAGAACTGTGAAGGTCATTTGAACTATGAAGGTGTAACCTGAATAACACTATTTTTTTTTTACATCATCCAATTCAACTTAGATGAGTATCGTATCGCAAAATAAAACCATATATTTTAAAACTGTCAGTTACTTCCAAGGCAGTTTACTTGAGGAAATCCTGAACTTATTTTCCTATCAGAGTAAGTGGGACTGTTCGGTTCATCTTCTGCCTCTGGATGATCCGCCTGAGGGCTCCTGCTCCACCTCTGCTCTGTTGCTGAGATATTTTTCAAATGGCTGTACTATGCATGTTAATAAGTTAGACTTTTTTGTTTTGTTTTGTTTTTTGGCATTATTATATTTCAGCATGAAATGCTGCATAAATGTTGGACTCCCCAAATTTCCTGGGAGGACCTTAAACCCCTTTCCCCCCTGCCTCTTCTTCAGCCACTGGTTATAAAAAATGCTCTTGTTACTGAAAACAAGTCCTGTTGTGGCTTATGGTTTTCCTTCTTGATCAGTAAGGGATAACATGAGAATAAAAATCTAATTCCTCACACTTACACAGTTTGCATCTGAGTAAATGGCCAAAGTGAGGAGGAATAGGGAATAAATAAATAAATAAAACAATCAGTCAGACTTTATTTTGATAGTATTTTTCATATAATTAAAATAAATACAAACAATCACCCTTAAAAAATAAAAATAAAAAAAAATTAAAAAAGGAAAGGAAAAAAAAAAGAAGTAATTTTTTAACTGTCTGACAAATATCAGTCTACTCCTGGGAGGAAACAATGCCCTTAACTTGGTGAAACTTCCAGTGGTTAGTAAAAATGTAGGGGACTGATACGTTCCAGCTTAAAAGCGCCACCCACAGGCCATCTCAAAGCATAAGTAGGTATAAATGAAGCCTGACTGTCTCATAAACAAGAAAGTGTAGGGTGCATTTTGGATTGAGGCCATGCATGCATTTCTTGCGTGAGAGGAAATGACTCTGTGAAGAGCTAATATGAAACATTTATGTGCATTAATTCAAAATGGGTTCAGTCTATTCTCACTGCATGGTATATGCATCTGAACACAGAACATGTATGCCTTCATGTATGCAGAGACGGTGACAAATTATTGATGTCTCTAGAAGTAGGGCGGCAGTGCATTTCACTCACAGCACGAAATATAGGTTTGTTTGACATGATTTAATGCCGGAAGCAGAATGATAACACTACCTCAGATACACTCTGGTGACCTGATTCTGCAAACTGCTCTCCACACTTGGGAGCATTCTGATTGGCTCTGGACTTGTGTGTTGTGTTGCCCACGCCTCCACTTTTACTCAAAAGTTCACAGCCAGTACTTTACAGAGCAGTGCTGGCTTGATTGTGTGGGTTAAAAAAAAAAATGTGGCTGCAATAAAAGATCCGATGCCATGGATACCACTTCACACCATCACCATCCTCCGTCACATATTGTTGTCACGGTAACGGGTGCTCCGGCGGAAGGGCGCACGTGACTTAGGTGAGAATGCGTTACCAGGGCTCAACAATGTGCAGACACAGGCCCTGTTGATCTGCTCCACCAGGCCTTTCATGACACAGAAATGGGGCCGGATTATCGTGCCAGGAGCCCTGCAAACACCGCCCCCCTGCTTCACACTCCAGTCTGTACATTGTGTATCAGCTATGAATAGTTACTGTATCTTCTATAATACAAGTCTGCCAAAAAGCAAGAATACTAGGCCTGGAATTATGGGGTTTTGAGGAATTTTTACACAGATATGCAAAAAAATCAACAGCGAGAGAACCTTTTCACACATATTTGCATTTCCATGTGTAATGTCTGAGCTTATCAAAGCTTCCAAATACTTAAATGCTCAAGATTAAATCACTTAGGTGAAAAAAAGACCAGTTTGCTGCATTTACATTCAGCCACTAGAGCAGCAACTACAAAAAGTGGTCACAAACAAACATGCATGAAGTACCAGTTGATTGAAATAACAAAGATATAGATGAATGAATTACTTCTCACTGTGGTACTGAGATCTTTTTCAATCAGTTTTTCTACTCTCTAGGAATCTAATTTTTTTTAGCAACAGGAGCTTACTTCTTCATATAAGTAAAAAATAACAACTCACCTACCTGACCTGTAACAAAAGTTCTCCTATTGTCAGCTGAGAGCTCCGAGAGAGCAGCTCCAAAAAAATAAATAAATAAATAAAAAAGCAGATAGAGACAGTGGACACAGCCCCTAACCTTGTACCAAAGGTCAACATGAAGAAAGTGTACTATATGACCTTTACAGCAGCCAGGCAGTAGGGGGAGCACTAAATGTTTGGCCTCACCTTAGAGGGAACTGTTGTGCAGTTCATTTTTACATAAAGCCAAGGGTGTAACCATAGACTAGTTTTAAAGGCTATTAGCAGAAGTTGCAAAGACGGCCTTTTTTGAATACATGTGTGTTCTCTGGTGCTCTGCAGCCAACTTCAAGTGGACACTTAAGGGTTGGTGTTATTTATCATGCCTGGAAGTTGCAGTTTGGATTCAACTCATCCATCTGTATATTATCCACCCAAACCTTTTTTATTATTATTACTACTTATGGTAAAACCCACATTCAACACACTCTCCTGAACTGCCCTTTTTAAAACTAATAGTTAGTTTTATTAAATTTCAGCCAGATTAAAGGGATATTCTGGCGTAAAATTAAGTTAGGGTCAAACACACTGTAACACTGAGTTAGACACCCCCTCGAGAGATGAATACTGCCAACTGCTTGCTTCTCTATTTATACCAACTTTAGTAATGACCGCACAATTGCAATACACAGCAGTCTATGGAAACACACAAACCTCAACCAAAACGCCACTCTTTAGCCACAAATAATGCTCAGGACAGCACCTAACTTCATCAACAGTACATATAGGGTCCTAGCCACAGCACTAGCCGCCAAACATCTTTTTAATTTAGCCTAATTTCTTTAGCAAAGAGGCTAAACACAACTCGGCCAGCTGCCGCTTGGTTGTAGCGAGACCTCAGGCCAGTCCATTACGGACTGCAGCGGGGGACGCAGCTCAAGGAAGAACATTTATGATCATTACTTCATTCAAATGCAATCAGACCGAGACGCTAAGGCAGAAGAACTACCACGTCTGCAGTGCGAAATAATTAATATGGTGATTATTACTTCAAGGAAATGATAAAGAAATGATCATAAATGTTCTTCCTTGAGCTGCGTCACCCCGCTGCAGCCCGTAATGGACTGGCCTGAGGTCTCGCTATAAACAAGCGGCAGCTGGCTTAGCTGTGTTTTGTCTCTTTGCTAAAGAAATTAGGCTAAATTAAAAAGATGTTTGGTAGCTAGTGCTGTGGCTGAGACCCTATATGTACTGTTGATGAAGTTAGGTGCTGTTCTGAGCATTACTTGTGGCTATAGAGTGGCGTTTTGGTTGAGGTTTGTGTGTGGCTCATCAGACCGCTGTGTATTGCTGTCTGTGGTCCTTACTAAAGTTGGTATAACTCGAGAAGCAGGTGGTCAGCAACATTCATCTCTCGAGGGGGTGTCTAACTCGGTGTTACGGTGTGTCTGACCCCAAATTAATTTTACACCGGAATATCCCTTTAAACTTCTGCAAATGTGACCAAACAAGCTATGTCCCCCAAACTGCCGTCAAACACGTGGAAACACGATTGGAGTTACAGTACCAGCAGGGTTGCACTCACTTCTTCCCTCCAGCCCTTCAGGTGCTTGAGGAGCTTGAGGAGTTCATTACATGAGAAAGATCCAACAGCAGATAACAGCGACACCCCCGACAGACCGTGGGAATATAAGAGCTCGGCGTTGCAGCAGGCGGGCAGAGCCCCAGCAGCTCTCTGCAGGCAGCTGATGGAGTGGGAGGGATGAGGGTTCACTCATGGCCGTAAAGCACCGTTTGTGTCTGCTCTGCACCACCAGCAGCATCAGCACTGTTTGTAAAGGCGCTTTGTGCATCGCTAATCCGCTCTGATGTCACGGTGCAGGAGGAGGGGCTGAGCTCTCCGCTTTAATCCCAGCAAGTTGTCTGGAGGGACAAAACAGACTCAAACCGAGCCAGCCGAGCAGGCACGGGAACAAGGGGGCGATGAGGACTGCTGCAGCATCCGGACCCGGGCCTCTCCTCCTCTGACATGCAGGTAGGCTTACACGAGTGGATGTCCCACCCGGCAGCTCGTGAGAGGGGGACACCGGGTTTGGTGTGGGGCAGGAATTTGTTCGAGTCGTTTTCGCTCATGGCGGACTCGACACCTGCGGAGATTTCATTTAGACTCATATAAGGGTAAAAGGGAAACATTTAGACAGGTGACAGTTTGCTGCCCTTATGTGAAGAGGTGTCAGGCTATGCTCTACATAGGATACATAGAAATCCTGTGTGATATCAACATTTGCGTGTTTCTTTTCTTGAGTAACGCCTTTATCATTAATAGATTGTTTCCTTTCAGTGCATTTTGAAGGAACAGGATGCAGATAGATTTACAATAGTCACCAACCTTTAAAAAAAGAAAGGTTTCTCTACCTTCTTAACACAGAACCAGTCAAGGCCATGAGAGGAGATTTGAGAAGCAAGTAAGCCTTCAAAATAAAAGCACGACTTGGCAGTTTGGCACTTGTTCATGGATTAATGGTATCCCCTTGGAGCAGTGGCGTAGTCTTCATGTAAACACTATGTAAGTAACACGACTATTGATGAAACCCAACATAGACCGTATGTTTGTAGGTGTGTGTGTGTGTGTGTGTGTGTGTGTGTGTAAGTGTATGATTGTGAGTGTAAGGAGAGAGAGAGGGGGATATGTAAGAGGATGATTCATGCTGTCAAAAATAGAAAGATGAGGAGATTCCTCCAAAGAGCGGACAGATGCAACTGATGATAAATTCAGTCTTAAACCGACAAATACAAGCTGTTGTTTTCTCTATTTTCTGGTTTGTCAATTGAATATAAAGCCTTTAATTGGTGTTTTCTTCAACTAACTGTCCTGAACCAGAACATTAATACTAAATTATTCAGTCGCATTATATAAAATGAGGCAGATTATCCAAACTGTTAGGTATACAAGACAGGGTTATGATTACATTTTTCCTTAGTGATCAATAAACATTATTTTTATGTAGTCAAGGGTTATGGCTTGAATTTGGACAAAATTTGAGCCCAGACTTGTATGCACCAGGGCAGATGAGTAGGTAAGATTGTAAAGTAGTGCAAAATTGCACCCGCATGATGCAGTCGGTCTTACATTTCAGAGAGCTTCCTTTAATGCTGCTTTCACCAGATCTCTGCAGCACAAAAGTGCAGTAAGTCTTGGTCTGTTAACTTCTTCATTACACAGTTTCACAGTGAAGTTATGGCTGCAGATAAAACAGTCTCGACCAGAATCAGAGTCGAAATGATTCACCAATGAGTCCAGTAAGTGTACCGGGATGAATGCTAAATGAATACTGTGAAGATTTTGAATGCAAGAAGTTGATGCAGTTTTTTTTAGAATCCGATTTTACGCATCTCTCATAAGACCACAAAACAGTTTCTTATCTAGTGGTCTGTTAATTTCCTCAAGTAATTTGACTGTCGAGGAGGAGTCACAATCTAGTTTTAACCACTCTAGTTTTGACATTGTTTGTAATATTATTTGAAATTTTATATATAGCTTCAGTTACAAAACTTAAGAGGATTATTAGGTAGTGAAAGGACACACCATCATGATCAAAGTCATTGAAACATGCTTAAAATAAGAGAAAGATGAAAAGAACCAAAGCCAACACTGAAACACAGAATTTTCTAGAGAACAAATATAGACACAGTCTAGCAATCCTGGTGCAGAAACTGCAGACCGCGCTGAGAGTATTTTGAACTCTGAGTGTGGGCGTGCTCTGCAGAACAAATCATGTGATAACAACATTTCTGAAGCAAGCCAAGATTTGTCTCTGCTTTAAATGTTCTGCTTACAGATACCAATTTATCGCTGGTATTGCCATATTTTTAATGATTTAAACTGATTGATATTGGCACATTGGTAAGAGATCAATATTCAAAGAACATTATTTTGTCTGACCCAATATATCATCATATTTGTGAAACTGCGTGGAGATCTAGGAGATGAAGATGGGCTCTTGGTTCAGAATATACCAATCAGATGAAAACAAGACAGGGCAGCTATATTTATTCATCACATTTTGTAATCAGAGGCAATTTCAAGTACTTCACTGAGTAATTAAACATAATAAAAAATACAGACTTGCTTTAAAAAGGGCAGAAATAAAAGTTTTTAAGATTCTTTGTGAATTGAATCTTGTGAAAGCAGCTCAGAGAAAAGATAAAGTTTATTTTGAAGTAAGTTTGCAGCTATTAGAGGGTGGACTAGATTCAGTCAAAAATGTTAAATTTTTCCCTTAAATTTTCTTTGAGGGCTTATTTTAGTCATGTAGTGGAGGAAGTTTAAGGCTAGTCAACAGAAGTAATCAGTGAAAGTCTTCGTGAAAGTGCGTACACTTCATGCGTTGTTGCCAGAGTGTGTTTGTCTCTTAGTATAAGATCAGCAAGTTAATGGGCTGGTAAATCCTCCACCCCGCGGCTTTCACTGCAGCCTGACAGATGGGAGTACAGCGCTCGGCTCGCAGCTCTGCAGGCCTGAACGTTACAGAGCCGTGCTGCCAGGGCCATCTGTGACCTGGGCAACCCTTTCACCCTGACCCCGCCCATCCCTCCGAGTCACCCAACCTAATGCCAACCAGTCCTAAACTCCTGGCAGGGAGGGAACTTAGCTTCCCAGGGAGTCCGCCCTCACTCCTGTTGCACTTCTTTGTGTTTACTCCCTGACAGTTGTGATCCAGGCTCAGATTACAGGGATCAGCATTAACCTCTGACCCCAGTGTCTTCTCCGTGTACATGACTTCGATTTCTAAAGGACGAGGATTTATATCGCTGCACGTATAAAATGACAACCCCATCAGTAAACCTTCTGCTTAAGCCAATATGAAACGTGTTGATTCAAGGCAAGCCGCTGTAACTGTCAGTAAGGGGGGGCCTTGTCATAAATTAACTTAGAGTCACGCATGAATGCGACAGATAGAGTATACTCTGCACAAACCTATAGAGCTGTAAAAGTGATGTTATGCAACCATTTTTCACAGTAACCAGAAAATTTCTCCACTTGAAAAAACACAAAATAAGTTGCACAAATAAGTTGTTTGGTTATTTTTTATGTACCTAGGCTCTATTTTTGTGTTTTTTGTATCCAAAAGGCTGTGGGGCTCAAACATTTGGTTTAATTCCACTAATTCACTGCAGCTACAGAAAAGGCTCTCATGGCAGCAATATTATCTTTGAAGGAAAATATCCCTGGTCAAAGTTTATGTGCGTACTTAAAATGCTTGTTTTTGCTGCTGAAAGGCTCAGATTTGTACCAGAACAGTCGTAAAAAAACAGTAATATAATGTTGCACACAACACTGCAATCAAAACCAACAACATCTATGTCCTGCATTGTGAAAAATAGGAATGTGTCAATGTCGTCAACCAAATGGCCTTACAAGACAACAGAATGCCTGTTAAACTTATTATTATAATAGTATTATTATTGTCTCTCAGTGTAAGTCTGAAATGCTGGTCTCAAGTTGTTGTTGGCTGCTGGTAGTGTAGCACAGTTTGGCAGCGTCTGACTTTTCTGAGTGTTTTCTTATTTTTCGACAAGTTGGTTTGTCAGAATTCATAGTTCTATTTTAACCACCAGCCACTAGCTCCAGTTAGTAATGACTGCTATGATGTTAAAATGCTTTACGGCTTAAGCTTAAGTATAGACCACATCTCATAGTGTGGTGTGGTTTACTAGTGTTTTCATTTAGAAAGCGGAGATCAATAGTATAGAGGCTGTATCTGGTTAAACGTGACCAAAGTAATGAGTACTAAGCACAGACTCGTAAACGATAATGGAGGACCTTAAGATGGTGCTGATGCCTCCTCTGTTGTCAACTATAATTGGTAAACTAAACCAACATTGTTGTCCACAGACTTTGAATCTTGTATTTAGCTGTGATGAATAAAGTTTGGTTGAACTATTTTCAGTCATACAACAAGAAAACTAGCTTCAAAACATCCTCTTGCAAACATATTGTTTTTTTAAGGGGCTAACTTTCAATGACTCTAAAGCAATATAATACAAATTCCACTCAGGTGGACATTCTTCATTCAGGCACATTTGCCCTAAAAGATTTTGTTACGGCCATTACAGCCAGACATCGGTTATCTAAATTAGACAACCATCTCTGAGAAAAGAACAAGATTGTGCTCTTTTGTCCTTATTCTCAGTTTGGTGCCTATTTCTTAACCACAATGCCAGGCAAAATCTATGTTACCTGCATAAAAGGACGGCAAGTGATGTTAAAAAAATTCGGATTTACCCTCTCTGACATGATTGACTCGATCTAATTACAAATTCAGCTGAAAAACAACAGTGATGTCTGGATCCTGATCAAGATCATTTTAAGGGAGTCAATGGATGATGTTCTGCAGCCATTTATCTGAGTTAAGGATAGAGAAATGTGGATATTTCATGCGTGCGGTTACACATGTATGGATCGTTTTGAAGAGATGAATTATTTAAGAGAGCAGCGAACATAAAACATATGGAGTAGCAGTAATGAGAAATACAGGCCTTCAGAACGACACATTAGTCCTTCTCTTTATCAGTTGACTGTTCCTGAAACAGCCACGAGGACTGCGTTCCTGTGTCCTTTCTCAGCTCGTTGACCTCCAGCTCGCTGAAGGCCATGATCAGAGATAACTGATGGAAACCCCGATAGCCTTGTCATGTTAAATAAATATCAAAACCGGGGCTTCTCTAACACAGAGGACATTTATTATTCATATGGTGGCCTTATTCATCCCTCCACCAGGTCTTATCTGATACCAAAGATATCCTTCCTTGTCCTCTTGCCCTTCCCTCCCACTCCTCCTCCTCCTCCTCCTCCTCTTCGTCCTCTTCTCTCTTCTTGTTTTGTGCCATCTGCCAGCTGCTGCTGTACAGATGAACGTGGTGCAGATTAAAGTGTAGTACACACCCAGATGAATCCCAGAGGATTTGGGACTCTGCTATTAGCAATATAGAGGCAGGGAGTTCCCAGCCTGATACTCAGCAGCATCACTGCAATATTTCCTGAGTGTGTTTGTGTTTGTTTGTGTGTGTAGTAAGTGTGCATATATCAGGTTGGAGAGATGTTGGGTTAATTAGCTTTAGTCTTGTGAAGCTAAAGAGCTGCAAACTTGATGAGAGCAGTTCACTTCATAAAAACTGCAGCAATTTTAAACAGAGCTGAAGAGAGGAAGCCAGCAAACTGCTCCTATTTTTTTAATGCTCATCACTTTACAGATACTAAGAACTGTAATACAGTCATGGCTGAAAGCAGGAGTAATGTATAGTGAGCAGGTATGTATGCTGGGTGAGACTTAGCAACAAAGATCCACTCTGAAGGGGGTTGTGTTTTATCTAATCCCCCAATTATGAGTAGTGTAACGGGTCACGATTGGTCCATGATATGTTCAGACCCACAGGACTGAGTGGGATCTGCAGATTAATGGAAAACTTACCATCACTGTGTGCTATAATGAGTTGTGACAAGCTCCTACCTTTTCTTCAAGCACCTGCCTCTGCTTCAAACTGATACGAGTATGAGAAAGATGCCTGACCATGTATGATATGAGTGTGTGAGTGAAAGGAGGCATGGGGCTGAACATGATCCTGTTTGGGACTCAGTTAGCACCTAAATATACAAACAAGTCGACACCAAGTATTGATCCAAGGATGGTTTTATTGATTTAAAATGACTTATTTATGCTGTTAGAAAATGTGACTGTTTGTAGCTCTCCCATGGCAACAGATTTTTTTCTTAGATCACTTGTGGATCAAATAACATTACACTTCGCATTTAGATAGATAGATAGATATACTTTATTGATCCCAAACTGGGAAATTCTCTAAGAAATGCCCTGACTGGGATTCAAACCCAGGACCCTCTGGGTGTGAGGTGACAGTGCTAACCACTACACCACTATGCCACTATGCCGCCTATAGTTATGGGCTCGTCCGGGATTTGAACCCGGGACCTCTCGCACCCGAAGCGAGAATCATACCCCTAGACCAACGAGCCACGCAAGACCTTTCTCCCCGTCGGGGAATTGAATCCCGGTCTTCCGCGTGACAGGTGGTGATACTGTCCACTATACTAACGAGGACTTTCAGTTTCTTATCATCTGCGTGTTTTATTATTATGATGACTGATATCAGATTTTTAACAGCCAATAATTAGTAGGACCGGGACGGTATGCTTTTCTTTTGATTCGATTCTTCAACGATTTTTTGGATGTAGTTTCGATTTAAATTGTGATTCTATAATATTGTCGATTTTCTCGGTTTTAGTCTGCTTTATCTTTTAACACCAGTGAAACAGTTGAATGATTATGATTGTTTACTGACTGTTCCAGGAACCATATTTCCCAGAAAAAATACACATCACATGTAAGTCAGTTTTTAAGATCTATTCTTAAATTCGAACAAAAAATTGTTTATTGAACATAAAAATCAATTTGAATATTGTAAAACAAAAAATCGCGATACTTAAGTAAATCGATTTTTTTCTCCCACCCCTAGTTGTATCGTCTCTGAAGTGATTTCTGAGTGTGGTTATAGACAAGCTGGTTACCACACCCACATACATGCTTCTATATTTTCTTCATGTGCTTCATATTTGCATCTCGCTGTGTGAAATGAATAAATAATGTGTGTTATTAAAAGCTTCCTGTTTATTTCATCTCTCTGTTTCTCTCAGGTTGTTGCCGTGAGTTGAATTTTTCTCGGAGCCAAGAGGAGCATGTTCTGAAAATTGATGTTAGATCACGACTCAACCATGAGCCAGAAGTATCAGGGAGAGGCATCAGGGGACGTGATTGAGGAGCAGAAGGCGCCCCAGAGGAGCAGGCAGCCTAACGGGACCTCACCTGGGGACCCTCCTGTCCGCCGCTCTTGGAGGCCGTGTCAGATGCTCAACCAGGATGGGGAACCGAATCCTCATCACCACCATCATCATCACCAACACCCTCCTCACCACCACCACCATCCTCCCGCGGGACGTGGACCACCGCGACATCGCAGACGGCCTCCATCAGGACAGGGGCAGGGCCAGAGCCAGGCTCAAAGTCCTGGTTTGTCCCCTGAGGCGGTGTCCCCAAGGCAGGAAGGGGCTGAGTGCCGAGATGGCGAGCCTCGTCCTGCACAGCAGCCCCGCCCCGGTGTCGCCCGTTATCGCCGCCACGGGGACCCCAACCCTAGGCTTAGGGGTCACAGACAGAGGCAGCCAGTCAGAGAGACCCAGGATGCTTCACCAGTGGAGGACAGAGAGAGTCCAGGAGACGTGCAGCAACGCATGTCAGATGATCCCGTAATGGACCAATCACAAGACAGGGTTTCTTCTCACCAGACTCCCATAGCTGTTGTCACCCCCACCCACCTCTCACCTGGTTCTGCTATTCCAAACCAACAACCCCACCCTCAAGACACCCCTCCTGCTGAAGCGGAGGAGGACCAGGGGATCCAGGGGAGGAAGGTGGAGTGTGAAGAGGAGGAGGCAGAAGAAGTGAAGTATAAACACGAAGAACAAGAGCAAGCCGAGGATGACGAAGACCACCTCTCCACCACGGCTCACTCCAGCTGCAGTCACGAGGACATGCAGCCCGTGGATGATGGTGCAGAGGAGCGTGCAGAGAGGGTGGAAGAGGATCAGGATGAGGTGATGGAGGACGTAGCGGAGGACATCGCAGCTCAGGGAAGTGAAATCACTGATCTTTGCTCCGACACTGAGAGCGCCGCTTCGCTCAGCATGGATGGACCTCTGCACAGCCCGCCCCCGCTCCACTCACCAACTCCTCCCTCCTCTCCCGATGTCCCACCTTTCCCCCAGCTGGACCACTTCAGCGAGGATGCGAGTATGAGCCCCCTGCCCGACAATGACCTCCTACCCGAGGAGGACGACGAGGATTGCTCTGAATCCTGCTCGCTGTCTCACTTCACATCCGGCTCTGAATCGTATCCGAAAACCTATGCAGACTTTTATTCAGAGTCCCACCAAAAAACCTACCAAGAGCCAGTCTACGAGTCTTACCCAGAGCCAAAATCACATCCAAAATCTTTCCCTGAGCCTCTTAAGACCTCCTACCCCGAGTCGCACCGAGAACCTCGCAGGCAATCAGGTTGGAGAGCTGAACCTCACGAAACCCGTCAGGAGTCCCGCCAAGAGACCTTTACCAGCCATAGACAGGAGAATGTACAAAAAGGGGCTCCATCCCCGCCTCCTAAGGGCCCCCATTATGCCCCAAGGCAGGGCAGAGACCGCATTTCCCATCACCCCCCTCTAGATCGCTCCGTTGGCTGCCGACTGCACCACTATGATGGACAGTCTGACGGCGAGGGGGACGGCGGTAATCAAAGTCCTGTCCCCAAAAGCCGCAGGCAGGCACAGAGACCAGGAGAACCCCAGGCCAAGAGCCCCTCGTCCGGGCAGAGCATCTCAGGTGACGCCCAGGAGGAGAGGAACTCCGTGGATCATCAAGGAGAGGAGGATACGAGAGGATCAGGAGACGCCATCAGCCTGGCCATTAAAGACATTAAAGAGGCGATAGAGGAGGTGAAGATTAAGGCGGTACGCTCGCCCTACACGCCTGACCAGCCGGTGGAGCCGATCTGGGTGATGAGGCAGGAGAGCAGCCCCACTGAGGACCTTTACCCACTACAGACTACAGCTGGACACGTAAGAACCACTGTCACCTAATTTTCCTATATGGAAAGAAATCACCTCATTGTCACGAGGCCTGAAGTAACTGTTTCAAAAAAGGGAACATAATATATTAATGTGAATGTAGCACTAAGTCGCACATAAATTTGAGAGTTTTGATCAGACTCAGCAGAGGACAGACATGTAGGGACAGATTTTGCTTCTTTCAGGTCTCTCTCTACTGCTCCTGCCTGAGCGATATCCTGATTTACCTGTAGTTATATCACTTCAAAGATTATGCAACAGGTTTGCTTCAATATTTGCTGAGACATTTCTGTCCTCCTCCTGAAATATCAGCAGGGACACGCTCCTTTTATCTACGATGAGCAAACTTGAGGCCCTTGACTAAAAGTTTGGCATGCATTGAGAGTGAGGGGAAAAAAACACTTACACGTATTGGTCACAGAAGCAAAAACATGACAAAAAACATCTATATGTCTCTCTTTATCATTAGCCCTTTAATGCCTTTTGCATCATATTTGATACATACTTTTATGATACTTCTATCAAATCAATATGATCAACAAATTACTTAAAAAACACCTGAATACAGTCCGATAAATGATAAAAATGTCCTCTTGTGGTTTACAGATTTATGTATCAAACGAGATAAATAAATATATTTGTTAAATTTTAAGGACATTTTACATTTTTTCGTTTTCAGTCGTAAGTGAAATAAACATTTCAGCTCCAAAAAAAATTGAATTTTCTGGCCATAATTTGTGGTTTCAGGCATTAAAAGGTTAGGTATGTTATTTTTTTAATTTTAAAAGGAACATTTAAAAAGTGTGTAAGTGATGTTTATGAGGTATATTTCACTTTATTTCCCTACAGTGTTTGACTGTACCTTTAAATCTGTGCTGATGAGTGACATTGCCTCGGGGGCTTGCAGCACACTGTTGCCATGATTAAATTAGACTTCATTGCTTTCGGGAAGAGAGCAAACTCAAGATTTACACCCCTCTCTCTCATTTCATTTTCTGTTCCTGGATCAGCGCCCAAAACCCTGAATCATGTATAGTAGGAGGAAGGTGCTGCTGTAGGTGCATTGCAGTGACAAAGCAGTGATTAAAACTAAATGCCATTCTTCTCTCCTCTCTTTCCTTCTCTTAGTCTTCTCCTCACTCCCCCTCACAGTCAGCGTCTGAGTCTCCATCCCGATATGCATCACCTCCGGTTCGGGAACCGGTCAGTCCGCTGAGAGCTGACTCAGCCAGAGCACTTCCTCCTCAACATTATCACCAACAGCAGGCCCAACACAACCACCAACACCACCACCACCACCACCACCAGGGCCAGCACCCACAGCAGAGGGACACCACCAGGCCGACACAGTCGTACACACAGCCACAAACGTACCCACAGATGGCACCCAATCAGCATCAACAACAGCGTCAACATCAGCACCAACAGCAGCAGCAGCGCCAGCAGCTTCCACCTCAGCAGCCACGACCACAAGTCCAGCCGGTGACGCCACCCCAGCCGCCGTCTGTCCAGGAGGTGAGAGCTCATAAACCTCCCCCCTTTTCAAATAAAGAAGAAAAGACACTCCTAGTCAATAGCAGAACCTCCTAGTATATCATACGTTTTTGGGGTTTTCTGCTGCACCAATTAAAACAAAAGGCAGTTGTCTCCATGTCTTTGGTCTTGCTACGAACAAGAACCTCCTATGGCTAATTCAGCTTTCTTTTAAAGAGGCCAATTCGTCTAAAAGTAAACAAGCTAAAGGCTGAGGACAGACTAAAAAAAGCTCACTGGATCCTTTTCATCAGGGATGATAAATCCTGGAAAGGCAGGCGGGCATCTTTTAAGAGGTGTTTATCTGCCAGCAGCTAAACGGCTGACAGCAGTAAAAGTCTACCAGAATTTCAATGAGTTAGGAGAGACCTGCAGTATGTGAGCAGAAATAATAAAGATGTTCATGTAGTTTGTCTTCTCTTCACCTTCCCAGATTCGCAGATCTCTGCCTCAGTTCCCGACATTTGTGGACGGTGAGTACTTGTCCCTGAAAAGATTGTCCTTTCCTTTTTCATTTTTTACATTTTCTGCTTGGATTTAAGTTTTTAACTCTTTTTCTGATTTTATGTCTTTTGTTGTGATTCAGTTTTGGGCAAATGTTGAAATGGAGCCTGTATATCACAGTTCATAGACCATATTCCCACAGCAGCCATCTTCAGAAAATGAGAAAAGTTTTCATCAGCACAATGAGTATTTCATAGATGATGACTTTGGAAGCGCTAATGTTTACGTTGCCATTTTAACATATGATCCAATTCTGTACAGATGTCATCAGGGTTATGAGCCTCAATCTAGTCGCCTCATTAATTCATTTATTTTTTTCCCTGAATCTTGTTATTACAGTTTACCATTTATAGATACATCGGAAATAAATTGCGGTATAAGAGTAAGATTTCTCAACCTGCCCCAAGATTGAGGCGAATGATGGTAAACTCACAGGTGTTATTATTTAAATAGCGACACAGTATAATAACAACTTTCCGCTGAATCATACTATGGTATACACAGTCTAGTACTGTGTTCCAGTTACCTCAGAAGTCAGATGTTGGAGCTGGGAATGACGTTACATCCAAGTTGACGGCGTTCCAGTTAACAAGTTGGAAAACCAAGATGGACGCCTACCCGTTGTTAGCTGTTTTTAGCCATTGTCAGCGATTGTTGTTAACAATACCAGTTGTAAACAACACACAGCACAGTATTTTATTCTCCAAACACCATAGCACCGTGTTCACAGTTAGACCTTGGGCAGTACAACATATACTACGAATTTAATTTCACAAAAACAAAACAGAAGTGCTAATAAATAATACATTAAGAGAGCTTTTACTGTAAATCTTTGCTGCCGATGCCCTGGGTTGCCATTTTGGATTATGACGTTATCGTCAAGTCGGGGTCGGTGAGGATTGTCCGACCTCCCGAGTTGGAAATCTGACTTCAGGGGGGCGTTCCAGATGAATTTCCGACTCAGAGCTTAGAAATCCTGACTTCTGAGTACAACTGGAACGCAGCATATGAGTAACAGGCTGAAAATCCCAGTTTAGAAGGTCACTTACTGAACCATATCACCGATGTTCACATGTATTGTAATAAACATCGCATTGTTTGCTAGCTAACATAAAATTAAAACAGATAGTGACATAAACGTGTTTATTCCATGCAGTCCCAGGACCATGTGACCCTGAAGACCTTATTGACGGGATCATCTTCGCAGCCACCTACCTGGGCTGCACCCACCTGCTGTCAGAGAGAACGCCCACAAAGAGCGCCCGCATGCAGCAGGCTCAGGAGGCCATGAACCGAGTCCGGGTAAGAGGAGTTTACACCTTTTTCATACATGATCTTGGACACAAAGCCTCTGGTTTCTGCCAAAAAATTTTTTTTATTAGAAGTAGATGTTCCCTTTTTTTGTGAATAAGTCAATGAGTGTGTTTCCATGGACTTTGGTATCTTGGTTTAGATTATCTCTTATGAATACCCAATTTTTGTGTTCCTGCGTGTAAAAATCACATCCTGATTTAAGATTTACCCCCGACAACAGATTTTCCCGGAGAACTGAGTATATCCTGGCACAGGTCTTGGCCCAGTTTTTAACAGCTGCTAAGTTCCTGTGCAGACATGGCATCAGCCAACTGGATGAGTTAACAAAGCAAACATGGAGAAAGCAAAGAGAGCGTCTTACTTCTTGTGCAGTGACAAAGCAGATTTTTGTCTTTTAGTAATAAAAGAGTTAAATATATCTGGATGGAAGAAAGCACCAAAACACGGGCACAATAATCACCTGTCTGTGATTGTGTTGGGCTTTCCAGTGTGTCTGTGGCTGCTGTTGATCACATATAGAAGGATATGAATAACCAGGTTTCTTTGTGTTCATGTTAACATCATGATCAAAACTGGGTTAAGACTCATGACTTCTTGAATCCATGTAAACGCACTGACTGTTGATGTACCTGAAACCTGCCGTCTTTTTAAGGTCAGCAGATGGAGACTCCACTGGTAGCCCCCCCTGCTGGTCAGCTGATTTTAGACATCAGGCTGAATTTGGGAGTTTTGTCTTAAATCTAGAAAACTCTATTTCACATATTTCTGATGTCAGCAGCATTTCATGAAGTTTGAAGACTGAACTCTTTGGAGTGACAGTGTGGTATAATATTTTCAGTCTTTAAGCTTCTTTAACTCCTTACTCTGGGTCTAAACTTCAAGGATGTCAGGGATCAAAGCAGTGGCTCCTTTGTTTGGGAGTTATATTTTGTGGCACTCTTTGACATACAAGTGATGTAACTGAGGTTCATTTCATATTCGGGTCTTTTAAAGTTAAAATCAGCCAGCACAGTCAGCGGGCAAAGAGTCCCGGGGTTTCTGCACAATGCATCATGCACAGATCACTGCTCCTGATCCGCAGTCATACAGGCTTTTCTCCTCAGCGCCACTGGATGTTATATAAACTCGTCATCAAGGCTCTGAAGCACTGGAGACTGAAGACTCGGCTCTCTGCTCCAGTCGCAGCGCATAATGTCAAATGTACATCACGCGAAGGAAAAACACAGATTAAACAAAGCAGAGCAGTGGATACGTGGCCTGTATCGGGAACAGTTTCATGTGGGCTGTTTCTACTGATCGCATGAGAAGAAGAAAAAAAGTTGAGGGCGGATAGAGTGAAGTAGATGGCTTACAGTAAGAACCTGGTGTTCACACACAGCACACTGTTAGCTGGGGCGTTGAGCTGGAAGAAGGGGTTGCCATTTTGCAGAGACGAGGGAAGAGAGTCCTCGACTGGAAAAGGAAGAGAACCGAGCCAAAGCCGTGCTCCGCGGACGGCTGACTGACAGTTTCAGGACATCGCCTCGGTTAAGGTCTGAAGAACCTACAGGGAGGGAGAAGGTTAGAGACTATGTAATGAGGAGGGGGACGCACAAGTGTGTCTGACAGGAGTCTGCTCTGATGTGACTCACAGTGAGGCTGATACAGGGAAGTGATCTAATGAGAGGAGCAGTAATACCTCTTCACCCTCACACTTGATGTGAACCTGCCTCTTTTAATGCATCATAAGCACATTTTTAAAGCCTTGTACATATATAAAAATCCTCATAACAACTTGCAGCTCATAACAACTCACAGCTTTATTTAGGAAGTGTTTTGGACAGGAAGTAGGACTAAAAAATGCTTAAAGCTCCTGTGAGGAAATTTCAGTTCTTTCAGTCAGTTTTGGCGCCCCCTGCTGACAAATTTATTATGTCCTCTACATGCTTAAATACAACGGAGAATTGGGGCCACATCAAGAAAAAAAAAAATTTAAGACTTCGAGATACAAGTCCTTAACTTACGAGAATAAAGTCATCACTTATGAGAATAAAGTCGTAATAAAGGAATTACTTTGTAGAATAAAGTCGTACCAAAATCATTACTTACGAGAATAAAGTCGGAATAAAATTGTTATGATAGGCTATTTATGATACTGTGGTGCTAATGTGCCAATAGATTAAGTATCTCCTTGTTTGGGAAACCTAAATTGAAGTACATTTTTATGAAATGCTCCATGGCTCTAATTTCAACAACTGTCATCTTAAACAACAGGTTAAAATATAAGGACTTTATTCTTGTAAGTAATGATTTTAGTACAACTTTATACTCATAATAATTTAAGTCCGACTTTATTCTTGTAAGTAATGATTTTAGCATGACTTTATTACCTTAAGTTATGATTTTATCACGACTTTATTCTCATTAGTAATGATAAGGGTAGGCAAAATAAGCCCTGGGCTTCAGCCTACACCTTGGAGAAGAAGAATGTTTTTGTATATTTGTAAAGAACAATCAAATCTGAAATCTGAAAATCAACTCCACAATAAATCTGAAAATGTCAGAAAATCTTTAATCTCTAAGTCTTCAATTTTTTTTCCTTAATGTGGTCCTAATACTCCGTCGTACTGACTTTTGGTAGCCAAATGTTTCATTTATTGTGACTATTCGAAGTCGAAAGCATAAAAAGAGGGCTGTTTCTGCTGCTTTTTGGTTGACACCTGCTCCTTGCAGAGCTATCAGGCACTTATCATTACGATCAAAGAATTGTCAGTCATGTCATAGATATTCTTGCTTGCCTTTAAATGTCATAAAAGGGCAGCGATGTGAATTTCTGTCCGTTTTTCTGACAGATTGTGGACACGCTCAACAGTGGTGATGTGAGGATTTGATATCAGAAGCCGCATCAATATCAGCTTACCTCAGAACAGAGCAGAAAACTGTTTAATGAGGTTCGCTCACATCTGGCTGATCCCGGATTCATTTAATGAGATCAGCATCAGGGTCAGTCTGTGACCAGGGGTTTGGACTCAGGAGCAGATTGCGCTGGACTGGATGAAAAACACATCGACGTGTTTGCTATCAAGACTCCGGAGATTAACAAAATGGAAATAAAAACAATGAACTTGTATTTTCTGACTGAATAATCAAAAAAAGAAAAAGAAAATTTTCCAAATCTTAAAACACAAGATAAAAAATGTGTCCCTTATAATTGCCATTGAGGATTGATCATAGAAAGTGAGTTAACAAGACTTTTTCCAACTTAAAACACTTATTTATTAGGTCATAAAAGAGCAACACTAGAGTCAAACAAAGGACTGAATATATAAAATGAAATCAGCAGACTGAGCTCCACAGGCTCGACTGTCCACAGCGGCATAGAAAGACGGTTATGATTCAAGAAGTGTGCTGAAAATAAACTGAGATGAAACACTGGAGGTGACAGAGTGATGTACACACAGTGACGTCCAGCACAGGTCAGGAGTCACACTGCAGCTCATGATGACGACGTGACGGCAGCCTGAGGAGGCGGTCAGTGGCGAGGCTGAAAACAGAAACAATGACGTGTCGACTGCCGGCTCAGAGAGCGCCTGTGAGGGTCTGAACTACAGCGACGCTTATGATAATTTTTCTGACAGCAGTGAAAAACAACACGTTAGCAGAGAGAGTGTCAGCAGGTTGGTCCAGATCAGAGTATCACCAGTAGGAAGATGATGGGGTTGTGTTGTGTCTTCACAACATGTGTGAGTGACAAACTCATCGCAAAAGTTTCTCACAACATGCAAAAGCTTGAGGCAGGGAGCGCAGCAGCAAAGACCCCCGCAGACCTCCACAGGGTTGTATTCAGGTCCAGTAGTGGTTTACAGAAACAGGAAGACTCTGCAGGCCAAAGTAGTTTCAACTGAGTGCTCACTTGGACGTTTGCTGATCAGCTGAGCTGTCAGATGATTAAGCCCGATGTTGAGGTCATGATGCACTGTGAGTTTGACTTTTTGGCCCACCCTGTATTATAGTGTTGTGTCATTCGCGAACGATTCGTTCAACAAAACCGAATCTTTCAAGTGAAGATACTGAGCCGAATCAGTTCCTCAAGTGATCGAGCAAGGTTCACTTGGTTAATGAGTCACGCAGTGAACTACACTCTCTGGAATCATTTTTGTCTGAGGGTTACACTTTCATGGCGACCATTGTTCCCCATTGTCTTAATAGCAGTAATGAGAAGAGAGTGAGACTCACCGACTGTAGCAAACTCTTGACGTTGTGTTCAAGTGTACCTCAACTCAACTCAACTTTATTTGTTAAGCACTTTAAAACAACCACAGCTGAACAAAGTGCTGTACATAACTAGACAAAACAACAAGATAAAAAAAAAATCAAAAAACAATTAAAACAATGGATAAAATAAAAGCAGAATTAAAAGTAAAATATAGTTTCAATGTTTTTAAAAACTAATTTAAAAACATAGAAACAAATAACTAAAACCAAACCATAAAACACTAAAACAGGAGCCGAGTCTCATGCAGGGTTAAAAGCCAATGAATAAAAATGGGTTTTAAGATGACTTTTAAAAATGGAGAGTGACAAATGGACCTCAGACAAAACAAACTTTTTTTAATTAATAATTGAGCCTAATTTATCAAGTAGACCAGATAAATAGCATACCATTTGACAGTACACTTAAAACAAGTTCATTTTTACAAACCTGTTTTTTAAAGCAACACAGCCACAACACTCTGGTCTCCAGGTCCTAGGAGCTTTGAACTGAACTGAACTGAAACCTGAACCGTTCAGCTGTGTATCAGATCAGGAAGTCGTAGTCGCAGGCTCCTCCCACCTAACACTGAATGATTCTGTGATTCGGTGAATGAATCTTTTGAACGAATCTTTTTAGTGAATTGATTCTAGGGAATCAGTACATCTAAAAGAACTGCCGTGTACCAACAGCTTCATAACTCTTGTGTAAATAAAAGATAACTGTTAGAGACATATTATGAGAGACAACAGACAGTTGAATTTCGCTGCTTTGGAAATTAATCCTGATTCAGTAGTAATAAGATGGATAAGATAATAAAGTCGGATCAAAAAGCACATTTCCTTGTTTTGACGATAGTTACCCAATACTAGACTGTCCTGAAGTAATTACATAAACCTTCAAAATACATTTTCAAGACAAGTTTGAACTTTTTAAGCCTAAAAATGTTGTATATTCAGTCTGAATCACATTGTTTAGGTAAAAGCTTTGGCCAGTTTTTTACCGATTTTAATCTGTTCCTCTACATCAGAGTGTTTGGATGTTTAACCTCCAAACAGCACAGAGACAGAGCAGAGAACAAACAGCGGCACCAGCAAACATTCAGAGACATCAAACCCGGAGCTGTAACGAGGCGTCGGCCACAAACGCACCAGGCTGCCCGTCTGTTCTCAGGGGGTCGTTTGTGTCACATTGATGAAGGAGAAACTTTTGATACTGTTTGCTGTGAAGGCCTCTGGCAGCCTGCTGATGTCAGATGTGATAGACAGTAACATCACTGCTTCCCACACATACACACACACACACACAAACACACACCTCTAAGGCGTCTTTGTCCCTTAATTTGTCAGTCGGAAAGCAGGCAGTAAATGAGAGGATTGGGTTTTCTTGATCTAACTTTTTCTGGGTTTTATTGTGTTTTTCTGATCCCTCCAGGCGGCCCAGAAGCAGGCGAAGAACAGGAAGAAGGTACGTTTAGTTTGCTTGTTTTATTGTTGTCTTGTTATGTAGAAGTTTTATATAAAAGATGATTCATGTCATTAGAAATTTATGAAAAGCAAGAATAAGTTAAGAAATGTTGACGAATAAAAGCATTTTTCCTCCTATTCTGGCCTGTGTAGACTCTTAATTTCTGTCTCATTCATCTCTTCTCTATTTTTCTGTTTAGAGCCCTGACAGTGAGGCTCCCTCTACAGCTGAAGTCGATCTGTTCATGTCCACGCAGAGGATCAAAGTCCTCAATGCAGACACTCAGGTGAGAAAATAACACGCACTCCTAAAATCTTTAAACCCCTCTTGGAAATTTGTCATTTTACAAGAAGAGGTGAAAGAAGAGGGTTAAAAACAAGCGACAAATTTCCCTAACCAAACCTCATTTAAAAAAGTTTCCATTTAGCAGCAACTGATGATCACAACGCAGTAGTCGCACAAAGTACAGCTCTGTGTTTCAAGAAGTATTGAGAGTCTTGTTTGGACCACCAGGAGTCTTTGATGGACCTCCCCCTGAGGACGATCTCTTACATAGCCGACATCGGTAACATGGTGGTGCTGATGGCTCGGGGGAAGATGGTCCGGTCCCGGAGCGCGCAGGAAAACCTGGACCACGCTGCAGAGCAAACCACCATGAGCCATGACGACAGACGACTGTACAGGATGATCTGCCACGTCTTTGAATCTGAGGATGTGAGTTTTTGAATTTTGTTTAATATTAGCATATAGATGTCCTTTTTTGGAGGCTTCTTTAGGGTTTTACTGATCGGCAGTGAATGAAACCAGAAAATCTTGATTTTTCAGGATAAGTGAAAGATCAGCAAACTTTTTGGAAACTTTTTAAGTGCTGCTTTTTAGATGATCTGAATCACGGACAAGCCAAGTCTGACTCCACGCTTGTTTATTTTTTCTATCTCATACTTGATGTTGTTATGAAAGTGTTTTAATGCAGTGTTTCTCAACTGGTCTCACTCTGGGACCCACATTTTCCCGTGGTCCTTAAGTTGCGACCCACTTTTATAAAATTCAAACCAAGCAAATTTATTTCTTATAAAAAAAATTGAAAAAACTTTCAAGACTCAAATTTTTTACATAAATACACCTATTTTATTGAGTAAAGTGCATTTCAGAGCACATGAACTGAGGATGACAACTACCAAAGTTGCGTGTATAGAAAATATCAAATATCAAACTTCACACAATGGGACCAGCAAAATGAAAAATCTGACCTGTTTGTATTTCTGCAGTCAGAGCATATTCAGAAAAACCTGAGGAGGACCATGCAACAGCACGGACAAAAAAGAATAAAAAAACATGTAATTTTACTGCATTCAGGCCACATTAATAAGAAACCGAGGAGGACCACAACATAATGCGTGCCTCTCAAAATAAGCTAGTTTTCAAAATAAGCTAGTTCACGTCAAACATCAGATGCGCATTAAATATTTACTTTTTTTGACCAGCTGTTGGCGACCCATCCAGAACGTGTCCGTGATCCACTTTTGGGTCGGGACCCACCAGTTGAGAACCACTGTTTTAATATATATTCTAAAAAAATACTATGGGTTACTGTATTAGCTAAACTCATTATCAGAGATAATGTACCAAATGTACAAACTAGTTCTATAATATATCAGCCCCAGATTTGACTCTCAGTCCTCGATCCCATCTGTAAGTCAAAAGGCCAAAAACATCAAGTCTGACTGAACAAACCAAAAAGAAAACCCTAAAATGAGCAAAGATATGAAGTTTTAGCAAAAGATATCCTAATGTCTTAAAAAGTCACAGCTCATAATGGATTGAACAATTAAAGGCTCAAGCAGATCCACTTACTTTTGGCTCTTGTATCTCAGTTATGGCGCTACTTTAGGTTATGTGGGCCGTAAAATGGCTCACATCTTGTTACTGAATCCTGATTTGGGTTTTGGCGAATGCTTTATTGGGCCTTTCTCAGCCTGAGTCAGAGCTGTCATTTACTGTCCAAATTTGGGCCAAAAAAAGAGAACTACTAGCCTCACACAGAGGAGGAAATACTGTTAGAGGAACATTATTAGATATTTTATCATGCTACCGATTAAAGCTGCAGTAAAGAGCTTGTATTTGCATGTGCAGATGCTTGGAAGAATAGTTTCTACATTGATAGGGTTAAATGGATCCAAATAAATAACCCCAGCCAAACTCACAAACAGCGAACAAGTGCAGACAAAATCCCACCAGGGCGATCAAATTTATACTCGCTCTCTCCCTCTCCTCTTTCTTTCAGGCTCAGCTGATCGCTCAGTCCATCGGCCAGTCTTTCAGCGTCGCCTACCAGGAGTTCCTCAGGGCCAATGGCATCGACCCCGAGGACCTGAGCCAGAGGGAGTACAGCGACCTGCTCAACACTCAGGACATGTACAATGACGACCTCATCCACTTCTCCAAGTCTGAGAACTGCAGAGACGTAAGTGAGCCAGCAGGGGAGCAGGAGTTCTTAACTCTGACCTTAAAATTCAGTTGATTCTGTCCAAAGAAAATCAACTCCTCCTGCACTTTGACTGGATGGTTCTCTTTGTAGAGTGATTGACCTTTTGTACATGCAAATAACAGCACAGGCCTTCAGGTCCGGTCATGTCATGATGTTAATGTCCAAACAGAGATGAACCAGTGCCTCTAATTTTCTGCTCAGTCTGCTCCGTTAGTTTGCCCCTCAGTGCTTTGGATGAACAGCTGTTTTAGAGTCACAGCTGTGTGACAGACTCACAAAAATGTCACCCAAGTATGAAGGTGAATTTGAGGCGCTAAACCTGCTCTGACCTCAGTCTCTCCTCCCTCCCACGCTGCCCTAAATGCCGGCTGTCCTATCCTATTTCTCCGAATTGTGCATTTGGCTGTTAAGAGCTAAAAATGGACCCAGCCTTACTCTACATGCTACTTTACAAAAAGAGGTTTATACATCAATCCTGCATGAGGAAGAAGGAAGTCCTACACATGAAGAAAAAGTGGACTATAGGATGAGTAGAAGAGCGAAAAGTTGAGTAAGTGATGAGTCTGAAATGTGTCCTTGCAGGTTTACATTGAGAAGCAGAAAGGAGAGATTCTGGGTGTGGTGATTGTGGAGTCTGGTTGGGGGTCCATCCTTCCGACTGTCATCATCGCCAGCATGATGCACGCAGGTCCGGCTGAGAAGTCCGGCCGCCTCAACATTGGAGACCAGATCATGACCATAAACGGGACGAGTCTGGTGGGCTTACCGCTTAACACCTGCCAGAGCATCATCAAGGTACGCCTCCGCTTCCTGATCAGTGCCAGACCTTTATTTGACTGATACCTGTTTCCTGTCAGTGCCTTTCTGCGCGCTCCTGTCCTGTTCAGAAGAGTTTCCTCTAAAGCGCTCTTCTGGGTTTTATTTTCATGCCCTGACACCAGCAAGCAGCTGGATTGTAGTCATATGATTTTCAGGGGATATGTCCAGATCTTTGGTGACACTGTAACACTGAATCAGCCTCTTCTGGTGGCTGTGATGTTTTTGGAGCATCTAGGGCATTTCAGTGGATTTGTGCCACAAAAACTTGCTTCAATAATACAACAAGGTCCACCATAAAGCTAAGTAGTAGACTCTAAAAAGGCGCTAGGCGTGTAATATGTGTGTCCGTAAGTCCAAGATTCATCAGTTTATTCATTATCTAGACATCATACAGTATCTAGACAAGTTAGGGGTCACTGAGGGGGGAGGAGTTTTCTAGCTGTCACACCTCCCACTGAGCAATAGACGGCTATTAGACGTCTATTTTTTTAGACCTAATTTCAACCGTCTAGATTCTGTATATTTTTAGACCGAATTCAGACGTTGCGCATAAACCCATTATTTGATAACTATCGTTTCAAAAAGCAACTGTGAGTTGCATAACTGATCTCCAAGTACTTTACCAAAATAATTATGATATTATAGATGTAGCCTAGAGTTAGATTTAGTCTAAACTTGGTCTAAATTTAGATGTCTAAAAAACTTTCATTTTTAGACCTGTGGTAGCCTGATTTTAGACCAGTCGTCTAGACTACATTTAAACGTCTATTAGACCTCTTTTAGACCAAAAATTGCTCAGTGGGTGGTGAACATGGTGACAAACCTAATATATTCACAAGGAATAATATATTCAACCACCAAGAATCAGCAGGGGCAGATTCAAGTATGTAGAGGATAAGTTCAGCAAAGACAGCTGTGTCCACAGAGGGCGCCAAAGATGACACCAACCAAAAGTTCCTCATGGGAGCTTTAATTGAAAAAGTCATGAAGGCATTTTTGTTGATCTTTGTAAATAATCAGCTGAAAAAAAAAACTTTAAACACTTTGAAAACTGCCACAATATATTCCCATGAAGAAACCACGCCCCTCATGTCTCCAGGTTTACTGCGAAACCTAGAGAAATCCAAAAGTCAAGTCTGCTAAAACTACTACAGGAAGTGTCTGATTTGGAGTTTACAAGTCTGTATCAGAGAGCGCACATGCAGTGATGTGACATTAACACTAACAGTTAACAGGACCACACTTTAAGGTCTGTGAATGGTCATCCCTCAGGGTCTAAAGTCTCAGTCCAGGATCAAGATGAACATCGTCAGGTGTCCTCCTGTCACTATGGTGCTCATCCGCAGGCCGGACCTCAGATACCAGCTCGGCTTCAGCGTCCAGAACGGCATCGTGAGTATAGTTACAAACCATAAGACTAGTGAGTGACCTATACGAGTAATCTATCCATCTTTATTATCAATACTGCTTATTCCATCCATTCTCTGAGAGGGGCTGGAAACAACCCTTACTCCTGTTATTTTTAGTGATGATTCTCTTATTTTTCTCCGTTTCCAAGCAACAGACACAGAGCAGCTCACGATATGAGGTCTGAGGATTCATTTCCACTTTAAAGTGTTGGGCTCAGAGTTTTGACTGTATGTTTCAGATCTGCAGCCTGATGAGAGGAGGCATCGCTGAGAGAGGAGGCGTGCGTGTCGGTCATCGCATTATTGAGATCAACGGTCAGAGTGTGGTGGCGACGCCTCATGAGAAGATCGTCCAGATTCTCTCTAACGCCATGGGAGAGGTGGGATGAGATACTGAGTTTGAAAATACATGAAAATAAAAGTCCAAGCAGCACCTTATATGAGTGATCTTTAAGCTTTCATCAGCCTGATTGCTGTTGGAGATCCTCTGATTATTGCGTAATCGAAAAGGAAAGCTCGAGAAACATCGTAACAATAATCATCTTTTGACAAATCTGCTTGTGTTGTTTTTGTGTTCCTGCTTTTGAATTTGCATAATTTGTCTTCTTTCTGCTCCAGATCCACATGAAGACGATGCCTGCAGCCATGTACCGTCTGCTGACAGCACAGGAGCAACCTGTCTACATCTGAACACACACTTCTCACTCTCCTTCACCATCTTTGCTACGCTCCACCCATCTTTCAGTTGATTGAAATCCCTTTCCCCTCTCTGTGTCCTGTTTGATATCACTTGACTTGCCTTAATCTGTACAGTAAACTGTCATGTAAACATGTACATCCGCTGTATGACAGAAGGCAGATTATCTCAATAAGGCTGAGTGTTTATGTGGCGTATTTTGTTTGACCAAAGACAACTTGTGGATTTTTCTTGTGCATATTTAGGTGGCAAACAGAGTCAATATTATCTTTGGTTAAATAGCTGTAATATCTGAATGTACTCTAATTAAGATGTTGGACCTATAAAAGTCAGGGCCGCCCAGGTGATAAAGAACTTTTCAACTTCAAAGTCATGTTAAAAGGAGAATGCATGTACAAATCAGATGAATAAACTTGGTGGTCTGTGAACTCTGACGTGTTGGGTCAAATTTTAATGAATGAGTCGACAAAGCTAGAAAACCACATTACATTTTGTGTTTGAACCCAGAGAATAGAGTTCTTAACAATCATTAAATTGATGATTAAAAGCTTAAAATATACATTGAGTCGGAGATAAGGACTAAATCTTAGTCTCCTCCCTAAACACTGATCCTTTAAGGACTTAATAGGCTCTATGCCCCACTGCGCAATGTGACGTCAAAATGACGTCTATATAACGTAATTTTTCTATGTCAACATTAGGTCTCCTGAAGGTGCAGAAATAAAGTCTTTTTGACGTCTTTTTCGGATGTCATTTCGACGTCCAATTCTGACGTCATTTCGACGTCCAAATCGGACGTTGACATTATCAAAATTTCAGTCGAATGTGGACGTCAATTGAACGTCGAAAAGAGGTCCAATACTGACGTCTAAATCTTGGATCTTTTCTGCACGTTAACCCGAGTGTGCCCTCTTCTTTGGGGCCTGTCCAGCTTTGTCCAGGAGAGTTCATAAAATCCTTCAAATGTCCGGGTATTTGTGTTTAAGTTTTGAGTTTTTGTTACGTGGACTAACTGAGTTGGAAGCATGTAAAAAACTCTCGACCCGACCTGAAAAACTCTCAAAATTTAATACACGTGACTCCGTGAGTCTTCCCCCTTGCAGTCGTGCCCTCTTTTTGGGAATTCAGAATATGGTCACTCTAGTTTAGATCAGGTGAGCAGGCTGAGTCAAGTCAGCATCCTCCATGATTAAAAACTATCATGTTCAAGTTTTGTAAACAGCTGGAAATATTGTCTTTTACATGTTCAAACCAGGCATATTGTCGATGTTTTGATCCCTCAAAGCTCCAAGAACTGAAGAAAAACTCGAACACTTAAAAGATTTCATGTAAAAAACAGATTTATTTGAATATTTTCTGTAACACTAAGATCACAAACTAAAAAAAAAGGGAGAAAAAATCACAGACTGACAAACATTAAAAAGAAAGTTGATCAAACAACATGATTGTCTTCACCACATTCCAGATGCTCCTGTGAACAAGGACTAGACAGAGTTCAGTAGATATTCAGTATAAAAACAGACACACCACAACAATGTGATTGTCTCTGGTTGGAAGCTGATAAAAAGAAATATAAACTGCTGGAAATGCTCTGCTGGAGCCTTTAATCCAGCTTCCTCACACACTCATATGCATAATCAGTAAAATGTGTGACATCTTGTGCCAACAGGATATTTAAGGGGAACCTGCACAACCTCACTAATGTTAGAAGAGCATCAAATTCACATAAGGACAAACAGTCAAATAAACCTGTTAATAATTAGGACAAAAAGAACTTTTTTTTTCACCTTCATTTTCTTTTCTCTTTGTCTGGTATTACTTTTAGTTTCTATTAGAGCTAATTTAGGAAATACAAGGCACTTGTCAATATGCCGCTTCCCACAATGCACACACATTTAATGATTTAAAGTAAATATAAACGCCCAATAAGTTAGCTAAATCAAAGAAAACTTGGCAGGAGAGTTAAAGGATGGAGACTATTATGTATGAGAGAACAAATGCACACCCTGTTTTAAATATATGAATGATGGTTTTGGAGCTGATGATGTATGAATGTGCCTGAAACAAGCGTAGGGTGGGTGACACTAAACAGCAGAAGTTATCTACACACTCGACGGTACCATTCCTACTTGCAGCTGTGTTTAACCATCGCATTACAGTAACATGGAAGCATCTTCCTGTTTGACGTGACAGATATATTTACCGGAGAGTTTGGAATAGAGGTTGCATCAGTAAATAAGGCGCAGTCTTTTTTCTTGGGAAGACACCAGAGGGAAAAAGGTTCACACTGTTTTCCTACGTGAAGGTTACCATCCATCTGCAACGACACTCTGCCAGCTACCTGCGCAGTTGATGAGCATGGGTGACGGTATTGATAGTTGTGAGTTACAGACAGGCCCAACAATTCAACGAGAATCATACTACCTCCCTCTGCTGGTCACTTTGTTCACTCATTGGTAAGCCGATAGATGCATGATTGTGATCCAACAAAAGGAGAGAAGCGATGGTGATGAGTAAGAGACAAAAACTATTAGGGTCTGAGTTGATGGAGAAAGTGAAGCCCTCCATGTAACAAAAGCCTTTGCAGACACGAAAGAGGATATATACACAAATCAGGTGTATTTTTGTCGAGGAGTTGTGTGAATGTAAACTAGTATGTGTGTTTGTGTGGCCTGGAAAGTGTAGGATTTTTGTACAAACTTGTGCGGAGTATAATGTACAGCAGTGAGTTAAGGTTACCATATCAGCAGGATTCATACTACTACAAAACGAGTCCAGTCCTTTGTCTTGGATGATGTCGTTTCCTGGTTCTCCCCGCCTACAGCTCAGTGTCTTTGTATTTCTGGGGGTTGTAGTATCCTCTCTTGGTCTGTTCAGCCAGCTGTCGGCGGTACTCGGCCTCGTCGTCCTCGTGTCCTCTGCTCTCTGAGTAATGTGGCCTGAAAGGAGCCTGCTGCTCGGGGTTGGAGCTGGAACTGACCAGACAGACAGACATCAATGATCCATCAGTTTTTAGAGGTAAATAAACGATTATGTCTTCATATATAATCTTTGTGTTTTTGAAAAGCGCTTTACAAATAAAATGTATTATTATTATTATTATTATTATTATTATTATTATTATTATTATTAAATATATGCATATGGCTCTTTACCCTATTGGCTGAGGACGGTTGAGGTTGGGCTTTGTCAGTTTTACCGGGACAGCGTAGATGTCCGGATGCTTCTGGGCGATTTCCAGCTGTTGGGAGAGAAAAGAGCAGACCCAGATATGTCAGAAAACTTAAATAAAACAAGACAGCTGAACTCGTAAGACAGAGGGCTTTCACTGTACTGCTCTTTGTTACAGTTCAAATCTGAAATAAATCACACCAAAAATTGTTTTTTCTGTGATCTGCATCAGAAGCTGCTACAGTACTACAGCATCTCTGCATGGAAGCGATTCTTTTCGGTTGAATTTCAACATAGACATACTTTATTTTGAGCAAGGAAAGCTGTGAGGCCTGAACTGTTGCATCAAAGTGGTATATTGATTCCCATCAGCAATATGAAACAGTGGTAGAAAGCATGTCAGAACATGAAAGCTGTCCGTACAAAGCAGAGCTGAGCACCAACTATTGATTTCTGAACTCTTTTAAGGTTCAAACATGAGTAACAGTTTTTACTTAAAAATTAATATGTGCGTGATTTTACTCTGCATTATTCACAGTCTGAAAAACCACAGCATCTTTTTGTTATCTTGACCTGTGAGTTTATTAAAAAATGAGAAAACTTTATTTTAAAGTCAAATATAATTTTGCAGTGGTCTCTTGATTTTTTCCCCCTTATTATATTCTACAGAAATACAGAGAAGACTTTTTGTTTTAATCACAGGTAACAGAAAACATAGTCATTCTGGGAATGATGATATCTTTATGGACACATGGCGGCCCCTTATGGATTACTTGCCAAAAGATCTAAGTGAAACTATACGGAGGAGAAGCAGTGGTTTAGGAGGTCCCAGACTGAGATGACTGGTGATAAAAAATACTTTTTTATAAGTACAAGGACACATATTTGTCTAATTGACGACACATTGTTGTGTTGTTGTCATTGGGGTTTTTCTTTGTTTACCCTTTTTGTTTTCTTGTTTTATCCTTTTCTTGTCATTTTCTACCTTATCTGAATTGAAATGATGTGTGGTTGTATGTAAATTCTGAAAATAAAATAAAATCTGATTATTAGTTATTCTGAAATATTCAGATTTTCTAATTTTGTTTTGTCTAAGTTCCTATTTTGACTCATCAAGTATCTCAGACTTGGCAAATCCCACAACCAACTCTCCTTTAAACTTGATTTATTCTGTACAAACTATAATTATTGTATTCTGTCCTTATTCTCTGAACCACCAAAATCATGTAACCCTATCGACAAAAACAAAAACAGAGAAGAAAAACCAGTACTGACTCGAGCATTTTCTGCCTCCTGCAGCTCCAACATCCTCTGAGCTCGTGCCAAGTGGTCCATCTTCTCAAAAGCTTTGATCTAGGAGAAAAATAAATTGTTAAAGAACTCTCTGTCGTGAAGATTAAAGAAAAATCGCACATCAACATGAATGATAAAAAGTGACTGTGTCATGTTTGGATGCATTAATGTAATAACATGAAGATGACAGGACACTGTGTAGACCAACGAAGAATGATGGTTGACTCAGTGAAGGGATGCAAACATCTGAGGGACAAAATGACACGTTCATTTACCTGGTCACCTTGTCTCTATTTCAGATTTGAAGCAACGAGAGCAAAGAAGGAAAGCATTATAGAAAATGACTGGACTGAGTATCAAAGCCTCTCTAATACAAAAAAACAATCACGATGCCAAAGAAAGAGCCAAGCTGTCATAGAGTATCGTTAATGAAGAAACATCTGCTTAATTAGGTCGAAGCAGAGGAAACATTCTTGGAAAAAAAGCTTCAAAATAAAAATGATACTAACCTTTCCCAGGAAGGATTTGGAGGCAGGGTCCTCCTCCTCCACCCCCGGGCTCTGCTGCTCCTCTGATGGCTGATTTAAGCGAGCGAGACTGGGCTTCAGAGCCACAGGAGGTGGAGCCGGTTTGCTCCCACCTGCTGCGTCGCTGCTGATGGTGCTGCTGGAGTGGGAGTCGTAGCTCCGTGATGAATCAGTCCGAGTCTGAGCTCGTACCTGTGGCGAAGGAGAACATCAGTCTTAAAAGTTTTTTTTTTAAAGCTGCAAGAATCAGAGAGTGAGGTTAGACGGAGTGATGTTATGAGGAGTTTATGGGAGGGTTAGGGTTAGGGGTGAGGATCTCACCTTTGGAGGTTCAGGGACAAAAGACGGGGGAGGGCTGGGCTCTCTGTTCAGCAACTCTCTACTGCCTGACCTCACACGAGCCCGGGGTTCAGGGTGAGGCTTCTACACACAAACACAAACACACACACACACACATATGAACACCAGACACAAAAACACACAAACTCGTGCTGTCAGGGTCAGATTAGTAACGATGTGGAAGTTAGAAGAGACTGTAAACATATGTATGAAACCAGGGATCAGGAACCCTGCAGAGGAACTCTTTAAGCAACTCTAGATTAAGATCAAGATAGTGAAATACTGTACAAGGAAACTGTAGTTTGTTGGGTTTACAGATTCAAACTCTGTGATAAGTCTGAACCTGCAGGTCCACCTGATTCACCAGCTGCAGCACACCCATCACAGTGTATCAGTATCAGCAGTTGTTCTCACCTCGTCTGGCATCACAGGCTCCGACGATCGGCTGATAGCTGACACAGGCTGCGGCTCGTCCAATGTCTCGTCCAGCTCGTTGTCGGTATAAGTCCCTCCCTCATCCGCCGTGTCTTCATAGTCGCTGGTCAGGCGGCTGTCCATGCTCAGGTAGTCCGCACTCATCGCTGACAGGTAGGACATGCGGTCATCGTGGAGGTCTAGGTCTTCCTCGGAACCATCCAGCTGAGAAGAGAGAGTGGCAAATTAAACCGCAAGTAATTTTTATAACATTCGCACATTTCAGTCAAACTCTTACAAAGCAATATAGAGAAAAGTGGCAACTCACCTTGCCCTCACACACCCACACAGCTCTGTCCTGCTGCTCCTGAATGCTGTCTTTCACGCTGCCATACCACGCATCATTAGATGAGTTCAGATCAATCGATGCTAAAAGTGTACGAAACAAAAACAAGGAATAAAAATGTTAATTTTTTTCGAGTATAACATGTTCAAAGCTTTATCCATTTAAAGTGGCGGGTAAAGATCAATCATCTTCATTATCTTCAGCTTAATTTGTACAGAAGCAAATGCAAAACTTTGGTTGGTGTATTCAAATCTTTAGTGTCTACATAAAAAGTGAAGCAAAAAAGTGATCTTAAAATGTTTAAACCTTTCCTATCTATGACATTTTCTACACTTACAATATCGCAGTTACCGTGGAAACCTGATGGTGATACCTACCAGTGAAAAGGTGTGAGCAGGTTTTCCTTAGCTTGACAGCCTGCTCGTACAGTTTGCGTGCGCTGCGGTTGGATCCAGGCAGGAGGCGGTTCCTCATGGTCTTCACGCCCTGCTTGCTGTCTGGGTTCAAAAAGATGACGATGGGATACCACTGGGTGTAGTTCAAAGTATCAACGGCTTTGGGAGTCACGTCCAACAGAGCGTGGCGGTCCTGAGGGAAAACGAAAAGAGAGGCTGTTAGGTTGAGTTCATGGTGTTGCTTTACAAAGCAGCAGTTCAGGGGAGTGTAGCAAACCTGTTCAATGATTTGTCTGATGGTGTTTAGTCTCACAACTCCAGAGGATTTCTCACTTCCTGCATCTTTCGGCTCTGTTTCTGTGAGAAGAAATCAAAGGACATTTTTAAGGATTTACTCCTTAACTTTCAAACACAGTTTTGAACAGTGAAAAAATATAAAAAGCTAGTTATTATTGGAGCACTTACTGGCGACGACAAACTCGTTGGGAAGGTCGTTGCCCAGTTTGTCATTCACAGCATCAGAAATGGGCCCAAATATAACCACAGGTCTTCTGAAACCAGCTATGAGAGACAGAACAGAGTGGAATTCACTTTCATGTCAACAGGAAAATACACAAAGCCAAAACCTTTTTGTGTTTGAAAGATCAGAAGGCAAATTCTTTCAGGTACCTTCACGCAACACCACTCTCTCATAGGCGGGGAATCGTGTGGTGACTGGAGCTGCACTAAGATCCTCCCGGCTCTTGCGTAAGTCTTTCTTCTTTGCTGCCCTTTGACCTCTCAGCCTCCAGAAGTCTCCTCTGTCATTGCCTGATGCTGCCCGAGCTGCGTTCTGCACATTGGCCATTTGTTCTGCTCTGTAACACAGAACAACAAAGTATATTTAACAACAGTTGGACTAAAATCCAACCCTGTCTCCCTTTTGAAACTTTATCTTGTATAAATCTAAACTTGAGTAACTCTAAACACCCTATTTGTTTCATAATTACTCCTGATGAATGCAAATCTGTCACTTCTAAATCTTCTGTTAAAGACCTGCTCTTGTTGGGGATGATTCCTTTTTCCAGCAGCTGGTTGTCTTTGTCAGAGCGGATTGCCAGCCAGTTGCCAAGTTTCCCATCATACAGTGTGTCCGTCACTTTGAAGATTTCTCCTCTGCCGAAGGGAAGGCTCTGAGGAGCCTCTTTCTCGTACTCAAAGTGAGTCCTGATGAAAAAAGAGTCGCCTCTCCCTGATGCTAGGATGTCCTTGTACACTGAAATAGAAAACAAATGACGACATCTTCATTGCTGTAACTATCCAGTTATTAAGTAACACATGAATTTATTTTCTATTGACAACATTACTGAACCACACTGATCTCAAAGTGGATCTACAACTTGGCTCGATAAAATACAGTTTATCTCTGCTAAATTCTATGAAAAAGACAAAACAGCTAATTTTGAGAAGCAACTTCTGGTCTTCAAAAAATGAAGCTGATGCAGACGTGCTGCAGTTCCATGAATGCCCACCAGAGGCTGGTTGCAGAAGCTTGGAAACCACATACACACTTACTCAAAAACAAAGAGAGATATTTTTAATAATGCATTTGTTTCAAAGATATTACAGATACGAGTTTTGCTGAGTAAAGGCCCACTCCAAAACTTTCTCTCTTAGCCTCTGATGAGGTTGACTGAAAGTTTGGTCGAGTCAGCATTTCCAATGTGACAACTCCTGTTAATGGGCTTCAGAACTCCTCTTCAGATCCAAACTGGTGACTTCCTGTCTATGTATTATACAGTCTACGCTTTACACACATCATGACACTGCCATCTGTTTTGCTGTTGGTGTGACACAGCTGACAGTTAAATTAGGGTGACCATTCGTCCTCTTTTACATGGACATGTCCTCCTTTTTGGGGGCTGTCTGGGTTTCTCCGGGGAAGTTTATAAAATCCTTCAAATGTCTGCGGTTTTGTAGGAGTGTTTCAATTTTGTGTCATGTGGACTTACTGAGTTAGAAGCGCATAAAAGACACTCGATTTGGCCCGAAAAACTCTCAAAATTAAATTCGTATGACTCTGTGAGTCTGCCTCTGTGTAGTTGTGTCCTCTTTTTGGGAAGTCAGAATTTGGTCACCCTAGTTAAATGTACCTGGACCCCTAAAACGAGTTAAAACTTCTTTGAGATGATTTCATCACTCTTATTGGGATAAGAATCAGGAATGTTACTGAGCAGGCTCAGAGTCAAACTTGTCTAAACAAAAAGGAAGTACAACACAGACTACAAATCATCTCTGCTCTTATGCTGGTTTTTGGTGCACAGTACATAACTGAATGTGTTTCTGTATTTATGTTTTGTTTGCATAATTTTGTAAAATGTTCGTTTCTTTTTATAAGCAGCCATTGTCTGCAGGTTACAATACCTTCAGGTTTGCTCTGAGCTAGAATAGTAACATCCTCTCCTTTGGGAACCTCCAGCAGGTAAAGGACGGCGTCCTCCCGCACCATGCCTCTGAAATCCATGTTGTTTACCTGAATTACACGCACAGGAAGTAAACACCATAAGACAGATTGCAACAGTGTAGAAAGCCGAAAATAACCCGTGATCTGGACATTTATAAACAAAGGATTAGGAATGAGCTAGCAGAACTCTGGCACTTGAGATAATAAAAGGCTGATTACTTGTTAAGCTCATCTTGAACTGCTGAACCCTGAGACAGCCAACAATAATCTGTTCAATGCTCAGCAAATTAACAAGAAGATCCTAATCCTGCCTCTGGCTTTCATTTTTGTCTTAAAAGAAACAGTTCTTACATTGTTCTCATTTTTCCTCTCTTAAGCTTTTTGTGTTCATTTCCGTTCTACAGTTCAGTGAATTCATACAGCCTCTCCTCACAGCTAAGCTCCCTGTCTTTCCTTTTTTTTTCAGCATTTCTCTGCATGTGAATTTGAAGGAGTCTCACCTTCATGATCTGGTCTCCTGTACGGAGACCTTCCTGCTCAGCTGCACTGTCCTCCTGAACGCCTGCGATGAAGATACCGACGTCATTACCCCCGGCCAGCCTCAGTCCCACACTGTCACCTTTCTGGAATCGAACCATCAGTGTGTTCGGCCTGGAGAATAAAAGGAGATATCATTACACATAATTGCACAAAAACTAAGGCACACAAAGCAATCTGAGGTTGGTCGATAAGAGCAAAGTGCAACCTGAAGAAGTGGCTGTGAGATACAGACCCGTATATTTCCTGGTCTTCTATGCTTGGCTTTAGTGGCACCTTTGGAGGAGCATGAACCTTTGGAGCTACAGCATGAGCTGGGACCACTGAAACAGAAGAGAACAAACATTTTCTTCAACTCCATTCCGGTAAATGATCAAAGCTTTAATATTTAGAATTAAACACATATTTACCTGGTGGTGTTTCTGATCGTGGCTCCTCCCTCTCAGCTGGCAAAGGGGGCGTGTCCTCCGCAGCTCTGTCAGGTGGTCTGAACGGGGTTGGCATGGCTCCCATTTTTGCCAGCCTGTTGGGTGGATCTTCCCTGTGATAAAAACACCAAATCACATTTAACACCTCCTTTGCAAAGATCTTTTTATGTTGTTTAACAAATGTGAGGTAATTCTCCAGAAAGAGTTTATTCAAGCAAAACACCTGCTGATAACTTCAAATTAAAAAGCAACAATCTGGATTTCAGGTTCTAATTTGTACCATCAAAGTTTAAAATTTTCAAGCAACCCTCAAACACTGAACAAGCTTCAAAGTGATTTTTATGAGGCAGTAAATTTCACTTCCCATGTCCAAGCTCATTTGCGACACTAGGAGTGGAAATCACTATTACGATATTATCACGATACTTGGGACATAATACAATATTATTGCGATTTTAAACATTTTGCATTACAGTGAGTATTGCAGTACAATATACTGCGATTTATACAATTTCTTAACTGTTTAGCTAATTTAGCATTTGTCTTTCCTTCATGTTTGTCTTATTTACACTGTATTTTACTTTCATGTAGCACATCTTGCAAACCTTACATATATATTTGTCGTACTAATTTTCTCCTGCTCCATGATGTCACCTCTGCCAACCTCACTGGACAAACAGATGGTTTTATTTTTCCATTATCATAGATTTGACTTCATATTAGCAATTAATTTGAATAATCGATACTTGGTTTATGAGACGATACGATATATATCACCAGACAAAATATCGCGATACTATGCTGTATTGATTTTTTCTCCGACCCCTATGTAATACCACCTGAACTTTGAGAGTTTCATGCATATGTGAATGTGAAATGACAGTAACACCTTGAAAAGTTTGTTCTGATGGATGAAAATTTTGTCAACATGCACAAAGCAAAATGGTCGATGAAGATTAATATACCGGCAGTTGTTGTAGTACATAGTGAGTAAAGAGAAACTCCTCCTCATTAATTTAATGTGGAGGACTGGCTAAGCTTCATAAAGCACAAATCAACATAATCCAGCATTATCCCCATTTTTCTGCTGTATTTAACACAGAGATAAAAAAATCACTGGAGATGTGTAAGTAGCACTAGACTGGTTTTGGCTTTGATCGTCTAAATATTCTCCTCAAATCTTTGCGGCTCAAATCAAGTAATTAAATCTTAAAATGTTGAAAAGAAATTTTGTCCCTTGCAGCAAGATGAAATGCCATCTTACCTGGGCTTTTCTCTAAGCCTCTCATTGGAGGAGTGGGAGGAAAGGTCGGAATGATGCCCCCGCCTGTCATCCTGTGGAGAGTAGGAGCGGTACGACTCTATTTCGGAGATATCTGCAACACAACAACAACAAGAACATCTGAACCACGGTAATGATGAATATTAAAACTTGCCTCAAAGAGTAAAATGCTTCATTTCTCCTTGACGCACCTGTGTTTTTTTTGGTTACATAATTCAAAACAGCCTACAGGTCATGGATGCAGAGAACAAGCACAATAGAGGAACCATACAAATGAAGGTTATGTAACTCAAAAGGTAAATTAGCAGAGTAATTATGTGAATGAAACAGCTCTGATCGTGACAAACCTGTGAAAACTAACAAGACATTTCAACTTTGAAAAGTAGAAAAAAAGATGAGTTTGCATTTCCAATTATTTTGCCACAGCTGGATGGATGATACAGGTGATCTGAACCGTGCACAGCTGAAAATCCAGGCCCCTCTCGCTCACACGCACGCACTCAGTTCCTATTGTTTTCAGAGATCTTTTCACAGAGGGATCCTGGATGGCAGGAACCAGAGGGCTGCTGCGGTGCGAACCTTAATATAATGAAAATTCTGTCATATCCAATGGCAGGATTATGACGAGGGATTAGATCACCCTGCCTGAGGGGAGTGAGCACTTCACACAAGCAGTCACACACACTCTCTCACACACACTCACACTCCCAAAAGCGGACAAAGTGGGTCACAAGTCTTCCAGCTATTTCCCCTCCTCCCTGTAAACATTTAGTCAGTGAACAATCCACTCACACCACTTGTCTCGATTGGCCCTGACCAATCAGAGTACCACATGTGGTCATGTGACACTAAAAACAGGTATAAAGAGTGATGGCAGTAGTCAGTAATGATGTGGATCTCTGTTTAGCCCAGAGTGCTCGTTTGTGAAACACATTAAATATTCAAAAAGTGCTGATGTGTGAGTAAAACGTTTATTGTATGAATGAAAACAGAGTTGATGGACAAATACAACAACAGCAGCAGAAAAGTTTCCATAGAGTTGATTAAATGAAGTTCATATATGCGGTGGGTTTGTATGATGATGATGGTGGTAGCCAGCTTTGTCTTTACACTGGATAGGACCTGCTGCTTTTCAGATTCAAGGGTCTCTCACCATCGAGCTCAGAGTCGCTGTCGACCATCGGGGGGACTCGGATCAACACCTGCCGTCTGTCTCTCTGCACCACCAGCTGCAGCTTCCCCCGAGACTTCTCGATCAGCTTTCCAGCATCAGTCAGTGAGAGGTTTTCTGTCACTGTGCCGTTAATCTGACAGACACAGAGAGAGAGAGAGAAAGTGAGAGAGAGAAGAGAAATAAGCGAGAGGATGAAGTCAGCTCCTTATCGGAGCACTAACCACATGAAAGACTCCAGAGAACTTCAGTATTTGAAAAGTACTGCAAAGAAGAAAGAGTTGGTTGGTCACAGTTGGTCTCCAGCCGTTTCATTTTCATCATAAGAAGAAACATCTCTTAATTGCACTACGTCAACAAAAACAGACTTTTATATGTGATTATACACACATACATTCAAACATACTTCTGAGTAACTTTAACTTTTAGAAATCTAGTCAATGAACAAGCAAGAGTAGGATTATTCAAAGCAAAGACCAAACCACAGTGAACAAACTTTAGCCATAAAATTCAATCCATATAAAAAAAAGGGCCAAGTGCTAATGATCACTGTGACCAATACGGCAGCATAAAGTTCAGAGAGGTGTCTTTCAGTACTACAGTATTGTATCCAGAAGATGGTGCTCAAACAAGCGAGTGACCCCGGATAAGCACTAAAGGCAAAGTGCACCTGGTACAAAGCAAAGCTGACCAGATTAACAGCATTGCTTTTTAACCCTTTTCTTCCTCGTTTGTTTGTTAACACGCATTTAAATAAACAGTGGTGCACTTAAAGTGTCAACCTGCAACTCAACTTGTGGGGTAACAGCCTGTATGAGTGGAAAAAAGTACTTTTCTCAAATTCAAATGCAGTTATAAACAATTACTCACAGACAACTCTAAAAGTGAGGAGCTAGAACAGTAAATTTGAGGATTTTTTATTTTTATTTTTATTTTTTTAATTTGCTATTCCTGTGACTGTTAAGACATGGGAAAAACACTTTCATGGTTTCATAATCTAAAGAAGGGGCAGGAGTACATAAGCTCTTATTTCCTTCTGCCCCTCTTTGAACGCATCAACAGTGTGTCTGGTTTTGGATATATCTGCTATGAAGACACGTTTGTATCTTCTTTTCTGGCATGTTTTTGGATTTATTCAACACAAATAAAGATCAAATCAAATCAAAATTAAACTTCTGGAGTGATGGCTGAAAGGATGTAAGTGAGTTTGTAAGGGGGCTGGCGCAAGTCTTGTCAAGTATCCGTCTCTCTCATTCTCTCTATGTCTGCCTCTACATCTTTCCAATCCCAAAACAGGCGCAGCGATGACGGTCTAACATGAGTCTAGTTCTGCTTAAGGTCTCTGCCTGTTCAAGTCTTTCCTCACTGCTGTAACTTGCTAAATGCTTCAAAGTTTTGCTTGTGGTGGATTAGGATGGAATAAGAGTGGGTCTGATCCTACAAGACGGGAGCGAATCTTATCTTATCTTGATGCTGTGTCTTCATACATCTAATTCAGGGTATGGTTTAGACCGGCTCTTTTTGTGAAACCTCTTGAGATAACATTTGTTCTGAATTGGCAGGACAGTTAAAGCTTGGATGAATCTCATATTCTGGATTGGACTGTAATCACTGAAAATAGGCTACTCGTTTTCTTTAAAACCCCACAAAGCCTTGAGTTTACCTTTAATATAATGTCCCCCTCTTGCAGGTTCCCATCTCTGCTGGCCAGTCCTGTGCTGGTCATCTCTTTGATGAAAAGCTGACTGCCCAGACGAAGACCGTACTCTGTGAATGACAGAATAAATCACTTTGAGTATCAGCACAGATGCAGAGTTTGTAACCATCATTGTCATTATATCATAGATCTCCCCTTCACACTCTCCTGGGTTACTTCTATCAATGGTCTTTCTTCTGTTTGCTAACAGCGAACAGCCCTTTACTAACAGTCTGACCCAGTCTAAGACCCTCTCTTAAAAACTGATGTCAGAGTTTGTTGTACTTCACCTTCGTTGGGCCGGTTCTTCAGCAGCAGCACGTTCAGAGGTTTCTCCAGGGGCTCCAGGTCCCGGGCTGGGCGGGGCAGAGGGATGGGCATTGCTGCAGGTGATGGTGTGCGGTCCAGGCGGTCTCTGCTCCCACTCCGCCTTATCGGCTCGTCATATCTTCTCGGCTCAGAGGGGGCGCGTTCCCGTCCTCTTTCGAAGCTGTGGTCTCGCCCGTGGCCCCGCGCTGGGCTGTCCCGTCTGTGGCGCAGGTCCGGACTGTTAGTGCGGTCCAGCGTCCGCTCACTGCGGTACCGTCTGTCTGGGCTGTACTCCCTGTCCAGCGCTCGCTCGCTGCGGTAGCGCCGATCAGGACTGTGGTCCCTCGGGTACCTCCTGTCTGGGCTGTAGTCACGGTCCAGCATGTGGTCGCTCTTGTAGCGTCGATCTGGACTGCGTTCTTTGTCCAACATGCGCCCTCTGCTGCCGTCTCTTCTGTACTGCCGGTCTGGACTCAGGTCTCTCTCTGTGCTCCTGCCACGTTCCCGCCGGTCATAGTCCCTGTCATAGTCACGCTCACGCGTTTGGTAGCCAGAATCCATGTAGCCTCCTCCGCCGCGCTCCCTCTCCATGCTGTGGTCTCGCCCTCCACCGCTCCGCCCGCTGTACACACTGCGGCGGTCCTGGTCGTAGTTATAGTCATCGTTGTAGTCGGTGTTGAAGACTCTGTCATCAGGTGATGGAGGGCGGTTCAGGAGATTTACCGGAACTTTCCTCGGCCTCTTGACCGTCTGTTGATGAAAGTAAACAGACATAAAGGTCAGAATATCATAACAACAAATGAAACCCCTAATTTTGATTCTTTTAATTCACTGTGTGTCTCTGTGGTATCTTATCAACAAAAAGGAAATCCTGAACAAGAAAAGGGAGCCAATTTTAGACCCACCTTTCATTATTTACAGGGTATCAAAACAATCATATCCAAACAACAATTTAAACTCAGGTCTAACTCACAACTTTGGCGACTTTGCCACACTTCCTCAGAGTCTGCACAGCGAAGGAGTGGATGGCTCCCTCCATGGGGATGGCGTTCACCTGTATCACTCGGTCATTCTCACTAGAAAACAAACACATAGATGTGAGTTAACCTGCTTAACTTTAAAAAAAAAACGACAACACTCAACCTTTGTGTAACGCTGTGGCTAAAATCAGCCACTAGGGGCAAAATTTAGCCACTAATTTCCATGTAACTTTTTTTTACTGCAGCAAATGGGATGATTTTTTGTGCAGATGTTTATATTGATGGACACTTTTTTCATATATCTCTTAAGTAACTTTTGCTTTGATCAAAACTAGTAAATGTGAACTGAAATGGTAGAAAATGAATCTAATAAAAATCAGTCATTTTCCTCCAATTTTTTCCCCATATTAGTGACTTTATGTTTTAAATGGGTCCTTAAAAGGTTAAAATTTGGATTCTTAATGAAACATTTACTAGTTTTGAATAGAACAGAAGTTAATTAAGAGATATATGAAAAAAAAATCTGGAAAAAATATGAATCCAATATGTTTTTACAGAAGTCAATGTCAGTGGCTTTTTTTGGCCAATGAGCGTTAAGAAAGGATGTAAATCTATATCCAGGGTATGGTCCTAGCAAAAAGTATGGGCATGTTTTTGGACTGGATTTTATGACTCATATTTATATATTTTTATTAAAAGCTTCAGTTTATGGCTGGAGTGTTTCCAATCGTGTCAATGCTTGAAAGAAGAAAACAAATCTTCAACTTGTTGGACAGATATGAGACTTTTTCAGAGCTAATCCATGTTAGCAGTTGTCACATAAAAGTTGATGAATCCAATAAAGTCATTTATCAAATGAGTCATGAGTTTGTTGTCGGTCTCAACAGCCTTGATCAAATGCTATCGTGTGTTTTTGTAACAGTGGGGATTTACCATAATGACCTGAATATAGGGCGACCCTGATTACAAGACGCCCCCTCCTGTCAGTCACAAACTCATGAGAACATTTAAGGCTCTCCACTTTTGTATATCACATACTCTGGCTTCATTTCTCTTTTTTAGATGTTTTTCAATGATCTTACATTTAGTTCAATACACAAATGATTATTTTAGATCCAACTAAAATATCTGCCACATAATCAAACAAAACCACTGACATATTCAGGCAGAGGCAGACCAGCTGCTTTTGTGTTGAACAAGGAAAAACAACTCAGAGCAATTTACAAACTGTTCTGGTTTCCAAAGCTTCTTCCCTTAAACAAAGAGGTCTATCACTTTATCTATCCTTACCAATGTTCTCATCCACTTAAATACAAATCTGGGACTTTCAGCAGCAGAAATAATCACTTTAAGTGTTGCACTTTGACCGGATGATTGGCCCCTGAGGATTAAGTTTAGCCATTACAGTCCTGTTGGAGCTGACCGCTGGAGTGGGTTTGTGTGTGTTTTTTTTTTTTTTTAATGGTCATTTACACACTGAAATAAAAGAAAATAAGGTCACAAATACAAGTCTGTTAGTCTGTGCATGTGTAACATTAAGCTGCTAACATGAAACTGCTCTATAGTCTCTTAGTGTCCTCTGATTTTACAGTGTGATGTAGTTCAGGGATTTATTCTAAATAAATGCCAACAGTAACACGCACAACAACAAGCCGTCAGCAGGTCCTCCCTGCAGGACGTCAGAGACCACGATGGACGTCTCCCCGCTGTCTTCGTTCGGATTGTCCCGTCCCCCTGACACGGCGATCCCAAAGCCCATCTTTGGATCCTGAAAACAAAAATAAGGAAACACAGAAATGAAGTTGAATCTTTATCATTTGGGTTTTACAGCGTGTGATTGATGGAGAGCGAGAGGTCCTGTAATCCCTGTTGTGTGTGTGAGCTCAAACAGTATTATCATGGCTGTATGCGTATTGTGTGGGGCGATTACAGGGATTTTGACTCTGATTGTGATTACTGCTGTGCATAGGGGAGTCATGTATGATGGTGCAGTATTTTAGCGCCTCCATGACAATCATTTGTAATCTTCGTGTGTGAAACCAACTATGCTGATCCTTAGTGCAAATATCATTACAAGATTTGCGCTGATCTGTGCACGCAGTCAGAACTTGTTAATTTCTCCGTTTTTAGAGGCGCCTTACGTCTTTGGAGAAGTGTTTCTGCTTAGTGTGATTCTACCTGCCTCTCTGCTCCAGTTTGTCCAGATGAGATTAGGTCAGAGATTTGATGACCCTGTCTCTTTATCCCCTCCCTCCCATCTGTACTTAAAAAAGGAAAAAAAAAAAAAAAAGCACACTATTCACCCCTCTGTCTCTGGCAGATGGTGGTGGAGGCAGAGGGAGGGAGAAAGTGAAAACAGAGGAACAAACAGAGGCGCACAGGACATGAACAAGACATGAACAGCCTCTTTTTTCTTTGTCTTAAAGATCCTTTCATTGACAAAAATCTCGGAGGAATCAAAATGTTCAATAAAAAACACGAGCGTAAGCAGATTTCCGCTATCTAGTTCTTATGACCATAGCCTGTTTTGTAAGGTCTGATGAGGAAGCCTCTTTGACATGACCAGATTTTGAAAAGGTTTTATAACCCTGAGGGCCAAAGACTATTTTTATATTTGTTTACAGAACAGACGGTTCTTCCACCGACTCAAACCCGGGAATATTCCTCCAAAAGTGAGCAACGCGCTCAAGATTAGTACCGGACTGTACAGCCAAGAAACCTGCGAGTGCGATCTTGTGATACATTTTTCAAAAGAGGCATGGGATTAATGATGTATGAAGGGGTTCACAAGTGTGTGTGTGTGTGTGTGTGTGTGTGTGTGTGTGTGTGTGTGTGTGTGTGTGTGTGTGTGTGTGTGTGTGTGTGTGTGTGTGTGTGTGTGTGTGTGTGTCCTGGAGCTGCCCCTTGATAAAGAGGAGATTCAAAGTCTTTATCAACAAAGTTCTGATCTATTAGCTGGTTGCAGAAAAAGGAAAATCTTGAAACTCTTGGTGCTAGAGGTTACACAAAACAGTATTTTTATGTGAACAGTTTGGTCAAAACTCAACCAGGTAATTTAACTGGACAACTGTCCTCGTCCCAGTATACAAACACCAGGTGAGAACTGTAAAATAAAGCCTCAAAAGTCAAATAAAGCCTCAGCTACATTAGCTGCCTTTTATATCATGTATGAGAACATCTGACAAGACGTTAGCTGGTTATACGATCAACAGTGACGACTCCAACTTTACAGCTTTGTGCTTTTAGTAGGAATGATGACACAGTCGCTTTGTCTCGTTTCTTTCCCTTCTTATTGTGATTTAACTGAGAGCTTCAACGAGGGTCAGGAGTTATTCTGCTATTTGATGATGAGTCAGACAGCCAGTGTCTGCTCCTTTGAATCCTTTTGGACCGAAGACACCTGAGTAATCAATTGACAAACAACTTAGATCTGTTGATCTGTTGAAGGGGAGATGCGAAAGCCTGCAACTCTGTACCTTCACGACTTCAAATTTGGCAGAGAAAGAGCTCAAGCTTGCCACGATTTTCTTTCATTGTACACACTGACTGACACCTGCTCTGACACAGGGAGGTGGTGCTTTTTGGTTTGTGAGCACGGGTCAGAGCAATAAACAACAGAGTCAGACACGACTTTTTGATCGTTCTCTGTGGCTGCAGGAAGAAAATCTCTGTTGTGTGCACTCAAATCAAAACACGTGCACGGTAAAAACACAATATCCCCTTCTGATTACGTTTTTTTTGGGGTCAATTCCTGTTTTTGACTGCTGATTTTAAGGGTACCACTGCACTCCACATCATCCATACTGCTGTAACAAACATCTTAGAGACAGAGGCAACAGATCCTAAAGCGAAGCTAGTTTAACAAACAGGCTAACGGTTAAAGAGGCTGGATAGTAAATGTAGGGGATAGTCCGAGTCTGACAGCTGGCTGCAGAGCGGTTGAGAGTCAGAGGTCACAAGACTGCAGCAGAGGGACCTTTTCCCCGGAATCTGCTTTTCTGGCTTTAGAGAAGCACAGCAAGAGACAATGAGCTCATCAGGATGATTACCGAAGCTCAGCTTGTTTGCTCTGCTCATACAGACACAAACGTGTTTAACTCAAACAAGGAAAACCTGCTTCTCTTGGCTGATCGGGTGATCCACCACAGATACAACCAAGTATGTAAAGGGGATGTAAATAGAGTTGCTGTATCACTGCTTTCAAAGATAGAAGTGCATCTCAAAAGCAGGTGTTGAGCTCTCACCATTTCTTATCGCACATTGAGACAACTCATGGTCTGTACAAAACCTTTACCTTCTCAAAAACCAATGTTAGCTGATAAGGAAGAAGGCTGAGCTGAAATAATCTTTACAGTCACTGCTGCATCTTCTTCTTCTTCTCCTTCAAAGCATGTCAAATTGAGATGCCAAATTATCAAAATTCATAAGATATAAGTTTCCTGGTATTATTTTTATCATCACTTCACAGCTTCAGAAAACACTTCAGGTGAACAAAGTCTGACAAAATTCTACGAGACGAATTTTTACTTTATTAAAAATGCCGAATAATGGTTTTACTATTTCTTCTTTTTAATCAGTTTATATCCTTCAGCATTGTCTCTGAACATTCACACACATGCATGGGAATAACATAAACATGAGGTCGGCGCAACTTTGTGACTTTGAACACACACATAGAGCATATGTCTTCATTAAGTGCTAAAAGGACCCTCGAACCATCACTAGCATCATGGTGGTGATGGAGGGCAGAGCAGAGACACACATGGTAAACTCCAAGAGGAAACTTGACTTTGGCTGCAGGTAAATCAAAACCAGCACCTCCCCAACCCTTTGTGCTGTAGACAACTGTAGGTACTGTTTTCATGTTTGGTCACACTGACAGAGGTTCTTCTGGGTGATGGACCCTGCTTGTGGTCTTTGTAAAAACGTCATCTTGACACCTGGTTTAAGTTTAGACACGACTGCATTTACTCACCAGGCAACAGACTGCTACTGAACAGATACAGCCACCTATAAGTATGTTCCTTTACAAGGAGCATTCATTCACTTATAGCTGTGTTTGTTACCACCTTATAAAGTTTAAAAGACAATCAGCACTTAAATGACACTATCTGGTCATTTAACAGTGTGTGCAATGATTCAGAGTTACATCAGTGCTACCTAATGTGTTTTTTTTTATGTTGTCATACTGTGGCGCCTCCATTTATTTCTTCTTTTGCTCTCTACTCTTGATGAACGACTAGTTTTACGGTCACATATTAATCTTTTTAACAACATTATGGATCTTGTAGTGTTCTTTTTTAAGTTGTTTCATAGCTCACCTGGAAAGACTACTCATTTGTTGTAATTCTGAAATTAAAAACAGCTTTTACACCCCTGCAGAAGTTTACTCTCGCTCGTATCGACGCTGAATGTGTTTCATCAGTATTTTGTCTGCTCTTCTTTAGCTGACTGCGACACATCAGACTAATATTTCAATGCTTTCCCTCTGATGCTCTGGGGTTTATGACTAAAATGTAAACAGTGTAAATGAGATGAGCCCTGGCATGTTTCGGTGCAGATGGACTCACCCTCTGCAGGGTCACGGTGTACTGCTCCCACACGGTCTCCTCCATGACCGGGTTCTGTGGAGAGAAAGGTTAGATTACCACGGTTAGTTTTATTCCAGGAACAGATTAATAATGTAACACATGATGTAAGGACGGTGTCGGTTCATGTTGCCATTACACAACCAGGAGCTCGCTGAAGAACAATGAGGGGCCTCAGCTGGATGTTTACAACAAGGAACTTTTGGCTCAGGCTGATGAAATATCGATGAGAACACTTAAACATCACTTGGCTCCTTTTTTAACCGGCGGTTAAAAATAATCTGGGATGAATTGATTTCTAACAGACCGTTCCACTACACAGCCAGCCGACAAGTTTGAGACAAACACCTGTTACACACGAGACACTTCAAGCCATTAATAACTAAAATCTAAACAACTCAGCAAAGTGTTTGACTGTTACTAACGACCGCTGTGACTGTGAATCAATTTAACAACTGTTTCTGATTGATAGTACAGACAAACAAGAATTAAAGTGGGCTAAACTGAAGTCATGAAGTTTTGTTTTCAGACAATAAATGACCTCAAAAAGGTGTCAATGAAGAAAGTAAGAGGATGAAATCTGAGTATAGTTTTTATTTTTAACACTTTGGTCACAGTGAGCTGCTAACAAGGGACTAATCACTTATTAAATTAGTCCTTCCAGCAATCTTGATAGTGAAAAAAACCTCTAAATTTTGTCAGATTAAATTTCAGACAAAAACAAACAAAAAAAGAAACATCCAAACTAATGGTGCAATTTATCTTATATTAATTCTGCAGTTGTACAAGATTTAAACTAATTTTGTTGTTTCCTGTTAAGTAATTTAAAAATGATTCAGCCCATCCATCACCTTTGTCGCTTATTCATAATTTTGACATCAAATTTATTCATATTTACCAGGATTAAGTTGATTTCCAGAGACTAAAGACACGGAGGAAAACTCATTTCTCTTCAAGGACATGCAAGTTTATATTTCCAATAGCATGACATCATCTAGGTTTTTGTTTCAAGTCATACTTTATTTCACTTTGCTTTCTGTTATGAGGTTTTGAGAAATAACCTTTCAACCCAGTGCAAATAATCAAAACCAGAATTAAACTTAAGTATAAGTTTCACTTTTTACCTATCTTTAACTTTACCCCATTCACTGTAAAAAGTTTCCCAGTCAGTAAAAAAAAAAAATCAATTCTTTGATAGGACTTTACAGTAAGTCTACATGAAGTAAAAACTTATAAATGAATCATCTTTTACCATTAAACACTGTTTTAAAGTCTCGATAGTCAATATCTCATTTCTATGCAAAAATATAAGTCTGTTCTGATATGGACTTCCTACATCAGCCTATTAATATATTATTATCAATCTAGATCCAAAATAATCAACTTGTAACACTTGACACCACTTTTCTGAATTAGTGCTCTCTTGTTTTGTAAAATAAAATCCAGCCCAAATACGCTTAAATCAACGGATTAACATCTGATTAAAAAAAGAATAAACAAAGCTTTCAGGTCCGCTACAGAAGTCCTGTCAGGTCCAGCTGCCTGACCGTGCCACTTGCCCTCTCAAATCTGTGCAACGGTATCAGAATCAAACTCACGAGTCCCTGGAGGATACGTATGGTCTTGACCGCGTGGGCCCATTTCCTGTGCAGGCTGAGGACGGTCTTCATCGCGGATGTTCTGCGTCTCTTCCTATCTGCGTCTCTCCCTGCTCACCGCCAGCGGTGCTCTGGCAGACTGATGTGCGCCACAGCCTCCTCCATGGTCACAGCTGCACAACCACCAGCAGCTCTCTTCCTGCATCTGCCCGCCTGCCTGCCTTTGACGTAAGAGGGATTCTGCTGGCCTACATTCAGTACAAATCCCACCGTCTGCAGACAGTGTAAACATTCAGACACACCAACTCCTGCACAGGCATGCGGTGATTAAACATCCCGAGTGTTCATCCATAAACCCAACAACAAATCAACCCTCGCACTTTGGGTCTGATGACTGCGGAGCACTTTAGATACACCGGACGTTCTTCCAAGTTTTGGAGATGACTCTCACGCCAAAGAAAGAAACTCCCCCTAAAACATGCTCAGAGTGAAAATTTGACTCGCTGAGAAGCACAATGGCTGGGATTTTAAGTAATGGGGATTTTTTTTTTGGGTTTAGTATAAAGTGGAAAGTCAAATCTGTGTGCCGCTGACATCTCATGGCCAGGCTTAGTGAAACGGGGGCACGATTCAGACTGGCAGCTCACCCATCATAACCCACTTTTTTGATCTTCTGGCCCACAGGGGAAACCAGATGACCAGCAGCAGCAGCAGCAGGAGACCGCAAAGAGCCAAATGCGCATAAAAACAGGACAAATACTGCAAAAAATAACAAAGACAAGAACGAAACGGGGATCATAGTCTTGCACTTCTATCAGACTTGTTTATCTGTAATTCGCTCTTCTTTCTTTCACCTTGTTCTGGTTGAAGGTAACTTTGGACAGTGTCTTCAATATACTTTAAAACTGTCATGGTTACAAAACTCTGAAATAACCACCCAATACAGGGTCAAACCAGCTATGGACACAAACATCTTAGCCCGTGCATGAAAAAGTGGCTCCATTTAGTAGCAAAGTCTTATCCTCAGAAGAAGTCTTTGCTCATGTAGGCCAGTTTCACAAACAACCTCAATCCTGCCAGCAAACAAAACAAAGCTGCAGCTCCTGAACTCCAAAACTTGTACAGTAAAGTGGAATTAGTGCTTTCTTGTCCTGCGGCTCATAAGATGTGAAAATAAAACATTTATGTCCTATTGATTAGCACCTGCTGATGAAACTATCACTATTATTGAAAAAAAAGATCAATACTACATGTGAGAACAAATCCACAGTGCTAGCATGCCTTCTGTCGGTGCTACCGTCTCCCACCAGTTGATTAAAAAAAGACTGAAGAAATAAATACCCCAGTGAGTGACAAGGAGTATCTTTTTCTGTGCTGGATCAGCTAAGAAATCAAGGCTGTAAATAACAACTAAACCCCAATCAACCAAAATAAATCGATGTTAAAAATAAATTTAAAGACTGTCTCCAGCTCCTGCCTATCCCAAATGAAGGAGAGGTGAGTTTATGGGTTTAGAAAAGCAAAAATAATAAACTGATGTTTCACAGTGTGCAGTTTTTAGTTGTGTTTTTAATTTGGCTATTATTCAGCCAGTGTCTCATCATGTATTTTAGGATGCACTACAGTAAGCAAAAGTATTAATAAGCTGCATTAGATTGTGTTTAAGCCTTTTTTGACATTTAAATTGACTTATTTATTTGGTGATGGAGGCAGGTACCAAATAATACCACCATGTATCTCTGTACTTTTTAATTTACATCTGAAAGGTAAGAAAATTCTAAGTTAACACATCGTGCTCTACTTTGTTTTCAGCCTCAGCGTATTTAGTGTTCACCATAGACTGTATATAGAATGGACAGTGTCTGCCTCCTTGCTGGGTGAAGACACTCCAAGAACAGCACCCCCTGTTGACGGGCTGCAGTATAGGTCATAAATCCCGCCTCCACCAGAAAACCTTATGGGGCTGTGGACAAACTTAAGAAGTTTATTACACAGAAAATCTATCCCCCCCCCCCCCCCCCCTTCTTGCGATGTTGACATGTAGTTATTGTAAGACTGGTTTGTGTTCAAGTCCTCTTTTTTTCTGTGCAGCTCTGTTTTTAAAAGTTATTACTGGGTTCATGTTTTCTATGACTGAAACCTAATACAGCCTATTGGCGTATGAAGATTGCGTCGCTCACTCTCGGCGCTACAGCACAGTGTTGGTTTCAGGAAATGGAGAAAAAACGCAGAATTAACGAGAGCTTTTTGGCTTCAAATCCGAATACAGGCAGAAGGTGGAACCAAGTTGTCCATAGTATATAAAGTCTATGGTGTTCACAATGAAACCATTTGATCAGTGTGTTAGATCTATGTATTTACACAGTATTATACTGTGAATTTACAGTATAAGTTGTCACTATCCAAGTATATTGATCTTATCAGATTACACCACAAACTCAGACTACAAAAGACAAACTGTCTGGGCAGTGTAAGGGAATGTGTGAGAGCAAGGTCAAGTGTATTTTGCACTTTTTGCTGTGCAGTTGAAAATAAGAGGGAAAAAAACTATTGGTGTGCTTTGTTGAACATTACTTTCCCCCAAAAAAGAAAACAGAAACCTACAGCAGAAGAGGAGAGGACTTCGTGCAAACAGAGGAAACATTAACTCATGAAAGTCAGATTTGGCAGAGGCCAGTGGAAGAGCTCGAGGCAAGGTCAGAGCAGTTTTAATCAGACGGACTTCTTGTGCTATGTGATATGATTATGATGGCTGCTCATAGGCCAGCCTGTCGGATAAGTCCGAGCCTCCTGAGTGTCAGCCATTATATAACAAAACACAAACACATTCTCACTAATGAGGAGGGAGGCTGAAATACTGGGTCATCCTCACAGGTCGTGAGTTAGAAAACTAATTATTTAGAGGATGAGATGACTTTTTTTTCAAAAACAAGAATAAGAATGTGTGGGTTGATTTCATAATGCAAAGTCACAGTTAATATAAGAGATGAATTTTGAGGATTATGGGATTAATGATTAGTGATGAACCCTCAAAAAATCCACAGTGGTGCCTACATTTGAAATAAAAATGAGAGATAAAATTTTGAGCATGTAAAATAACTACAAAATGTGGCACTGTTTTAATACTCAACATAGCATGCAAGTTTTAACTAACAAAATTTTGTTCATAACAAATTAACTAACAGGTGCCCTGTGTTAGTATAATATTTTAAACATTTTCCCCTATCTTTACATAATTCCAGTTGGGAATTTGTGAAATTCAACGGTTTTTTTGTTTTTTATTTTTAACTTTCTTTATTTTTTGTATTGTTGTAACATTAATCTCAATAACACTCCATTCGGTAGTTTCAGTGTTTTTGTTTATGGAGGCTGTCAACAGAAAAATTGAGTTAGTCTGACCCCTAGCGGTCAAATACCTGCATTACAACTTCAGGCACGGGACAGAACAACAAACCACAGCACAACCTTCCAAAAAATAAGCCTCAATTATTAATATTTACACTTCAAATAACAGATAATTATGTTTCCACTCGTGTCCATTTTTTTCTGCTTGACTACAACCACCAGCCGTTGCTCCATGAGACAGAGTTATAACTGGCAAAGTCGAAGCAACAAGGATATAAGAGACTAATGCAGTGAAACACAGCACACCCAGAAACAAACAGACGATTAGTTCTGGCATAAATTGATATGAACCATTTGGAAATGAGGATTTATTATGAACTTTGGACCTGTTTCTACAAACTAAAATGATCCACTGTTGTAACTAGCTCACAGCTATCACAGCAGGTGCAGCGGGATGCAACAGGCTTCAACTGGAGTTACGGACACTTAAAAAGTTCTACTTCTACTTCAAAACGCAGACAAAACACTTAAACAAGACAAAAATAGTAATCTCCCTCCCTTCTTTTAACAATGGAGGTACTTACTGTGAAATACTGGGTGGCATATCTACTCAAAGAGAGCAGACCCCCTCCGTTTACTGGCATCACGCACTTTGAACTATCCCGGGGTGGTACCAAAGGTTTAAAAAAAATCTATAAGTATTAAGATTTCTTTGGGTCCAAGTCAGCTCAGGATAGATGATAATGGAAGATAAACAGTGTTAAAGAGTAAAAAGTCTCCTCTTCTTCGCTGTTAACGTCTCTCCTCACTCTCTAAACACGTAAAGAATCAGCATTCACAAGAAAATTAGCGCCGACGACTCCTAGCTTCGCTTCAGGTCGTACCAAAAAGGAGTAAAGGGTGGAGGGTATATTTTAAAACAACTACAATAAAAATCCTTCATTTCACACAAGTCAAAACCAAGCTTCTTTTGACCTTAGAAAACGTTTTATTTAGTTTTTAATCTATAATAAACGGTTCATAACATTACTAACACATCTATGAAAGGGTCTTTCACCTCTGTGGCACCTGACATGGAATCGTCCAAAATTCCCGTTTGATTGTTGGGAAGCACGCTGTGAGGCTTCCAGACACACAGACAACACAAAAACACATGAAACACTGCACAACATGCTTCAAAGACAGTCGAAAGGAAGCATCCGACCATAACAGGGAAACTTGTTTGGAATGTATTGGTAATAGATGCATATTTTTGCATTCATTGCACTTCTAATTAGGTGAGTTATAAATACCCAAAGCACTCAGGATACAAAACAAAGACCCTATGAGGAAACCCACTCAGCTAATTAAGACAAAATAAATGATTTGGTATCTATCCTTTTTTATCAACACTGTTTGTTTAGAATTATTTTGTTTGTTCACTCCACAACAAAAACCGCAATAATGTAAATCAAATAAAGAATAGGGTTTATTTTTTATTTTTTTTAAGTGTCTGAAACGACTCTCCTTATCATCTTTTTTTGAACACAATCCAAATAAAACTTTTTTTTAACCCTCAGGGACTCTGGGCAAGTGGGCTGATTTTTTTCAGGGTCATTTTTTTCTTTCCAATTTTTAAGACCTGACTACCCATTATTATATTATATCATGTCAATATTCACTGTGTGACAAAAACACTACAAGTCCTTGGATGGACAAAAATGTCGATGTCAAACATAACAATAATAATAACACTTTTTGCTTTGTAATGAAAATGACAAAAAAAAAAAAAGATGTGAGCTTGTTTCATGCAGAAAGACGGCAAAAACTTCCACTCTCTACCATGATAATAGATGGGTTGTCCAAAGTGATTTATAAGCCCACAACCATTGTGATGTTTGATGATTTCTTGGCTTTCTTGAGGGTATATACCTTCACTTATAAAGTCTGGAGTTTGCTGGTTTGAAGTTACTAGTGTCTGCCCCAAATCGACTCAGTTTATTATGGTGAGATGTTTGACTAAAATGCAAAATCATATTAACTCTGATCTGGTAATTGAGTTAGGACATCCCTAGTGACAGGTTATGGTTGTTGTATTTTTTACTTTTTTTTTCCAGAGTATGAAACCTGGCTTCTAAGATTTAAGCCACAAATGACCCACAAGAGCATAACTGGTGTCCTGTAATAAGTGACAGCCCCTGGTTTAAATCAAGGGCTCCAATTTATCCTAAAAGGTGTTGATGGGGTCAAGGCTTTGCAGGTCAGTCACATGCGTCAACACCAAAGAGAGAAAAAAATGTCCTGTTAGGCATGCCTTTGCGAGCAGAGGGATTGTTGTGTAGACAGGAAAGGCTCTTCCATGAAGTGTTACAAGAAAGTTACAAGTACTATTGTTGAAATCATCACTGTGTGCTCAGCATTAACATTTATCTGAAATGACAGTAAGAAAGTAAAACTAACAAAACTCCAAACATTTAGCTTATTTAACAAGCTATGACAAAAATGTAAAGGCTCTTATATGTGACCAGCTAAAGCAAAGAACCAGGAAAAAAAAACAAGCAGAAAAGTATGTGCAGCTGCCCCACAATAACCTATTGTTTGAGAGCTTGTGTGTGTTCCTGTGTGTAATACTATCCATGTAAGCCTGACCATATCCAGTATTTGGCAACACAGGAAATATCTGATGAGGACTACAACTGACCCTGAAATCTTCCAAATCCTTTATACTTCAGAAAACGTATTCATTTCGAACCCAAAGCCACCATTTTAGAAATGGAACAAAACATCCTGGAGGCACAGAGGGCATGACTTTATCCAAAAATGTTCAACTGAGAGTAGAAATGTCTTCAGAAATCAGTAATAACAAAGAAACGGCTGAAAAGATTAAGGTTGATACAGTGCTTTTACATCCACTGAAATATGCAGAATATGCCTCAAAATAGGCCATCCTAATGCAAAGCAGCTTCACTGGCCTGAATAATTTGTGAGAGTAAGTCATTAAAACAATGAAGCATCCAGGACATGACACGTCGCTGTGGTTAATCACTATCCAGGATGCAGGAGGACTCACTACAAAGAAATTTCATCCAAATAAGGAAAGAGGAAAGAAGTCAGAGTTGGAGTGAATCACTCAACCTGAAATTTCAAAACGCTCATTGTTGAGGGGGAGAAGCTGCCTAGTTTACAGCTTACCAACTATTTTTGGATATTGTGGATAAACATTATCAAAAACCAAATGGGGGGAAAAAAGAAAAAGTACATGCATGTATTTTTTAAGCTCTTTCACTGATGGGATTATAAATGAGTTTTTTTTTTACAAGATTAAAATTCATGAAATTCCATCAAGACAGAAGCACAACCGTCCAACTGGTATAAAAGCATGAAAACCACCAAAGCCTCAGAGGCCATAAAAACACACAGCCAATAAAAACAACATAACAGTAGATGATACTAATGTTTGTTTGTTTTTTTAACAAATTCAAGTATTCAAAGTTGCTAAAGTTTGAGTTCAGGACCACAGAGTTCAGGAGGTCAACAGGACCACAACTCCCCAAAACCAAAACCTATTATGAACAGAAATAAAACTTACCATCATAATAGCCGAGTAGCTGCGAGATGAGAGGCGGCGCAGATACAGGTACTGGGCTTCTCTGGACCAGCAGAACTTGCGGCCAGACTTGAGCAGATCAGTGCTGGTCTGGTCAGTACCAGGCTGGTCCCTGTGAACACAGAGAAAGAAATGTAAAACATACTAGTCTCAGTTTGATCACACAAATTACACATTTTAAAGGAAATCCAGGAGGCAACATGATTTCTTTGCATTTGAAACAACCAAATAAAGGAGACCAAATATAAGGATTTGTTGTTATCTGCTGTGGCAGATCATTCTCTATTGAGTCTACTGAGATTAAAAAAAAGCAGCAGTAAATCTAAATTACTTCCAGCTTGTCCTTACAGTAATACTGTAATAAAACTCTAACAAAGATTTAAGACTCTTATTTTCATTTGCAGTCATTCCTGTTTCAGCATATAAATTCTCCAACCACAATAAATTAATGGAAAAGGCCTGAAAAACACTGCTCTAAACATTGCCATTATTAAACAGTATGTATTCATAACTGTCTGCTGCAATGAGAACGGAATGACTCGCACTAAATAGACCAAATGAATCCACATATTGATCTCACTTGCGAAGTTAAATATTTTGAATAAAAACACCAACATGCTGATATGTGGCAGGTTATTTTTACCTTGTCTGCTCTGATAGCTGAACATGCTAGCATTGATGACAGTTTTAATGAACATTAAACACAGTGAGCAACTGCTGGTACAGTATTAAGATTATTATAAAGGTATTTTAAAGTGGTTAGTATACAACTTAATATACGCTACAGTGGATCTCAGTTAGCTCATAGTCCAACCAAGTTTCCTAAAACTGTGAGTCCAGTGTGAGAAAGGCAATAACCACATTTCTCATTTGATGTCTGTACAAAGTTGGATTTTTTTATTTTGTTTTAGGGCATGTTGAAGCCTATTAATAAGGGATTCATCTGGCGCAAGAATCAATGATCCCTTGCATTCCAGTGTCCTCTCTCCACTGTTAGTGTTGGAGCCTTGAATATTTGGACTTATTCTTGAAAGATGACCAGGCAGATTAAATCATCGGACACAACATACTGGATGTCTGTACAATTACTTGAAATCAGTGAGAGATGTATTTTCTTCTCATCTATATTCTACTTTATCTTATTCAACAGGTAATGCCACATTAAAACCAAACCCTTTCAAATGGATTAAAGATAACAACTGTCTCACTATCAGAAGGACAAATAAAGAGTTGATTGTTTGGGAACTATAAAAGGATCACATGAGTAAAGCTTGAAACACTGTAAAAAGAAAGTACCTCATTTCCCGGAATTAAGCTCCGCCCCCTTGTATGGCTCAGAGTAAAACAAGAGTGGACCAGACTCATGCTGATACTACTGTCTATAATACCATAATCTCCAGTCTGACTTCCAGAGCAGCATCTCTGACCTGATTGTTGACAACATGTTCAGACACGTGGCACTCTCTGAGCTTGAAAAACTTTTTTCTTTTTTTCCCTGACAAACTAAAGAGGCTTTCTGATACATTCAGACAGTCTGACTGCGTACAGTCAGAGTCTAATTCAACACTGCAGCCAGAGTGAAGAAAAGGGACTGGCTCTGCGTGACTAAACCTGCCGTCTGTTACAGATTCAGCACTGGCATGTGAAAACATGAGGAAGGGCTGGGTACCTTCAGGTACAAATGAAGTAATTTATCAATTAAATCACTTCACACCAACATGAAAGAGAGATAGTTACAGATTTTAGAGGCCAAAAACTCACTGCTGTGTGTATGGACACTTATCTCCAACCACCCATTAATGGTGCACACAAGCAGTTACGTAATGCACTTTTATAAAGTTGGAGGACTTACATGAGATAAAACAATGCCCAAAATCTAAGCAGCATATGGTTGGGTTATTCTTACTTTTAGTATGAACAACAGCAGAGAGTTGGCAACTCTTACAGGTCTACAGAATCAGCTTCAACTCTCTACTGTAAAATCAACATATTAGGCCTGCAACACCTGTGGACCAAGCTCTCGCTCTGAGCACTCAAGCATTTCAAAACACAGTCCTTCTGTTGTTACTGAGTGAAGTGTGAGGCAAGGCATGTAGCAGATTTCAGCAACAAAATGATTCAATAAGGCTCACATGAGAGCACAAAAGAATCAATATGAAGGTCAGAATGTTTGAAAAATCACAAAAGAAAACATGTGAAAGACATATCAGGCCATAAACAACAGGGCAAAGAGAAATGAATGTAGCAAAAGCAGAGTATCAAAATATGGTGACATTATTAAAATACAACAGTGAGAGTTTGTCAGGGATGCACAATAAATCACTACATTATAGATCGTGAAATATCAGTCAATTAGCGCTTCGCCTAAATGCATTCTTTGGTATTTATTTACTACACTTCTTTTGGTGTTGCGTTTTTTGCATATTGTGTATAAAACTTTGATTTAGAGCATTTCAGCAGCTTTCTGTGAGTTTGCTACCAATACGTGAAGCGTAAAAACTGAATGCCACTTCTTTCAGGACAGAGAACAGACCTGTCCCACATGACCTGAGAGGTCAGGCCACTTTGTACTGTAAGAGATGATCTTCTATTGACCCGAAAAAACATTTGATTTTACTTTTTCTTCTTACATTGTTGTGAATTGTTTGTTTCGGGTTTTAAAGATGCAGTTAAAATAAGCCCATACGCATTCATTTATGTTTAACGTCTATTCTCTTATCCACAAAACAGGTTGATGAATTTACTATTTCATGACTGTGGGGTACAACAAAACACATTTCACCTCTCCTACAAGCGTCCCAGTCTAGTTCACTATCACCACCCTAATGACATCATGATAATAGTACCACGTGGGTATTTGACATCAAGCTCAATTCAGGAACCTGAATGATAATCTGGGATACTGTGCTGATTTCAAAACATTTCTCCACATTAACTAATCACAGTATCTCAAAAAATACTTTACAGTCAAGAAAATTTCTAGAAAAAGCAGCAAATGTGACAAGATGTGTGTACATATGAAAACCTGTGCAAAATGTGGTGAACTAAGAGGAGAGAAGTTAAGAAAAGATTCATGATTGTGATTGTAAGTTTGTCCAAATGTTGGGTACTTCAATATTTTCCATGTGCTTTAAAACACTTTATTTTAACATTAGATACTATCAAAAAGAACCAAAGTTTTTGAAAGGGACAGATTTACAGCCGTGTTTTCAAGCCAAGGCTGCTACAAGAGAAGTGGTGAAGTTATGTGTAAATAAGCATAGCTGATAAAACAAAGCAGTGAAACAAATACACGATGTTATCCAAGTGTCAGGATGTCTAATGTTAGTCTGTGCTCGATAACATACACAGTACTGTTTGCAGTGCGGTGCTAAAAATAATAACGGACAATCAAATATGGCTGCCGAGGAATTTCCTTTTTGTTGCAAAGGTACCCAAACATGTGGCAATACAGGTAAACTTTTACTCTACTTGTGACACAAAATTTAAAACTCTGTAAACAGTGCAGTGACATATATATAGATAGGAACAATAAGAAATACTGCAAATTTTTATATCTGCTGATACAGAATAGTAACTCTATCTCTGATAAAAAGTATTCGTCACACTTTCTTTCATGCGTAATTACACTCTTAGTGAAATTTTTATAATGTTTATAGATTGAACAATTTTAAAAAGCATAACGTGGTTTTGGATAAAAGAGACTGTTATTGCTAAAATACCAGAGGACACTATGAAACCAACGTACACTCAAATAATTATTCATCACACTGTTTTGATGGTACATTATGGGAAGTGTGAGAGGTCAGTCCTAAACTTTTAACAGAAATCGTGGTGTGAATTGGAAAATGAAGAACTCAAGATATTACGTGAACTTTAGATGATAGTACAGTATGTTTTTTCCTGTTGTATTTTAGGCTCAGTTTTTATCTACCAATGCGATGTAAAGGGACCGTACACTTCAGTACATGTCACTGTGCTGCGTAACAGGTTATATTTGTAGGCACTGAAAAAGTCGAACAGGTACACCCACAACAAAGAAGACATCTGCAACATAAACATTTATAAGATATCCTTCTGTAAAAGCACTCAGTCCATGATACAGTATGAATCCTTTAGTGAAAACTTCTGGAGGATCAAAGAAAATAAATGAAGGGGAACTTTTTTATAGAAGGTGTGTTTATAATTGAAATTACCTCCTTGACTCATTTTCTAGACAGGTGTATTGTTTGAAAACACAAAAACTACTTCACTTCTCTGACACTCTACATGTGTTGAGGATGACAGCACATGGAGACACATTAGTCTGACTCACCCCGGGGGTCTCCACAGTTTCCTGCCCGGTGGCAGAAGCTCTCGTTTGTTCAGGGGCACGATCCCCATGGCCGCCTGCATGATGGTGATGAACTTCTTAAACTTCATCTTCTAATTCTCCTTCAACAGCTACAGCATCACACACACCACACTGCTCTGTCTGCTGCTACACTCCCATTGCTCATCCTTTTAAGCAGCTCCTTCTGCACCTCCAAGACACAAACTTGTCCCCCCTCGCTGCCTCAGTTCGTCAGTTTCTCCATGACAACCGGCCAAAGCTTCAGCACCCAGAGCAGAGAGGTCCCCGTGGTGTGGTTACTACGAGTCCTGTCCACGACCGCTGACTCAGACAGATGTCCTTTTAGCTTTCTGAGCGCGTGAGGATAAAAGGAAAACAAACGGCCACGTTCCTGCCAGGCAGTGGGCGGACCAAGAGGGGATGACAGCACGTCACTCTTACATAATTCTGGAGCATCTTTTGACATTACACTAATGAAAACGCAGCCTGTGCCACCAAACACAACTGCTGCTGCTGCTGCTGCTGCAGCCGCTGGGATAATTGTGGTACTAAGCCCTGACAGATCATGCATGCTCCCCGCCCCCTTCCTCTATAATCCCCCATCCAGGCTTAGTCTTCTCACCATTTACATCCAGAGAGACCCATCAACAGCATCCTCACATCCTCCAACACGAGGGAGCTTCATGCTGTGGAGGTTCATTAATTACATGAAAAAAATTCAGCCTCAACAAATCTGCACTTCAAAACTGGCGTGTGCTGTTACGCACTATCAAATTTGCCCTATTTTTCAATGCTTTTCTTCTACGATCTGGTCTTTTTTCTGTTGCTTTAACATCATATAGATATCTGATGTTATGACTGAATAATGTTTGTTTTAATCTTTAAATGTTATTTCAAATGCAAGCGAACGCAGAAAAGTGTAGCAATGTTTAACATGAATCTGTCTGAAAAGCAAATGTATATTGAGTAATTTGTGGACTTCCGGACAAAAAAACAACAACAACAACAAAAAAAAAAAAACAAGCACTCTTATCTCCAGGAAAAACTAACTGGAGATTATAGTAAAATTTACTGACAAAGGCGATTTCCAGACCAAAAATAGCACAGTGGGAGCTATAAAGCGCTGCTGAAAGCATTAAGGTGCCTGATAAAAATCAATCCGCAGCCTTTCTTTGGATCTCAGTTCCTATTCCAGTGAAAAATCTGGGTGGGCAGGGCATGAAAAATCCAGGAACACAAATTGAAATCATATCTATTATTATCTAAGATAAAAACTGAAGTGTTGACTCAATGTGTAAAATACCAATACAGATTATGACGTTCATTCAGCAAATAAAAAATGAAGCATGCTTTAAGAGTCCACACACATTTACTGAATATGATCAAGTTGGGCAGACTACTGAGTGTGCACCGTTCACGTATTATAACAAGGCAACCCAGTGAAGCTGTCTGGATATGTCTGAATTTAGAAAGGGATGAAAAAAAACACCATCAACGCCACCAGCTGTGAAATTGAAATTGTTTGATTAAATTGCCAGACACTGATCATCTTCACTTGCATGGAGATGGTTTGGCTTTGAAAAGACAGATGTTGCTCAAAAGACACCAATTTGAAGACCAGGGACATTCAGGCAACTCATTTCCTGGTCCTATTAATAGATTTTAATCACAACTAACCGGTAGTCCAAAACACTCAGAAATCAGTTAAATTTAAGCACAATTGCTTCAACATTGCTCAAAGTGGGGTTACAGAGACTGCAGACAAAAGACTGATAACAACATGTCTGTGAGATGGATGTATGTTAGATGGATGTAGTGTCCATGACATCGCTGACCTTAAACCTCTTTGCAAATAGCTACACTGTGCCAACCTGTCTTGTAAGCATATCATCTTTGGAATAAATACTTAACAGAAAAAAATCACTATCTTCACATATTTAAATTAACATACAAAATCAAAAGTTATATTTAAAATATAACTCAAAAACATTAAACCACCTCGAGGGACAGAGCCAGTCTCTGTCGTCGTTATTTCAGGGGTCACAGGTTGAAAAGATTGAGAATCCCCGACTTAACCGACTAAAAGCGCTTCTACATCGAATGATATTAAAGACAGTGTGAAAACTAATTTGTTTGACCATCTGGGAATTAATCACCACAGAGAGAGAGAGAGAGAGACAGAGAGGGAGAGAGCAGGATATGAAAGCTTTAGGAGTTGGTGAGTGACCATGACTGACCCGTAAAACAAAATCACACTCTGCAAACTTACGCAGAATTTTTCATTCATTTATTTGAATGACTCACAACAAAACCAGTCTTACTTCATAACTTGTTTTTATCAATATCGTTAACATCTAATATACTTGTAAGAGCAAGCCAGTAAAATACAAGACTTTCACAAATAATTTTTTAACATTATTTTTGAGGAATAAAAAATACTGTCATTCTTCTTCATCGGCAAAAACTACCAAAAATTACTGAGATTTTTTTGTCCGTTTTGCACACTCCTAGTTTTCACTACCACACTTGTGCAACCCTTGGCATTCAAATCACGCCACCACACCAATTAAAAGTCTGCATCTTGTCTTGCCTGAGTCACCAGCTGACAGCAGGCAGTCGTGTCCTGAGAGGACTCAAATAAATAAATAATCTGTACAGCCTTTTGATGAGTTGCCAACCAATGCAAACTCCGGACAGGATTTATAGTCCAGCAGCCTGGACGTCTGGATTATGGCTCTGGATGGTCGTGCCACGAGAGCTGCTGCAGATTTCACTGAGCATCAGAAATCCCTCAGCACTGTAAGGGGGGCTGAAAAATACCAGGAGCACGGCGGGGGGAGACACAAAAATAACAAGCATCTATTTTTGAAAGCGTTGGGTAACAACAAGCACAAAGGAAAAGAAGAGGAGGGGTTGTTTAAGTTCACCCTGCGTGCTGTCTTTGTTAAAGAGAACCCAGATTAAGAGCCTGACAGCACAGAGGAAACCAAACCACTGAGCTGTGTTGAATTTACAACGCACTGTGACATTCACAGGCAGTTTTATCATAATCCAATACCTAACAGTAATCACACGACACGCAAAGCTGCACAATCACACCTGTGTACACCTGCCTGCACCACAAAGCAGGGTGTTGTGTTAGCAAAGTAACATCAGTGTAAACTCTGGGTTATTAGTTCTGAAGCTGTGGTTTACTTTTACTGTGATTTTTCAGGAGGGACCTCCTCTGGACCAGGATAAATCCAAGAAAAGATTTCAACCTCTATAAAAAACATCACCTACTGACCAATAATATGCATTAAACTCTCAGCATTGTATGAGAAAAGAATGCACAGATATTTAGACATCCACTTTCAAGCTTCATTCCATAGACATAAGAAATGTAGCTCTACATTTAACTGAAAAGAGGTGATTCCCACCAGCACGGTCGAAATGAGAAATTTAAGAGTATTCGACCTGAGATACTTGCAAATCAACCATCCGTTAACTTCACATTTCACTTAGAGCGAAGTCAAGCCTTCAAATTTGAAAGAAACAATGATTTGACATTAATTGTGTGACTGATACCAGACTTTTTAAAGTGATTACATTTTTAGCTTTACTGCCCAGCCCTTATGATTCAGTGTAGATTAAGACCAAACCCTCCACTTGGCCTTTGGTGGTATTTGGTATTCTTTATTTTTTTGTGATGTATTACTATATGATTTAGGATTGAGGATACTTATCAAGTATCCTCAAATTATTGGAATATGATTTAACTGTTAACAATATATGGAGTATGGAGTATGCATCTTAGCAACAAATATAGTTAATTACAAATACAGGATTACGCAGATGTAAAGAACGGACATGAAATCAATTTTTTTCAAGTCAATTTTTCTCACTTAACATTTACACATTTGCTTTTAGTAAATTCCCTTCTGACAATTGCTCTTGGATTTAAAATATACCACTCAGCTGTCAGACTTTTGATTATTAATGATGCACTCAAAGCTCCACTTCTTATTTTATGATTTCAAGTCCTCGTGCAAGGGAACCTCAACTGAACTTCTGTGATGAAAACTACTGCTGTTGCGATGGTTAGCAGGATATGGCCTGATGTTTCTGGAAGTAAATCATATTCATTTACAGCACCTCTGAACTTAAACAGTTAATCTGTTTAATATTATCTATTTAGTTTAAAATACTGAGGCAATAATACCGTACATTTTGGTTTCCTGGGAGCCACAAGACTTTGAAAACCAAGTGAAGTCATATTTTGCAAATCTACAATTTCTCCTCTGTCTTCTGTCTTCTCTGACTGCATCATGAAATGCACTAAACTTGCACAACAACAGCTGAGCAGTCGATTTGTCTTTTGCATGGATGGCTGCTTGACAGCTTTAAATCATTTCCTTTCCAAGATTTAAGCAACACATTAAGCTTCTTTGATTTTTTTAGGCTTTGCTGCTGCTGCTGCTGCTGCTGCTTATTGGTTAACACCACAAAGCATTTTAATCTTCTCAAACTTTGCAGTGATCTCCAGTTTTTATTTTTCAGATGTTCACTTCAAAAAATTCAGGACTTTATTCTTTTTAAGATCAGCTGGAAGTACTCCAAAGTAGATGTTGTTGTGTGTGTGAAATCTACTCATCCAAATATCCTAGTGTGGACAGTGTTAAAGAGGACACAGGTTGGCGCTTTAATGTTTTTAAAAGGCTGGATTTAAATTATGAAAGAGGGGAAGAGATCCGCTTTTCTGAAGACTACCTTTGTCCCTTCACTTTTTAATGAACCCTGGGAATGCCTTCTTCTTCCACTGGTTGAGCAAATGAGGCTGAAGTTGTTTGCTCATCTTAATGCTTTTACATAAGCGGTTTGTTTCACTGCCCCTTCTCACTTCTTCCCCCACGTGTTGGAGTTGCACTGTGTGCTGCAATATTAAGGCCCGGGGCCATTATGCAATGTCCATATGCAATGCATGTGCAAGCCAGATGGAGGGACACATGCCAGTCACAAATCTGTGGTGACTGTTGAGCAGGAGAGAGGGACTGAGATTGACAAAAAGCAGAGGAGAGAATGAGTGTGTGCACGTGCCACGCACAGGTGTAATCTGGATCATCAGGCAACATGAGGTGACCTGTGGAGTTCAAATAGACGATGGCATAAAAGATGACATGATCAAAAAAAGGATTAGAAAAAAAGGCCTCTTCTCTTTGCTGCATTTTAATTCTTTCTCTGGAAATCTCTGAATAAAACTTTGCCAGCCAAGGAGTGATAGCGCAGCCAAATTTGCATAACGAATGCAATTCTGCTCCCTGTTGAATTCCATCTAAACTGGCTGTTCTGTGGGAAACAGGAAACTGAGGATTGTTGCAGTTTTGTATTTCAGAGTTTTGAGGTCAGTTCTGCAATTAAATACAGTGAGTTTCATGAGGCTGAGTCCAATTATTCATGAGACCAGTAGAAACACTAAAGAAAGCAGTTTCACATTCTTACTTTGATGGCTGTTAACCTTATGTAGCACTAGATTCATCCATTTACACTAAAAGCATTTGGAATATTTACTTATTTGATAGTTTTTGAAACACATCTTGTCTTATTATTATATAACTATGTGACTGTTCTTTCTTCTTACTGTCTGATTGCTTCTTATTTTATCTCTTGTCTCAGGGAGGCGTCTTCATAAGCCTTTTGGGGCGTCTGACCTTGCCTATATAATGTTTTAGTATTCCATGTTCTTCATTGTCATGTTTTTTTATGATGCACAAATAAATTAAATCAAACAGTCATATGCCTTTGGGAGCAGTAAGGGTTCAGTGTCTTGCTGAAGGACACTTGGATGCGTGGACTGTGAGAGGATCATCCCACCAACGAAAACTGTGATAATTGAGAAATGTAACATTGCGATAGGATTTCTCTGATGATGCAACATGAAAATAACAAGAATAACAACCATCACATTAATGCGGTTTTCTTTTGAAGCACATGTAATAAGTAAAGAATAAAAAAGTTTCTTATTATTTGTTACTTTTAGGCTATTTTCATCTAATAACATAGAACTTATCTGCTATTTTTATGACTCTGAGTTAACCCCTTAACCAGAAAACCCTTCACTGTGAAAATATGTTCAACATTGTGATATCAATGAGATGTGGTAATTATACTTAAGAGTGCACATCAGCTAATATAACAGCTTATAATTCTTACACTGCTTTGTCTCACCTAATGTCCCACCCACAACACTATCTAACACAAACACACAACAGCTGTGTGTTTTACTGTGGTAAGTGTTACCAGTTAACTGTTCACTCCTGGATGTGATGTGAAGAGTTTCGGTTTTGATTGAAAATGTGCTAAAGACCATTTTCATAAAGCTCTGTGTTTAAAATATTCTAAATTCACAAATTTGACAGAGTTTCTAATGCATTTCAGCTTCAGATACCAGTTTTCAGTTTCATGAGTTACTATAACGCTGGGGGCATAACAATGCTATAGGATCTGGCCTGGGGGTATGACCAGGTCACAAAATGTTCATAAGTGCAGTCAAACTATCACTGAAAATGTGCTTATAATCCTAGTATTTATGGTCAAAGTGTTAAGTGTTAGTTTCATTCCCATGTAAGCTGACAAGACATTATGAAAGTGCAATAGGACTGAATCTGAATCACTGTTATGCTCCGTGTCATGAAAATTTAACAAAGATATGACCCTTTTTTTTTTCTGCAAAACTTTAAACTATTCGTAGCCCAAGCTTCAACAGACTGACTGATCTAGATTCAATTTAGCTAGACTCAAGAGACAGCTTCTGACTTGTTGATCTAACTTCATGGTCATTTTTGAGGGAGCAGTATAAGCGTCTGCTGTGTTATACTGCATCCTCATTACAGAAAAGTGTGTTTATTTAGCCTTCACTCTTTGGCATAAATTGGCAGCTGTTTTTATAATTCTGGATGAACATTATAAAACTAGAGCCTGGCTGTCTTTGTAGCCAGTATTTATATCAAGTTTAGAAAACAAACTGACAACAGCTGCATGTTTAGAGTAACCAATAACCCCTTCTGTCACTAGTGTAAAGATAAAATAAAACTAACCCCACTATTTGGTATGAGGCCTACACTTTGTTTGTAGTAAACAGATTTGTAACTCATGTAAAGCTATGATTGGTCTGATTTTACACCTTTAGAGCTAAGTTAATCTGCTGACTGGTTAAAACAAACGCCATATTCACATAATAGTTAGTTAACAATAGTAGACAATGCCAGCCCAGCCCCACCTCTTGTATTTACAGTGGGGGGTAGTCGACTACAATACATGTTAAGGCAACGCTGAGGCCTGAATGGAAAACGCTAAAGGCCCCATTTAACACTGTGTCTCTGTTGATATTAAACTATGAAGTAAAAGGAGATACAACCGCAAACCTTGGAGTTATAATAAGCATTTGAAGCTTAAACGACTGGAGAAAGTCCGTATGTCTGTTGTAGCCGTTAGTACAATGCCCTTATATGGCAGTGAGCGAAACGAAGCACGGTGAAAACATGTCGACACTCAAGGCAAACGATACACGACCTACTTACCAAGTGAAACTTCGCTGGTCTCCTGTTTTATGTGGCTACAGGTACGTCCAGAAATGTAGCAGTAGATTTGAGAGTCTGGAGGAAGATAAAGGTTTCCTCAGGAAAACGTTAGGACGAGTATTTTCGCTCCCCCCACGTCAAATTGAGTGATTTCCTGGTTCTCGCAGGTATGTGGGCGTGGTTTAGGAGCTGCAGGTGTTCAGGGTTGCAGCACGGCTTGAGTTTCGCATGTGAGGCCCTTTGGGTGCGGCAGGTGGTGACATTACCTTGAGTCACTCATGTTGTAACCTAAATTTGACATGATGACCCAGTTTATGACCGGCAGTTAAGCGTGAATCAGGAACTGACCTGTAGGGCACGGTGCCTGTTCCTCTCCTCAGTGAACAAAGCACTGAAACAGAAGTGAAGTCAGCATGGTAGACCTCTTAAAATGGATTAATATTTAGACACCATAACACTATACAACACAGAAAACAACACATTCATGCATTATTTCCCGATTAGTAGATAAACAAAATACAACTCCTCACTAAATGACCTCACTATTGTTCCCCCAAACGTTTCACTGATATTTAAAATTTCCCATTTTCTATATAATGTGTTTCATTCGTGAAAGACTACAGGCCATGTAAATGCTTGATCATGCATTTGGACAGAAGACAATGATAACATACAATTCATTTGACCATTTTTATTAAATTTTTAAATATTTTGCATTCAGATCACTTTTAAGCTGTAATACAGACTTAAAAAAGATATTATCCTGCAATAGTTAGGCCATGTTAGTGAAATTTATTGAGGTTCACATAGATTTATCCAGTCTAGACAGTGCAAAAACATTAACAGAGTTTCAAATAGTGCTTTTTTGGTGCTAAGAAATTGCTCAAACGTACAGAATTGGGTATTTGATTGATATGATTGAAAGCCAATTTATACATATTGATGCAAGTGTTTGCAGGGTTGGTGATTCTGATGGCCTTACTACTGCAGCCCTTTGTTCTATACTGCTTCTTTTTTATTACTCACAGTATGGCAGAAAAGGAACAGAAGGCTGTAATTTTGCCAGACTGGTTTAACCTGTTTAGGTTACAACACGAGGCCACGCTTGGTGTTAAAAAAGACGGAGAAACCCAATTATCAGAAACTCCTCTGGAAGAGTGGCTGCAAACCCTCGGCAGGTATAGGCCTGTGCTGTTGAATGAATAAAACATTCAGTGTTGGAAGTTAACAACTGCTGAGTAGGGCTCAGGGTACATTTGAGGAATGAAGCTGAACAATGTGGAAATCTAGGCAATTACACAGATATAACAGATTATTAAAAACTAAATCAAATTAGACAAGCTCGGTTCATGCTGGATGGAATGGATGCACAAACTCTGCATGTCTATCTTCTCTGTGACTTTGATTTCATCCAGAATTAATCAGTCTACTAATAAGTACAGTAACCATAAAAGAAGAATGCATATATATATTTCTTTTTTGGCTGTCAAGACAATGATGTAGAAGGTAGATCAGTGTGAATGCATTTATGTGACTTTTTTTATTGAAGAAATATTTATGGACAAGAACTATTTCCATGATGTGATCCATGACCCCCCAAATTGTAGATACTTGTCATTGCTGTGTAACATGTAGTGTATATATATTCATAAATTTCCTTATATTTTCTTTAAGAACAAATCACCCAATTTGATATTTCTAATGATTTTATTGCAATGAAAATCCTAACCCTTTCCGAAGTTTGGCTTTGTACAGTAGTACGCTGCTATATTACTGTTTAAAACCAAACTGGAGTAAATAAAGATCCCGATTTGGCTTTGTTTGGCAGCCGTACTGTCTCACAGTTTGACTGCAGTAATCACAGTTACTGAGGTTTGACTTGGTATTTGTCCAAATTTGTAATTACGGCAAACTCAATTGAACCAGGAAACTTTGTCAGATGATAAAACAAACGTTGCAAAGTCCAATCTTGTCCTGTCCTGACTCAGTTTTGTTGAAATGTGTAGTTACTGCACTTTGCCTTTGATTGGCAGAGTAGTTTAGAGGATACTTTAGTGCAGTAGAGCAGAAACAAACCAAAGGACCACATCCACCTTGTCCTCTTTATTCAGTCTACTGAATCCTTGCTGCGCCCCCTTGTGTCTAAATGAATTATGACTTTGTGAATGAGGGATAACACACTTTACAGAACTGTATTGACACCTACAAACCTTAACAGAATTAAACTACCTACAAGCTAATCACTGAACATTTGTCACTTAAGTGTCTATTGTGGTTTCTGTCTTTATTGTCTAGTAATAAAACATGCAGCTTTCTGTGTTTATTTTATACCATAAGAATGTTTGGTAGACACAATAATTGTTCTCAAAGACGATCAGCATTCAATAACATTATAAATTTATTGCACAGAAGTCAACAGTATTGCTTCAATACAGCTGTAAACTTACAAATCTCATCAAAACAGTGATTTTTTAAAGATTATTAACATCTATGGACAAATAAAGACTGCTGACATGACTCAAGAGTTGATCCATTTTTACTGAAAGGACTAAAAACAAGAGTAAGTTTTGCCAACCTTGTCAATTTGACTGTTAGATTTATGGCAGAGGGGTGCATTAAAAGGGTTAAGACTTAAAACTCTTGTAAAAATGTTGAATCATATCAATGAAACAAATTTTGTAGAAGTAACTGGAGCAATAGTATTTGTTATGGTGCAAGCAGATTCTGGGCAGAGAACAGATGAATTATTATTCAGCACAAAGTCAGATTGAAGAGTGCAGAGTGAAACTTAACAGCAGCTTTACATAGATGTTGCTAAACATACTCAGTATTTAGACATGCACATGTCAATGTCTCGACAGCTGAATCGACATTTTTCATTCAGATTCCTGAAACCACTGTAACATCAAAAATGCTCTAAACAATCACATGATTGGAAAACAACATATTTTTTTCCTCCTGTGGCTGATTGATTAATAAAGCAACATCTTTCCTCAGAGATCCAGCCTCTGAGGGTTTTTTTCTTTTATAACATTTTCACAGAAAATCAGACGTCAAAGAGTACTAAAACTGAAACTTTCAGTAGCAAAGTGTTCAAAAAGAGACAGTATCATAGTGTTTAATATCAACACAGCACTTCGCTATCAGAGCTACATAAACACAGACTGGATCCACCTCTGCTCATAACAAGATTTCTATAAAAGAACCCGTGATTTGGCACGCTTAGTTTCAAAGAAGAGAGTCACTGAGGCACTAAGTGGTGGAGAAACCTGAAATGCTTGTAGTTTTGTGTTTTAGCTTTTCTGAAGAGGAGTCTTGATGTCTCCATGCTGTTCACAGGACAGACGTCCAGGAGGCAGTAGAGGAACAATCGCTTGTGTCTCCTCACTGTAAAGCAAAACAGATGACAGTATGAGGTGTCAGGAGTCATAAAGACTAAATATTTGCAACATGGATGCATGACTGAAGAGAGCCTTTTACATCTGTGTGCATTTGCAAACTGTCTCACTATCTGTATAATTGCTTTTTTGAATACTGATTTATTTCCAGTGTATTCGAAATGTTAAACAGCACTATAGATGTCACTCTTTATTGTAGAATTTGCTGTAGTGTTTCTTGTTATTTGTAGCAGCACCCTAATTGCATGGATTAGCAGCCCAGTAATTCACAGCACAGGAAGAGGAAAGACTGCATTTCATTTTGAGGTTTGTCTAAAGTGCAGGTGAAGATAAAGTAGCATGCAACAGAAGAGGAGTAATGCATTTCATGTGTTACAGGTATGAAGTCCAAAGTAAAGACAAAGCTGTAAAGGGACAAGCCTCTGGTCAATATAGATGAAATAAAGCGCAAACACCACTTTGGGTTTATCTGTCGTTTAGTTCATTGGTGATAAGAAGTTAAACTAAGAATAAAATAATGGAGCAAAAAAGCCTAAATCCTAATAATCCAGACTGAACTTAATTCTACTTTTGGGGTTAAGGGTTGAAAACATCTACAAGCATAAAGATAGATCATCTCTGGGCATCCAAATTCAGCCCTATGTTCCTCTTTCCCCTGCACTATTTTTTAGTTTTTGAATCCACTGTTTTCTCTCAGAGGCTTTAAGATTAGATTAACTCAGACGTCTGCAGAGCGGAGCGAAACTGCTTAATGGGGGGCTGAAGAAAAGCTTCACATAAGCCTGAATGAGGATTTGCTGGTTATATAAGACAAGTACTGTAGAAAAGGGGATTCATGGAGGTTTCTCAGGCTGACACAGACGTAAAGACTGAATTAGGAGGAGCACAGGGGAGCAGGGATGCTGAGTCATAAAATACAGACGTCACAAGATGCAAGTGGGGCCTCCCGTCACCAAAGGAGAGAGATTGAGGAAGATTTAAGAAAAGGCATGCAGAGTGGAAACAAACTGCATGCAGGAAGAAGTAAGCGTGAAATGCAAAATAAGACGTGCTTAATACACAGAGGATTCCTTCAGTCAGTCAATATATTTAAAATAAAAGTGATCATAGGAACCCCTGAGCACTTCTTTGAATCTATAAAACAAGATTAACAAGGAAACCCATAGAAAATCAAAGGATGTTATTTGCTGCTTACAGTTTATGGATTCTGGGAAGAAAAACCTCTGATCAACTCCAGCTGGGTCTCCTGGGTGAGACTGTGTGACGCTGAAAATGCAGAAACACCCAGTGACCCCCTAAATTCATGGTGAATAATACCCCAAAATACAAGTACAGCAAAGTATTAATCCTACTCTTAATTCAGAGACTATCACAAAAATCGGCGAAAAAAAATTAAACAGATGACGAGACAGAGAGGTGGTTTAATGTATGAAGACACGTGAATCATACCTCATTTGTTTAGCGTAAAACAGGGCAAATTAGTCTTACTTAGCAAATTTATATTTCTCCTCCAAATTTCTCTTGTAATCTTGGCCGTGATTGGGAAAATGCTTTCATAAACTTCTTGATATACAGGATTGACAATAGTGTTTACTACCACTGAAAGGTACAGTGTGTAGTAATGGGAATATTTAGCATAATCTAAAGGTCATATAATGGTCATTTGCTCACCCCTTCTGTACATGAAGTGATGGTGGCCTTGCATGTGACATATGATCTTCTATTTGCAAAAAATTTCCCTTTGTAAACACCTAACAATATGAATTATTTTGCACACAACAATAACTCTCTCCTTCATCTTCCAACCAGTACATTTTGTGCCGTCACTGACTTATGAAACTACTTTGTCTGTTGTAGAGACATGGCACTGCAAGATGTTAACCATAACCCTTGTCTATAGTGTTTCCTTTTTAAGTTGTTCATAAATGTTGTAAAATGATCATCACGACAGCCTTAATGGAGATGTAAAAGGCTCCTTCTGGGTTAATGAATGTTAAACAATTGCTGTATTCAGTCTATTATACACTCATCAAACATACATGTGAGTATTATCATCAGTTTCAACAAAGCCTGTTCATCCAGACGCCTCTAAATTCTATGCACTGCACCTTTAAAAGAGAAATATGTAATATCTCTACATCTAAAAACAAGAGTAATAAGCAACAATGTAATTTTTCATTTGTTTAAAGAGATTGTGGGTAATAAGGTAACCATAGCAAACCATCAGTCCAAACGTTTAACAAACTGTGACTGAAAATGTGTATTTAATGAAATAAACCGTTTCATACCAAGTAGTCGTCCTGCTCAGAGTCTGATTGGCTCACGTCAAGGGAGGGCAGAGGGTCTTCCAGGGCGATTGTTGAACTGGAGGCTCGTCTGTCTTCACTGTAACATGAGTTAAAGTGCAGATATTGAGACAGAGCCATAGAGTTTGTTACATCAGTGAAGTTTAGTGATTAATATATCAAGACGAAAGGATCATGGTGATATTAACTCCTCCTGCTAGGTGAGCTTGCTTCGTCCAACTCTTTAACGAGAAGTGGAAGTGATGTTACAGAGCTTCGAGCAAAGATCTGCAGTCATACACTACCTGTTGCCTAAATCCTTCTCATCTTTACTGGAGGACTCAAAGGAGACAGCAGGTCTCGGCAGAAGATCAGGCTGTTTGGAGGAGTTGTAAACTATAGCAAAAAGAAGATCCAGAATCAGAAATAAGAAATAATCAAAGTTATGAAAATGTCATTATTGTGTTGCTTATACAGGATATATTTAGGCTTACAGTTTCCATCCAGGTTGTCCATGCTTTGTGCCTTCTTCTCCTCTTTCTTCTCCTCCCTGCGTGCTGACAGTAACTCCTGGGAGGCCGACCTCACAGCGTAGAAGGAAGTTCTCTTCCTCTTTGAAGACGCTCCTCTGATAGCTGACACATGCAAAGGAGAATGTATGAAAAATTGCATATGCAAAATATAGAGCTCAGTGCTGTTTGTTTGTTGCAGCTACTTACGATTGATCTTTTTAAATACAGAGGAGCCCATGAAATTCAGAAATCTGTCGGCGTAAAAACTGGGCCTGTGGACTGACACTGTGTCCTGAGAAGCAGAGAAAACTGTTAGATACTCACAAACGTGCACACACTCTTACACAAATACAAACATGAAGACCTCATAAGTAGATAGCAGGATGCGAAGTGACATACCCCATCATGTACAAGAGCTTTCCAGGAGTGCTCCATCTTCTTAATAAACCTAAAAATGAATCATTAAAAACACTTAAGATCACCTGTTTCATCATCCAGGCTGTACACTGTTTGTCTTTGGAGTCTTACAGAACAAGTCTACTTTTTTCAGTGTGAAGTTTTGAGTCTTTAAATTTTAAAACAAAATAGGAAAAGAGCAAACTAGAAAAGAAAATCAAAACTGCAAATAAAAGATTTTGATTTTTTTTTCATCTTTTAAAAAAATTAGTTTTGTACAGTTTTAATTTTTTATTTAGCCTCAATTAAACCCAAACATGTCCTTCATTATTCCTTTATGTTATTTTTTTGGCTGTTTTGATTAAGAATGTGGTTTAATATGGATTCATTTTCCACTTTTCAACTTGTTTTGAACTCATAATTGGCTGGAAAAACTGAAATGGGGACTCAAATGTGATTTTTGAGAGCTTACACGATGGACAAGAAGCTTGAGAGTGAGTGAAACTGTGAACTCACCTGTAGGACTGAAGGATGTCGATGATCCCTAAAAAGATGAGAAGGTGTTCATCTTTGTGTTTGGCAGGAATTCCGCCAAATCTAAAATTAAAAAAAGATAAATATTAGAGTTCTTGATGAAACAGTCCTAGCTCCAGCACACATTATGACAGGGTGAATAAATGCTTATGAATTGCATATCTAAATTAGCTTAGAGCTAACTCTAATAGAACTAAAAAGGCTGAACACCATCCCTGCCAAAATGAACTAATAAACTTGACAAACTATTTAAGATCTTAATATTGCATCAGTTTTTAACCAAACTTTGTTATAAAAAGTGATTCTAAGTGTTTAAAGCATAGACTGTATATAAGATGGACAGCCTGGTTCCGCCTTCCGCCCGTATACGGATTTGAAGCCAAAAAGAAGCCTCTCGGTAATTCCGGGTTTTTGAAAACAGAGCTGCGCAGTAGCGTTGTACGCAGACGTTTTTGGCTGGGTGGGAGACTCGGAGCGATGATGCTCCGCTCAAAAAGCCCCCCCCCACGGATGTCCTTCCAGCGTTTTATTCGTAACGCTAATAGCTTCCCCGCTCGTCGCGACCAAGAATAAGTAAGTTCCACTTCTCCTAACATAATGTGAAATGTGTCAGCGGTCATGTCACATGTCGGTTAACACAGTTTACTGCAGAACAACTCATTTTTCCAATGCAACAAAAGAGAAAAACGATGGAAAAATTTAATCCTCTTCTCCGCTAGCAAACCCGATTGGTCTTAACGATGAACGAAAAAGAGCGACGCACAAGCGGCAATGACGCAATTTCCTGTTTTTATAACTCCCAATAACTTTTTTAAATGGAGCCGCAGAGAGAAAAAAAGACCTGAACACAAACCAGTCTAATAATAACTGCATGTCAACATCGCAGTCGGGGTTGAGAAAAGTGTATTTTCTGTGTAATTAATTTCTAAAGGCCGTCCGCCGCTACATTCACTTTGCTGGCAGAAGTGGGGTTTATGACTTGTACTGCAGCCATGCTCTAGGGGGTGCTGTTCTCGGAGTGGCTTCACCCGGCGAGGAGACAGACGGCGTCCATCTTATATACAGTCTATGGTTTAAAGACTGGTACCCAGCCTGCAACATGTGTTACAAGATGACATATTGAAAAGAATCATAGCTTAAGTACAAGTCTTAATGGTCTTATAACCCAATAATATATAAATGCTCATAATCTCAATCTTTTCAGCCTTCAAGAAAATTTAAACACCAATTGGTTTTAAAGCAACCCCACTGCAGACATATATGCAAATGTTTCGGGAAATTAGAAAGTGGGAAATCAGTTTCTTTGAAGCACCAAAAGAGAAAGTATAAGGAAGCCCTGTGACTTGATGTGAAGAAAGACAAAAATCTATTTTAATAATCAGTATGTTTTTATACTAATTAGGCATCACACCATAATTTAACTTCCCGCCTTCTGAGACCAGTCTGTTTGGTGGCTTTATGGCGGACAGTCAGGCTGAAACATGATCTTAAAAAGAACATATGCAAAGAAACAGTCTCACGTTTCATCGTCGTTCACTGGATCAGGGTCCCTCACGTTGGCTTGGATGGACTCTAACGCTGTGGAGTAAAGAACCTTTTGTCCTTTCCTGCTGTCACATCTGCTTCCCCTGCTCAGCGGCTTTCTGTTCAAAACGTGAATCCCCAACAGGAGGCTGTAGTCCATGATCTTAAAGCTCTCCAGGACCTGAGAAGTGACAAAAACTTAACGATCAAATGATAAGTTAAGTATGGATGAGATGCCCAGCAGATTTACCCATCAGCCTGTAAAACATTGAGGTGTGAAAACTAGTTGTTTTAAAGAGACATTCTGATATTGTATGTCCCAGTGTAAATTTATGTAAACAAGTATGCTTCCTGATTATGAGCATGTGAGTATGGCTGTCTAGATAAGTTTCACTTATTTTATTTAGAAGCAGAAGTGACCATACTTTGAGGACAGGGTGAAACAAAAGAAAAGTGAAAGCAAGCGATTGTTGGAAAGTCATCATCTTTGTCCTTTTCAGAGGCTAGCTACTGTAGTTCAATGTGTCGTCTTTCTTTGCAAAACGCGAGCCTCACAATAGAGATCTGAACAGCAGTATCTGGGAGATGATGGCAGGGCTGTATAAAGCAGATCTTTACTATTCAAATGGCTTTATATATTTCTTTCAGCCTGGATTCATCTGTGAGGAGTATATATTGACTTACAGCCAACTGACATTTATCACATTTATAAATAATAAGCAGACAGTTTATTAATGTTTAATCATCATTTTTATATTGCATATAGACCATTAATAAATTGTAAATATTACAATTTTAAAAACCTAACCTGAACTCTAACCCTAACTTTACAACAACCATTTAAGTAATGTTTATAGGTGGTTTATAAACCACTTATTTATCATTTACAAAGTATTACAAACATCACTTTCAACTTTACAATAACCATCTGAGTAATGATTATGGCTTATGGTTTAAAAACCAAATATTAACCATTTACAAAGTGCTCCTGACACACATTTAATCTAGCCTTGCTGGGCCACCCTGTTGCGTGAATCACTCGCAGTTCCTTCCTACAACAGTCTGGACTTGTTTACACTGTTACCCGGACAACAGGGAAAGGCAGCCCCTGATAGGTCCATGTGATGATTAAACAATAACAAACTATCTATTTACCATTTATAAATTATTATCATTTAAAACGTCAGTGTTAAATTTCCTCATTTCTGTGTTTTTATTTTAGCATTAGATTAAATGTCACAGCTGGCAAAGCCCCTCAATGTGCTGTAAACCCCCTTATAAAAATAATACATGGTAAATATTGGGCTTAAACAAAAACAAAAAAAGCTATTGATTGCTGACATTGCCGTCAATAGTACCTTTTACAATGCAATTTTTGAATAGCAACCAGTGACTGTTTTGGTTTGATATAGTTACCGGGAATAACAAAGATGTGTTATCATTTAAAAATCATGTGTTGCCAGGTGTGACTGAGATTATAAAAGGCAGGAACCACCACAGCAGAGATTGTTTCACCTCGAAACACACACCTGTTAACTTGTTAACTTGTGAGCCGGAGAGAGAACTACTAGCAACCCATTGAGAGAGAGAGAGATTTGAACCAGAGAGAAGAAGGACATCAATAGAGAGAGAGAGAAGGAGCGAGGTGGAGAAGGAGCAAGAGAGAGAGAAGGAGAGAGGTGGAGAAGGAGCGAGAGAGATCGTGAGATCGACGGATCTGAAGATTCAGAAACCGTGAAATTGATCGACTGAGAGATCCAGAGAGCAACAGATAGAGAGATCCAGAAATTGTGAGTTCCTGAGATCAAGAGAATTGTTTCATTTGGAAAGACAAACTTGTCTTATTTGAGCGAAATGGAAATTCAACCTGAGAGAATGGAAGATATCCCCATCCCTCCCAAGATCCCGGTGCACCTGGCAGAGTTTATACACCGCACTGTTTCCATGATTTTTGAGGATCCTGTTGAGTTTCTGAAGAGTAATGAGCTGTTGGAGTACACAGATGCCACCTCTGAAGATGTGGGCACCTCCGTGTGGTCTTCTGGAGGTACTGACCCGATGTACTGTGACGATCTTCTTCAGGACGAAGACTTCTGGTCAGACTGGTCAGACGAGATGAAGTCAGACAGTTTGACTTGGGGCTCCCTCAGTTTGGACTCCACACGTACCAGTTGTGATGGGTATTACTTGTGTGAGAGAAAAAACCAAACAGATAAATCTGTGAAGGTCCTCAAGATAAAGGTGAAGAGCTGTCTCCCCGGACCCGCAAATGATGAGGATGGGGATTCATCACCCCCAGAAGAAACAGAGGCAGATGAAGAAACAGAAGCCTCCGATGTCCCTGCTCCTGCTGCCTCTAAGAAGTCTTTTAAATTCAACTTCAGAGGTCTTCTGAGGAGGATCATTTCTGACAAAAATGAGAAGGACACCCCAGCAGAGAGCAAGGGTGAGAAGAACGAGAGGAGGACATTCCTACAATGGATGAGAAGAAAGAAAATCCAGCCAGCCCCTCTCAAAAATATGAATGAGGTCCAGTCTGACAGCAGTGCAGCAGAGCAAAAACAGAGCGGCACCTCCAGTGAAGAAGACGTTTCTCAGAGTATCACAGCTGAGCCAAAACCAAAGAAGAGCAAGCGGCTCTGGAAATTCCTCAGCAATCCGTTGTCAAAGGTAAGGACACATTTATTTGTGAATTGTTTGGTGGTTCATGAAGGAAATATGCTGCGGTGGTCCAGACTTGATGTTTTTGGATATTTAGAGTTGATATTTCTGTACTTATTGTTTGTCATTTTTTTTCACATAAAGAACCAGAGTAAGCTGAAGACGGAGGAGAAGGAAGAGAAGGAGAAGAAGGAGAAGAAGGAGAAGGAGGAGAAGTAGGAGAAGAAGGAGAAGTAGGAGAAGAAGGAGAAGAAGGAGGAGGAGGAGAAGGAGGAGAAGGAGGAGAAGTAGGAGAAGGAGGGGAAGGAGGAGCAGAAGGAGAAGAAGGAGAAGGAGGAGAAGAAGGAGAAGAAGGAGAAGGAGGAGAAGAAGGAGAAGAAGGAGAAGGAGGAGAAGAAGGAGAAGAAGGAGGAGGAGGAGAAGGAGGAGAAGGAGGAGAAGTAGGAGAAGAAGGAGAAGAAGGAGAAGGAGGAGAAGAAGGAGAAGGAGGAGAAGGAGAAGTAGGAGGAGAAGGAGAAGTAGGAGAAGAAGGAGAAGGAGGAGAAGAAGGAGGAGGAGGAGAAGGAGGAGAAGAAGGAGAAGTAGGAGAAGAAGGAGAAGGAGGAGAAGAAGGAGGAGAAGAAGGAGAAGAAGGAGGAGGAGGAGAAGGAGGAGAAGTAGGAGAAGAAGGAGAAGGAGGAGAAGGAGGAGAAGAAGGAGAAGAAGGAGGAGGAGGAGAAGGAGGAGAAGAAGGAGAAGTAGGAGAAGAAGGAGAAGAAGGAGAAGGAGGAGAAGGAGGAGAAGAAGGAGAAGAAGGAGGAGGAGGAGGAGAAGAAGGAGAAGTAGGAGAAGAAGGAGAAGAAGGAGGAGGAGGAGAGAAGAAGGAGAAGAAGGAGGAGGAGGAGAAGGAGGAGAAGAAGGAGAAGGAGGAGAAGGAGGAGAAGTAGGAGAAGAAGGAGAAGAAGGAGAAGGAGGAGAAGTAGGAGAAGAAGGAGAAGAAGGAGAAGGAGGAGAAGAAGGAGAAGAAGGAGGAGGAGGAGAAGGAGGAGAAGTAGGAGAAGAAGGAGAAGGAGGAGAAGGAGGAGAAGGAGGAGAAGAAGGAGAAGAAGGAGAAGAAGAAGGAGGAGGAAGAGAAGGCTTCAGCTGACAGGGATGCTGGCTCCCCTCCATTCTGGGTTCGGCTGGTTTACGGCGGTAAAACCAGAAGCTTACACCCTAAACATTAACACAAAAACCAAATATATGTCCAAATTAGCTCAGGATACAGGTTGGAAAGAGAGTGAAAATATACTCTAAGTGTTTGTAAAAATTAACAATTCTAGATTCAAAGGTGTGTGAGGATTTTACTTGTAAAAGGTAAATATTAGGGTTAAAGTTGTGTACAGATTCATTATTCCACACACATTAAAACCTAATATACATGGTCATCTTAGACATTAATATGTTTTAGGGAGGATTTGTAATGAACCGTTAAAAAGACACAGATTCTGGGTTATGATATTGATTGAAAGATGGTGAATTGAATTAACCTAAACCAAGTTGTAAGTCTATTAGCTCTACAAACTGAGCATTAGCACATAGCTCATAGCGTCATGGATGTATTTTTGAATGACTGGTATACACTTCAAGCTGTCAAATATTCAAGAGGTGAACTTTAAAGTTGGAATCAAATCACTTTACTCCAAGCTTGTTTAAGCAGTCAAGTTAGGTATGGTGGGCTCAGACATTGAAACCAGCTAATAAGTGCTTACTATAAGCTGTTTATGTTTGTTTCCATTGAAAAATTCAGACAATTTCAACATAAAAAACAGCAAGTTTCTAGTCTCAATCTATTAATATTAATCTGATTTAATCTACAAAAAGACCTGCATGAAAATAGGTGTTCTATTTTTAGCCCTTTTCTTTTACAAGCTGTAGTTTTGTTGCATAAAGAGGCTGAAAAACCGGATTTGAAAACTGAAGTACAGTACATTATAAATTCAAATCCTTCTGACACAAACAAACCTTTATAAACAAAGAGGCCTTTGCACGGTGCCACATTACCTAACATGAGAACAAAATTATTACACTGAGGCGTAACGGGAGCATATCGCACCCAGATAGGCCAGTTTGTGCTCAAGAGTCCAACTTCTCAGCCCGATAATATGAGTCAGGTGCTTCGGTTTTAATACTCCATCAAGGGGCCACTGTTGTTTCAGTCTAATGAGATAGACTGGTGCTAATGAGGTCATCATACATCAACAGCTAGAGGCCAGGCGAAGGGTGTATGCTGTAGAAATATGTTCTCATGATTGCATAATGTTATGAAAGGGCAGAGGGGTGGTGGGATCGCTGGCTTAGCTCAGACTGTGTTGTTGAAATACTCAACATCATAACTTAACCTAATAGTAATTTGTATAATGGGAAATACAAAATAGGCATTGAAAGTTGTCACCTTGGACTCTCTAAGGAGCAAAAATGTGTTGATACCCACAAAAAAGACCACTTGACTTTCCATCAACTAAGTCTTCTCCTGATAATTCGTAAATGAAAGGCTGGATGTTTACGACCTTTTCAGTCAACCAAGCCATCTTACACTACCATGTATGACAACTCCTCCCCAACCCAGCAGCGGCATGGTGGCTGTCTAACATGAGTCGGGTCCTGCCCAAGGTTTCTGCCTGTTAAAAGGAAGTTTTTCCTTGCCACTGTAACTCATGTTAGTTGAGATGGGCCAAAACCCATCTTAGGTTGGTTCTTGATCATCAAACAATGAGCGTGGTCTAGACCTGCTCTTGTTTCCTTGAAAAGCGTCTTGAGATGATGACTCACAACACTTTTCTGAGACAAATTTCACATACTGTATGTAAAATGACCTTTTAGGTGTGCTGGTTTATTGGTGGTTAAAGTGAGTGTCCCAGATAAAGAGGGGATAGTCCCTGTCACAGCAGTTGCTGGTTTGCTTCAATCATTTGCAGCAAGACATTTTGCACACTCTATTCCCAAACTTTATAATAATAATAATAATACATTTTATTTAAAAGTGCCTTTCTGAACACTCAAGGACACTGTACAGGGCATAAAACACAGTTAGAAACATAGTTAAAATAAATAAAAACTGGGTTCTGGTGATGATGCGGGCTGCAGAGTTTTGGACAAGTTGAAGTTTATGGAGGGATTTGTGAGGGGCACCGAGGAGGAGTGAGTTGCAGAAGTCTATGCGGGAGGTAACAAGGCTGTGGACCAGGATAGCTGTGGTGTGAGGAGTGAGTGACGGACGGAGGCGGTTGATGTTTCGTAGGTGGAAATATGCAAACCAGGTGATGTTACCGGTGATGGTACCGACCAGGAGGAGTTCTGTTTTATCGGAGTTGAGTTTGAGGAAGTTTGACGTGAACCACGATTTAATTTCTGAGAGGCAGTGGGTGAGGGAGGAGGGTAGAAGAGAGGCGTCGGGTTTGCTGGAGAGGTAGAGCTGGGTGTCATCCGCGAAGCAATGAAAATGTATGCCAAATTTACGGAGGATGGAGATTAAACCGGAGTCAGCTGCCATGAGGAGGTCGTCAGTGATTTTGACGAGGGCTGTTTCAGTGCGATGGAGGGGAAGGAAACTGGACTGGAACTGTTCGTAGAGACTGTTGTGAGTGAGATGGGTGTGGAGTTGAGAGGCAACCGTTTTTTCTAGAATTTTGGAAATGAAGGGGAGGTGGGAAATGGGGCGGAGGTTATTGAAGTCGTTGGGGTCTGAACCAGGTTTTTTCAGGGTGGGACTGATGGCTGCAGATTTGAAGTGGGTGGGAACAGTTCCAGTTGACAGAGAGGAGTGGATGATGGCTGAAATGAGTGGGAGCAGAGAGGGCAGACAGGATTTGACCAGAGTAGTGAGGAGGGGGTCCAGCTGGCAGGATGAAGGTTTGGATTTGGATATTAGGTCAGCGATTTCTGAGGGGTTAGGGAGTATAAAGGTGGAAAAAGGTTGGTGAGGATGTGGAGCCCAGGTTCTGATGGATCTTACTGATTTTGTTATTAAAAAAACTGAGGAGAGAGTCGCAGGTGTCTGAGGAATACATGTGGGGAGGAAAGCAGTCCGGGGGTTGAATGATACGGTTGTAGATAGAGAAGAGAGACTTGGGGTTACCAGCATTAGAGCAGATGAGTCCAGAGTAGTATTGAGATTTGGCATGAGAAATTGAGTCCTTATAGAGTGACAACTGAGTTGTTGAGATGTCTTTGTGGATGGTTAGACTGGTTTTCCTGAAGAGTCTTTCTAGCTGTGGATTTTTGGATTTTATATCAAGTTTTGTATTCTTCTCACCGCACAGTATTTAAGTATGTCAACCAAATGTTTTGCAGTCTTGCAGTGACTTGACCTGACCTGGCTTTGGATTAGAGTTAAATTTATCTTGAAATATTTTCTTGCAAAAGAAAAAAGAATTCATGAAAGGTCCATAAAGTAATCAGGAGATTTTAGAACAACAAAATCCTGGCCCACAGCGGACAAATAAAAGGGCTTTGAAAAACATACCCGACAGTCTCTCTGGAGGGTCTTCATCAGAGCGGTGTAGGTTTCATGATCAAAGTGCAGTCCCTCATGCATCTCTTGGAAGTCCAGGTCTTTGAACGTAGGACAGGCCTTGGACCGCTCTTTCCGTGAGGCACGCCGTTTGTACGAAGAACCCTTCAGGTCGTACTTGTAGTGCATCTTCAGGGCGCGTGGAAGTATGTTGTTCATCACCACTACACGGACAGTGGTGCCGCCGCACTGGATGCAGTAAAGACCGTAAAACTTTGGCAGCAATGTCCTTGGGTTCTGATTTAGATTCTGCAACAGAAAAATAAGGACAAGAAATGTTATGAGAAAATAGGTCAGGCCGATAAAGTTATAAACAACGACAGATTTGACATTACAAACAAAATAACTTCTCAAAGGTTTAATAAACATTCTTTTATATGGTGGCCCTGAAGGTCAAAGGCACAAACATTTCCTTAACATAAAAAAAAAATGATTGAAGCAAAAATGTATCGCTAAACTTAACATATTTAAAAATTTAAAAACCTCTATAGTATTCAGGTAACACAAAAGTAAACTAAAAATGCAAAAAAACATAAAACTAGTAACAAAACAAAAGCCTTTCACACAATACATGCAACTCGGCTCCTGTTTTAGTGTTTTATGGTTTTTTTTTTTTTTAGTTATTTGTTTCTATGTTTTTAAATTAGTTTTTAAAACCATTGAAACTGTATTTTACTTTTAATTCTGCTTTTATTTTATCCATTGTTTTAATTGTTTTTTGATTGTTTTTTATTTTGTTGTTTTGTCTAGTTATGTACAGCACTTTGTTCAGCTGTGGTTGTTTGAAAGTGCTTAACAAATAAAGTTGAGTTGAGTTGAGTTGAATACAGAATATTTTGTACATTTTGTAATTTTTTGTTTGTTTTGGCAACTTTTTTTTTGTTTCAATGAGTGTTTTTGTGTTTTGAAGAAATGTTTTCAGCATCCATAACATGCTTTTGTGACCAACTTAATATTTTGTCTGTTTTGCAAATATTCTTGTTTATAAAATACCTTCATATTTTGTGAAATGCTTCTATATTTTATGACATCTTTCCAGTTCAAAAAAATCTTATAGCATGATTTGACTTTTGTGAAATGTTTTTGTGTTTTTTTTGTATTTTCTTGATAACTTTGTGAAATATTCCTGTGTTTTTAATAAACTTTTGCTTCTTGTGAAATACTTTGGTATTTTATGATTTTTTTGTGTGCGTCATGAAATGTATTTGGGTGCTTTTTGAAGAGAAATCTCTTTAAGTCATGTTATGGAAATGTAGAGATCTTGATAAGGACAGGGGCTCACCATGTAGTAACCTGGAAGCAGCTTCTGAAGGAACTCGGCCTCTTTGTGCTGCACCGTCTTAATAATGAACTCATCATCACTGGTGAGGTAGAACCAGGAACTGCTGGCTCCAGGGTTGGACAGCTCGATCAGAGGCTCATTACAGATGGAGTACTGAAAGACAGAGTGACGCAACGGTCTTAGCAAGAACAAGTGTGTCAATCAAATCCGCTGAAACTTACGTCAAATGGTGTTGTATCAGAGGGATGTAAATCTTGAGTCTTACCAGATAGTCGTCCGGTTTGATGCCAAACAGCTCTCTGAAGTAACGGAAGGCCAGCGGAGCGTAGGTTTTCAGACGGAAATCTGGGAAGTGATGGGCTGGAGTCAGGTTGCTGCCCTCACTGGAAAACAAACAGAATGTTTCGCTGCATCAAAATCACTCAAAACAGGAAGCCCTTATGTGAGCTATTTGTGAGCTAGACAATAGGTTCAGGTCAGAATGGGGAAAGTAAAAGGGGAATCCATTACTGGGTCAATTTTTCATCTTAAATTTAGGTTATCTGCATGCTGATCTATAGCCATCACTAATGTTTTGGTAAGACCTGTACTTTTCCTTCTATTGCAAATAAAAATGTCTGCTCAGAAAAGAACTATTGCTTAAATGTGGTTTTCTACTAAACCAAAAGCAGTCAACGTGTAATCTTCCAATAGTAACTTCCCTTTTTGAGAAAACATAACAAAATATTGTTTGCTTCTACTGCTGTAGCTCAGCAGGTAAAGCATGCCATGTCAACAGAGACAACAACAGTCACTGGTTCACAATCTTTGGCTGCATGCAATTCCTCACGCACTACCCTGATATTTCCCATCTTTTATCAGCCAGCTTTCCTGTGTTTAAATTTATTTTTTTATGTTCTAGTTTTTTAAATCTACAAAATGGTGTGCCACAACGGTCTGTGCTGGTCCCATTTTTATTCATGGTTTACAGTGAAATATGTGATTTACATTTCCTGTCCGTCTTCTGCAGCCCTCCCCATCAAAGGCTAAACAATAGCCTAAAGTGTTAAAATTGAGCTTGGAGACATTGCTTTTTCCTCACGCTTCTGCTGGCATGTTCTCAAACTTACAAGGAGATAAATTCTTCACTTTTGAATTGGGCAGATGTACAAATAAGACCTCACCAGAGTAAACTAAATTGTTTAAATGTCCAAATAGAGTGAGAAATGGGCCAAAAAGTAACAGTTCGGAAATATTCAAATGTGCTATTCAAACATTATGAATGTACATACGCTATGTCTAAACTATTTTAGTAATGAGCGCATACCTGGGTAAATAAACACTTTCCACCACAGAGAAGTCCTGCATGAGAACATCTCGGTCTGGTTTGGAGCTGAGGTTTCCTACCGCGTAACCAATGCCCAGCTGGATGGCCCCTTTCAGAGCGGCGGGTGTGGGCTAATAGAGGCAGGAGAGAAATAACAGATTTGAAAAAGGAAATCACCAGTTTTTTATTTTAAACCTGCTAAATAACTTTAACTGAACGAATATTAGACTTTTGAGTATCCTGGGGATATTTACATCTATGAAGTTTCCTTAAAATGCAGCATTACTTTAGATAGGTAAATGAGTTAATCTGCATTTTCTTTTTTGTGATTTGACATTAGACTAACTCGAATCGGATACAGTTAGTTTTGATACCAAGCTTTATGGTTTTCTTCAATGGTCTGCATCATTGTGGTCTAAACAGAGGATCAGCATCTTTTAAGTGTTTCCGTCAATGACGATTGATAAGAGTATTTGCTTACCTTTTTATGATCCTTTGACATTTTAGAGGCCAAGGTTCCTCTTCTCATACTGTCAGTGATGGAAGTAGTCGACATCTTTATCGCGGAGAGAACTCGATCGGAGGGAAGCTCAGACGTCCTTCCTCCAACTGTGATGCTGAGTTAGTTCCTTGTTTCCACTCAGTGACAAATAACCAGATGCTGTGATTTACCTTCAATGGGCTCTACTGAAACAGCATTTTCCAGGTACACCGCTCCTGTAGATGAGGAAGAAGAGAGAAAGTTACACAACGTTCAGCATTTGCATGAGAGCCGATGCAAAACATGTCAGCTGATGTAAAAACTGCACAGCCTAGGCGGTTCACACAAGCTGTATTAGCACTCTTGTGCTTCAGAGACCTCCTCCAAAGTTTCTCTTTTTTACAATTTTTACAACTTAAAACCTCCATAAGACTTACAGAGCTATGAAGTATGCAGACCTTTCTCTCTGAGGCTCTGCTGAGTTCTGAGGGACCACTAACGTTTGAGAGAGTCTTTAGCTCCAGAATCCTTCACAACAACCCTTGATCCTAATTAAGAAGGATTGAGAAACTGTTACATGCCAAATTCCCCTGTTTTATAACAGAACACCAGTGGACTCAGTGCCTCAGGGTCTGCATATGTAATCCTCAAATCTTTACAGAGGCAGGAACATTACTCTAAAATACAAAGACCACTATTGATTGAATTCTACTGTATCACATAAATAACTGACGGTGTTTATTTATAGCAGAAGTCCCAGCATGCCCAGGACAGTCCCTATTGGAACTGTAATTATGAGACAACAGGCCTATGTGTAATGTATCTGCATAGTGGCCTCTGTCATCAGTATTTGAATGTGGTTGGAGATGGGTGGATGTGACAGAGGCCCAACATGCCAGTCATGTGTTATGCCAACACTGTAACACGATATTGACGACAAGCACCAGTATTCATGTATCAGCATAAAAGAAGAACACGTGGCTGGTGGTGCTAGCTCTGCTAATGTTAGTCACTCTTAAATAATAAACTAATTTGACATCTTAAGCCCCAGACTCCATGATCCTGTATTTATCTGTTTAAATGAATGTAAATTAATACATAGATTTACAAAATATAGACTTGAGTGCTCTGAAACCTGTACCTTACAATGCAACACCACTCTAAATAATCCCAATGAATGCACAATGGGCTTTAAAAAACTCTGCAAATAGCTTTTCATATTTTCAGATAGATTCATTCATTTAGAAATATTGATAAAAACAATCTGTCAATCAGCCAGTAAGGCAGGAAAGGGGGTGAACTTGCAAATCCTGCACATATCCTCACAGACAAGCCCCCTGTTTATTTTAAGAACTGCTTCAGGAAGTGGTTTTGTGGTCTGACAGGAGAAAATGAAACAATTTTCATAAGTGTCATGGCAAGAGAGTTTGTTTCTCAAGGATCTACCTCACGGTTTTGAGACATCAGTTACAGCTGAAGACAAGATAGACAAATCTGTTTGAGATTAATTGGGGTTTTCAGCAACAAAAACTGTGATTAATGGTTGGAATAATGATTGTGGTTATTCCTGTGACATCTGTAACTGGTTATTTCTGGTTTCCTCTGCAGTACTCTACAGATAAACAAACAAAGTGATATAACAGCTCAGTGAAAGCGAAAACATGCCGGATTAAGCATTTGCAAGTGCGTTGGTTAACACTGCATAGTTAGACCGATTACATGGATGAGTTCCATTTTAGTTTTTGGCCAACAAAAAACAAGGAACCAGGTTTCACAGGACCGTGGTGATCTATCTCCATATGTGACACTGGCAGCAAGAAATTTGGGTGGATTTTTTAAAAAACTGAACCTTTAATGAGCAGATGAGGACAGTTGTCAAATCAACTTCTATTTTGCAAATAAGGGAATATCACAAAAATAGAATATTGTCTTGTGTTCTGTGAATCCAGAAAATATTGTTGATGCTTTAACTTCAAAACATCGCTACTATCTCTATACCTGTTTGAGTCAAAATCCTCAGAATGTATCACACTTATTCACTCGAGCAATTGCAGCAGCAAGAAAATTAACTGGCACCAAACACAGATTATATCACTCCTGTTTAGCACACATACAGTAGCAAGTTTCAGATATTATTAATATCTTTTAAGGCCTTAGAAAGTCTGGTCCCTTCCTATGTTGCTGACCTTTAACTTTACACAAACCACCTCAGAATTTTAGCTCCTCCTCCCTTTAATTTTTGCAGGAGGCCTTCAGAGTCTTATCCTGTGGGAACTCTATATTCTGTAATCACCTGCTCACAGTACATTATCTTTAACTATTTTTATAATGATTTAGCATACCATAAAAAAATGACTTTGTGTCCCGCTGTTATGTTATTTTCTTCCAAATTATTTTTTTTATGAAAGGGTTATTGGTCTATATTTCATAATAACAATTTAATGCCCAAAAGAAATGACTCAGTACCACAAATGACTGAGTGTCTTCTCAGTTCTGCTTTTTATGCCATTGACCACAATCTACAACTCGACTGACTGGTTTTGGACTATGTGGCACAGTACTTAACTGGTTTGAATCTTTTCAAGAGAACAGAGACTACCTCCTGTCTAAAGGCATCTTCACATCTGACCAGACAAAAATTATGTAAGGAGTTCCCCCAGGCTTCATCCTGGGGCCTCCTACGTTTTACATCTAAATGCTTCCGACTGCTCAGATAGTTGAAAACAACAAAATAATTCAACATAACTAACCAGATGACACACAAATCTACATTGAAATGGCTCCAGTGGATAAACAGTTATAATCCCATACAAGATCTGAGTAAGATTTTTTTTTAATTTTCCAAATCAATGAAAAAAATGCAACAAAATGTTCTCCTGTTAAATGAAGACTTGGCTGATGTGAGTGTTTTGGAGCCAAGAAAGAAAGATTAAAAACAAGTGGGCAACTTCAGTTATTACAGTGGAAAACTAGTCAGAAAGCTGGCAGTAGTCATCAGCTAAGACCTGATTTAAGAAACCTTTTTTATGATATTTATGATGTCAGCCCTGAGTCACTTGTGGTTAGATGACTTGGGCTCCATCCCACTTGATAAAATTGGTCCATACATTTATCTTCAGTCCACTTGATCACTGTAACTCTACCTCCACAGGTCTCCCTGAAATATCCTCCCTGCCCACGGACCACAGATGTAAACTGGCTTTGTAGCTAACTTCTGCTTAGCCACTTGAGTTTTGACTGGTCCCTAACCAAAAAATAAATAAAAAACCCAACCCAAAACTAAAATCTATCAGACAGATAAAATGATTCAAACACAGCTGCTAGACGCATGGAACAATAGTTCAATAACAGAAATTTTGGCCAATTGAACAACTTTCTTAATTATGACTCATTTACAACAGACTGAAAATTAAAAATACTTTTTGGTTCAAAGCAACATAATTTTACCACACTACATAAAAACCTCAAGAAAGCGATCTTACAGTTGGATCAACACCTGAACATTAAACGCAGGTCAGTGATATCAATGAGTCCCTGTAGAGGCCTTGTATTATTATGTAACCTATCTGAACCAGGTAAAGACATATTAATATTTAAAGCTGCACTCCCTTTGACAACTTACATGCTGAAACTGTTTTGAATTTATGTAAATGATAAAATGACTCCAAACTCTTAAATTTTACTCTCAGTCTGACTGAGGAAGTGCTGTTGGTTTCCTCTTGTGATACCATCAACAGATCTTCTTCCTCCTGACTGTCACCGACAACCGAGACAGGCTGTTTCACACCGAATTCGTCATTGCTGAGCTTTTATTATGGGAAATGAAAAAAATTATCAAAAAACTAGAGGTCCAGCTGAGTGCTGTTGATACAAACCTAGATGTGAAAGTTAGACAGGTAGTGCTATCCCTATTCTATAAAGTTATTAAGTGCTCAAGGAAAACAAGGAAGGTCTCTGTCTCCTTACCTTATCAGACATGGTTGTGTGAGGGCGACGATGGCGGCAGGCTTTTAACACAGTTCACTCCTCAACCTTGTGCGGCATAAACTCTGTAACAGACTGAGGTGAGATGAGAACTGAAGTGCTGAAATGACTGTCGAGCATCCTCACCACTTCCTCTCTCTCTCTCTCTCCCTCCCTCCCTCCCTCTCTCTGCCTCCCTCCATCTGTTGCATCATTCCCTGCAACAACCAGACAGATTGCAGAATAATTTGAGGTTGGATAGAAATGTCTAAGGGAATTTTGGGGTAAAAAAATTACTTTTCAACATCTCTTTCTTCTATGAGCTTCTTTGTTGACATGCGAAACAGTTTCTCCCAATTGGAAAAAATTGTCCCTTTTTTAGTTTCTTTTCTGTATTGTTTCTACTTTTAACTTTTTACAGAGTCCATAATTTGTTGTCTCACTGTTACCTTCAGGAAGTGAGTTTTAAGAAAAGGAGATATGCATTTTAAGAAAGGACAAAACAAAAAGTAAACCAAAAATGTTCACTTACATTCAACTCCACACTATTGTCCACTTGTAGAAGCAAGAAAAAGAATTCAAAGTTACATAAAAAGGAAATAGTGCATCCTGTAGAGACCAAAGTATTACAGGAACACTTACCACCTCTACAGTAAAATAAGATGGCCAGATGCAGAGCTTGGAAATTTTTTAACACAGAATTGTAATGTTAGGGTTAGGGGTTAGAACTTAAAGTTGAGGTTATAAGTGTAGGGTTAGGGTTAGGGTTAGGGTTAGGGTTGGGGTTGAAGGCAAGAGCCTGGCCTCAGGATGAAGGTTTGGGGTGAGGATTCAGCATTCAGGTTAAGGTTAGGTTGAGGGTTAGGGTCATTTTCAGGGTTAGGTTGAAGGCCAGAGCCTGGCTTACTTTTAGGATTAGGGTTAAGCAGTTTAAGGTTTGGGTATGGGTATGGGTTAGGATTAGGGTTTGGGGTGAGGTTTGGCATTCAGGTTAGGGTTAGGTTTAGGGTTGAGCTTTGTTTTAGGGTTAGGTTTAACCAGGTTAAGGTTTGGGCAAGGGTTAGGATTGGGGTTTAGGGTAAAGGTTTGGGTTACAGTTTTTGTTAAAGCCAGGCCCATGTCCATGGTAAGGTTAGAGTTAATGAGTGTTAATTTGTGTACAGGATTTAGTCTTAATAAATTTGTATTGATGAAGATGATAATGATCAATATCTTTTGCACCTACATTCAGTCACACATTTCCTCTTTAATAAGTAGGCTACGCATTCAGTGCAGCACGTTACACCTTTCACGTAAGAGGATGACAGGAAACAAGAGGGGAAATGATAAGAAATGACACAGACATGTTACACTTCAGTCTAGAAAAGGAAATAATCCGTGTACATCTTCTTTTTTCTATGTTTACACTGAAACGATTCTTATCGAGGCAAATAGCTGCTTTAGTTAATGATTATTTTACAGGTTTAGAGTTTCCACAAAGACAAACACGTGATCATCTTGTTCAATAAAATGTACAGATAGTTTATCCTTCCTTCATTTTTTTTGTTCTCTCATATATTACTTGAGATCTCCCCCTCGAGAACAGTACATTTTAATCAATCAAATATTGAATATTTCGTATCACCTTATCAGAGATGCAGAGTGATCTGACTTGAATTTGACCCTGAAAAAGAGACAGAGTAAAAGTGAGGCTGTAAATGTGGTTATTTCACTTTCATATAGATATTAGTAAGGATGCACATGTCCTCCTTTTATCAGTTAGCTGAAAGTGAATTTATGGATACACAGATTTGCTTCTCATACTTATCATACCATCAATGAAAATGGAAAATTCTCCTGCCAGTAAAGGTTTTATTGTGTCTGCTTGATTTTTTAAAACAAGTTTAGTCAAAACTCATAAAAAATAGTCACTTGTGTTAAAACTCACCAATGTACTGTGTTGTAACCGTAGACTGTATATACTACGGACAACTTGGTTCCGCCTTCCACCTGTATACTGATTTGAAGCCAAAAAGCTCTCGGTAATTCCGGGTTTTTCTCCACTTCCTCGAAGCCAGAGCTGCGCAGTAGCGATGCGCGCCTTCGGCCGCGCAGTCGCCGAGAGTCCCTGTGATGACGCTCGGCTCAAAAAGCATATCCCCCCGGGTGAGCTACGCAATCCCTGAACGCCCATAGGCTGTACCAGGTGTCAAGCATAGAAAACATGAACCCCCTAATAACTTTTAAAAACGGAGCTGTAAAGAAAAAAAAAAAACTTGGGCATAAACCAGTCTTACAATAACTACATGTCAACATAACATGTCAATATAACATTCTTTATACAGTCTATGGTTGTAACTGTGTACACTGGAAGCTTTAGGAGATACTAAATATGATGTACTGGCATAAAGATGACTTTCCAGATACTTGGAAAGTCATTGTCACAGAAAGATGTTCGTGTCTTCTTCTGACCTCTAGAGGGTGCTGTTGCAGCTCTGACACACCTGCTGGACCTTACACTCCACCAAGTTTCATTCATCCTCTCCCATTTACTGAAAGTACAGTAAAGTTATGATTTGTATGCCTTTGAGTTGCTTTGTGTTATACCTCCTGTTGTTTTTTGCAGACAAACTTGTTTTCTATCATCTTTAATTCCCTCTATTGTTCTTTTTAAATCTTTCTTTTGTTTCATTATTATGATTATTCCCTGAGAATAACTCTATTCCTCGTCCACCTCTGACTTTCTTCCTCTTTTTTCTCCCCTGGTTCTTTGTTATTGTTTTTCCTCTAAGTAGGACAGAGTTCGAGTTGTTGGAGGTTTGTTTGGGAACACCAGAGGGATCAGACTGCCTGCAAGTCGGCCGTCAAGACAGCGACTAGACGCCATTGAATATCAGCTCAGTCCTCAGAGATAAAACACATGACCTTTGTCATACTTGGCTTTGTACCAGCTTTGAGGGAGCAAAGATGATGGTTCAGGTTTGATGCTGAAAGAGTTCCTCTTACATATACTTAACTGTGCATGAACTACAACTGTCAGAGTTTAACAAAGATACCCATGATGAAAGTATTTAAGCATTTGCACCTAAATCACCTAAATCTGAGTATAATATGTGCAGTGGTGAAAAGTTTCAACCAAAATGTGATTTTAAAAGCAGATATGTTGCAATAAGGTTTTTCCTGATCCCAATCATCTCCTTTAAAAACTCACTATGAGTTGATCTTGGGTACAAATGCTATTTATTCAACAAATCAGGGCATATTCTCAGTCATATCTTAATTTTATAGTTTAACATGACTACCTTTGACCTATTTTTAATCTATTCTACACAAGCAGAAATCTTAGTTTTTTTTTAATTCTGAAATTTTGAGCTTGGTTTGTTGTTGGTATGTGAAAGTTTCTTTACTCCAGAGTGTTTATTTGGGTGTGTGTGGTGTTTCACCATCATCAGTCACAATATTGAGGAAGTCAGAGCCACAACATGATGACTCAAGAACAGGAGAGCTTTATTTTTGAGCCTCTTTCACACACACACCATAACAATAGCTACAACACAGCTTTTAGAGCCCTTGTAATTGAAATTATTCATTAAAATTAGACACATATTAGTTGACTGACACATCTTTTTGTGAGTTTTGGGACATGTATTTTGTAACTTGTGATGTGATTGGTTTGGAGAGGCTGTGTTGATACAGCTGTGCTCCTCAGACAGTGTCAGAGTCAGACTCTGCCCTCAGTGCTGCTGGAAGCCTTTTAGACACCTAAAACAAACACACAGAGAAAAGCGCTTAATGTAAAAATGAACTAGTATTAAGCCTTGGTTAACCCTAAGACTAGTGTACATGAATGAAACCAAAATAGATATGTAGTTCCTCAAATGGCCACATGAGGCTCAGTTATAAATAAAATGTTGCTCCAAATTAAAGTTTAAATTTGACTGTAACTTTATTATATTTAAATACAGTTTATGTGTGTTTATGCGTGTTTGGCCATAAGTGTCCACCTTCAGCTTAGTGACATAACTTCAGGCTGCAGCCATAATCACCAGTCACTTTGCTCGGGACTTGGACTCTTGCTAGCATAACATTAGCTCTATATGTGCAAGGAAACATCTTCTACTTCATTGTGTCCATTAATTCCTGATAATTGAAGATTTTGTTTGAAATGGTCTCTGAAACAATTAAACTTTTGTTAACTACTTACCACAGATGTGTACCCAAACTGTGTGGCTTCACATGTTATAAGACGTATCATATTGTTTCACTAATTATTAGTAAAGTAGGTTATGGTATCATCAAAGTTATCATATTCTATCGTACCATAAAATGATCAACCAAAATGGTATCTTAGCATATCAAACTGTATCATATCATATCATATCATGTCATATTGTACTGTATATATATTTTCTTATGTCTGATCTTAACTCGTCTTTTTGAATTGTATGGTACTGCACTGTATCGATTCGTATCCTACAGTATTATATCATATCGTACGGTGTTCTGTTATATTGTTTTGTGTCATCTTTATATGTCTCCTGTATGAGACAGTGTACAGTCTGTACCCAGACGTCCCAAGTTGCATAATATCAGAAAAATAACTTAAGGCCTGGGGTGTAAGTGACAAAGGTGCTGGAGGTCAGTGTTACACACCTGTTTTTCCAGGTGTTCAATATGTTTCTGTCGTCTGTCAATCATTCCGTCTTGGGCTGAAACTGCTGATGTCAAACTGTTGAGCTGCCTGGCTTGTTTGGCAATGACATCCTGAACAAAAATAAATAAAAACCCATGTAAAATAAATGAAAAAGGCTGGCGTCATAAAAAGGCCTGCTTTTTATCAGAACATTAGATCTTTCTTTTCCTACCTTCACAGAGCTGATGTCCAGCTGCGATTTGCCCCTTGACCTCGGCTCACTCAGACTCTTCATCTGCTGGAAGATCCGGTCCATCTGCTGCTGTATGTCTCCATGCTCCAACTCCAGATCCTCCAGTCCTTTCTGCAGATCTTTGACAGTCCTCCACAGCCGGTCCCCCCTGGCTCTGAGAATCTGCAGGTCCTTCCTCACCTCAAGACAGAAAATCACTGCATTGTTCATCTGTCAAAGTGGCTGAATGTACTGATCAATTGTTCTCCATGATGTTTTTTTTTAGACTCATTTTCACAATGAAGTTATGGTCATATCACCACCGTCCTGTAATATGTGTAATGTGAATCCTCAACAGACTTTTGTTTTCATCGTTTATGACAGATTTTGCAGATGAATTATTTTGATTTTAATCTGAAATAAAACACCTCCATTTTTGGATGAATAGTGAGGAAATCATAGCAGTAGACATCAAGGAGCCTCTGGGCATGTGAGCATATTCATGTAGTTCAACAGAGATCCCTATCAACCTTGAGTGTGTTTGTGCAGACTTTAACTAATGCCTCTATTACTGAAATTAAAAGTAGAACTATTCAAATCACAACTTTTATACATATTTGTGCAGTTTAAAGTGCATTATCCAGACAGTGAATAGTGTATCTGACAAAATGTTAAAAATGTTGCTGAATGTGAAGATTGGTCAGAAAAGGATTTTTAAAAAAATGAATATACTTGAAGAAAATACTTTTTTGGAGTACTGGTGTGGTCAATTTTATGATGCAAGATATTTTGACATTTTTGGGGGTTTCACTGGGAGAAGTCTGCTCTGCTTTGCAAACTGGATCATCTTCATAAAACTGGATTTTTTCCTCACCTGCCTGCGAGTCCGTCCTGCCTGAAAATTCTGCTTACGAAGACTCTCCACACCCCTCACAGCCCCGTCCAACTCTGCCTCCACCTGCTCCCCCTGCTGCTCCAGCCACTTGGCGCTCTCTTTCACACCCTGCAGCAGGTGAGCCAGACCCAGGGATAGCATCCTCACCTGGGCCACAGGGACCATACCTGCATTGTGAGACACTGTTGTAGGGGGAGCGCTGTGGGCCTGACAGAGTCCCACAAGTACAACCGTCAGCTGCAAGAGCTGGCACATCCTCATGATCCAGGATTTTTAAGATGAAAACAAGATCTTGATCCTAAATTTTGAAAACCCAGAACCAGATCTGATCCAAAAAAAAGAGAGAGATCCGTGGCTTTGTGCAAAGGTCGCTCAAAAGCTCAGGAGTCATGGAGAGATGAAACCACATCTGCTTGTCCTCTGAGGGGTCCTGATGAGTCTCAGATGGTCCCTGAGGAGGTTTGCAGCTCAGGACTGTTGCAGGGCAGAGAGATGAGGAGAGGGAGGAGAGCCAGAAAGAGACAAAGGGGGAGTTCCCACACTCTTAACTGACATATGTACCATAAGATCTATACATCCAAAAAAAAGGGCCCAAAGACCGCTGTGCTGAGATTTACACAGTTTCTCTGTTGCTGATATTTTCCAAAAGAGGGGAGATTTCATGTGAAACCTGTTGGTAAACATGTGCATTGGTGAAATTTGGACACTTGTCTGCTTATGAGTTTGTAAAGCAAAGTACAGCAATGGTGCCATCTGCTGAATGTTTGAGGAACTGCCTTTTTCCTGCTCTGATTTTACATCCTCCCTCCAAACTGAGCCTGTGTTTGGTTATAGGCGTCTGTTTTTGGTGTATTTGTGTCATCTTTTAAAAATACAAATATTATCCAGAACAAACTTGGATATATTACTGTATTAGCTGGAATATAAGACAGGATTTGTCCTTGATATACCTTTGAAAAAAAAAGGGCTGGTCCTTTAATTTGAGTTAAGCAATTACTGTATGTTGTTTTGTATCAGCTCAGATAATAAAACAGTGTGACAAAGGGATTCACTGTAAATCCAACAGTCTTTCACTCTCTCACATGTCAGATTTCATAAGAATAAAGTTATTGTCAAATCATTTTTTTTAAATTAATTTGTCATAAAATAAGTTTCTCAAGTAACTTAAGCGATATTCAAATCATTTCTTCATATGACTCACTCCAAAGTGAGTCATAGTAAAATAATTTTCCTAATGCAAAAGTAAAAGCTTGACAGAAAATCATTTATGTGAAAAAAAACATCATCTCCTCACTGCCTCTGGGTCATCTTGAATATCCTGTTTTGTTTGGCAGGGAAATTTTTGGATGAGGATGGCATGAAAATTTTTGCATTTTGTGTTCACATGTGCACCCCACCCAGATCATTTTGGGGAGGTTTTGTGCAGCTGATAAGCACAGATACAGTAACAAACTACAGACAAAAATTGAACTTGAGAAACATATCTGGGGCAATCATTCACTCGCACATGAACTGCATTGTACAACTAAGCAAAAAAGATTGGTTTAAAGCTTGCACAGGAGTTAAAAATCCAGCCTCTGTGTTTTGAAACAAGATTATTGTATCCTTTAGGGAGCTGGCTCTTCTGGGATGAGAATTGCCCCACCCAGAGGACATGGGTTGTAATTGAATGGATTAAAAACTATGAAAATAATTAGATCTTACATCAAAAATCCACCTTTAAATTCATTGTGGATGTGTCCTAAAGTCAACTCTTCAAATTGCTCTGCAAACCTTCACATCTAATCAAAACTTAACCATACTGCATTTTTCTTTATACTTCATAAAAAATGTTCCTCAATAGATCTTTTTTTTTTTTCTTCCTCACCGGCATGTTTTATGTCATCCCAGTCTAGCTTTGTTGTTTGAACTGAATAGAGACACAACAGGACTTCCTACATTCAGACTGAGGCTGAATGAGCCGCTTTGTGCTGATGAGGAACAGACCAACAAACTGTCCTTTGAATTGTCCTGGAGTGGGGTCAAGCCTAATGTACAAATAACAGTACGTCAGCTCGTAAAGCCTGATCTATAAAAGAGAGACCAGCGTCAGTCTCTGCCAACTCCGTCTTCCTTCTTCCTGCAGATAGGATGGCTGGGTAGCTGCAGACGGGCAGGGTCACTGGGCCACGGCATCAGGACACAACAAACAGTAAGTCAATATCAATATTGAAAATCTTGATTTTAAATCTAAAGAATACAACAGCAAATATTTTATGATGCTAAACTCACTGGTATCCATAAAAAACCCTCTCTCTCAAATCAACATTTAGATGCTTGAGTTAAAAATTTGGCCTCATAGACTTTTTTGTATTGTTTCCTAACTTGCTGAAATGCTAAACCAAAACATCAGTGCATGCCATTTTTCATCGATTCTAAAGACAATAATGGAGGTAAAATACAACCAAGTGATGATATTCCAGATAGTCATGGGAAATTGTATTTAAACACATCTAAAGATCAATTTTGTAAGTTTGTTTTGCAAAACAGAGCGTTGAATCAGCACGGTTCTTGCCTAGCCGTCCATAAAGACTGGAGGCAAATGAAAAAGGGAAAATGCTCCTTAGTGACTCAGCTCCTTAAGATAAAAGCTTTACCCACATATGACTGAGACATGCTGGCTGTCAGCAGTAGTAAAAGAAACCCATCTGAATGTTCCTTTGAATCAGCCACTGTAGCTGATGATGGTTTCTGTTACCATCCTAACACGTACAGTAATCAGTATCTTTTCTTCTGTGCTGCCTGTATTACTTCACCTCAGGTTATAAAAACCATCCATAATCTTAAATTATCTAGATATCAAATGGTCCCATAGTTTTTGACTCAAGGTGAGACTGAAATGATAAACCTGAAAGAAAAGAGTTATCTGACTCACATTATTAGTATACTTATTTTCTTTTCATAACAACAAGGTAGTTTTTCTGTCAAAAACCAACCAAACTGCTTCCATTTCACAACCATGTGATAGACCTGTTTGTCTTGTGCAGACTTGGTATGAGGATGTATTGCCCTACACTGGTGCTGCGGTATGCAACATGGTCAAGCACTTATAGAATAATGAGAAAGTAGGAGAGTAAGGAGATGAGACAATAAAGTGGTGATTATGAAACAATAATGAGCTGCTATGTAGCTTCCTTTCACTCCGTACCTCAACTGGCTAGGCAGCTGGCACTACTCTAAGCTACCTCCTAATGCACTGTTACTGTAGCTAATCTCCTCTCTCGCTCTGCTTTTAATTGAATATGGTTTTTATTCACAGCAGGATTAAATTGCTGCGTGCAAGCTGGAACTGCGCATCTGTTTTTTAAAGGGGATCTTTGAACTTCTAAACTATGATCGTCTCAAAATAAGTAATATTTTAAGTAGAAGCTTTATTAACACAGCAAAGATCACACGGACATAGTCTCAGTGACACCATCCATCATGAAAAAAAAACATGTCATCGAATTACAGATGTTGAGTCAAACTAACTCCCGGCCTCTCCTGAAACCAAAATACCAAATTGTGCTTGGGAACGCCTTGTCAGCGCAGAGAACCTGACTCATGCCGCGCCTGCGTCACGACGTTGGCGGGGCACGAAAATAGAGTCCTTGGTCTGGAAATAATGGGTCATAGAAAATCAACTGCTGACAGTTCTCAGTTATGAAGACATGACGAATAGAGACAATTTTATTTCGAACTGTAAAAATATTACATTCTGCTTTAAGAATGGCTATTTTATTATGAAAGCTAACAGGGTCTCTTGAGGGTTTCTTTTGGGTCTTAACAGCCTCAAGTGGCCACCAGAAGAACTGCAGTTTTCTTGCAATTCTGGGTTGGCCCGTTTTTTCAACAAAAAATGTGCCATGTCAGTCCAGGAATTTGAACCTTTTCTTCCACCATGTTCCTCTAATACCACTAACACGGTCCCTCAGTCCCCCTGTCTCCACTTTCAAATAAAGGCCCCACCAAGTCAAGCATGATTTGGCTTGGACTTGCAGGGGTCTGGAGGTCAGAGGTAGGGTGGCTGAACAGCTGGCGGGGGTCACATGCTCAGATCAAGCATGGTATGTCACGCCTCTGTGGATCAAACATGTAAAAAGTGAAACCCCAGCACACAGGATCGAGCGTGTTGTTGTAGTGTGATTCCCATTAAGTCAGCTCCAGCAGTCACACGCACCGATAACAAGTCAGCACACAGCAGGATCATGTTAGAGTATAGTGAGAGTCTGAGCACATTGTGGTCACTTTAACTTGAAGGAACTCAAACTCTGAACTCCGTGTTTCTCTGGGATTGAGAAAGAAATAAAACTTTAATGTGAAAATCATTTATGTGGCGTGTGAGACTGTGCTGAGTGACAGGTTAAAGAGGCAGCTGTGGAGAGCAGCCGTCAACAAACTATAAATCAACACTGATTGACTCAGGAGAGATATTTCTCTGTTGGCACTAAGTTTTAATGCTCCAAAAGTACACAACAACAACAATCTGAACCTCAGCCTGCTGCACTCTTTATGAAAAATATCTTTTAATTAGCCTCAGGCTTTAACTGATATAACCTGAGTTTCCTATCAGCGCTGCAGGATCATGCCCTCACACGCAACCAGCACTGCACCTGCCATCACAGGGTGTCATATATTAATGATTGTATTATTATTGTTACGCATTTGTTGAAATAACATAAGACTGAAAGATAACACAGTTTATTAATCCATAAATCATCACTAGCTGCCTTATGGGGAAGTTTATTTACAACTGGGACTACAGTTCAATAACTGAAGATCAAAAACAACAAAAGGCAAAAAACACAGCCTAAGCACAGCAGTAACTCAGATCTTTTGTCTCAATTTCACCACCCCAGTTCAATAGGAGTTGGCACATCATCTTATAGTAACAGGATGTGTCTAAATGGAAGTGTATCTGAAACCGGTCTGTACTGTTCAGCATTAATGGTGCCTTCCTTGATGTATTAACTGTCCGTGCCATTAGCACTCACTCTGTACCATCACAGATGCTGTTTGTTTTTTAAGTGCATGCTGACATGATTCTCTTCTTTATATTGCATTCTCAAAAGAATGTCAAACTTTATTTATCAGACCACAGAAAATGTTTTCAATTTGCATCGGCCGATTTTAACAGGCTTGGGCCCAGAAGAGTCGCTGGCATTTCTGTATCATGTCTACAGATGGTTTCTCCTGTGCATGTTGGAGTGTTATCCTGATTTTTAGTAGTGAATTTGAGCCAGTGCGGTGGTTTCCACTCCAGAGTCATGTCAGTTTCTAATACAATGTGAATTGGGGGCCCGTTTTGTACAGAAATATATCTGGATTTTTTCAATCCTTCATTTGTTTGCAATTTCATCCTTGGAACATTATTCTGGAATTGTTGAACTATTTGCTTGCACAGTCTGTCCCTGCATATTTCCGTCTGAGAGACTCAGCCTCCCTGAATGTCTTTTTATTTCTGGTAATATTGCTAAATAGTTCAAAATAACTTGATCAGTTGACAGATATTCCTGTAAGTGTATGAAAAATAGCTATATAAACAAGCTATTTAAAGCTATTTCCTGCTGTTAAATTCAAGTTTCAAACTTCTTGCTCACACTTCCTGTTGATTTTCTGTTCCTAAACTCCACAGGGAAACAGTTTGGTTTAGGAAAGTCTAAACTAATGGACAAAAATTGAACTGGAGTGGTTGTCTGCTTCAGTCATCTGGTTTAAATGTTCAGAAAACTCAGCTTGGGCTGTATTTGATTATTTGTCTGGTCTTAATTTAATACATTCATTTAACATTTATATAATCAGAAGTCAAGACTGTGGTCCAGATGGGCAGCAGCACTGTTTCCAAAGTCTCTGAAAGACAGTGAGCAGCCATGAACATAATATAAGACACATGACTTTAATGTATAAGAAAGACAAGTAATAACTTAAACTGCAAACATGTTTTTGTAATTGTATAGTCTACAGATGCCAGATGCATTAGCTTGTAAGTCGTTAGACATCATGTTACATCCTCTAATAAGACCACCTCTTCAAGTTATTAAAGTGAACTGAGATGACTTGAACATCATAAATGTCTTTTTTTCCAGCAAGGGAAAGAAAGTAATTAAATGTTGTTTAAAAATGATATTTAAAATACCAGATTAACCAACAGCCCGGCCTGACCCCTGTTTTATTTTATTTTTTTTGCATTGTGATTCTACTTGTCTGTTTTTCAAATGAGCTGTGGGCTCCACTGTATGATACATAAGTCGTTGGGGTCAATCCTGCTCATAAAATATAACTCAAACATGTCTGAAAAAAATACTGCAAATCCCTCACTGATCCACCTCAGAGACAGTCCTCCCGCACTGAAGATATTTTCGTTCTTATTTCACCCCCAAATAAATCAAATCAGAGTGTGTTCAAAATTGAAGTCCTCTGCCCAGTTAAAACTTTTTCCCTGGATCTGCTACTTGCTCTATCAGCAGTTACAAATAACAGGCTGTGTTAGGATACAGGGTTTCTCTGACAGCTCACGGTGTCTCTTGGCCTCATTGCATTCAGAGGTTCTGATGGATTACGCTTAGTGATGAAATTTCTAAAGTATTTCTGGGATGTGGCTGTGGTTTGATTTCATGCACTTCTTTCTGTTTGTCATCAATCATCCGCCTCCATGTCCAAAAGTGATGTATGAAGAGAAAAGTCTTGAACTTTGAAAGCTCTTTACCTAAATGATTGATTTTATTTACAACTAAACATCATCTTGCATCAATCTAAACCTAACAAGCACCTTTCTGACCTCAGTGCTGACTAACATTGAGGAAGGACTCAGCCTATCAGTCAAAGATGGGTTGAGCTGAGGTTAGCTTAGGTCCTCCTAGCAAAGAGCGCTCTCAAAATGAGCTAAACTAGGTGATAGACTTAAAGGGATATTCCGGCGTAAAATTAATTCAGGGTCAAACACACCGTAACACCAAGTTAGACACCCTCTTGAGAGATGAATGTTACCGACCGCTTGCTTTTCTAGTTGTACCAACTTAAGAGGATAGCATTACACAGCAGTCTGAGGAGCCATAGACAAACCTCAACCAAAACGCCACTCTATAGCCACAAATAATGCTCAGAACAGCACCTAACTTCATCAACAGTACATATAGGGTCCCAGCCATCAAATATCTTTTTAACTTTGCCTTATTTCTTTAGCAAAGAGACTAAACACAACTCACCCACTCTCTTCCAGCAGCCACTTGTTTGTAAGGAGATCTCGGACGAGTCCATTACCAACTGCAGCGGGGTGACGCAGCTCATATCGCAGGGCTGATAGACGTAACACTTGCTGTGTCCGAATTGCCCGCTCGGATACTACTGCTAGATCCTACTCCTACATACTAAACACGTTGGCCCAATTCGGACACACTAGATAAGCGATGGGGAAAGACGACCCCCGCAGGCAGAGAGTAGGTACTGCGCCCGTGCAGACAGTAGTAACGGAATCCCCTCATCTGCTGGCCTGGCTGTAGTACTGCAGCTGTCTAGTTTAATGATGGAATAAGTGAGCTTTACCTCCATGATGTCGCCACATATTTGCTCATAAAATGATTACTTGGGCAAATATGACACCATGACATGACAAAGAGATACAACCGCACATTTTTTAGGACAGTGTGTGAAGTTACATGAAACCGCCATGGCGCGCGCTGCTGTAGCCAGCCGGCGTTCGCGACGTATCTATGCTGGTGGTGCTAGCATCACATGCGCTTCTACAACTTTTAAGAGGACGAAGAAGAAGCCCGCGGTGCATTTTGGGTCTGTAGCATGTCCGTAGGCTGCACCATAGACATAAGCTGCGTCCGAATTGCCAAGTAGTAGTCGAAGTAGTAGTCGAAGTAGTATCTAGCATGTCCGAATTGGCCACCGGAGCGAGTAGCATGCTACTTCAGATACTACTTCAGATGCTAGACACGCCCACATTGTAGGTTGGTCTCGGTGCATCCTACGGGCATGCTACTGACCCAAAATGCACCGCGGGCTTCTTCTTCGTCCTCTTAAAAGTTGTAGAAGCGCATGTGATGCTAGCGCCACCAGCTGCTCTGCCTATTTAAAAGTGTCGCGAACGCCGGCTGGCCACAGCAGCGCGCACCATGTCGGAGCAGCAGCAGCAGGCGGGACAGTACAGATGTAAGTTTCATGTAACTTCACACACTGTCCTAAAAAATGTGCGGTTGTATCTCTTTGTCATGTCATGGTGTCATATTTGCCCAAGTAATCATTTTATGAGCAAGTGGCGACATCATGGAGGTAAAGCTCACTTATTCCATCATTAAACTGCACAGCTGCAGTACTACAGCCAGGCCCGCAGATGAGGGGCTTCAGTTACCACTGTCTGCACGAGCGCAGTACCTACTCTCTGCCTGCGGGGGTCGTCTTTCCCCACCGCTCGTCTAGTGTGTCCGAATTGGGCCAACGTTTTTAGTATGTAGGAGTAGGATCTAGCAGTAGCACGTAGCAGTAGCATGTAGTATCCGAGCGGGCAGTTCGGACGCAGCAATAAGCTGCGTCCGAATTGCCAAGTAGTAGTCGAAGTAGAAGTCGAAGTAGTATCTAGCATGTCCGAATTGGCCACCGGAGCGAGTAGCATGCTACTTCAGATACTACTTCAGATACTAGACACGCCCACATTGTAGGTTGGTCTCGGTGCATCCTACGGGCATGCTACTGACCCAAAATGCACCACGGGCTTCTTCTTCGTCCTCTTAAAAGTTGTAGAAGCGCATGTGATGCTAGCGCCACCAGCTGCTCTGCCTATTTAAATGTATCGCGAACGCCGGCTGGCCACAACAGCGCGCACCATGTCGCGGGACCGCAGCAGTACAGATGTAAGTTTCATGTAACTTCACACACTGTCCTAAAAAATGTGCGGTTGTATCTCTTTGTCATGTCATGGTGTCATATTTGCCCAAGTAATCATTTTATGAGCAAATATGTGGCGACATCATGGAGGTAAAGCTCACTTATTCCATCATTAAACTGCACAGCTGCAGTACTACAGCCAGGCCCGCAGATGAGGGGCTTCAGTTACCACTGTCTGCACGGGCGCAGTACCTACTCTCTGCCTGCGGGGGTCGTCTTTCCCCACCGCTCGTCTAGTGTGTCCGAATTGGGCCAACGTGTTTAGTATGTAGGAGTAGGATCTAGCAGTAGCACGTAGCAGTAGCATGTAGTATCCGAGCGGGCAGTTCGGACGCAGCACTCATAAAAGGGTAGACCCCGCTGGGGGTGCTGCGCAGCGAGAAATGCGGCCGCCATCTTGGTCAGGTCAAGCTTCCCATACGCTCCGGTCAATTATATTCATTCATTCATTCATTCAGCGATGCCGGAGCACTGTGCGGCGTATTCCTGTGCCAACAGGCGGACAGCAGAGAACAGGGCTCAAGGAATAACTTTTCACAGTTATGATTACACGTTTTTTCAACATTACACTTGACTGTAGAGTCATTTGTAGGCCAAAGAGGAAGACTATCGGTCAACTCCAAAAAGGAAACAGCATTTGCGAACAGCTAGCTTATTCACAATAATAGCAACTTTGCTCGATTATCAACAGATTTGCATTAGATTGAAAAACTTTTGTTTGAGAGAGGTTCTAAGAAACGTTAAGAAATAAAATAGAAAGAAGAAGGAAGAAAGTGAGCTCTGTTTTATTATCTGTTTTATTAAAGATTTCTTTGTGGTGATCTCCTGTTTCATTTTGAAGATTTCCTAAGGACAAAAACTCGAGATCAAATAAAAGGCACCACATGGTTGTACCTGGCTGTTCTCTGACTGTAAACAGACAGGAGCTGCGTCCGAATTGCCAAGTAGTAGTCGAAGTAGTAGTCGAAGTAGTATCTAGCATGTCCGAATTGGCCACCGGAGCGAGTAGCATGCTACTTCAGATACTACTTCAGATGCTAGACACGCCCACATTGTAGGTTGGTCTCGGTGCATCCTACGGGCATGCTACTGACCCAAAATGCACCGCGGGCTTCTTCTTCGTCCTCTTAAAAGTTGTAGAAGCGCATGTGATGCTAGCGCCACCAGCTGATTTAAAAGTGTCGCGAACGCCGGCTGGCCACAGCAGCGCGCACCATGTCGGAGCAGCAGCAGCAGCAGGCGGGGCCGCAGCAGTACAGATGTAAGTTTCATGTAACTTCACACACTGTCCTAAAAAATGTGCGGTTGTATCTCTTTGTCATGTCCTGGTGTCATATTTGTCCAAGTAATCATTTTATGAGCAAGTGGCGACATCATGGAGGTAAAGCTCACTTATTCCATCATTAAACTGCACAGCTGCAGTACTACAGCCAGGCCCGCAGATGAGGGGCTTCAGTTACCACTGTCTGCACGGGCGCAGTACCTACTCTCTGCCTGCGGGGGTCGTCTTTCCCCACCGCTCGTCTAGTGTGTCCGAATTGGGCCAACGTTTTTAGTATGTAGGAGTAGGATCTAGCAGTAGCACGTAGCAGTAGCATGTAGTATCCGAGCGGGCAGTTCGGACGCAGCAAGCCACTTTAGCAGAGCATGATCGCCACCAACTGGACTGGAGTTGAACAACGACAGTGACACCAGGGCCTAAAGGGACATTTAAGTTTAATTATGGCTCTAAAGTTTGACTCTGTTTTCTTTGGTTCTCCTACAAAGCTTCTTAAAGGAGCTAACCCTCTGTAAAACTTAACTAAGGCAACTTTTTAGAGACTATTTTAAAACCAATTTGGGGTTATTGACTTCTAGTGAAATATGGGTTTCTGATGAGTTTTTCATTCAAGAATTCTGGGAACCTAGCTTTGAATCTGAATTCAGTCCTTCATTGAAAAAGTGACAGCTCAGAGGAAATACAAGCCAATCAATGCCTGTGAAATCTCAGAGCGCTCTCACACCTGCCGTGAGAGCGTCCCACCCAGCAGGGAGTGGGGAGTTATTATCATGAGTTACTATCAGAAGAGCACCCTGTCACTTTTATTCCAGAGGCAGACTTCCTCGGGCCTCTCCGGAGTTCCTGATATAGGCGTAGCAGTTAATGAGGGAAATACCCAAAGTTAAACCGAGCATGGGAGCCTGAGAGAGAGGGGGGAGAGAGAGAGGAGAGAGGAGGAGAGTGGGGGAGGGAGGACTGGACCGACTGGAACACGAGAGGAAAAAGAAGCAAGAGAAAGAGGAGGGATGTGACGAGAGAAGAGAAGAGTTTTTCTGGAGGACAGGGTGGTGATCTTGCCGTGGTTATGTGGGTCTCTGGCATGATGATTTGGGACAGAATGTAAAAATCACATTGCCAGGGATTACTACACTGCCATGGTGTCTGCTGCTGCTTTACAGGAGCCAGAGGAGGACACAAACACACACACCTGACTTTGGATCTATCTGCCTGCTTTGGTCTTATTTTTATCGTATTTGTAAAAGAGGAGTTTTTCAGGCTGCCATCCTGTGGATGATTGTGAAAAGACAACTTTCCTGAGGCACGAGGGGTGCGTTAGTGTGTGGTAGGTTGTGTGTATCTGTGTCTGATCAGGTGCAGAGCTTAGTCGACTGCTGAACAGGGAGTCTTAATATTTTGTTCACAGTGGCTAAGTTCTTCACTTGTACAGAGATGATGGAGATGCATGAAAAATGATGTAATTATATATACTTTTGCGGAAGAAACTACTAGATATTGGGGCACGAATTAACATGCGCTAAAACTTAGTAATCACATTAGGAAAGAGTGTGATTTCATCCTAAGTCTGATATTTCCTCCTTCTTGACACTGGGCTAAAAAAACAACAAATCACATGTTTCTAGATTATCATAAAAACTCACAATAGCTATGTTTTTGCCTCAAACCACCCTTTTCTGTACCTATATGTTTTTAATTTTTGAATGAATCTGTGGCTGAAAATAACTCCTCTCATCAAAATACAGCACACTGCTTTGTAAGCGCATTACTGAGGTATTTAATGCTTTATTGCCTTTTGTATTTTATTTGATACGTACTTTTATAATACTTCTATCAATCAATATGATCAACAAATGACTAAAAAAAACACCTTAACACAGTCCGATAAATGATAAAAATGTGCTCTTGTGGTTAATCAGTTTCCAAAAACATCTGATGTATCAAACAAGGAAATGAATAAATTTGTAAAATTTTAAGGATATTTAGATTTTTTTGGTTTTCAGCAGTAAGTTAAATTAACATTTCAGCTCCAAAAAATTTGAGTTTTCTAGCCATAATTTGTGGTACCAGGCATTAAAGGGTTAAAACAGCACTGTCGACAGGGCTTGATACTTGGATGTTACATGTTGTCGTTAATTTGGTCTTTCATTGGGAAGTATTAACAATCAATAACAGCCTGAAATCTCAATAACTCCCTTGAAACGAGCCCCCTATTGCATTTTTGCACTATTCATAAAATTGGTTATAAAATAATAAATATACCTCAACATTAATTTTTGAATCAATGCGCACATTGAGTCATCTAGACATTGTACGTTGCCACCAGAAACAGACAAGTTATCAATATTCTTATTCTTATATAGACCGAAAATGCCAGTCATGTTGTTTTTGAGCTTCAGCACATCCACCTTCCAGTATACAGGACTGTATGTCCTGTTAATCGCTGCTATGTCTGGTCAAACTGGACTATTTCCACTCAACCAGAGTAATCTGTAACCAGGCATGTGGATGTGAACCTGCGAGGAGGATGTAGGGCTGGTGGTGCCAGCTCTGCTATTGTTAGCCACATTAAGGAAACTAATTTGACTTTGTTTCCCAGCAGACTCTTTGTGAAATGAATTGTGTTTTGCCTAGGTTTTTCTTCATTACAAACAGATATGGATCGTGAAGGGTGGGCATACATTACATGTGCCATTTCAGGGTTTTAAAGGCCAAGTGTGTTACTGCATGGAAATTCAATTCAACTGTATTTCATTCAACAGCTGTCTCATCTAATTTTCCTTGAATGGAAGCAGCAGAGGGCCCTGCTGAGAGTCTCCTGACCTCCTTCTGAGGAAACATCTGACCTTCCTCTTGTGCCTTCTGAGCTGACAGCAGTTTGATCTAACACACTGGCTCAGTTCAGCAGGAACAAGAGTTTGGTCAACCCACAACACAGCTCATGGACTGGCTGCTGGTGAAGTCTATAGTCATACAGAGTGTATTCAAGATCATGGTCTGCAGTACAGCTGCACATCAATTTTAAGGGAACACTTATAGCTGTAAACCAACCATGTGTATATAAAGGCAGATGCAGGGTTTCTCTAAACACCAAATCCCCCCAAACAAAAAACAATACACTAATTCTAAAAGGATTTAAAGGAACACTGAATAATAAGAATTTTGAAATAAAAAGAAAAAAAAGATCCTAAATCTGAAAATATTTTATGAAACCTTGAAACATTTCCAAAAAGTATTTAGCAAGATATACAACCATTGCATATGGAGTGATCCTTTTCAAGAAGGGAAATTACCTTTCACAAAAAATAGATAAATAAATTAATAAATACTACTACTACTACAACAACTACTGCTGCTACTACTACTACTACTACTACTACTACTACTACTAATAATAATAATAATACTACAATAAGATAAAATTTTAAAAAACATGATAAAAATGATTTAAAAAAACATTAAAAAGTGCAAATGGTATTCTATTGGAAGTCACAATATTAATACAAACAGGTGTATTGCTTTTGGAATTATTTTGTGTTTAATGAAATATTTTTGTGAGACGTTTTTATTTGTTATGAAATACTTCTGTGTATTTGGAAGTTTTTTCTTTCCTATGAAACAATCATGAATATTTTATGTCATAAGATTTTTTTATTTTTATTAAATATTAAACATTTTGCCTCGTTTTAATTCTTAACAAAATATTTTCAGGCTCAGTTTAATTCTAAATGATTTTTTTAATGATTTTTTTAATTCACATAAATGTTTTTTCATTTTGACATTACAGGGCAATTGACCATTAGGACTACTATCAGTAAATCTGAAGTAATGCGGGCAATTTAGAAAAGGGTAATGGTGATGAGTGTTCAAATGTGTTATTCTGTCCTCGTCGAGACTGGAAGAGGTCTTGCTGTGCTTTTTTAAACAGAATCAAAAATAGAGTTCAGTAGATATTTGTTTTATTACCGCTGTCTATTTGGGGGAGTTTATTCTGACTGCTAACCGAGTCAGGGCACTGACCACTCCGGGCCACTAGATGGCGGTGTCAAAAGATTCAACTAAAGAAGGAGAAGATTTTAGACGAAGAAGAACATAGACAAACATGAACAACAGGACAGTTTAACAACTTTCCAAGAGCAGAGGAAAAAGATTAAAATCCAGGACATATTTCTAACTCTTTTAGACCGAGATGTTACTCTCCAACATGTTAAGCCTGGAGACGTTAGAAAGTCAGATATCTGTTGTCATGGAGACGGTGGCGGAGGCTGCTGTGACGGAGCTTCGCAGACTTCTGGACCTGAGCTCGGCTAACCTTAAAAATACAGCCGAGAGGAAGCGCTCCAGTCCGGCCACACTCCCCGAGACTTTAGGGGGTGTGAAGAGCGAGGAGCAGGAGAGCCAAGTGACCCCACAGGAGGACAGACAACAGCTCCACAAGACGATAACGGTGACAGACCCACATACAATGACAAAAAAGAGCACTCTATTCTATACATAGGTGTTAATTTAAGAATGGGGAGAGTGGGGTAAGATGAGCCATTTTTTATATTTCAGATCACTACATCAAGGCAATCATAGTTTTGTCTCTAACTAGTGTATCTGCATATAATTCAAGATGTTGTTCATCCCTGCAAATCAACAGAATGAGTATAAACATAACTGTCTTGATGATATAGCATGCCAAAAAAGTGGTCTCCTGTGGTCAACTTACCCCGTGTATGGGGTAAGTTGAGTCCTCTAAGATAAAATGGTGGACTTTTATGCTTGGCTTTTGACCTCGTGTTGTAGCTCATCGATACCACAACTGATGTATAAAACAGATTTAAAATTATCTTTTTTGGTCTGAACACAATTCTAATAAAACGTATGACAGACTAAATTCACTTTCAAGAGTGAAAAATGATTTTTGGACATAAATTTCTAACCCTTTTAACACACGTGCTTCTAACTTTCACAGACTCCATGAATTGATGACCATCTCCTAAATATTTGGTCACATGATCAATTTCTTTTACCATTTTCAAGCAACAGGGGATGGCTCAACTTACCCTTTGGCTCAACTTACCTCACTCTCCCCTATATGAAGCAACTGTGATTATTCTTCCAGTTTTTTATATGAAAACAGGGAGAACATAATTCATGAGACTTTGTTTCTATTCAGCTAAAAATGTTCTCCACCATTCTCTCTCCCACTTGACTTCATAGACCCAGTTTACATCCCTCATGGCAGCTTGGACCAAAGAAGCAGTGGAGAAAATCCTGATGCTGTTGAAAGTGTCTCTTTGTGAAGCTGACAATGGGCTGAATGACAAGGATAAACAGAGTACGGAGCCAAAAGCAGCAAGTGCAGGGCGAGTGACCAGTTCTAAGAAGCGTAAGTCAGCTTTAGAGACTGTAAATGGGTCTTTGAGTTTACACAATAAAGTTCTCTCTCTGGTCTTAACAGCATGTGATGTTTCTGTTCATATTTTACAGACCTGAGACGCTCTTGTTCTAACAGAAAGAGGAGCCTGAAACCAACTCCACCAGAGAGTGACCACAAATATCACAGAGGTATGTAATCACTTTAAATCACTGTCTTTGGTCAGTTGTCACAGTGGTGATTGATACCTTTATAAGGTCTGACACAGTAGACCCCTCACCGAGTCAACTCTAAAGAAAATCTTTGCATGTTGTTTTTGTAGTGAATTCACTGATGCTGATTTTACTCCCTTTTTCCAGGTGCACAACATCCTGGAGTCTCAAAGGAAGCTGCAGACTCACATTCAGTGATTGAACCTGGTAACTTCTGCATATGTACACACCAGCAGATCAAACACTTACTCTTAGTTAAATTATGAAATTCTTACTCTGCAAAACAGCAGAGCAGGGTCATCATTTTTTCACTTATTTTAAAACAATAAAGGAACAGTCCAGATATTTTAAATTGGGATTGTTTGAGCTACTTGCTAATGGTAAGTGTATCAGCGACAGGTGATTCAAATGATCAGCTCGTTATTAAGCCATTACAGAGCTTGATAACGAGCTGATCATTTGTATCAGGTATGTTGGAGCAGGGAAACATCCAAAAACATGCAGGACAGCGGGCCTCGAGGACTGGACTTGAGAACCACTACTCTAAGCCCCTTTGGTGGAAATCAGGCTGGTACAGAAGCTGAGCTATGACCTACAGAAAGGGTCGGCTTTAACATGTACTTCAGCTGTTTTTAACAAACTTTAATCAGAGCAACATTCTCAGTGTATGCTGTCTTTTAAAATTTGACAACACCTCACTTTGCTGTCAGACAGTTATACTTGGACACATCACATCCCTGGTCCTCCTCCTGCTGCAAACTGATCTGCTAATCAGGTCATTGACGTACAAGCCACTGATCTACTCTGAATTTTGATAATTTTACGTCCTAGTTTGTTGTCATTTTATGCACCAAATGCCTCAGATCATCTGGCAGACATAGTAATGGCTGTAGAGTTGACTAATTCGGCTCAGTATTCCCCTTCCCCTACCTCGTTTAACTCCACTCCAAACATGAAACAACTAAACAATTTTGCTTTCTGTGATGAATTCACTGGTCTAATTTTAGGTTTATTATTTTTTCAGGGCAGCAACAACCTGAAGTACCAACAGAGGCTGCAGACTCAGAATCAGTGACTGAACCTGGTAACCACTTCTCTACACAGAAAGTTAACCTCGCTGTATAACTTATATCTTGCATGAAAGGCTGAAAGTGTGGAGTTGCTCACACTTTTCAAAACACTCAAACAGCTCATATTATCTGTTATAACAGAACCTATAAGGGACAAAAGGAAAGAGTTTGAGCTTTAAAGCAAACAAAATGTTCATGAAACACATTTTAAAAGTAGTGTATAAGATCTTCACTGCAATAGTGGAGTGTTTTCTAAATGTAAGTGATCCAGTGTTAAAAATGCAGTTTTACTCAAAGACCCTGGGGATAGAAAATCTGATCCAAAGCAGTAGCTATTAGGAATTAAAGAAGGCATTTTACTGAGACAATGACAAGGCCTAACACTCAAGAAGATAAAGATAACATATGATCTGTTACCTGATGCTTATCTAGTTGACAGAGTTAATTTATATCGTGCTTGAAGTCGTTAACGTATCGTATCACTGAACTTTGTGGTTATATTAACAGCCGCACAACATAATGGAAATAAGACTTTCAATAACTATGAATAAAGGACAATTTAAAAATACATATGATTTGCCAAAAATACAAGTTTGTGACTCGGTTAGGACTAAGTGCAGCTCTCCTTTTGATATATCCTGGTGTTGTAACAGGCTCCGCTCTTCACTCCTCTTGTGGTGCCTCCTCTGCTGCCTCATAGATGAGTCTGCAGATTTATTGTCTAGTATTTTGCTATCTGTGTTGCAGAACCCAAAATCCTTCCACAAGGCCCTTCTCAGATGTTTTAGTGTCATGACTGAACCCTCTGTTTTTGTTGCAGCTGTCACTGTATCAAATCTCTGAGGTCAAAAGAGCACAATACGGTCAGGTAGCGGTGAGAGTGCCAAACTACATCAGACGGCCTGATGCACTGATTTACTGTATATGTTGAATTCAAGCGGCTTATTAAAGCACAAATGGGAGCTTTTCCCTGCAAGTTCAAAGGAGCACTCACATTTCAGATATAAAGTGACAGCTGAGTCAGACTTACACAGCAGTTAGTTTGATGCTCGTCACAGAATACAGGGTTTCTTGGTATTTTTAGTTGTTCCTGCCCTCGCCAGTTACCCCCTTTAAAAAAAACAGACTTGTTTACTTCTGAATTTTGTCAGAAACACAAAAATGTAAGACAGCAAATAGATTTTAATTGGTTGCAAAGTTTTTCTCTTTGTTTTTAAGATGACAAATGTTTCCTTTCAGTTTTTTTTCTGGGGGGAAAACAAACAGTGTTGTGATGTCTTTAATTTATTGTAAGCGTTATTCCTTGTTGGTGTTAGCTCGGCATTTTCAGCTAATTAAGTTATTTTCTATGTTTTAGCTGATGCAGCCACAGAGGAGAGTAACTCCGGGTCTCTGTCTGAAGCTGAAGATGAAGCTGTCCTAATCGAGCCAAACTCGGTGTTGGACCCCAGAGCAGATGTGGTCCAAGGGGAAACACAGGTTTTAACTAACACATCCAAAAATAAGAGGAGCACAGGACCATTTATATGTCCTTCTTGTGACAAAACGTTCACTCTGAAGTGTTTGATGGAGAGACACCGCCTGACTCACACCAAACCTCATCTCTGCTCCGAATGCGGGAAACGCTTCTCTGTCCTTCGAGGGTTGCACGGACATTTAAGACGTCACACCGGGGAAAAGCTGTACAAATGCTCCGAGTGTGGGACGGAGTTCGCACACAAGTCGACCTATGACAGACACATGCGTCGACACAGCCTGAACATCCCATACACCCACACGTGTACTCTGTGTGAGAACAAGTTCAGTGGGCTCTCGGCGCTGCAGAGGCACAGGTGCAGCGCCTTAAAGAAAACCTTTATCTGCTCGCTCTGTCCAGAGACGTTTCAGTGCAGGCAGAGTTTGGCAGATCATGAGAATCTACACTCAGGGAGCAGAGATTTTGTTTGTGAAATGTGTGGGGACAGTTTCCTCTCCTCCTCATCCCTGGCTACTCATCGAGTGACTCACATACAAAAGAAAGGCTGCTGTGACACTCTTGGTGTGGGATGCAGCGATTTGAGTGTCCTCAGAAACCACCTGAGCAAACACGCTGGAGAGAAACTCTTCACCTGTGAGGTTTGCGGTAAAGGCTGCAGCCACCGCAGCGCCCTGAAGCACCACATGCTGACCCACACAGGAGAAAGGTCGTTCGTCTGCGAGACCTGCGGCAAACGCTGCAGCCACGCCAGCGCGCTCCAGAACCACATGAGGATTCACACCGGGAGGAAACCGGGCCAGCAGCCGGCCTGCGACATTTGTGGCAAAAAATTCCGCCGCACGGTCAGCCTCAAATATCACATGAGTGTCCACACGGGGGTGAAGCCCTACACCTGTGATCAGTGTGATAAAAAGTTCAGCAACCCAAGTAATCTGAAGCTGCACAGCATGATCCACACGAGGGTGAAGCTGTTCGGCTGCACCATCTGCGGACGGAGGTTCACTCAGGCCAACGGGCTCAAGCACCACAGACGGATCCACACAGGAGAGTGGAAGCACACCTGCAAGGTGTGCGGGAAAGGATTCGTCAACAGTACTCATTGCAAGAAACATCAGATGGGACACCTGCCACTGGAGTCTGGAGGACAGTCTGGGAAAGATGTAGTGAAAGTCTGAAAAGTTAAACCACAAGAATATTAAGATTAATGTTATTTTTGTGTTTGTTTAAGGATTGGTACTAATTCAGGGAGTTGAGGATAATCATCATATTACATTTAATCTGGTAAGATTTAAATAATCTACATCCTTTAATCACTAGTATATCAATACAATAAAAAAGGCATAAACTGTGTAAATGCTTCCAACATATTTATAATCACAGGAAGCTTCGTTTTCAAACACTTAGTTTAAAGGATTGGATTAAATCGTCTTTTTCATACTTGACAGCAGCTGCATTGTTCTGAAATAGTCCAGCTCAGGTCAGCCTGCAGCCTGTATCAGCTCTGGAGCTCCGTCTCCTCCTCCTCCGGAAGCACTGTCTGCGTCAGACCACTGAGCTTTTTTTGGTCTAAAAGAGGTCTAATAGACGTCTAAATGTAGCCTAGACGACTGGTGTAAAATCAGGCTACCACAGGTCTAAAAAAAAGTTTTTTAGATGTCCAAATTCAAATCAAGTTTAGACCAAGTCTAAATCTGGGCTATATCTATTCTACACTGTATATTGCTCAACAGCTTTCATAATTATTTTGGTGAAGTACTTTGAGATCAGTTATGTATTTCACAGTTGCTTTTTGAAATAAATAGTTATCGAATAATGGGTTTAAGTGCAACGTCTGAATTCCGTCTAAAAATATACAGAATCTAGACGGTTGTAATTAGGTCTAAAAAAAAAGACTAGACGTCTAATAGCCGTCTATTGCTCAGTGGGAGACCATTGCAGACTTCATACCTCTTTAAAAACACCTGGATTGACCAAAGAGAATTTGCACTTGAGGTTTCTCATTTTGGTTTTGCTGAAACATGCTTAACTCTGTAGCGAGAGACTATGTGAGATGTACGCTTTAAATATTTGCTATAAAAATTGAGTTTACAAACAACGACTGAAGTCTAAAATGTAATGAGGTAAATGTCCTTTACTGAAGTGTTTCTGTGTCTTGTGTTGTTTTGACATGTTCTGAAATGCGGGACGTTATTAATGCGTAACACCATTTCTAAACCAGGTGGGACAATGAGTTATATTTTCACAAAATCATAATTTATGAATCAAATATTTAATAAAACAAAATAATTTTTTGGTAACACTTAATTTGACGCCTATCCCTGTAACACATTATAAATATATAATACATTATTATCACGTTATAACACTATATAACTATAGTTATAAACACTCATAAATGATCACAATGCTTTATAGCAATAATCATAACACATTATAAAGCATTTTATCATGACTTACAAGGTCAAGTATTATAATGTGTTATAACTGTTAACAACAGATGCATTGCATTATCTATGTGGGCATTGTCAGTGAGTTGTTAACCGTTATAACACATTATAATAGGATAGGATTGAATAACAATCAAATCATCCTAAATTGACCTCTGACAACAGTTCAGTTTCCACTGTCTTTATCAGCCACGGGCGTTTTATTAAAAGTGGCGTCTGCTCAATTTAATTCAGTTTGTATTTTTCACTCGGTTGGCTTTAGTGGAATCACAGGAATTACTTACATGTGGGTAATTTCCTTTGTCATTAAACAAGGAGGGTAGGTAGGGTAATTAAGGTCAATGGAGAAAAGAGATAACACAAGGATTTAATGTGTCTGAGACCTTGAATTAAAGCTCTGAGTAAACACAGGGCTAAAGAGAAGAAAACAGTTCAGTCTGAGTTTGAAAGTAACAGTAGCTAAACTTGTGTCCGCTTTGGATAATACGAAACAGGAATATAAGTACCAGCAGAGGTTGACGCTGATTTATCTTAATATCTCAGTGTTTTCAGACTAACTCGATTACTTTTTCAGCTGTTCACCTCTAGGAAATGATCATCCTGCTGCTTCCAAACTTTTCCTCTCCCTCTCTACTCCTTCAGTTTGCCTTGTCAGTGTGGATAATTTCAACCCTCCTCCACTCTATCTGCCTCCTCTCCTTATCATCAATGTCCAGGTTTAGTAGTCCCGATGTCCTCTGTTCATCACTTCCTGCATCCTTCCTTCAACACCACAAACACAAGTGTCTCGGCTCCATTGAGGGGTCAAGATCCGTGAATGGGGCTCATTCAGAATCCATTTCTAAATTCAGTAAAATAAACCATTCACTTATGAATAAGTCTCTCTTGACAGAAAAAAAGAAATAATTTTTAAAGCAGTTTCATGTACCAAAAGAAATTATAAACTTAGACCACAGGAAAGGTTTCAGCTTCACCTCAGTGCACCTTAAATAGACTTAAGTCCAGAGAGGTCTGCAGTTTCTGGATTTCCTTCTTCAATTATACTGTTTTTACCCGCATTTGTGGATACACTTACAAACTGTTCACCGATATTTGTTTTTGAGGCCAAGCAGTGATTTCCACAACAGAGTCTTGACTGTTTTTTTTTTTTAAGGATTTATTTTAGGGCTTCCTGCTTTCACCTGAAGAAAAAAAAGGGCAGAGAGAAAGAGAGAGAGATTAACTTAGAGGTAAAGTTTAACAAAACCAACAGTTAAGAAAAGGTCAAAGAAGAGAAGAAGAGATGTAAAAGACGACACTGAGTCTGACTGTCTTCTCCTCAACTGTCTCATTTCAGATCTTTGATGAGGATTGGTCACAAACAGGTAAAAACAAGCTAAAATTGTTAAAACAGTTCCAGCTCAAAGGAACAGCTAAATGTCAAATTAACCAGATGGACCTGAAAGGAGTGTGTGTTCGGTAAAATCTGTCCACTAGAGGGTGTTTGAGGCTTAACATTGAATTCAACAGCTGTTGCTGCAAATCCTGACGCCTCAGAGATCGACACTATCAACAGGTACGTTCCTCTATACTTATGACTGTCTTTTCCTTCACAATTGCTTTTTTTTAAGTGTGTAATATTTTCACTTTGATTAAAGCTCAAAGAGTCTTTTCTTAAGCTGGACTGCAAGAATTGGACAGTTTAGAGATGTGTTAGTTTTATTCAACTTCAGTTTCTCATCTTTCTAGCTAAAGGTAAAGAAAATAAAAATGAAGAGGGAACAATTTTAGAGCGTGAGAAAAAATAAATAATGCAGTTAAACAGGGGGAGCAATTCAAGACGGGATCAATATATTTGTTAAAAAATACACCGCAGTGAAGATCTTTAAAACTCTTCCCTGTGTCTCTCCAAAAAGCTGCTGTCTGGAGAAATGAACTTAGACTAAGTTCAACATTTGATCCCGTATAAAACTTCCCCTGTGTTGCCTCGGCTGTAGCAGCAACCACGCAACTCTGTCTCAAGCAGCTCACACATTTCTCAAACCACTTTATTGCGTTTCAGCTCCACACCAGCTGTGCTTAAAGCTGCAAAGAATTCAGTGTTTTTACGGAGATTTAGCTCCCACTGACACTAAGGTCAAGTCCCCCGAAACGGTAAGTTTGTGTTGAATTACTTGGACACACAAGAGCAAAATTCTTTATTGTGTTTATAGTTAAAACAAGTCATAATCATGTCAAGACAGGAGGGTACGAAAGGTTGAGAAAACTCTGATTTGCTTGTGAAAATTACAACATCTGAAAGTGCAAGAGTACTTAAGATGTATTAGGTAAAAATAACAGAAAAGAAAGGGCTAACTTTGATTTTTTTTTCCCATGACTTAAATCTAAAGAACTTGTTTTATTCTGAACTTGTTAAAGTGCTCCACGGTTATGGTCCAGGTTAAAATTGGACAGTTGTCATTTGCTGACAGAATAGCAGGAATTTCATTAAGGTGCTGAAGTTGACGCCTGTGGCTGCAGGTATTTATTATCCCAGCTTGCTGTTTCTTTAATGGAGAGTGCTGTGAATAGTACAGCTAATCGCCCTCTTTGTTAGATCAGTAAGAACTACGTGGAAAATATCTAACACTATGTGGGTTTTGTGCAAGCATCATGATGCACCGGCTTTCACAAAACTTGAAATTAATCAGCTTGATCTCAATCAATTTGTGCTTCATTTTTATCCTAAATTGCAGCAGGAAAACATTTTATAATTTTTAATGAATGCTAAAACTAAAGTGTAGAAAAAGAAAAAGAAAATCGACAAATAAAAGCTAATCTTAACAGCTTCTCGGAAAGAAGTGCAATGTCCGGTGAGATTTGTGCTTTTGTAGATTATATTGAAAACTAATATTGACCAACATTTTTGAATGACTTTGTAAAGGGAGAACACATTTTATTTTTAAGAAATTGCACAAAAAAAAAAAAAAAATTAGATGGAAGCAGATATTCAAAATTAAAAACCACAATTTACACTGAATGAAGAACTGAGAATTTAGTCCCTAATCATGACAGAAATGTCTATCGCATTATAGACCTACCAGAAAATTTGAGTTTTAGAGTGGACCTCATAAAAATGGGCACAAGGGAAGGATCCAGGGTCCAGGGTGTATAAGGGAATCTGAGGAGAGGCAAAGGCTGGAGATGTGAGTGAGGGCTTGAGTAGGAGGCTGGTGAGTGAGACTGTGGCAGAGATTTGGGCAGGAGCACAGGAGGCTCATGGAGGCACTGGAAAAGATGGAGGAAAGCTAAAATTGTCAGAAGTAAAACACAAACAAGCAGGAAAGATCAAAAATATTGTAAATTCACGAGAGAACTCTAAAGACTGACCAAGATAACATAACCCATCAGAAGTGGGATAATCTAGCAGGGCTTAAAGGTGCTGCAGTAATATGGCGCAGGTGTGAAGGTGCAGGTGAGGCCAGTGCAGGAGGGAGCTGCCCAAGACTCCAAACAAAAAAAGAAAACAACTTCAGAAATTCCAATAAAAAGCTAAAACATGTCACAATCACCACATTTTTAATCTTCTCACTCTTACAGGAACCTTCAAGCTGTACAATATCTGCTCTGCACTGAAAGTAGTAACTGTTTAATAACACACATGCACCAACTAGAAAACAGTATTGTGGTCATGGCTACATCTTCACTATAAGGCTTTGTTAGACCAAGTGTCTCTACACTAACTTCTTTTAACCCTCAGTGAAAGTCCTATATTATTTCTTTATCATCAACATTCATGAGAAAACTCTTTAGGCGGATGTGTATCATGGTGACTCATTGTAAACATACTAATCGGGGAGCCTTTATCCCTATAATCGATCATATTGCACCATTGATCTTCCTGCATACAGACAGCAGTTATTGCTCCTCCTGCAGCAGCAGCATCAATACCTTCAGATGAACCTGCTGCTGCCTAACCGATGGACCTCCAGCTTCTTTCATTTCTCGTCCACCGCGGCTCCCTGCGTGTCGTCTCACTGTGATTAATGCTTGACAGTTTCAGGGGTCACTACTTCGACGGTCAGCTGGAGCCGCGCTGTGACAGAGAGTCACGGACTGCAAAGTGATGAACTGTAGGGACAGAGAGCAGGCAATCAGCATGCAGAGAAGCTTTTCTTCTGATCGCTCGATCCGAGGTCCAGATATACAGACAGGCACACATAAACTGTAGCTTTACTGTTAGAGTACATGGACTCGTAGGAGACCTGAGGTTAGGAAGCTAATACTTTTCCCCTTCCTTTTAGCCTCATGATGGGAATATTTCATTTATTGTGTTTTGATAAGAGCTTTAAAGAAGAATCTAAATATAAAACATTGACTCTATATTTACCAGAAGTTAAATCCAGAAATACAGACACAATATCTGTTGTAATCTTTGCGCTTTACTCCAACAATTGCAACCTGCAGCTTTCTTTACTTGTGTTCATTTGAGAAAGTGAAATGGATGGTTGATTGCTTCAGTTTGGGATATTAACTTTGCCCTTGCACAATATTCCTCCTCCTTTTCTCGGAAAAACTCTGGAGTTACTTTTGCAGCGTGTTTTGAGTCACTGTCCATCTGTTCTATGTAGCACTGGCCTATAAATGTTGCTGGATTTTGCTGAAGCAGACAGTTTATCCTCGTATGTTTTATTGGAGCACTTCTGACACATCTTAAAAACTTCCCAAGTCACCCAATGCAGTTGGATGCTGTTTTTGTTTTAAATGGTGCGTTATGACTCATAGCGAGGGGTGGCTCTAAGCTATCTCTGAGTTTTCTTCTTCCCATCACTCCAGGTTGACAGGTTAATCTCAGTTTTATCTGTCCAAACAATGGTTATCAATGGTTGTGAACTTGTGGTGAACCCTTCTCTTTGCTCTATCAAGGCCTTCTCTTATACAGTATATCTTCTTAATATGAAACATTTATGTCCTGTACAATTTCCTCCTCTTGGATTGAAGCTTCTTAAATGTCCAGCCACAATTTCAGGTCGTCACCCCTCTGTTGTCCTGAAATCTACCAAGCTAGCCATTTGGCAGCTATGCCTGATGAGGGTCTACTTCACTTACTTCCCCGTTAGACGTCCCCCAGAAACAAAAAGGGAGCAACAAGTACCTGACCTGTACTCCTCCAGTTTGGATGTAAACACTTTTCTGCTGTTGATGCTCTTTGAGGCCATTTTTAGGCTGTACCTGGTATTTTCAGATAAACAGCTAAAGGTGATGAAACAGATTTGTAAGATACAGAGTTCCAGTAATGAGGGGGTACTTGTATGGAGGGGAGGGTGACTGATTTCAGAGGAAATATCTGAAAAACAAGGAAAAAATTGATGTTGATGGATTGATGGATGGATGTGCAATGAGTCTATGAACTAGCGGTTTAGCATAGATGGATGGACAGATAGATTGGTGGATGGTAGAGTTTGTACAAAAGTAGATGAATGGATGAGAATGAATATATAGATCGGGAGAAGGATGATTACTAGATTGGGTATATGGCTTGGCAATGTAGTTAATAAATGTACTAATGGATGAATAGATGCAGAAAAATGTAAGGAACAGTGAAGAGTGGATGGATTTATGGGTTGCAGAGTGAGTAGAATCTCAGTCCTCTTCAACCTCGTCCAAACCTTTCACAAATCAACTTCAACAACAAAACCCAGACATACTCAGGAACTCATTCAGCGACACATTATCTGACTCATCTTTCTATTACCACCAAACTAAACCTTTCCCTTTTTCTTCTCTGTTTTTGTTGGTTTGTCGGAGGTTCTCCTGCTTTTACAGGGTCTTGTTACTTTGCTGCTGTCAGGTATGAAGCATCACTTGAATTGCTTTCACTTTCTTTAGGGTGACCATATTCTGAATCCCTCAAAAGATGACACGACCACGCCAGGTGGAAGGTTTTTTTACGCCAGGTTTTTTACGCTAGTCCATGCTACACAAACTCAAAACTTCCATACTAAATCCCAGACATTTGAAGGATTTTATAAACTCCCCCAGACAAAGCTGGAGAAGGTTGGACAGCCCCCCAAAAAGAGGACATGTTTGGGAAGAAGAGGACATATGGTCACCCTACTTTCCTACACGTGAAATAGTTTTCAAAAAGTCATGCTACTATTTCCAAGGCCAAAAAAGAACCTTGGATCCAACATTCATTATCTGTTTTGATGGTCTATTTCTCAGATCCCTTGTTCCTACATTTAATGTGAGGATTAGTTTTCTTTTTGTTAAAGGCATTAATGAAAATTTCTCCTGATCAATTTAAAAACAAAGAAGAAAGCTAATAGGTAAAAGAATAGATGGCTGAATGAACGGGTAAGGTCTGAGAAGAATAACAATGAGTGGTTGGACATTTCAACGGCTGGCTGGATCTGGTATCTGGAGTGTTGTCACAGGCCACAGAACTAGATCAATGAGTGTCAGCTGACCGGGCATGTGACTGTGTGAGTGTGAGGGCAGAAAGTGATCAATCACATGCAGGGCCACGGCTCACTGACATGATGACTCTGACCTTGGATAGACACCATTAATTAAAACCCTGTCAAGCTCTTTATCATTCAGTGGTCACCCTCATGAGGACGGCCCATCAGTCAGGAGCAGCAGCCAGCTGTCTACAAAGAGCGCGGTAATGTGAGCGTTCAGACTGCTAACATCAGTGCATTTAGGAACATTATCAGACAGATGTGGGTCAGACAGGTCCAGCTGTAACCAGTGTCAATGATGATGTGGATTCACTTCTTACAAATGACACCAATACTGAGTTTGTGAGAAAGTTAGATGCCAGACTTTTGCAGTTTCAGTTAATACACCCCAGTGATCCGTGTGCTAAAGTTCTGGAGTTGGTTTGATCCAAACTTTATTCTTTCCTACAGGTTATTCCTTCATTTCCTATTCCATCCTGTCCTCTCTACTGGGGTTGTGGTTAAAAGGCTAATTAGAGTTTCAATGTTGAGCATTTTCTGTTGTTAGCACTTCACCTTGAGACTTTGGATAAAGAGTCCAGCAGACTTAAATGCTGTCACTTTGTTTAGTTTTTGAATACAAGAGCAAGACTTTTTTTTTTTTAGTGCTGTCACATAAATTAAATTCTGCAAATCCAGAGTTCAGTCTGAGGTCCTCCTGTACGAAAGAGGATGAGGGCCACAATAAGAGAAAAAAATAATTACAGGAGGGAGATTTTTAAAATTTCCGTTTAGAGATTAAAGTCAAAATTTAAAAGAGTCAAAATTTCAACTTTATTCGTGTCGACTTTAATCTCGAAATTTCTACTTCAATCTCAAAATTTTGATGTATTTTTTAATGTTGAAATTCCAACATCATTCACAACATTTAAACATTTTGTAATCTCAAAATTTCAATTTTAAATCTCGACATTTCAACGTTATTGACACGTTAATTTTTTAATCTCGAAAGTTTGGCTTCAATCTCAAAGTTTCAACTACAATCTCCTTCCTGTGATTATTGTTTTTCTCTTCATGTGGCCCTGATCCTCTTTTGTACTCCTGAGATATGGTACTGTTAATGATGGATAAAACTATTCTTTTTTTTTTTGTTGGTGCATGTCTCTTCTCGTGGCCATATGTCTTTCAAAAGCGCTTGGGCTTTGATTTGCTGTGTTTTTCTTTTGTTATGATGTTTTAGGATTCAAACATAAAGGAAATGACAGCAGGGATAAGGACACTTTGGGAGCTTTTCAAGCTAATTGGCTGAATGGGATAGAAAATATTGGAAAGGACAGAAGAAAGTAATTGAGGCTATTTATACTTCCAGTTTGTGATAATTCAGCATAAGATCTAAACTACTTTCATGTTGAATGTGTTGTGTTTGCTCTGTTGTCACAAACACAAAGCAGTCCTCTAATTGGATATACCATTAGAATCCAGCTCAGAGCTTACTGCTGCAATATTCGACAAAAACATATTGTCATGGCGCCAGAGTTGTACCAATAGCAGCAGAATATTGTCCACGAATCTGCCCAGAATCAATGGTTTTATAGCAAATGTGCAGCAGCAAATGAAGCATTAATTTTTTTCCTGTGGGTCTTCCTGATGAAAGCAGCGTTCATTTTATTGACTGGCACCGAAAGGTCAGAGTGGGGGAACGCCACCCATGGGCCTTTAAAGATGGAGTGGTATTTCGTGTGAAGAAATCAAAACAGAGCCTCTAAAAGCAGCCAATGGGGGACAGAGACCCCACTGCACTATTGACAGGCGACGAAAGAAAAATGAAGGAGCGCGCTCAGAGATGAGAGCCATGAGGACCGCAGAGGGATCAGCTCTGACATTCTGACTGTCATTTCAATGATTTCCCACTTGGTTCATATTTCCTTCTACCTGGGGAAGACATTTCATAAATTATGCAAGCAAATCTTATAAGCATCAACAGTAAATTAATGTTGACCTGAGGATCATTACACCAAAAATATTGCTAAATTTGGACTGTGATGTCTTAAAAAGGGGCATGAGTACAAATACGACCTAATGCGAAATAGAACTCCTGAAAACAGCATGTGTACAATGACCATAGCTACAAAAGAAAAGCACAAGTTTTCATGTTTAGAGATGACAAGTATCTGTTTTTAAAATGTAGGTCTAAATTTGACATTTTATTTTTTTCCATTTATTCAATTTACAAACTCTAAACATGGCAGATCTCTAACGTTGAGTTGCTACAACTGCACATCAAAATACCAAAAATCATTTTTTGCAATAGCTGAATGAGTGAAAACAACAGCTTGAACATCTATGTAAATATATACATATAGCCTACTGAGCAATAGACGACTATTAGACGTCTAGTTCTTTTTTTTTAGACCTAATTTTTTAGACCTAATAATAATGAAAACCGTTGAGCAATATACAGTGTAGTAAAGATAAAGCCCAGATTTAGATTTGGTCTAAACTTGGTCTCAATATTGATGTCTAAAAACCTTTCATTTTTAGACCTGTGGTAGCCTGATTTTAGACCAGTCATCTCGGCTACATTAAGACGTCTATTGGACCTCTTTTAGACCAAAAAATGCTCAGTGGGAATATAGATATGACATTTTTTTTTTTACATCATATCCTACATCCTTCAAACCTGGGAGATGAGAAGGCTCGACAGGTTTTACCTTAAAAAGGATCAGAGAACTTTTTGAAAGGTATGTTTGTGTCAGATTAGAGGAGTTGGTCAATCAGTGCTCTTTTAGAAAAAAGCACATAAAAGATGTGCTTATTTCATGTATTAATGTAACATAGTGTTACTTCAGGCAGGCCAGAAATCAAGACCTCAGCTCCTCTGTACTGTTATCCTCATCTTTGATTTCAACCGTCCTGTCCCTCCTTACCACAGCATTTCTTAAAACAAGCAGAGAATAAAAGCAGATTTGGCTTTTCGCCTTGACTGAGCCTGCTCTTTGGTAAGCATCCCTGAAGGAGCAGAGGCTGCCTGAATCACTTCCTAAGACTCCCTTTATTCAATTATGATTCTATGTCCGTTGTTGTTTATATAGTTCCTTTCCTTCTCTCGCTATAGTTCAATAACTTTCAACTCTATTTGTAACAAAGCCTTCTTAATGATTCAGTGGTTCAGGTTCACTTATCTCTGCATTAATAAGCACTGTAGCATTAATGCATGTGAACATGAACAGCCTCATAGCCACAGCTCTCTACAAAGTTTATCCACATTCACATTTCTTTTTTTTCTGCTCTTTCTTCTTTTTCTGTTTCTCTTCACAGAATGTGTAACTCAAAGCAAGCGCATGTGTGACTAATATACCTGCCCTAATGGCTCCATTAGAGTGTTTCATTGGGGCCCAAATAGGCTGAAGCCTCCTCTTAATGGAGCCTACGCGGCTCCAAACCCAAAGCACAGTCCAATAGCTGCAGAAGGACATCTCGCTCCAGCAATAATAAGGCATAACAAGATCTGCAAAGTGTTCAAATGGCAAAATCAATACTAAACTGAAACGTTGCCATGGACACAAGGAAGCTGGCAGAGGAGAGTGGCGAGGCGCCGCAGGTCTGGAATATTAGGGAATACTGAGGGTGAGTGTTGCATGATTTTATCTTCGGAGATGGAACAAGAAAAATGGCTGACCTGTAAAAGAAAAAATAATTTAATTAACTGGTTAAATCAGGAAAAAAAAAAAAACACTGACCTTACTTTAAAAGTTCAGCCAGCTTCAGGGCAGTAATAGTCTCTGTTTTTGGGTCATCATATGCTTTTACTTGTCAAAGTAAGCAGAAAAATTACCAGATTTGAATGATTATTGGCCACCACCTTGTCATATTGGTTTGCTATAGAGGCTGATTGTTAAGAATATCCTCGCTCCTTGCAAACAAGACAACAAACAAAATGATGGTCCAAAATGAATGTCTACATCTTTTTAATAATTGTATGCCTCTAAATACATTTTTTAATTCGCACACATCTATTTTTTGTAGCAGATGGAAGTGAAACAGTCGCACCGTCGAGCCCTGTGTTACAAAGACTGGAGGGACCATCCAGCCTGTTATCAGTGCACTGTTCAAAACAGGCATTTGATGTAGGACCACTGGTCACCTTTCTGAACCTGTCTAATATGGACTAAGAGGAAAACTGTCTTCTGGTCTGATGAATCAGAATTTGACAGTCTTTTAGGAAACCATGGACACCATGTCCTCCACTCTAGAGAGAAGAACCACCCAGTTTTTATCAGCCCATGTTCCCGTTGGTAGCTATAGTGTTATCAAAGACCTTGCATGTATAGCAACAATGCTAAACCAAATTCTGCATTTATTGCAACAGTATGGCTCTGTAGTAGAAGAGTCCAGATTCTAAGCCCACAGTCTCAATGGGAAGCTATTGAGGGGCTGAAATTGTACATCAGACAAGAAAAGGACAATATTTAACATTAACAACTCCAGTTCAAAAACCTTTTTCGTTTTTCAGCCTTTTACACAGCCTCTGAACTCACTGTAAATCAGGGTTGTATATGCTGAACCTCCATCTTAGGTATTTGAACTATCTGTCCATCTCCACTCTCTTTCTCTCCATATTAAAGTTAACAGGATAACAGCTTGTTGTATGTTTTCAGCAGCAGCTGAAGAGTTTAGCTTCTACAGCTCAGAACTGAATCAATATTTCTTTGTGTATAGTGTTACATACGGCAACAACAGATGCACAGGTGTTGACAGCCTTGAGCTGCACTCCAAGCTCTCGGACATAAACCCGTCTTACAGCAGAGAGATCATTACTGTTGATTCAGTCATCGAACAAAAACACAAAAGGATAAAAAAGACACTGTTTCTGTCTGTCAGTTTGACATAGCGACCAGTTTTAAAGGTGAAAAGAGTCACCAGAGAGTTTTTTTTTTTCTTTTTGCCTGCTCAGGATGTCAGGTGCTGCAGTAATGAGGAGAGCGTGGATGTCAGAGCTTGAACTCCTGGGCACTTTCTACCTGTCTCCAAGGAAACAATTAAGACTATCTATTCATGGTCAACTAGATCCCTCACTTTCAGCTGCACATCTCTCTCTTCCCTGAAAAGAACAGTAGGACGAAGTATTTCCAGTACAGGATTTTGGTCCTTTTTGGCTCTGAGGCCACTCGTCAAAATCACATATTTTTTTATTTCCTTCACACCTTTTTTTCCCCCCGAAACTCTAAGTCTGATGTGCTCTATCTGTTTAGCTTTACTGTTTGTCCTCTGTTTGTATTGTTGTCATGAAACTTCAGCTGATTCATACTGTGCTTGTACATAGGTAGAAGCTCTGAATTATGGGATATCATTCGTAACCATGAGATGAAACAACCTGTAAACAGTTAAAGCAGTAAGAGCCCTTTTCATTCCTTTGGAGACAGCGTTAGGTGAGGTACAAGTGAAGCACTTCAAGGAGTGAATAGATATAAAATTCTTGAACTGTCATCACAGAAGGTTAACAGCTTTGTCTGAGAATATATGTGGCTCTTTTGTACGAGTTAAAGGTACAAATCTGAGTAAATAAAAGCTTCAGTACACACGTTTAGATTGACTTCCTAGAGCATTTAAGCACAAACATCCAGTGATATACCATAGAGCAGGGGTGGGCAATTAATTTTTATATGGGGAGAAACCTGAACTGTGTTGGAGGACTGAACCAACACAACTTCAACTTCAAATCAGGAGGCCAAATAAGCAAAGTTAAAATCAAGCTCCAAAAAAGCGCACCCGTGACTTACGAGTTTTACTAGCGACTTGTGAGAGAAACAAGCCTAAAGTCTTCTATAGTAAGTGGACTTGGCAACTATGAGGCATCCATGTATATTTTGCCGATGTTGAAACTTGTCTCTGTTCACAGATCTAGGATGTACGCACAAGTGTCCAAACGGAAATAAAACAACGGCTAGGTTTTCAAAATAAAAGCAACACACTTATATAGCATGTTGATGATTTGATTGACAGACCTCACGAAGGGCCAGACAGGGACATCCGGGCCGTAAAATGCCCAGGTCTGCCTTAGAGTGTACTCCTGTTGTGTGCAGCTCCTCCTATAGAGATGAAACTTTGTATAAACTTGATTAAATGTTCACAAAACTCTGATCTGAGAGCAAAGAAATGACAGACAGTACTGAGTCAGGATTCTAGTCTGCATGATCACCTATTCACCATACATTATCCCTCTTTTAGTACCTGAAGGATTCCTCACAGTCATAATCCACCAGCTATTCTATAAGGAAGTCTGCAGCCTGGAGGCAAGACAGCCAGGAGAGAAAGTCAAACTCTCTTTCTTTCTCATCCCTTACTCTTTCCATTCTCTCCTCACCATCGTGGGATCTGTCTCAAGGTTATCCTCTAACTGCAGGTGTTGTATGTGTGTGTGTGTGTGTGTGTGCTGCTCAAAGAACCTGCTGTATTGATTTAGACTGTGGGCTAAAGCTGTCAGCAGCCTTGAATGCTGGTGAAGAGCACAGGGACACGCAGTTAGAGGCAGGTGGATTTCACTGCATTTATCCAGTTTCTTCAGTGGGCTCACACCTCTTGGCCTTCATAATACACCACTCAAATGTTTCTTCTGTCTTAATCAAAATGTCAAGTTGTTTAGCAGTCGGTGCAATTAATTGAAAAGTACGATTTTCTTCAAACCAAAAATGAGTCATTTTTACAGTCAAGTACCGATGCTGTGTGACTTTTGTGATTAAAATTCACTCGAGTACAATTTTTTTTTTACGCACACAGACAGTCACTCTGCACCCACCTCTAATAAGTGACTTCTATTACATATACTTAGTAAGTGTGTTATTTAATTTACAGTATTTATTATCCAATATCTGCTTAAGGATGAAACTTCTCATGTGTTATAGGAGTTACATGCTGTAAATATAATTTTTTTTTTTGGTTTGCATTAACTGTGAGGGATGGTGGCCAGGAGGTCTTGGACTGCGTATACAAAAGCAAAGGAAGAAGGAAAGGAAGGAAGGAAGGAAGAAAGGAAGGAAGGAAAAAAGAAAGAAAGAAAGAAATTCCTGTGCATTGACAGCCAATGTGTTGCAAATGCACAGGTGATATAAAGCCAAAAATGAAAAAATGACAAATAATAAAAAAAATATATATTAAAAAATGTAGCTTTCGCACCAACAGTTGTGGGGGCTCTACTTTCATTAAAGAATAATCATACAGCACAAAGAGACACTTGAAGATATGAAGACCTGGTATAACTAAGACTTGTAGAACAAAGGAAAGTGTTTTCTGAGGTAATAAATCAACTGAATAGTGGAGACATACATGACATGTTGTAATGAAGTAAGCTGTTCTTGATACCAGTTTTCTCACACTGTTTAACATAAATACAGCCTCATGTTTTCATGCACACTTGAATTACTAACATATGGTCCACTTACCAACAACCAGCCTTATATGACAAGATATCACCCATTAAAGCTGATCTGCTAAAATCTACATAACAGCAGCACGATGAGACACCACAGCCACCTCACAGACTGTCCTCTGAGTGGATTTATTTTGTGCATCTCTGCTGATTCATCAAGGGGACATTTGCCAGGATGAAGGTATGGACCCAAGCTCTTCAATTTACAAGTTATAGTTTTCCTGGAAAAGTCTGGAAACTGGCTCTGCTTTATGGTTATCCTCTACTTAGTCTCCCCTCCATAATTTGTGATCATGTGACACACTTTAATGGTTGTAAATAATAAACACCATAAATATCTGCTATAATTAGTGGGAGTTATTAAAATGACTCATGCCTGTCACTCTAATGGAGTAATAAACTAACGATGCATGGGCTATTAGACTAGCATTTATAAATTAAAAATGGTTTGCTTAATATGATTTTTATTGTAGAGCTTAGAGAACGACAGCACGCACCAGTTTAAACTAGAATTAATGCATTTGTTTACTGAGTTCTCACTCATCGGCTGTGATTTTGTCTGATAAAACACTGTAGGCTGAGCAGTAAATGAAAAGCAAAGTAGATTATTCATGTATGACTTCATCCTAGTATGTAAAGCAAGAATCTACATTTAACTTAAGGTTTTGAAGATATTAAGCTTATGATTTAGCATAATTAGGGGTATGGTGTTGCCTAAAAATTAAAAGTGTGGTCACCACTGTGGTCAGGCTTCATGACTCTGTAACAGAAACCAGGGAGTGACGTGATTTATACAGTCAATGATTGGAAAGTTAGGCTTGAGCCTGGCACACACGCTGAAAGAGTTTGAAAATCCTAACTGATTTTGTGAAAGTCAAGTGACCCCACACACAATGACAAATGATGACAGATTTAACTGTTGGGTTAGTATAGAGTGTGGTGCGGTGAAGAGAGCACACCACCAACATAAGGACTGTTTCCACCAGCAGCCACAGACCCAACTGTTGCTAATGTGGTCTTTACACGAGTACGACTTTGTAAGACACCGGTAAAATAAACTATTGATCTGGTGATATTGACACACGGAGACGCGTATTTGTCCATGACTCCGCATCTTTTTTGAAAACGGGTCTACAGGTGGTCTGGGTATTCATCTTCACGCCGAAGTTGGTATAAATAGATAAGTCCGGAAAAGACGGTGACCTTATAGCACCCCTACTCCTCCTCGCCCCCCAACCCACGTTGTCACACACACAGCAACAACAACAATGGCGGTAGCTTGGGTGATTTTGTTCATGTTCCAGCAACTACAAATATTGCTACGACTTTGATACCAACATTTAGAACAGCAACAACAGCTACGGCAACAACAGCAACAAGTGCTCATGCAGAGACGCAGCATTTTACGCGTGCACAACTTGTTGTCGTGGAATCCATCTCGGCCGGGCGTATGTACTACAGGATTTTGCATTGTCATGTAAATGCACTAAGCCTATGTACAATACGATGTGTAAACAGCGATACACGTTTTGGTGCAGACGCCAAGACAATACGGGGCCGTCCTCGAGTGAGGACGTCCTAAATCTCTGGTGGTAAAATGTAACTTTAGAAAACATGGCGGACCACAGGAGTAAACCATTGCAGCAGTGTTGTTTTCGTCAGGCAGGACAAAAACTTAAATGACGACGTCAGACCCCTTTTTTCCTTGACGAAAATGAGACTAAGACGAACGTCACCAAAGCTCTGTAAAGACTAAAATGTGACGAAAATTATATTCATTTTCGTCAGACGAGAACGAGACGAGAATAAATTGTTATTAGGTGGACGAACAAAGTTTCAAAACATGCTTTTTTTTGTCCTAACAGTCACGCCCCCATCACACACGCACCAAAAGCCTCGCTCGCGCATAGCTGCGCGCACACACTCATACACGTACACATACGCGGCAGGTGGACGAGGCACGCGCAAACACACACCGTAGCGGCAGGCACAGCAGCGGTGCTCGAAAAAAGAGGGATGATTTTTGGTCCTACTTCAGATACAGTCCAAGTGACAATAAAATAAAAGTGACAATAAAACACGGGACAGGGAGACGAGACAGACGACAGTTGTGGAGCCACAGCTTCCTCATGCTGCGGCTTCAAACTGTCGGGAAAGAACACCACGAACCTCAAAAGGATTTCATCGACTAAAACTAGACGAAAACCTTTTGAGTTTTCGTCGGACTAAAACTAGACGAAAACTATCAAGGATAGAAATGACTAAAATGGGACTAAAACGAAGAAGCATTTCGTCAAAATGACTAAGACTAAAACTAAATCTAAAATGCCTGCCAAAAACAACACTGCGTTGCAGGCAACTCGCCTTCCTGTTCCTTCCATTGCTCTTGCAATTTCTTCTCAACGCTTCTCGTGACATTTTAGTTGTTCTATATACATATTGAACGTGCATCAACAGGTGGATTCTCTGTTCCTGATGCCCATCTTTATTTGTGCCTCCAGTTTACTGTTGTTGCCATGGCGCCACTTGTTGTGCTGCTTCCCTTCCTGTGACAATGGACAGAGTGCATTCACAGGCATCCTCAGGGATCTCCCCAGACAAGAGGATATGTCATGGGGAATATTGAACATGTCTGATATTTATGATTTCAAGATTGTCTCCATGCAGATCAGAGGGGAAAAATCAGTCACACTCAAGAGAGGATAATCTGGTAGAGTAATCTGAAGAACAATCCCATATCTTGAAGAAAATCATGCTTTCTGCTTGTCCTGTTTCAGGGTCAGGGTGTTGGGGCAAAAGGTGCTGAGCCATTTGGTAGGTGATGATAATTCTGACTTTCAACAGCATGGACAGAAACTTTATTTATACAGCAAAACAGTTAACAACTTAAAAAAATGGGCCAATAACAATCAAAACAAAACAATATTAGAGCAATCAACAGAAAAGATGCAAGATGTGAAAGCAAATAATACATTTGCTAAGATCCAGTGCTATAATAATGACAACGATCAAAAGTAAAAAACCAAGACAACAGTTTAGAGAAGGCCAGCCATGAGAATTTTAGAAAAAAGATTTATAAGAGGAAACCGACTTTGCCTCCAGACATCTCCAGGCAGGGGGTTTCACTGCTCTAGGGCCCAAAATGCAAATGCTCGTTCACCTTTTGTGACCAGTCGGACTTAAGGAACCACTAGCAGGACCCTGTTTGAAGACCTCAGGCCACCGTCAGGCTTGTGGAAGGGTGGGTCAGCAGTTCATGGATGTAGACTGAAGCTTAAATAGATGCAATAAGATCCTGATCTCACAGGCAGACCGTGAAGGACAGTGAAGACTGGTGTTACGTGGTAGCATTCACTCTCACGCTGTGCGTTTGAAGCCTGGCAGCAGCATTTTGAATAAACTGTAGTTCTTGGAGTTTGTGCATAATGACGCCTCAATAGAGTTCATTACAATAGTCAAGGCCGGAGGAAATAATTACAACAACAATCTTTTTTAAGGAGGAAAGAGATGGAAAGGAGCAAATTTCTGCTTTCTTAAAGCACTACCTAACTCCAGTCATAAAATATCAAATGAAGAAGGCCGAAGTCAAGGGTGACCCTTGACTGCAGGACTCTTTACAGACCTTATTAGATAAAGCACATAGCTATAGTGTAGAAGAGATTCTTTATGTTGTCTGTACTGGGTTTGGGTTCTGTCCGCACCTGGTTAGCTTCCGTAGACAAAAAACGAAAGCTTGGATCTGTTGAAGTTGGAAATGCTGTTTCGGTTATGACGGCAACCTTCACAACCACGTGGTAATCTTTTTCATTTTTCTATAGAGCAAAAGATTTGGGATGGAGGTTTGTTAACAGAGCATGAGCATTACCTTGTCCTTTCCTGTTATTTTACTACAATAAGAGTACAAGGAAACAAGATCTTTGCTACAAAAAAGGTTTAAGAGGATTTTGCCTTTTTTAGAATCACATCAGAGGAAAATAATTTCAATTTAGCCTCTTTGAAGATGGCTCAAAATTTTATTCTTATTGTCAGAACTTTATGGAGCTTTCCTTTTTTTCCCACAGCCCAGCATGTGGTGAGTGGATACACAAGGATTTCTGCTCTCTCAGCTGTGCTGCTGATTGTCAAGATGGCTTTTGCTAATCCATACATCACAGCGGGACACGAGTACGACTGCTGCCACCAGGACAGGCGAAGACAGTCTCCCACCGTCTCTGAAAATGAGAGATGCAAAGTGATGTCTCGGAATAAAAAGACAAATTGTCTGCCCCTTGGCAGGAATTTGATAAGCCTTGAAAAAACAAACAAGAAAACCACCAAGGCAACTCGCTGACATCATGATGAGCTGCACTGAAAACAACAGAGGAAGAGGCGGTTTATCGAGGAGTGTAGTGTCTGAAGAGTTCGCTGATATCTGCACACTATTTTCAAGATATGTGTGCTGTTTAATCTGTGCATGTGACAGGACTGAGAGGGAGCAGGCCTGCAGTTAATTTTTGGTAATTAATTTTAATTACCGAGCAGACAGGCGTAGTTCTGATAGCAGATGGAGGAGTCTGGTGGCCCGACGTGGCCCGATCCACTCCAGTGACCCCTCCACTTCCTCCCCCTAACACCTCCCCTCTCCTTCTCCACCTCCTCTGTCTCTGTCCCATCAACCTGCGGGGTCAGGGGGTTGCCCCGCGGAGGAGACAAGCATGAAACATAAGATGACACCGTTGTACTCTGGCGAAGACTCCTCTGTGATGTGAAGATGTAATCAACCCCTGACAGCTGCTCAGAAAAAGACAAACGGTGGGTCCTTAAATCTTCATTAGTCAAGAGTAAATGAGGTTTGTTTAACACTGCAACACACACACACAGACACACACATACGTACATACTGGCTGTGTGCATATCCATTACGCCTCAGCTGAGAAGTGTAGTAATGGCGCCCATTGATTTCCTTTCTCCCCTCGACTAGTCAAGCATGTATAGAGCTTGGATGCTGGGTAATGAAATTACGACCACTGTGAAGGATGTCATGAAAACGTTACAGCTGGAGAGAGGCCCCTCAGTGAGCGCGTGCAGTAAACACAGCACCTGTTTGCATCGCCTTTGTTCATGGCCAACAACAGAGCTTCCTGTCTCAATCAAACCCTGTTTTTTTCTCCTGCTGCTCCCATCAGGGCAGTAATTCATTTATTATTCATCTCATCAGTAGCACTAAATGATGTAAATGACCTTTTCTGAACTGTATGGGAGTCCATTTGGACACTGTCAAACACCATTAGACATTCAGCGCCCAGCAGCTCAAGAGGGTCAGCTCTCTTAGCTCGGCACTGACAGGGAAAGCGTGACTGGGCTTTGAGCTCATGAATGGATCCTGGTGTCCACAGCCATGCAAATAGGATATAGTGCTTTAGGTGTATTTATGCAATAGGCTGTATATAAGAAGTGGATGTAAACTCCATGACATCACTTGTTAATTGGTGTGGTTTGAGACCTTGAGTCTAACACTTTTGTCGTGCCATGTTGCCTTTATGTGGTTATATGCAACCCTTATCAGACCTGAGCCAATATGTAAATAGCTATGCTGCTGCCTCCAATGATAGTCTTGACAACTTATTTGAATTATAGCATATGCACAGCTATCGTTGGGCATAAATATGGTAAAATGAACATCTTCATCAAAATGTATTCATATTTTAAAGAATGGTAGACTAAGCAGACCAGTTTACAACTCATGAAAGCTCATTTTGGAGACAGTTAACAGCTGTTCAAATCCCAGGAGAGAACCTCATGCTTATGTTGACTTTGGCGCCCCCTGTGGACAAATCGGTAACCCTAGGTTTGCTGATTTGTATGATTAGTGTTAATTGACAATAAAATCTCCCCCTGTTGTCTTCATACAGTGATTCCATGGAGTATCAGGGCCACATTAAGAAAAAGAGAAATTTATAACATCGAGATTAAAGTCATTAATTTACCAGAATAATGTCATTACTAATAAGAATAAAGTAATTACTAACGTGAATAAAGCTGTAAAAAAATCATTATGATACTTATGATAATGTGGTACTGATGTGCCAAAAGATTAAGTATTTCCTTGTTTGAGAAACCTTTATAAAAGTACATTTTCACGAAATGCTTCATGGCTCTCATTTTAACAACTGTCATCTTAAACAACAGGTTAGAATATAGGGACTTTATTATGCCTTTATTCTCGTAAGTAATAATTTTATTACAACTTTATTCTCATTAGTAATGACTTTATTCTCGTAAATTAACGACTTAAATCTAGAAGTCTTCTTGTTTTTTTTTTCTTAATGTGGCCCTAATACTCCGTCGTACAGTGAAATATATTACTCAGGGTGAATATTTGCTTTTGGAAAAGAAACAAATACTGTTTCTTCTGCATACCTACCCCCTCAGAGCAGCTACAGGCATTAAAAAATTACAGTTCACATAATGTACGTAAATCTTGTCAGTTATGGTTTCATTTGCTTTTGTACGTCATAAGTATGCATCACTGTTCATTTCACTTGAACCAAATGTTCCTTTTTTCCATTCACAA